GGCAAAGACGCGAATGCGACGCACAAAATTTGCACAGTGGCATCGAGTGCACACAGGGCGATCGTTTGACGAACCTGGCGACGATGGTGAACACAGATTTTATTGTTATTGATCCTGCTCGACTACTGGCTGTTGAGCTGTTTCGAATGATTCCAAACGGCTTTCTGCATCGAACGGCCGTCGTGGATGACGCCTTCCCAAGCTCGGTACGGGCCAGCTTGGGAGCCCAACGGTCGTCAGTCTTGGGGCTGCTACACGCGCACGAGGGGGCAGGATAGAGTCAAACAGCGAAGATCCCGCAACGGCGTCCGATGACCTGCAGTAGAGGCGAAGCAAGAGAGCCAAGAGCTTGCGTGGGACTCTTTGGGTCATGGAGCGAGCCAGCGAGGGAGCAAGGGGCCCGCGCCGGCGCCGTCGTGTTTGGTGCAAGCCTCTGCCAGAGCCATGCTCACCATCCCTGCTGCACATCGCGCATCACCCAGCGATCTGGATAAAGTTCGACTCTGACGTTAGCGGGACGAGCCAAGTACAATTGAGCCCTAGATCCCCTTCTTTCGACATCCTTCCTCCTCATCAGGACCTGGCCTCCAACCGTTATAACCGTCCGTCTCCTGCTTTTCCGCAACGGCCGCCAACCTGCCTCCGTGAGAACTATCGACATCAGCCAGACCCAAATTCTGCCCCTCTCAGAGCATCAACAGGAGTTGACGCACCTGCCCCGCTGTCCATTTAGGCCCAACGTTGTGACCGATTCGGAAATCCTCCTGGACCGTTAAACATTGTGCTTGATACAAATACAACGATCTCGTCGCAACATCAACAGCCATCCAACATCCCAACTGGTCTGCATCGACTTTATAACGACCTCGTTGTCCCTCCCCGTTGTCTTACTTCACCCTCATCCTCATCGCCTCAGACACTCCAGTCCTTTACCACATTCCTTTCAAGCTTCAAGCTCGACTATAGGTAAGCATCATACCATTCCACCCAATCACATGCCTCGTCTCCACGTTGCCGCGACGTGCTCTCTAACCACCTCATACCACCGCTTGACCATGAACCATCCCTAACAGACTTTCAGTTCCAACTTCTACATTCCTTTCAGTCATTTGATCCTTCAAAATGCCTGCACACAAGAGAGGTCCTTGGTCCCAGCAGGAGGACCACATCCTCATGAGCCTTGTTCACTCTCAGGGCGCCCACAACTGGGTCCGCATCTCGAGCATGATGGGCACTCGCTCTCCCAAGCAGTGCCGTGAGAGATATCACCAGAACCTGAAGCCCAACCTCAACCATGACCCCATCACTCCCGAGGAGGGTGAGCTGATTGAGCAGATGGTTGCCGAGATGGGCAAGCGCTGGGCCGAGATCGCTCGTCGCCTGCGTGGCCGCAGCGATAACGCTGTCAAGAACTGGTGGAATGGTGGCATGAACCGCCGCAGACGCAACGCCCAACGCCGTGCCGAGATGGAAGCCCGTCAGCAGCAACAGCACACTCAGCAGCAGATGATCGGCCAGCCCGGCCAAATCGTCCAGCAGCACCTGCCTGAGCAGACCATGTACTTCAACTCTGCCATGCAAAGACCCCAGTACTTCGACCAGAACCAGCTGCCTGCCATCTACCAGCAACAGGCACACATTGCCTCGCAGCACGCACACTATCCTCAGACCCTGGGTGTTCCTCAGTTCGGTCGCACTCTTCGTGCGTCTCCTTTCGAGAGTCCTTTACCTTCACCTGGTGCTTACTCTCAAATTTCGGCAGACGGCGCTCCTTCTCTAGTTTCAGACGCTTCTTCCTACTCGCAGCGCTCCNCCCACGGCACATCCNCCGTTGAGCTCCCTCCTCTCAGTCAGCAAGACCAGCGATACGTCGACCGTCGCCCTTCCAGCTCGTACATGCAGCAGCAGCAACGCCTGATTGTTCCTGGCCAGGAGGGCTACCAGATTCCCATGCAAATGTCTCGCTCCGAGGACGGCACCAAGCGTCCTCAAATGCTCCAGGAGGCCTTCAACCCTCAAGCTGCCATGATGTACCGCCAGGCTCAGGAGTACCCTCAGATGCAATACCCTCACCAAGCACCTCTTCCCCACGTCTACCAACAAATGGCTCCTCAACACCACTTCTCACACATGCCTCCCCACATGGCTGGCGCTCCTCAGCACCACTCGCTTGACCCTGAGCTTGCTCAGGATGGCGGTGATGGCAAGGAGAGCCCCAAGGAGAAGATGAGATTGTCCGCCATTGTTGCCAACTAAACTTTTATCAACGACAGAATCGGGATTGCATGTACATAATGAGGGATGAGGCGCATTGGGCTTTCTGTTTACTACATTTCATGGCGTTTGTAATCTATGCATGGTGCTGGGTTTATGGGATGGAGACTTGTGTATACCCAACTTGTTTTGCTTCAGAGTCGCTTTCGAGTCTAATGATCATTCGCTATCATGAAACAATCTTTTCACCTACTTCTTTGCCATTCTCTCCATCACTCTCTGATTGTCTTGCAGCCTTAACCCCAAGTTCCAACAGTGGCACACCGTTCTGAGAGCGGTATATCTTCTTGATCGTTGCCATCTACTGACAAACTCCTTCTCACTGACGCCGCAAACGCACACAGTACACTTTATTCTAAGACAAGAAACTGCAAATATCTCTATCACGATTACGCTGGCTGGTAGATACACCTGTGGACAACATTTTCTTGTGTGCCCAGCACTTACATCTTTGCCTCCTTGAAGCAGAACGCTGCTGGGACTGATGTCCGTCCGTTCCTTCCTGCTTGTGTTTGTGTTTACTTCGAGGTACATTCCCTTTGTTTGTTTAACTGGACCGTTCATGTTCTGATTACATTAATCTTATTCACTTTGCTCCCACCGTTATGTACGAACACGTTTGGTCGTTGCAGGGACAGCACAACAAACTGCNCACAGGCGTTTCTTTCTCATCAGAAACGAAATAACAGCACAAACTGCCATAACAGCAGCGACGCATGGGATTCTTACCGGGCACGGGACCGGTGCAACGACTTTCGCAACAGGAGAGATTCAGCTCACCAGTCGTTTCCACCTTGCAAGATTAACCCCCGGGAGCTCAACGCTGCAGCGCCCAATGATGATGATGAAGAAGTCGGTGGAATACCTTGCCGAACTTGTGCGTGTACTCGCACACGTACGAGTTCCTCGATCTTCAGCCGTGCTTCCCGCCATAAAATGNTCATGTCTCCATGTAGAAGAACAAACTATGTACAGTATCCACACTACACGCTATGCTTGCTCAGGATCCTTCTTGCCGACTTGTTCAAAGTCCCTTATGCACCTTACTCTGGTCTGGAACGCTATNGCCAGTTTGATTCGCTTCCCCGTGCTGTGCTCGTAAGCGGCAGCATTCATGTTCCTGAGGGTCGTCACCAGAGCGATCGGGCTATCAACTCTTTTCGCGTCAGATGATCAAGATCTACTTGGTCACATCTCTTGACTTTTGATTATCGTCCTGCAAAGCTCTCACCAAGAGACTCCAGCATACGAGTTGGCAAACCAAATTGTCAAACCCCTTTTGTGAATTTCGGCAGCTCTTGAGGTGTCGTGTCCTCGCCGCGGGCCGACCGTTTGCTTTTCTCCAAAGTTCGTAGGCTAAAGTTTCTGTGCTCGCACCAAGGATCTGATGAGACAAAGTTGGTCAGCGCCGGAGAGGTTGCAACTTACCATAAAGAAGCACCAAACCACCAAAGGGTATGCACTGTGCATTGTCGAGCACAAACACAATCTCCAATTCTGAAACATTGGAGCTGGCGGGAACGGTATGGCATCAAAAGTCCTCGATACACTTTTACGCTTCACCGTTGGTAGCGACGAAAATGCCACAGGAGGCTGAAATATCTACTGTACCTCGGTCTCGCATCAAGCATCAAACAGCAGACGCGAAAAGCCACTTCAGTCATTTTGGCTGGCCGCATCAGAAACATTTTCCACGTGGCTGACATGGAGGTTAAAGGAGAGACATTGGGGTATCGTATATCGAAAAGTTCGTTGGTAGTACACGCAGCTGGCTTGATGATTGACAAATCTGGCTGTTCTTGCAGTGCCACAGACGCCGTCAGAGACCGCATAGGCATGTCCATGGACTCGACTAGTTAGCGAGGAAAGCTGCATACTGTAGGTGCTGACATGCTGCTAGGAGAAGGCTGTGGAGCCGCGTTGAATGTCGCGTCGTGTTATAGGCTACTCAGGGACTGCTCCCGTCCTCAACGGATCTCCAGTAGAGCCGGCATTATTGTCACACTCCACGATTGATGCACTTCGGCATCACCCTACACAAAAGGTACCGCAGGCGCTTGTCTGGTTGCGCGCAAATAGGAGACAAGATTTTGCTGTGCTATCCGTGCAAAGGTCTGTTCTTTGCTCGTGTTAGGAAAGTGTGGCTTTCTGCTCCACGCTGCCTTCCCAGTTTAGGCAACTGGCTGTATACTTCTCCTTCCCGAGGAGGCCGTGTCGCGCCTTCTTGGACTGCGGGACTTCAAGTTCGCGCGCCGAGCGCAAGTATCTCCTGATCCCACGGCTGAAGTGTTAGCCATGGCTCACAGGGGGCCAGGGAAGATAGCATCCGGTAGTGCGCTATTGGTACTGCGTAGGTCAGTCGTCCTGAGCAAGGGAAGATCAAGCGACGAGAACGCGTGATATGCAGCTCCCACCACTATATGACACTTTATAGACTGGGATTCAGCCAAAGGTGGACGGTTCCCAGACGCGTGCTGGGCAAGGGCCAAAACTAGACGATCTGCTGCTGGAGCCAAGCAGTTTTCGGCATCGACCATGACGCGGATCCGCGCTTGGACTTGTTTTCGTTTGCAGACGTCTGACAGCTCCACAGCCACACGTATGTCCTGTCAACCTGTCAACAGCGAAGATCGGGGGCTTGCTGAGCAGAGAGTGACTTTGAAAGCCTCGGTGGATATCGCATGGAGATTGTGACATCCCACCGGCCAGTCTGAGTGCTGCGCGCCATGGATTCGAGCTACAACCCGGATCCCTCGACCGAGATTTCCGACACCCTCTATACCGCGCTATTGGTAAGAAGAAATTCGAGCGATACGACACAGCGTACGTGTGGCTTATCAGGCATATTCTATAGTNCACAAAGGGATCGAGGCAGCACAATCCCAATCAACTATGTCACAGCGCCAGGAGTTGAGTTGACTCCCGTATGTTTCTCGGACCGGCTTTACGAAGATGCTGCTGCACAGCAGTGCCTTTCGAATCTCCTCGCTCTGGGGTTCCATCGGATCATTGTCGATTTGTACTGGGATCAGAGCCGGCAGACATGGAGTCTGTGCCCAGTTGAACTCAGCACCCAAGGAAATTCGACCTCGCCCATCAATACTGGAGGCTATCCTAGCAGCCTCTCTACATCGTCTTCCTCGACGAGTCCATCGGCTACCCTGACAAGGGCCAGGCTCTCTGGAGATACGGCCGAGCCTCTAGAGCGGCAAGCACTCCGCAGTTCCTCGATCATTGTGAATGAAGATGTGCACCAGCGGGGACGAATTCATGTCCGACAAAATTCCGAATTTCTATCCGAGTCTACAGCTGCATCTGCTACCAACGCAGCATTGACAGCCGCTACACTCACCACTGATTCAAGCAGTATGACCAGTGGTGGCAGCGTCGTAGCAATGTCTCAGACTTTCTCTGCTGCACAGCCATCGCAAACCGGTCATCAGATTGGTGGTTATTCATGCACTGAAAGCATTGGCATCTCCACAATAACCAGCGTATTGGCGGGCTATTTTCAAGCGACGGAGAACGACCTAAACGCAACTTTTAAGTACCTCGAGTTCAATGTGCGGCTGGCTGCTCCGTTCAATGATCCAGCAGACACTACAAGCGCAGCCGATCCTGAAAGATTGCCCACTTTCGGCAACTACATTAGCGATCTTATCAACTCGACTCTCTCTCCATACCTATACACTCCAACTGCTCTTCGGTCCGAGAGAGCCAATCTGAACCAATCCTGGTTCGCAGGAGATATTGATAACCCACCGGCGGTGGAGTACATGACGACGATGCCACTTAGTGATGGTTCTGGGCTGTATACTCTAGATGGGTGGCCTAGTGAGAGCATCATCATGTTTCTTCGCGCACTTCGTATCATAGCCAGCATTGGTGTCGATTCGCAAATGCAGCAGTATGATTTTAGCGCAGACGCCGAAACTATCTTTCCTGCAGAGTCTATCTCCAACAATATCGGTACGACACTATCTTCTGATGGTGCCGTCACGAATGGCTGCTTGTACCAACCTGGCAACACCACACTTGCCGCTGTGAACTCTTCATGGGCCATCTCCAGCAATCTACCCAACACGACGTCTCTCAACACGACAAACTACGCTGCTCTATATCTCTCATCGTGTGGTATCTCACCTGTACTGAACACATCACTTTTGGGTAGCTTGGCGACCGATAATGCCACGACATATCGCGAATTCATACGCGATTCACTTTGGGGATGGGACACAGACGAGCCTAGCGATAGTGTAACGACGGCGACTACAAGCCGGCATTGCGCCGTGGCGAATCTGAATAACAATGGCCTTTGGGAAGTGGCCGATTGCACTGACGAGAACCACTTCGTCTGCCGCCGCGACAACTCTCCTTATGAGTTTAGCATCAGCGATGGCAAAGCTCGTTACTACCAAGGATACGAGGCGTGCGACGAAGACTCCAGCTTTGCCGTCCCTCGTACTGCACTCGAGAATCGCTACATGATCGCTGCCTTGCGGAATTGGGTATCTCGACAGACCGACTTTGATGACGCGCCGGTCTTCTGGCTCAGTATCAATGATATTGATACGAAGGATTGTTGGGTCAGCGGAGTGGATCAGACTTGTCCTTACCGAAGCGATGCTAGGGACACGGGTAAGCCTACTGTGGTGATACCCACTGTCGCGGGTGTTATTGTCTTCTTGTTGGCCATATTGACGATCACTGTCAAGTGTGCTGCGAACAGACAGAACACCAGACGGCGACTCAAGCGCGGCGAAGGGGGTTGGGACTACGAAGGAGTACCTTCATAAAATTCTGGAATTGGATGGCTACTGGAGTTTCTGGCTCTTATTACCTCGGCGTCTGTTGGGTTTCTCTCCCTTGGGGGTTTTATGCTTGTGCAACATTGGACACATTTAGTATGAATATCTAGTGAGGACGTCGATTTCTATGTAGACTATTGATCAATACATGATTTGTCTTATGACAATTTCGAACTCATGGTCACGTATCATAATGCCATTGATCATGATGATAGATAGCATCATCTTCGGGAGTTGCACGGCGAAGCGTCGGGATCGCCAGGTGTGGCTGGAGAGCACGCTCCACCAACACCAACCACGTTCAGCACTTTTGAATAACGGCGATATCAGAGTCTTGCCGAGTATCGAGCAACAGGCGGCCGAGTAGGTAGCGTCTATCAAGAGTCGTACTTCATCGTTCATATCAGTGCTGACACTAGCCAGGAGATTGAGCCTGCTGCGTGAAATCGTCAGATCCGTGTAGGACCAAGATTCTGAGGCGAATGGGCCATTTTGGAAAGAACCTGTAACGCAAGACTTTATACCTGGGAAAGAGCTACTTGCCAAACTGTTTGGCCTTCTGAGATATACTCTACACAGAGGGAAGCAACCAGAAACATGACAACCCTAGTTCGCCAACAAAAAGCAATCCGAAACATTGCAAATCTGGCCTTACGACAAGGGGCCCGATACTTCAGCAACAGCACTCGGACGCAAGCAGATTTCACACATGCAGTGATCGGCGGCGGGGCAGTGGGTCTCGCCATTGCCCGCCGTCTTCAACAATACTCCNCTTCTGCCTCCACAGTCCTAATTGAGCAGCACAAAGCCGTGGGCACGGAAACCAGCAGCCGCAACAGCGAAGTCATACACGCAGGAATCTACTACGGTCACGATTCGCTAAAGACAAAACTATGCGTGAAAGGCAAGGAGATGTTGTATGAGCTGTGCAACAAACACGATATACCGTATAATAATTGCGGAAAGTGGGTTGTTGCGCAGGATGCAACGCAAGCCGAAGCAATCGAGAAGGCACATGCATTTGCGAGCAGCATTGGTGTACCTACGAGATTTTTAAGTAGAGAGGAAGCTTCTCGTAGGGAACCCGATGTCAGAGCCGAAGCTGGCGTGCTAGAGTCACCGACAACAGGGATCCTCGACAGTCACGCTTATATGACCTTCCTACACGGCAGCTTCGAAGATGCTGGCGGCGACACAGCTCTCGGGGCAAAAGTAACACGCATAGAGGCACCCACCCCAACATCTCCAGACTGGAAAATCTACACTGCAGACCCGCAAGACGGAAATACAGAAACCGAGCCCATCACCACCGAAATACTGGTAAACTCTGCAGGCCTCTACGCTTGCGATATCAACAACATGATCCTGCCTAAAGAAAGACACATGCAGCCCTTTTACGCAAAAGGAAACTACTTCTCCTACGCAGCAAGCAACCCTAAACCCAGCGTGTTGGTCTACCCAGCTCCCGTGCCTGGACAAGGTGGCTTAGGCACTCACCTGACTCTAGATATGGGAGGTCGTGTGCGCTTCGGCCCCGATGTCGAGTGGGTAGACAGTCCCAGTGACTACACACCCACCTCCGATCCTTCGCGCTTCCAAGCCGCTCTGATTGATATCAAAAAGTACCTTCCCGGGATTGACGAGTCTGCCGTGGCGTTGGATTACGCGGGTATAAGACCCAAGCTAGGGAAATTGGGTGCCGTGGGTGCGGGAAAGGGCTTTCAGGACTTTTATATCAAGAAGGAGGACGGGTATGATGGATTTGTGAATTTGTTGGGTATAGAGAGTCCGGGACTGACGAGTAGTTTGGCGATTGCTGAGGAGGTCTATCGGGTGCTGTATCGATGAGGATGCCAATATGTCAATATGTCCAGTGAAGGAAGGTGCTTCTGAAATGACCACCCTGAATCCCCATCCAGAAGTGAAGCAAACCTCAGTATAGCATCATATTGATGTCCATCAGCTTTATTCACATCGAATCGGTGGGATGGCGCAGTGGTAGTAGCTCGTGTCTCCCACCTATGCGGCCGGAGTCCACTGGTTCGATTCTCCGGGTCATCTGTAAATCCCCCCTATTTATGCCAGAGGTCCCAGTAATCCTCACCCGACAGCAATAATGATGAAAGCTTTGCTTTCTCTTCCCCTCCTAGCAGTACGGCGGCTAGGTGGGTTTCTGTTTTGTCAAAGTACTTTGCTATATATATCATGAGCAAAAGGAAAGTCTTCCACGCGTGTGGTGTTTTGCTCTGTCCCTGATACGTTCGAACATACGCCGGTAGTCTCAATGATTCTAGTCTGACAACAATAATGATGGAAATAATGTGCTGGATTGTTCTAAGATATTGGCCCTTTCCTTCTAGCTTTTGGCAGCCAGAAAGGATATCTGTTTTACCAGTTGTTATCGTGTTTTGTATCTTTGTTTTGCTCGACAGTCATGAGGATCAATGTTTGGACAGTGTGTGATACGATGATTGAAGATGCTCATTGATCTTGTTCATTTGACTACATAGCCTGCTGTCTGTCGTGTTTGTATTATGGTCACCTCTGTAAACCGGAATTGTGTCTCGTAGTAAATCCCAAGCATTCCATCGTGTAACAAAACTCGTGGTAATCATGCTCATGAAACGCCCATTTGCCCTTCGTCTACATTCATCCCAACTCTTGCTCCAAATATCTTGCTTCCAGAGCAAAACATCATGCCTTCCCGCTGACATGTCTCTTTCTAGCCCAGGCACCACCAAGACCTTCTTCGGCGATCTTACCGCTCACATTGCGAGTGCGTGCACCGTACGAATCATCCGATGAGAGGTACATCACGCTTGAGTCAGCTATATCGACGCCAGTCCTGCTGACAACACGACCTTGGCCTCTAGGCACGGTCTGCTCCTGGAGCTTACTGATAGCAGGAGTGAGGTTGCCGTAGCGCTTGGCCTTAGGAGTGCTAGAGCGGCTGGAGTCATCAGGGTTCTGAGAATACACGGATGACTTTGCAGACACAGCAGTAGCTTCAGGTGCCGGAGGGCTCAAAGCGCGACCGATACTTGTGTTGGACGGAGTCTGGCGCGGAGAGTAGTCGTCAAGTTCGAGGGTACCGTTGGGCATTTCGTCAAAATAAAAGTCGGCGGCATCGAAAGCATGCTCTGGTGGCGTGGGAGGATGCATGCGGAGAGGTTGAGGAAGAAGTTCCTTGTACTCTTCACTGGCAAAGCGAAGTTGAGTGACATTAGGCTCACGGACCTCAGGACTGGAGTCGCGGTCGGAGAGGAGCTCGGGAACAGGATCACGGCGAGGAGATGACAAATCAGCGTCGTCGTCTGCGAGGACGAACCAGTTGTCGTTGAGCAAAGCTTGCGCGGGTTGGTCCTTTTGAGCGGTACAGCCTGACTGAGGAGTGCCGGTACGGCCAGACTGAGGAGTGCCAGTACGACTCAGGTTCTCTGAAGCAGTAATGAAAGAGAGAGGACGAGTCGGCATCGGATCGTGGATAGAATCGCGGTTGGTTGGTCTCTGGTTCGCGTAACGCTGGAACGACTGGGGTCGAGAGGACTGCGAACGGGAGCGCTCACGCTCATGGGATTGCGATGCACGATGCATACTAGTCTGCGACACACGAGCCGAAGATGGCTGCTGGTATTCGAATCTGGATTGACGTGCAGAATCTTGGGTATGGCCTGAATAGCTGGGATCTAGGTTGGTGCGTGATTGATAGAAAGACATAGGTCGGACGTTGGCCTCAGGGATGAGCTGGTCTCTATTGGAGACACGCGTAGGACTGCTAAGGCTCAGAGAGCTACCACTCAGCATGGCCAATCTTTGCTCGGACATTGATGCCGAGGCATCGCTATTCTTGTAAGTGTGCTTGCGATTGACTCTGCTGGTGAGATTGTCCTCCAAAGGGTTCATGTCGGGTGGGTACTGAGCAATCTTTTTGAAGGTAGAGAAAAGGTAGATGTCGAAGGGAATGCTGAACAGATGCAAAGCACCTGCAACGCTGCCAACCAGGAAGGCTGACTCAAGCACCTTACCATCCTTGTTGGGTGAGTGGAAGAAAGTGGACCAACGTCCTTCATCACCAGGGGCCATAGTCCAATTGTTTGCCGTGAAGAAGGCGATGAAGACATAGAAGGGTACCAGAGCGATATCGACAAAGAAAGAGAAGGCATTGTAACTAGCCGAAGAGGTCGCAGGGCGTCTTCTTGGCGAGCGCTGAAGGTTGTAGAGAGCGTAGGCACAGACTACAGCATCCACAGCAGGCNNTGTTGTTGGTGAGTTAGCGAGTACGAGAAAGTCAAGCTCAAGGACCATACTTACAGGAATTCTGAGTAGCCAACCCTGAACATCGTTCATGCCTCTGATGATAATGACGCAGATAAGGGCTCCCAAACCGGCTATAAGCTGAAGCAAGCGGAGAGAAAACTGGCACCACCGAGCCACGTTGACCCTCTGCTTTGTGTTTGGGTGCATAGGCGGGACATTGGGACGAGCAGAGGGCACGATGATGTAGCTATCAGGGTGTCTGTTGAAGTCGATCAGTGGACCCTCCTGTTTGGGTTTTGGTGTCGACGTTGAAGAGGCGATCGAGTAGTAGCTAGCACGAGTAACGGGCTTTGGGTCAAAGTCGTAGGACGGATCCCTGTCTTGCTGATTGACAGGCGAGAAGAGGTATGGCGGAGTAATGCCAACCATGGTGGAATGAGCGGAGGCCTGATGCCTGTAACAAATTCGAAACTGAAGTACCGAACAGAAACTGCACAAGGGAAAGAACGAGGAATGAAACGGCGCGATAGGACCATATATTCGTCTGTGTACTTGGTCGGCCAAACACCTGGTTGCTGCGGGGACCACTCGATAAGGGCGATTGTGGACGTCGGACCAACTTCCGGATCGTCGTGCCGCAGCATGACGTGCGGGGAGCCGCGAAAAGCAGCAGCACCAGCCTCAAGCAGGAAGCACAGAGTGGCTGGGCGACAGCCGCTCCTGCCACACAATCATGTCAAGAAGTTTGCTGCGACGACTGGACTGCACCAGGCAGTCGGTCTGGAAAGGCAGGTGCAATGGTGCCCGGCTATATTCGACAGCCGACAGCGAGCGGCCCTTCAGATGCGCCGTGATAGGTTCAGGCCCGGCAGGCTTCTACGCTGCCTATCGCATGCTGCAGAAGATGCCAAATGCTCGCGTCGACATGTACGAGGCCCTGCCCTCCCCCTACGGTCTGGTCCGCTTCGGTGTCGCTCCAGACCACCCGGAAGTAAAGGTACTCACCCCTTGAAGACTCATCTGCTCGTAATGCAAACTGACCATCCTTCTCAAGAATTGTATAGATAAGTTTGTCGAAGTCGCGTCCCATCCTTCATTTACCTTTGTTGGCAACACCGCTATTGGCTCCGCTCCCTCCTCTTTGCCTCTGTCCTCGATCGCTCCTCATTACAACGCCCTCCTCTTCTCCTACGGTGCCTCGCAAGATCGCAAGCTGGGAATTGCTGGAGAAGACCTGAAGGGCGTCGTATCCGCTCGTGCCTTTGTTGGCTGGTACAATGGTCTGCCAGAGTATGCAAATCTGAACCCTGCCCTTGACAGCAGTGATGAAGCTGTTGTCATTGGTCAGGGAAATGTTGCTTTGGATGTAGCGAGAGTTCTTCTATCGCCACTCGACAGGCTCAAGAACACAGACATGACCGAGGCTGCTTTGGATACTCTTTCTAAGAGCAGAGTGCGTAGAGTAAGAGTCGTCGGTAGAAGAGGGCCTCTGCAGGCCCCATACACCATCAAGGAAGTCCGCGAGCTGATGCAACTCCCTGGTGTTGCCTTCAACACTCCCGATCATTCCCTCTTCCCTACAGATACGAAAAAGCTACCCCGGCCTCTTATGCGTATAGCTCAAGTCATTGAGAAGGGCTCCCCTACCTCGATCGCCGAAGCCGCGCGGCAGTGGGAACTGCACTACATGCGCAGTCCAGTTGCTTTCGAAGAAGACTCTTCCAATGCCGGTTCTCTCGGTGGCGTCCGCTTCGACGAAATGGAGTTCACCCAAGACCCTTCTTCCGTCCCGCTGAGTGATCTAGACGCCCTACGGAGCATGCGTGTCAAGAAAAAGGAAGCCGGCAAACAAGAAGTTNTTTCTACAAATCTTGCTTTCCGCTCTGTTGGTTACCAGTCAGAACCTCTTGAAGGCTTTGAAGAGCTCGGCATACCCTTTGATCGCAAAATGGGCATCATCCCCAACGATCTGTACGGCAGAGTGCTGAGCCCTGATCGTGGCCCAGGTGCACTCGGTGCCGGACATGTTCCCGGCATGTATGCAGCTGGTTGGGTCAAGAGAGGCCCAACCGGCGTGATCGCCAGTACCATGCAAGACGCGTTCACCAGCGCCGACATTGTGGCAAAGGACTGGGCAGACGGCGTGACATTCATCGGCTCCAATCACGAACCAAAAGCAGGTTGGCATGAAGTCAAGAAAGAAGCCGAGAAGCGTGGTATTCGAAGCATAAACTGGGAAGACTGGCTAAAGATAGACAAAGAAGAACAGAGAAGAGGACAAGTCAAGGGTAAAGAGAGGGAAAAGTGTCACTCGGTCCAGGAGATGCTCAAAATCCTCGACGGGTAATCAGATTCATCAAGCACGCTTCTTCAATGCAATACACTCTCTTCTCACCAACATCGATACTGCTCGGATGTGCTGAATAGATTTTATGCGTAGACCCACGCTTGTGGAGTAACAGAACAGCCATGTGCCCCGGGAGTGCAGAGAGTCTCTGCAATACTCTTGAGTATACTCAAGTTGCCTACTATCAACTGAACAATTGTAAGTAGCGAGTCTAATGCTCACATAGATGTGCAAAAGGCGGTCACGGTGGATGGGAAGCTTGTAAAGATCAAAAGCATTCTTCGTTATTGTTTCGTACATCATTATTCTTCCCCATTCAATTTGCGCCAAGAGAAGACTACCCCCAAAAGCTAAGCAGGTACGTTCGCCTGCTCTTTCTCTCATCCTCGTACCATCGTCCAGTCAGCTTAGGTAAGAGCAAGAGGACATCCCAAGTTCTTGTAGGAAGGAGCAACCTTGCTAGCAATGAAGTTGAGTGCGTCAACCGAAGGAGTAATTAATCCATTGAGATAGCTAGGCACTTGACCAGTGGTAAGCTGGTACAGCAGACAAGCAGTGTCCGGGCCGTCGATACTAGACGAGATCTTGCCATCCTTGATGGCGCCAAAGTTGAGAGTGTCAAAGGAGCCATCCGCGGTGTTGCCGCCAAACAAGACGGGGTTCTCGAGGTACATGGCCAAGATCTCGGTGGTCACGTCGTTGTTGGTGTAGGGGCTTACGCGGTTGACCCAATTGTCGGGGATGCGCTCGCCGCCGTTGAACTTCCAGGTGCCGTCGTCTTGCTTTTCGGCGCCGAAGAAGGAGGAAATGGTCTCGAGATCGGGGGCGTAGTTGTGGTTTCCGTTAGGCATGAGCTCATAAAGGAAAGAGGCGGCTCCGTAGAGAAGAAGAGTCAAAGGGCCGAAGAAGAAGTTGGGGTTCTCTGCGACGGACTGGTCGTAGCGCTGCAGGCGGTACTTGGACAGGTTCTCGCGGTTGAAGTTGCCCTGACAGGTGTCTTGCATCATACCGAAGAGGGTGCCGTTGAAAGAGTAGTTGTCTCCGTCGGCAAGGAAGTAGTCGTTTCTGGTGAGAGAAGAGTCGGCTTCGAACTTGTTGTGGCCATCAAGACCGGGCTCGGAGCCTGTAAGAACTGGGCTGAACGAGGTTCTGGTTGTGGCATCGCATCCGATGGAAAGCTTCTCGGTTACGAGATCACCATCAGTGAGGGTGAGGCCCAAGGCTGCAAGAAGTGTAGCCAAGTCGTATCCAACATTGTAGAGGTTCTGCTGTGCATCTACAAGTTCGTTGAATGTAGTAATACCATCGTGAGAAAGGAACTGCAACAGTCAGCAAAAAGTCATGTATAAGATGTAAGGCAAACTCACGTTGTGGTTGGCAGCTGCGTTAAGACCAGGGCAAGGTCCACGAATGTCGTTGGGTCCAGGGGCAACATACTGGTGTGCGGTGTCGCCGGGAGCAGGTACTTGGTATCCACCAATACCTTTTCCAGGTGCACCATTTTGGGCACCGTTGTATGGGTACTTTGCGTTGTAAGGTGCAGCACCTTGGTGGTTGGCATTGAAAGGGCAGGTAGCAGCGCCGCCAGCCTGGTTGCCACCAGCCTGCTGACGTCTGATCTTACGTCCAGCTCCAAGAAGNGAGCTGTCAACACCAGGCTGGTCAACAACCCAAGGGAAGGCTGAAGCCGAAGCAACAAAGAGAGAGGCAAAAGCGATGTTCTTCATGATGATGATCGTGATAGTCGGTAGTTGACTTGATGAAAAGAAGGATTCATGTTGCGACTTCAATGCTGTTTATATATCTGGTCGGCACTCCAACCAGAACCAACAGTTATTAGCCTGACCACAGGATGCTTTGCGGAGATAGTCCAAATCTTTGGTTGGCATTCACGGTCTGAGGCAGTCTCGTTGCTGATCATGGTGGAAAGAGGAGTGTTGCCTTGTTGATCCGCAGCACTGAGAGTGAGCATGCAGTCTTCTGGTATGCATACTCTTGCCACGGTCCAATCACAAGTCGCCCGGTTCAACTGTTCACCAGCCATGCAGCGCCATGCCTCGGTCTGTGGGGATAGGATCAAGGGGATCGACATATCAAGGAGAGTGATAAAGCTTAACGGTTTAAGCTCCTCGAACGGGACCCACGCCTCCTCCGCAATGTGGCGCTTTCATACCTTTGGCAACTTACCTCGGACCAATCTCTATTTTCTGATTTGTTGCTGTCAAGTCTGTCTTGACCTATAAGGAAATTGATGAACGGTGATTTACAGGGCGCACGACCCTCTTCCCCAACTTCCGAAGTCAACTGTCTCTGAAAACCGACCGCGGCTCACTACATCTCGCACGTAAGTACGTAAAATGTCAGCGTGACCGTTGTCGTTAATCATGACCCTCTCTGGACCTTGGCATCCATGTCTGTGATTCGCCTTGCGCCAATGTTCTTATGTCAGGTAGTGTCCTCGTACGGCTGGAGCTGAACGGGCTTGGGAGATACCTCTCCACGATACTTCAATTCTGCTGTTCAAGGTGCATTATGCCGTCTTTCTGTTTTCCCGAGGTTCGAGGTCAAGTGGCTGGTGTGCGAGTCTCCGAGTTGCCATCAAGGGAGACTTTTTCTAATGAACCAACAAGCTCGTCGATATTGTCCCAGTCTATGCACGTAGCAGGCAAATGAAACTCAGGTCCCCATGGCCAGGTTTCCTGTGTGACATCAATACCATGCCTCTCTGTCGCTTGACGCTCCATGATATCCCAGCTTGGGTCGTTCTGTGCGGATTGAGCAAGAGCTGCTTTGTAGTTGGCGAAGTCGTGATAGATGTAGACTTCACCCTGGTCTGTTGTTCGTGTCTCCATCACATTCTTCTCGACATCAGTGCGAATTCGGAACCATCTTGAGTCGACTGCTTCCGGCATTGCTACCAGACCGTAACCATTCGCATTGTCGGTAAACTCATAGATGCATCCACCCGAGAAAACTCTGGTCATCGGATCTGAATAGAGGGCCTTGCTTTCGAGAAGTTGCCGAGGATGTTCTGTGTTTGCGCCATACTCTGATAGGAACGCGGGTATGGCGAAGTTCTCATATCGGCTGATCNNTGTTACATGGTCAGTATCTGTCACAATCGTTTTGAGCCATGAAGACTAACGTACGAGGGAGTTCCAGCCTGATATCTGCATGTCTGATTTTCCCGCCCACCAATAATTCTTGGGCTATGTGCGATCAGTCTTAGAACCCGAACTATGTTTCTCACGTCAACTTACTGCCCAGAAGTCGATCACACTCTCTTTGTCGCCATAGTATAGATATTCTAGAAACCCTGGATTTTGATTGATGTCTGAAACACCCGCAGGAGAGTAGCCTACAGGTATTACTCGTGTACCCTTGCTTCTGTTGCTGCTCAGCAGATATCTCTTCAGATCCCGAACAACAGCTTTCAAGACAGGAGTCGCAGGAAGGTTGCTCCGACCATTGACCACCGAATCGCCCGCGGCAATCGCCAAAGTATTTCTGTAATGAGCCATGATCCACGCGGTCTTGAGAAACCCAGAAACATTAGCAGTGTTGTATGATTCGTAAGGCTTCAACCGATTGATGCTGCAGAACGGGGTAGAAACAGTCTGTTTATCGTAAGTTCAATTTTCACCATGGACAAGTAACACCATGCGAACCGCGACAACATAGATTCCTGCTTCCTCGAGTAGCTTCATTGCTTTATCATGCTGCTTGGTATTGTCGATAGAGTCTGCGTACTTTAGTAATGCTCGTCTTGCCGCTTGTCCTGTGACGGACATNATATACAGAGTGTTGATTCCAAGTTCTTTGAACAACAAGATATTCTGCTGAAGCTCGAGTATACGATCGTCCGAGATGGGATCGTTGATGACGCCTCGCTGCCATTTGTCTCTGGGTTGGTACACGACTCCTCGGACGAAGAACTAGTTCATGATCAGAAGATTCAACCAAGCTGCATGATTGAACTGAGCTTACTCTTTCGTCCCCCTCCAGAAGTAGCGGCCTCGGATGTTGACTGGTACAATGCTTGATTCAACGGTCATGTTTGGCTATGGCACCTATGGTTGGGTGTGCTTGGGTGGTGGGGAGTTGTTGCCTTCAAACGCAGGAGGTTCTGCCAAGCTGGTGTTGTCATCGTGCAGCACGCGAGTCACGACTACCTCCTGAGATGAACCAATTCATTTGACTTGATAAACAGACTAGAGTCATGGCAATGTGATCGCAAAGATCAAAACCAGACTCGCTCTTGTATACAAGCAACACGACATGGCTTATCACTGTCTACAGACTCGGTAGCACCATACCTTCTGGCGTCCGCTTCCACTGCTTGGTGATAGGATCTAGCAACTCTTCTGCTTCTTGCCATTCTTTCTCAATCAGGTCTGCTCTGCTCTTGTCTCTCGGGGTAATGCTGACTTCGAACTCTTCAGGCATTGCCATAATTCCTTGAGTCAATCTGTCAGGATCAGGTAAGATCGCCTTTCCCGTCGCAGGATCCACAACAGGCTTGATGTCAAACGCCCATAGCATCCTAGACATTCCGAGGAAGAGACTACGCTCCGCCACATGCATGCCTTGGCAGATTCTCCTGCCCGCCCCGAAGGTGAACGCGTCTCTCTTTGAAGCATCCGGCTGAGTTGCCGAATCCGCACAATTCAAAAAGTCGTCCTTGAATCTCTCTGGGTCAAAGCGTCGCGGTTCAGGTGAACGGTTGGGATCCATATGGATGGCCCATACATTGTTCATCACACCTGCACCTTTCGGGATCTTGTAGCCCATGTAGACATCGTCTCTGGTGACAGCATGGGGTACCGAACCGAGAATCGTTGTCGGCATCCATCGAAGACTCTCTTTCACGCAGCCTCGGATGTACTGCATGTTTGGCTCGTCTTCCATAGTGGGCAGACGATCTTTGCCGGCAACACAATCAATCTCTTCCTGTGCCTTCTTCTGGACCTCGGGAAAGAGTAGCATGGCTTGCACAAAAGCATAAAGAGTGTTTGAAGTTGTATCACTGCCGGCCTCGAGCAACGTTCCCGATATGTAGGCAGCCTGTTCGTCCGAGAAGCCCTCTTCTTGCTGGGCTTGTGCCATTTCGACACAGAAACAAGGCCGGATCGTACTGGTTTTCACCGCCTTCTTGGCAGTAAGCCAATGACCGACGTACAACTCCCGTTCATTCTTGAACGACTGCTTGGCCCTTGCCTGCAAGGGAAATACCCAGTCAGGAAGCTTTCGTAGGAGAGGGAACGAGTCGAGTAGTGCTGCAGTTCCAGTTTGATTGATCTGTACGAATTCGGAGAAGCCTTCGAACAGTTGCTTCATCTTTTCGTCCTCATATGTATGGGTCCGCCAGCCAAAAACCATGGTTGTTGTCAGAGCATTGGCATAGCGACGAATATTCTGCAGGCAACGATCTGGGGATACGAGCATTTCGTGAAGCATTTGTTTGTTCTCGAGAAGCTGGTAGGGGACGTACGTCTTGGCCACGTTGACATTGAGCAATGCATGGCACATTTTACGGAAATAGCGCCATGTAGGACCGTATTCCNNTTCAGTAGGTTAGCTTGAAGTTATTGTGCGGGCTGAACATATTACCATCATCAGAAAACGCAGACCTCCACTGCAGAGTTCCTGTCCTATATACATGTCCAGACGAGCAGAGTAAATGGCGCTGCGTTTATCAAGGAGATCTTTCACTGCTTGGTCGCTGGATAGGACTACGAGGACCCTGGAGCCGAGCATCAAGCTATAAATGGGACCATATTCGTCAGCCCACTTTTGAAATTGGAGATGTGCATCTCTCTTGGGCATCTAAAAGAGATTAGTATATTAGGGGAGGCAGTGAGTGTGAACAGGTGTACCTGATGAATATTCCCGATAACGGGTAACGTGGGTGGACCGGGAGGATAGTCCCGAGGACGGCGACCTATGGTCAGTACCTTCAGGACAAGGAGAATGACACCGAAGATAGCGAAAACGGTGGAGGTTGTCAAGGCCATGCTGGCTGATGTGTACTTAGGGTCGTGAGGAGAAAGCTAGATGGCCAATGTGCAGGGGAGGTGCATATTAATACTCGGCGGCAGCGTGATACAGCTTACCTATCTTGATCTTGCAGGCATGATGGGACGGAATCCATAGGCGATGCAGTGCATACATGTAATATAGTTAGTGGTGGTCTATGAATCCTTCCCACCGTGTTGGTATCTATCAGGGTAGGACGGAGTGGTGATCAGCATGGGTGCCACTGCGACGACTGACACGAGAGATTGACATTGTCATAGATTGAGTGCGGCAATGCAAGGCTCGCTACAGTATTTGATTGGTGGTGGATACAGAAGGAGTGAGGGCAGAGTAGGAGATCCGAGAGAAGCACTTTGGGCACGGACACGCGACCGCGACTGCCTCGGCCAGGCAGACACGTCTTCCCAGACACGCCGTTTCCTTCTCTCTGAACAATTTCTCTCGTTGCTCTCCATGCGCTTGAGCGACTGCGCAGGCGACCAATATGTGGTTTCTTGAGTGTGAGGGGGACTTGTTCGAGTAGGTTATCCCAGGCAGACAGAACAACACCGACACTGACTTCTACANNGACAAGCGCATTTGGCTTCGACCCGGCACAAAGCTGGTCCTCGGCCGTACATCCAAGCCAGAACCAGGCCAACGTACGTCCAACATGGTCGTCGAACACGCACTCTCGCTGATGTTCACACAGGCANTGCGATACATCGAGAACTCGTCCGTCTCTCGCAAACACTTGACCGTCGACGTAGCCAAGGTCAATCCCGGAGAGAGCAAACACCTCCACGCAAAGACACAGCTGCAAGTCACCGACAACTCAAAGGTCGGCTCCTGGATCAACAACGAACGCCTGGAGAAAGGTATTGCAAAAGATGTGGACAGAAACGATAACAAGATCAAATTGGGCAATTACGAGCACCACTTTCACATCAAATGGCAACCCATCGTCTTCTCCTTCCCCTCGCTTCCTCGCGTCTATCGCCAACTCGAAGATCCACTCACCGACCAACGCCGCATTCTCGAGCCCCTCGGCATCAAGTGTATCGTTGACTACATTGCTCAGTTTACCTCTCACCTCGTCGCAAAGAAGCGTAACACCCCGACTACCCTACAAGCTCTCGTCAACGCTCGCTACATCGTCACCGACGACTACTTGAATCTGTTCCACTCCTTAGCTCTAGACGCTCTCGAACAAGACTTCAACACGAACTGGCCGAGCGAAGAGCCCTACTCTCCCNCACCTGCCAACGAGCCAAATCCTCGCCCTGACAAATCGCCCGACTTTCTGCCCAATCCAGCCCGTTCCGAAATCTTCTCGCACTACACCTTCATATTCAGCGACCCTGGACAACATACCAATCTTATGCCCACCATCACTGGTGGTGGCGGAAAGGCTTTGTGCCATCCTATCGACATCGAAAATCCAGACCCACAAGACCTGTTGAGCTATGTTCGCGAGGTTGCTGGTAGAAAATCAGACAAAAACTTCAATCTTGGCCAACAACCAAAGACAAAAGGTGGTATTGTCTTGGTCCGTGTTGGTGGCTACAAACAAGACAGGCCATGGTTCTATGACCAGGTCGATTCTTCTTTGGGACAAAGCAGCATCGAGCAGAATGAACTGTTGGAGGTCATACTTGATGCAGATGCTTCCAAACTGAAGAGACCTGCCGAAACCGTTCAACCGGCAGAAGATACAAACATGCACAATGGAACACAGCGATCATCCGTTTACCAAATATCAGAATCTCCTTCAGTACGTCGACAATCTAGTAGGGTCGCTACAGAAGTTCCATCTGCAACCCCAGAAGATGGCGCTCCCGAGAGTTTCCAGCAGGAGGTGGCGACTACGGGCAAGCGTCGTGGGCGCAGACCCCTGACACAGACAAAGTTCAAAGGCTTTGACGAGATTGATATCAACTCTCTGCCAAAGTATCGCTCTCCATCTCCTTCACAACCGCCTTCGCACCAAGCCAGCCAAGCTCCTTCACCAGACTCCATGGATGAGGACGATCATCTTGAGAGTTCACATCCAGCACCGAGCCAACATACTCAGCGTTCCACAAGGAAGAGACCGCCGCCAGAAGATGAAGAAACGCACCACGACATGATGGCCGGTATGTTGCAGGGTGCTGCAAGGATGAAGAAACGTCGTATCGACGCAGGAATGGAAGCTTCAACGACTCCCACTGAAACAGCGGCTGAAGAAGCCACGCCAGCACCTACAGTCAAGAAGGCGAAGAAGCGCAAAGACAAGGAAGTTGATGTACGAGCCATACTGGCAGAACGCCAACAGGCCGAGGAGGAAAGGCGTCTCGAAGATGAAGAGAAACTCCGCAACCAACTTCAGGGCATGGAGGTTGCCGACGTGCAGAACTTAGCACAGATCGAAGTCATGGATATCACTCGTGAACATCCGCCACGGTCGAGGTATGATGCTGAGGCTGGACACGACGATCGTTGGGATGATCGATGGAACGGCCGCAAGAACTTCAAACGTTTCCGCAGACAAGGCACCGCAACCAATACACAAACCCGAGCTCGTGTCTTTGTCTCTTTGGAAGAAGTCGAGCCAAAGGCTTACGGTGCACAAGACGAATACTTCCTGGAGCCTCGTTCANAAAAGGCTCGCAAGAAGGCAGGACGATCACAGCAGACACAAGATAGTATGGATGTCGAAGTTACTGCGACGCCTTCCTCCATCACTGCCAATGGCACACAATCACAACGTCAAAAGAACAACACAAACAACAGTATCTCTCTCGTCTCGGACAGCGAGCAGGGCCAGTCATCAGAAGACGAGGACAACGCAGCGCGCTTCCGCCGCCGTATCGCAACTTCCCGCATCCAGGATGCCGAAGCCTCACGTCTTGAAGCTATACTGCCAGAGGAAATTGCAGGCACGGCTCGTGATCAAGACATTGCCGATGCAGCCAGGCAAGCCAAGAGCAGTGCGTCTGTACGAACACAACCAGGCAAAAGAACAGCCAAAGGTGTTGTCGATGAGATCTCGCAGCCCAGGAAGAGAGTGCAGCGAAAACCCAGTCCGGATGAGGTGTCGGATGACGAGGACGATGACGAAGAGAGTAGTACTCGCTTCAGACGTAGAAAAAGTGAGATCGAATACACACGATCAGCCGTGAGTGGAAGTCTTAGGTACCTGTAGCTTTCTATAACGACAGAGCGACGATATGCATAACCATTGCTTTTTCCCTAGAAGAAGCTGCAGTTGACTCGTCCGGCGTTTTTCGCATCTGTCCGTGTCCTTTGAAAGAGACAAGTAAAGACAAAGAAATGCCAACCAAAACCAAACATAACTCTTAATTACACCCCTAAACAAGCGTCAAACCGGTAAAACACGACGTCTGCTCATCTAAAATCCTCTCCTTCTTCCCACTTCCATCACCCTGAACCATCCACACTGCACCTCCCAGATCCGAAACATAGATGCAGCCAGACCCCACATCGACCTTGACCCCGATCGCCTCATTGAAGTTCTGAGCGAGGATCTGAGGCTTTTCGGCCAAAGTTCCTTCGTTCGTCAAGGCGGCTTTATAGAGGCAGTTTCCGAAGGGAACTTCACCTCTATCTGTCCAGTAGAGCGTGTTTGCTTCTGCGACGTATTGAAGATCGATGGGTTCAGGGAGGGTTTGAGCGAGAACAGAGATGTCGGTGCGGGTGAATGCAGCAGTGTTTTCAGGAATTTCGATAGGGGCACTGAAGATGCGACCGCGGTTGCCCTTCGCAGGACCTTTTTGCGTCCAGAAGAATTTGTTTAGGGAAGGTGCGATGGTGATGCCGATGCATTGGTCCATAATGTCGCCAGGAGGGGCATCGTGCTTGTGGGATGCTCTGTTTGCGTTGTCGATGAGGAGTTCTAGGTTGGTGCCATCGATGTTACTGCGCCAGATGCTGCAGCCCTCGCGATCGGCGATGTAGAGTTTCTTTGCGGCATGGTCGATGGAGAGTTGCTTTGGGGTGTAGATTTTGCCGGGAGGGATGATTGTTGTGGTGCCAGTGCCATCGAGGTTGACGCAGCATACACTGCCATCGTTTAGACTGGGCATACCCATATTTGTGTAGTAGAGTTTGCCGTCATGCTCCTCGACACCGTCTGGCATGTTGAGCCCCTCGCTGAGGACACGTTGGGTCTTGCCATCCGGTGACACTTCCAACAAACGTCCGGAAGAGAGAATTTGTGCTGGTGTTTTATTGGTCAGGGGTTGCCCTAGCCCTGTGTCGAGGACGATCAACTTCTTTTGTGGTGGAGAAGTAGCTGGAGCAGACTGTGGCGTAGATGGTTTCGGGGCGTAGAGACCTCCCTTGTCGCTTTTGAGACCGAGTTTTCCGTGGTCAAGATAGTTCTTTTGCAGAAAGTCGACAGTCAATGCTGAGTCCAGACCTCGCTCTTCGATATAATGTTTTTCGATCAGAGCCACCGTGTCAAGTCCAACACCTGCAGAGAGGAGACAGAGTCAGCTTATACACCTCTCACATGTCCTTTCCCCTTTCCCAACACGAAATCTCTCCAACCCTCAGAAAAAGAACTTACTATCCATAGATTTGCAAGGGCCAAACTTGCCGCCTAGCATCTCTATCCATGCCTTGTCGATCTGTTCAGGGGTCGAAACACCCTCAGCCATGACCATCAAACACTCGCGTTTGATGGCAGCCCATATACGGTTAAAGATGAAGCCCGTAGATTCCTTGACGGCGACGTAGGGGCTAAGTCCTGCTTCCTTTGTCCTCTCTGCCAGCCACTGCATCAAATCTGGGTATGTTAATCCATCGGTCATGATCTCGACAACAAGATTTGTAGGAGGCATCATGTAGTGCATATTGCAAATCCTTGTTTTGGTGCTTTGCTTCTCGATTTTGGCGAGCATGGCACTAGACTTGTAGGACGAGGAGTTGGAGGCTAGGATGCAGTCTTGGGGTGCCAGATTCTCGAGCTCGGCAAAGACATTGATCTTGAGGTCGAGGACTTCGGGCACGCATTCGATGACAATCCACGCATCTTGGACGGCTGCCTCTAGATTAAGTGTTGCGGAAGCGGTGCCGGGGGATCTGCCGGTGGTGACTCTGGTCGCAAAGGCGGTTACGTTCTCCTTGATGTATTGCAGAGCATCATCACACTGGGCTTGGTTCGTATCGCGGATGACGACATTGTAGCCNTGCAGAGCACCAGCAAGTAGCTGTTATTCGTGTGAGTACTTGACACCTTGTTCGGAAGGGAGTTGGGTTTGTAGCTTACCAATGCGCCTTCCCAGGACTCCACCACCGAGCACGACGACATTCCTTGACTGATGATCGGCAGGGGCACTCCATTGAGGAGTTTCGATGATTGCAGGCATATTTGATCGCTCGAAATGCAATTGAGACTCTTTGGATATGTGCTGATACAATTGTCAGATGCCCGGCTGCTCAGGCAAAGAGCAGTTCTTATACAGCAAGACTCCGACAGCGGCCAGCTATCCTACCAATCCAATGGGATAGATAGTAGTCATTTCGGATGAGTATCTCCTACAGAGAGCGGGAAGCACGGTACTCTAGTCAAGAGCGTCGTATATGCTCGGCCCGGTGTAAGAGTCGTCGTTCAGAGCAAGACATGCTGCCTATACGACCCGCGTGATATGGGTCTAACAGTCCATTCGTGCTCAGATATATTGACTTCTCCGGTAGCTGGGCTCTTCATGTGGAGGATATCTGAACCAGCCTGGGGCAGCAATCAAATGCTCGGACACTCCAAAGACCGGTGCTGAAGCTCTTCTCAATATGGACCTCGCTTAGCTATACCAATCGCCAGGCCCAGAGTCGATGTCGGGAGTCACGCAGACGAGTGTGCACATAGTCGTAATCCAGGGCACGCAACAGCTTATCGCTCGGTGAAGACATCTTGATCCCATGTCGGACGACTATGCGCTGTGCAAAGGGTCGACCAGTAGCGTGGGACATGGGAGCATCATCACACAAGAAATTTGAACAAAAAGTGAGTCAAGAATGTGGGAGAATTTTTTCTTCATTTCAAAAAGATGTATAAAGAGCGATATGTACTCCTTCTTGGACACCGAGACTCACAGCCCTAAGTTAATAAGACCATTACGAGGATCAGCTTCCTAAATCCAGAGAATTTTTCTACAAAATCACGCCCCTCTACCCGAAGGCAGAGGGACTGGCAACACAACGCCGTAGAGGAAATGTTAGTGAGATGGTATTGCCTTGCAAGCAAGGGTTCCAGAGCTCGACATAGGCGCCGGTCGTGGCATGATTTTGATGTTTTGATCGCGGTGTAGAAGAGGGTGCGGGTAGAAGGGGATTTTATAGCTGCGAAAAGCTTTGTTGATTATGTCAGCAAGAGTCTGTCGGATTCACTGGTGCTATGGAGACTCGGGTGAGCCTTGGGTAGTGAGGCCGCAGGGTGGGCATCCATGATGTTATCAGTCATAAATGCACCACTGCTTCCGAGCTAGGAGTCTGGCCATCGACATGCCGTGAGATACTAATCTCTTAGTGAATACTGCTGTCTTCTGGGGAGTATCGTGTACTTTGATAGGCAGTATGATAGTTTTGAGCGCATGGGGCGGACGATGCTTGCCAGGGAGGCTCCCTTAATCACGAGGGCTTCGTGCGACCAGAAGGCCCAGACGGCGATAAGAGCCAGAGACGGGGTAGAGTTCAGGGTCTGTTTTATCGGGGGCCGCCGATGGGACCTTCGTTGTTCGCCGCATTCGAGACTCTCAGTCGTGTCGGTTGTGTTTAACACTTGGACGTCGTCTGTTGCCCTCATGGCAGTTTGCTCTGACCTGTTCCTCGAGAGAAGACTATCGTCGTAGTCGATGAGTTTGGGTGAAGATGAACGGCTTTGGCAGCATGGACGCTACACAATACGATGGTTACATTGAGCATATGAGGCAGCTGGAATATCCCATGCTCAAAGGTGTGTGACGGTCATGTCTTGCGATGTGGTTGCGACTGACAAAATGGAAGNGTGCGACATATCTCGATCATGCAGGAACGACCCTCTACAGCAAATCCCTACTCGAGGCTTTCACATGCGACATGATGAGTAACCTTTACGGCAATCCACACTCTGCCTCGCAGGCCTCGCAACGAAGCACCCACCAGGTACAAGACATCCGACTGCAACTCCTTCGTCTCTTCCACGCGAATCCTGACGATTTCGATCTGGTCTTTGTCGCCAATGCCACGGCAGGCATCAAACTGGTCGCCGATGCTCTCCGCGAACACGAGTCGGGTTTCTGGTACGGCTATCACAGGGATGCGCATACCAGTCTGGTTGGTGTGCGTGAGCTGGCACAAAGGCATCACTGCTTTGCTGAAGACAAAGAGGTGGAAGACTGGATTGAACAAGGCGGACAAAATACACAAAATCGCCTTGGACTTTTCGCCTACCCGGCGCAGTCCAACATGAATGGCCGTCGTCTGCCACTTGATTGGTGTGGCCGAATGCGAAGTCAGGGTATGCTGACACTGTTGGATGCTGCTGCACTCGTCTCAACTTCCCCTTTGTCCCTGGCCAATCTCGACACAGCCCCTGACTTTACAGTCCTCAGCTTGTACAAGATGTTTGGTTTTCCAGATCTCGGTGCTTTGATCGTTCGCAAAGATGCGGCGTGGGCTTTACAGAAGAGAAGGTATTTCAGTGGCGGCACTGTCGATATGGTTGTGTCGTTGAAGGAGCAGTGGCATGCCGTCAAGTCTGCTCATCTGCATGAACAATTCGAGGATGGCACTCTGCCCATTCACAGTATCATCGCCTTGAAATCTGCTCNNCTGACAGTCCATCACGACTTATTTGGCACGTTGGAACGAATCTCTGAGCACACATCCTTCCTTGCCGAACGCCTCTATTCTTCCCTGAAGTCACTACGCCATGGCAACGATGAACCAGTATGTCAGATGTATAAGGATCCGACTTCAGTTTACGGTGATAAGAATACCCAAGGTCCTGTCGTCGCCTTCAATCTTCGCGAGGCTGAGGGCCGCATGGTCAGCAATCTGGAAGTGGAAAAGCTCGCTCATGTCCGCAACATCAACATCCGCACTGGTGGCCTCTGCAATCCTGGAGGTATACAATCCGCACTGAATCTCTCACCGTGGCAAATGAAGAAGAATTTCTCCTCTGGCCAACGCTGCGGATCCGACAATGACGACGTTATTAATGGCCAACCTACTGGCATGATACGAGCTAGCCTGGGAGCCATGTCCACTACGGAAGATGTCGATACATTCGTCTCATTCATAACTGAGTTCTTCTTGGACACTTCAAATACGCCATTCGAACGGACTGATTCTCCAGTATTGTCGCTAGAAGTCCCTCTGTCAGGGCAGTTGCATATCGAGAGCCTGACGGTGTATCCAATAAAGAGCTGTGCTGGTTGGCAAGTTCCTGCCAACACTTCATGGGAGGTACAACCACAAGGACTGGCATGGGATCGAGAATGGTGCATCATCCACAATGGAACCTCGGTCGCACTGTCTCAAAAGAAGTACCCGCGCATGGCTCTCCTTCGCCCCAATCTCGATTTCTCAGCAGGAGTCTTGCGCATCACTTGTGCGGTCCCCATCAAAGACGCCACTCACACAGAAATCAGCATTCCACTCTCTGCGGACCCACGCTGCTTCACACCTCTAAGCAAAACCTCCACACCCACAAACGTCTGCGGCGACACTGTAGCCGCAAGGGTGTACGCTTCTCCTATCATCTCATCATTTCTATCTTCTGTGCTGGGCGTCCCCTGCACACTCGCCCGCTTCCCAGCAACCTCTACCTCACGACACGCAAAACAGCATCTTGCTCCCAAAACCAGCAGCAGCAATGGCACACAAACACCACTGGCATTCTCGAACGAAAGCCCTGTGCTGTGTATCTCGCGCATGTCGGTAAACGCACTCAACAGAGCTATAAAAGCAAAAGGAGGGCCCGCGGTCCCGGCATCTACTTTCCGTGCCAATATCGTGGTTTCGCAACCTTTGCACCTGCAGCCAGGTACAGAAACGCCGTATGTGGAAGATACTTGGACCTCTCTATCTGTTGCAAGTAAGCAAAATCGACAACATGGCGAGCAAGGAGCTCAAGCGGCGGATTTCAAGGTCTTGGGCAAGTGTAGGAGATGCCATATGTTATGTGTAGATCAGCAGACTGCCGAGACCAAGCAAGAGCCTTTTGTCACCTTGGCAAAGACCAGACGAGAAGATGGAAAAGTCTGGTTTGGCGTGCATCTTGCGCTGAACAAAGGAGAGAAANAAGGATGGGTTAGGATTGGTGATGAAGTTGTAGCCTCGTAAATAGTCCTCATGCAGAAATACAATATACGACAGAGGGTCAATCAACAGAAAGAAGGAATGCATAATCATTGAATGGTGTGTGGTATCATACTAACAGAAAAGAAACAACTCCATCGTGGGTAGATGCATGTCTGAACCCAATCCTGATTGTAAACAATGTTAAGGGAAAGAAAAAGGAAAAGGAAAGTCATCGCGTCGGACCTCGTCAGTAAAAGGTTGCCACGGTCAACATTGCCAATTGTCCTTCGCAGAACGGTCTGCGAAAAAGACATCGTGAAAATCGTGTAGACGTAAAGGGCGACGATCATATACTTGATTGTCTTAGAAATTATCTAGACTCGAGGGTTGTAGGTCATTAGGTCACGTAGGGCTGTGCGCATTTGTCTTGTAGAACGTCGTGAACGGAGAGAGGCCCTCAAAGAGCGTCGTGAGTCGGACCGTTGCAAAGGCGGTCTTTGGAGAATCCATATGCTCACTGACTGTGCTCTGAGGGAAGTGGTCGAAGAGCGATCGCTTGCTGTTGCGGAACGTCGTCGGAGGGCATCCCAAGGTCGACGGAGACGTCTCAGAGAGCGTCCCCGCTAAGAAGCTCCCGAAGGAGCGTTGCTCCCTCCACTACCACCACCAAAGGCATCTCTCATGCGGGCCCACGCAGCAGTAGCGGCCCCTGAAGCGGATCCCGAAGCGGCTCCAGCGTTGTTGGTGGTACGCGCATGATCGGGGCTCTCGGCGACATTGATAGGATTATCTCTGGTGCCTTCACCTTGACCCCATGTCCTGTTGTTCCTCGCGGCCTGACCAGGCTCTCTCGATCTTGTTGCATTATCGGGACCGTCTCTAGGCATGATGCCTTGCCTGCAATGAGGGCATGTATCGTGTTCACCCAACCAGGCTTTGATACAGTCGGGGTGGAACCAGTGATCGCAAGGCAGGTAAGTGACTTGACTACCGATGAGAGCTTCATCCATGCAGATGGAACAGTCGGCCTTTCCGGTTGTTTCGTCCAGATCCTCCTTGGTGATGGCCTTTTGGGGTAAAGAGGCAATGGCTTCGGACGAGGCAGGGCCGGGCGCGTTGGACTGATTCTGCTCCATGAGCTGAGATATTATCCGATCCAGAGCTTCTTGACTGTAGACGGCATCGCCGTGCTGCATGTTGACAGGGTTGAAGAGGGTGTTCAGAATGTTACCAAAGCCAAGAGGCTCGAAGTTGGGATCGGGACCGGCGCCTCTTGGAGGAGCGTGAAACATGTGATTTAGAATGCCTGGTAGATTGTCGATGGTCTGGGCGCGGGCTTGCGGACTGTTGGCATCGCGAGGAGCGAGACGGGTAGTAGCCGTGTACTGAAAGTTGGGACCGCCGCCGGTGAAGACACGCACATTGGGATCGGCGTCAGGGGACTGTGTTGCAGCATCGCGGGCGCCGGCATGTGGTTGGCGTGCGGCTCCACCGATGATTTGGTTTAGCATGCTGAGGATGGCATCGGATGCTGGGCCGTTTGGCTGAGGACCAGGCGAGACAGGGCCGCGAGGGTTGTTCCCNGAAGAGAAGGTATGGCTGAAGCTCATGGAGATGCCGCCTTGAGGGTTGGTGCGGTATTGGAAGTTGGGGGTGGGGATGTCGCTCTCTTCGGGGTCGGGGGCGTCGTGCGGAATGTTTGCCCAGGGATTGTGGTCGTGAAAAGGATGCGGCGGGGCTTGTTCGTCGGATTGGGCCTGTCTCGGGTCATGCTGTGCCTCGATCTGATGGTTGTGTCAGCCGGAGGAACGAGTGTCGAGTGAGGCGCGGCTTACGATCTCTGTAAAGTCGGAATGGCAGTCTGGACATGTGAGGCCGCCCTCGTCCCGGAACCACTCGTTCTCGCACTCGTGGCAGAATACCAAGTCCCGCTGGCGGTCCATGATGGCCGGCTGGTGTTAGGATACGAGAGGGTAACGCGCGAAGGTAAAGATTGTCGATGGTCAAGACGAAGATTGATTCGGAACTATGCGTTGCTCTGCATATGCAATGTCGTGTGGTGCAGTGTTTGTTGATCCGTCACTTTTTTTCCAACTAGATCCAATGGCCGTTCTTAGGTGCGAGTGTTGACTGAGAACAGAACGTGTGCCCTCCAACAACGAGGCAACTGCTCTTGCAACAGGACTGTGTCTTCGCTTTGTGCTGTTCCGAACATGACGCATTGTTTAGTCGCCAACGCCACACCCATGTGGCGAGTACATGTGGCTGCCCATAATTTTCCTCACGCTTCCGTCGCGAACCAACCACGTGAACTTTTCGTCAATCGATCCAAGTCTATCTCCACGTAGAAAAGTCAATGGAATTGTGGTACACACCTGCAACTTAAGACTGTAGCTGTCTATGTGGAACCCAAGCTTGTTACTAGCCACCTGAAGGAGGCTGAGCTCACCAACTTCCCGGTTTTCAACCAAACATGCAAAAGCAACTTAGAATTGATATTTTTTCCCTTTGCACTTTCCTAAGTCTCCCTCTCCTCTCCGTGAAGCAGCCGTACCTTCTCCCACACGATGAAGTGGAGGTCAATGTTCAATCGCGACCGCGATGGCGCCACGCGCATGATTGACGAAGCCAGCGCTCTGTTACCAACCCACGGCGACCAGATCCCCAGCGCCGTCCCGGCCAAGGAGGTCACCAAAATCGCCTTGCGTCTCAAACATCAGATCGAGCAAGTCATTCCATGTGAGCTCGAGGAAGATAGAGTCACTGCCGCTCATTCCAATGTCATCACTCCAGCCGTCGTCGAAACTGCCCGCTCTGCTGGCAAGCATGGACGATCCGGTTCTTCCGACAACGACTACTCTGCTTGTGTTGTCTTTTGCTTGCTGATTTGCAAGAAGTGGTTCAAGCGCCAGGCTTTGCTAGAGCTCTGGGATGCCGACATGCATGAAGTTCGTGCCGTCGCCTGTGAGGTAGTTGCTAAGGCCATTATCGAATCTGAGGAAGACGCCGGCTTCTTGCTGCAAAGCATTCTCCTCAAGAGATACAGTATCATTATCGATGGAGAAGAAACCGCGCCCAACAATGTCATCGAGAAGGCTGTCGACATGCATGCTCTTAGAGTCATTGGAAGCTCGGGCTACCAGAAGTGTATCACCTACCTTTGGCGTGGCTGGCTGGTTCAAGATGAAGACGATCCTACTCGCTTTGTCGATTACAAGTTGAAGACTTCAACAAGCTACTGGGACCACCTCGATCCTGATCGTATGCGTGCTCCTCTCTACCAGAACGCACTCCAAGTCTTCATCAGTCTGCTCTACCTGGGTTTCTACACTGGCGCCATCAACACTATCAACCCTACTGGTGATCTCGATGCTATCGAAGGACTGCTCTACATCTTTACCCTCGGTTTTGTCTGCGATGAACTTGCCAAGTTTTGGAAAGTCGGAAAGTACTACTTTGGATTCTGGAACACTTTCAACAATACTCTTTACGCCTTGTTGACCGTCTCATTCGTCACAAGAATGATAGCCCTTGGTCATCACATCGGCACAGACGACAGACACAAGTTCAACGAGCTTAGCTACAACTTCCTGGCCTTCTCCGCACCCATGTTCTGGTGCCGTCTGTTGCTTTACTTTGACACCTTCCGCTTCTTCGGCACCATGCTTGTCGTGCTCAAGGTCATGATGAAGGAATCTCTCATCTTCTTCGCCCTTTTGTTCTTCGTTAGTATCGGTTTTCTGCAAGCATTCATCGGTCTGGATCAAGAAGACGGCAAACTGGATGCCACTAACTTTGTCGTCCAAGCCATGATCAACGCCGTCATGGGCAGTCCCGAGTTCGATGGCTTTGACAACTTTGCCCCTCCTTTCGGCTTGATACTCTACTACATCTTCACCTTCATTGTTATTGTCTTATTGTTGAACATCCTGGTTGCTCTGTACAATAGCGCCTATGAAGATATCACCGAACACTCTATCGACGAGTACATGGCTCTTTTCGCACAAAAGACTTGCCAGTTCGTTCGCGCTCCTGATGAGAATGTCTTCATTGCGCCATTCAATTTAATCGAGCTCGTCTTGCTCGTGCTGCCGTTCGAATGGTGGATGGACAAGGATACCTACGAGCGTCTCAACGACTACGTGATGGCTACCATTTACAGCCCTCTGCTAATCATCACCGCCGCCCTTGAGACAAGAATGGCCTATAAAGTCCGCTTCAACCGCAACAGAGGAGAGGTAGACGAAGACACCATCGAAGAGTGGGAGCAAATGGACGGTGAATTCGACTTTGAAGGCGACGGCTGGGCCAAGAAGTGTGAAGAAACGAAACCCAATGTCGAGGTCGATGGAACCCTTGTTGAAGTCAAGGAGTTGAGAAAGGAGATTGAAGAGTTGAAGGAAATGTTGAGAAGTCTCAAGGGTTGAACAAGATCGTGCCAGATTACGTTAGGGACATTCAGACTTGTTTCTCGTGCCTGTGTGTTTCGTCTGTTTTGATGAGATCTAGGTATCGTTTTACTTTTGACCGAAAACCTATGATAATCTCAAGAGTACAATGTGTGATTTTTGCATGCAATACTGATGACCCAAGTCTACATCTGTAAACAGTTGGGTCGTAGCCTCTGTACATCTCTAGCCGGATCCAAATACTACATGGTGTTTGCAAATCTATCACGGAAATGGCAATCCACATCAAAAGTACACAAGAAACATTGTCGCACTGCAATCTGCAACCAGCTCTTGCAGTGTCCCTCAGCAGGTTCGAATGCACCACAAAGCCATTGTGTACCTAGGCAGAACATCCACATGACGACATGTACATTTGGAAATATGCTCTATAAGTAATATGGTCATGGACGCGAGGCGGTAGCTCGATGTCCCATACACTCGGCGCGTGGTGGATCGGGATGAAGAGCACGAACTCGGGTCAAAACACAGTTGGCAATGTGATCCAACTCCGAGACCTCGAGTGCTTGATCCAGATATACTGACGGAACGTTTCCTAAACCGAAGATCTCCAGCCCAGTGCTGACACGATCAAGCGAATGCGAGGAGCAAGTATAAAGATTACAGTCGTGCATAGAAAAGCTAGAGTACTGCTGCTGCCCCTTAGTCATTCTTTCCATCATATCATAGTCACAGTTCTTCTGCATCATCAGTCGTCCTTGGTTTCGGAAGTTTAGAAACCTCCAGCACCCCTGACCCTCTGCACAGCACCAACGATGCCCTTTGCCCAACTCAGCTTTCCTGCATCCACACCAATGGCTCCGGGTGCTTGTTTGCCTTGCGCATCGCGCCAGATGCCATCAACATTGCTTGCTTTGCCTAGCCTGCCCGTGTTCTGGTTTCTCTCGACGCCCTCGCGCCACTTGCCAACAATCTCGGCACTGTCGATCATGATGTTGACTTCCTGGCTGTGGTACCAGGATTGAGTGTCTTGGTTTCCATTACCCATGATTCCGAGATGCTCGTCCACAATCATGAGTTTGACGTGGCAGGAACGCTGTTTGAAGCTGTCGTGGATAGGAGCGACCTGGTCTTTGGCGGTGTAATAGTGTATGTGTAGGAGATTGCGTGCTACGTCTTCGTCTTTGGCGAGGGATGTGTAGAGCTTGTTTGCTACGCCCTCGTTGTGGCCTCCTTGGAAGGGAAGAAGCTCGCCTGCGTCGTTGTAGCCCAGGCATACATAGTATGTGACTTCGATTCCACGACGTACAGCGGCCAGAAGTTCGGGTATCAAGGGTGCTGCATTGAGGTCGGGCGTTTGGATGAACACAGAACGAGCGGCGTTGCGTACAGCAGACAACCAGGCCTCATTTTGTGGCATAAACACACCATTGTGGTTGGTCGCGCCGTATGGCTTGCGATTCACCAATGCCATTGGCACAAGGTTATGTACCTTGTGTGGGATATAAGGTGTCATCTCCTCGCCTAGAGCATACTCGCCTTCAATGGTTGTCTTGACGTCCAGATGTCGGCCACGATTGAGATGGCGGGCTGCGACTTGAGGACCAGTCTCACCATGTCTAGGTGACATGACGGATTGCATACGAGTAACCTCAGCTGCGATATCTACGTCGTAGTGTGGATCGCCCGGAGCATGCAGGGGTAGTTCTGTGCGCTTGCCAGCCTCTGCAACTTCGTCCAGCGAACGACTGCTGCCCCGTTCGGGAACGTTCAGGTTGCCATTCTGATCGAACAAACTGTGAAAGGATGGTTGGTCGAAGGTTGGTAAGCCGCCTTGAGCAGCGGGTGTGTTACGCGATGGTAGAGGTGGCTCGAGCGGGTTGTGCCAGGAGATCAAGAAAGTGTCGTAAAGAGAATCAACAATAGGACCTTCGACGTGACACATNCTAGCAGAGGTTAATCACACCATCTCTCAATATCAACTTCTCGCCAAACTCACCATTTCCATGTTGGAATTGTCTTGGATGTTGTTCGAGCTGACGATACCGATTTTTCTATCCACCACCATGAACTTTGAGTGGAAAGTGCCCAGCATTGGTCTGTGGTAGTTCAAGACTTGCAGGTCGAGGTTGGGTGCTTCTTTGGTAGATGGAAGGCGAATGTTTTTGCCAGTGTACTCGTCCTCCAATACCGTTTGGTGATTATCGATAACCTGCNNATTGTCTTAGAATCTTCCATGGTTGGTTTTGCCGAGGCTGTTGCTTACCTGCTTGACATTTCCTCTATCGTACATGATTTTTACGGCTGCCCGTTCGCCCCTCTCGCCAGCACGTTTCGAGAGCTCTTTGAGGCCATCGGTAATGAGTCGTGAAGCATCAGAGTCCATCCAGTAATTTGTTGCAAGCAAGACTTCCTTTTCTGCTCTTGCAATTAAATTGGACNNTGTGAGCTTGATCAGTATGGTACAGTTTGGAAGTGGGATAACGGCGCTGCACACCATGTGTCTGCAGACATCAGGCAATCCCGATACTATGGTTAAAGGACATGTTCCTGAAGAGCCAATCAACGATGGACTGCAGCAACCCATAAGAGGATCATGTTCAAGCGGCATCAAGCTGTCGTGGAACACGCGTAAGAACAGCTCGCTGGGTGGTGTGGTGAACTTTCCACATTGCAATGCGCGTTCGAGCTCTTCGCCAGTCGCGGGCTTTCTCACTGAGGGTACATGTCCTTCGCTGATTGAGATGTTGTCAGGATGATAGAGCTTCTTCGCAGCTTCTCCAGGTGACAGTGAGGGGTCCTCGGCTAGCGCCTGTGAGACACTGTGAGGATTGCGACAAAGACCTTCGACTTTTTCGGACAGAGACATCTTCTTTCGTGGGGAACGCTGGTGATGGTGTAAGTGCAGAGAATGTGGCATTGAGAGAGGTAGCTCCAAGCATGGCAGAGGGCACTACCCTCGTGTGGCTGTCATGTTCTATAAGAGCTTAACTTCAAGCCACAAACGCATCCTCCAGGGCTACGACCGTAATACCCTGCTGACGCGGCCTCGCTCCTGCGTGGATTTGACATGGAAGTGGCAGCCGCGCTCAAAGCCCTTCTGTCCTAAAATGGCTGGGCCATCGGTTCGGACGGGTGAATGACGACAGGAAATCAGGGATCGGCCTGGAAAGCATAAGACAAGCATTTGCCAATCGACTTGGCAAATGCTTGTACGCAAGGAAATATGGACCATCCAAGAACAGAACCCTGATTTCTCGCACTACAAAAGTTGGAAGAGAGCGCGTGTATAAAGGAGCCGCGCGTACTAGGGCTTGGTTTTACGCGAGGTTCGATTTGCAAGTACGAGAATAATGGTACAATATGCAAATTTTTGCTTGGAAACACTTGTGTTTATCGCTCATGTTATCGACAGCTGTGTTCTACTATACTGATCTCCTTATCGAGGATACTGGATCTCATGCGACTGTTGTCATGTCATTCCGCAGTCCATGGAACTGCTCTAGAGTTGTGAACCTGTTAGTTCATATACTAGCTTGCGACCCAAAGTTCGTCCGGCAAGTAAAGCTAGGCGCCAACCTTGCCAACTGAGGGGAATCTTTTCGCGCTGAGAAGCACGCCTTTTACACCTCTAATCTCTGCCTTTAGAGCCACAGCTGCGTCGGGCTCTTTGTCCTTTGAAGCATTGGATGAGCTGAGCGAGTTGTCTGCATTCCATGAATATGATGGTGAGGTGTAGTAGAGGCCGTCGAGGTAATGCCTTGTCTCGCTGATGCTTGCTTGTAAAGTCTCATTATTTGATCCGTTGCTTTCGGCGCCTTCCAGGAGCTCTGCTAAATGTGACTTCATGATGTTTAGACGAGTTGCTTGCTTCAGAGGCACCGTATCAGGCTTCACAATATCGGCATCAGATGAGAGACTTGTGCGGCGAGAGAGTGAAGGTGAAGTTTGGGTGCCAATGTCACGATGGAAGAGCTCGGTAGGGTCGGAGGTGACACTATCCATATCAAAGTCGGCGAAGTCGGCAGGGAAGATGGTAAGAGTTTTNGCTGAAGAAGGGATGGTTGACACTGTCTTGCTTAGTTTGTCGTTGAACTCTGTTAGACTATGGCTCGTGTGATCGAACAGGTCATGGCGAGCGTGATTTAAATTGTCGGCCATGGGAGCGATGATGTATTTGGACAAGGCGTAAGCAGAAGCAGTCAGAGCGCCAGCTATGTACGTAGCGTTTATGAGGCGGCTCACGGTAACAAGCGGTGGAGGTTTTTGAGGTTGAACGAGGAATTCTGGATATGTGATGATTGGNGGCACATCTCTACGAGGCCGGCTCGCGGCGGATGGAGCGGTGGATCTGAACTCGGCGGCAGAGAATGAGACGGCGTTGGAGGCGTCGAACTCTTGATCGGCGGCATCCTGCGAGCCATCTGTGGTCTTGACATAGCTTGGCGGCTGTGGTGTCCCTTTGCTCGCGTCAAACTCTTGCTGAGCAGCTTCAGTCGAGCCGTCGGTGGTGGGGTCTGTCTTGCTGGCTTCAAACTCTTGTTGTGCAGCGTCTGTGGATCCGTCTGTATCGGACTTGTCCTGGTTATCTCCTGAGCCCATGACCTGGTATATCATCTCTTCCGAAACGTCCTTGGATAGCAAGAAGGCCTTCTTCTTGTGGTATGGGGCATCCTTCACGACGGGGTCCTGGAGAAAGCGGCGCACGCGTTCGATGGCGGCGACACTCGCATCGTGCTCTTGGGTGGCAGATTGGATGGAGGCGTCGGTGGCATGCCGTTGCCAGGCTGGCACGTCTTTNTTGTCGGACATTGTTGCTGAGAAGAGAACATCAAGGGAAGATGCATGTGTAATGGCCATGACCCAATGAGCCGACGATGCCTCGGCACGTCGTTTTGTGGGGAAGTCAAAGTGGCTCATCTTCAGCCACAGCATCCGTCTGCCACATCTGTCGGCCATCGAGCAAAGCTTACGACAGAGTACGACCAATGATCCGTCTGTCTTCCGCTCCAAGCTCTGCGCATACGATTTGAAACGCACAACCATGTCTGCGCCGACCAACAAACGACAAAAGGGGCTCGACGGGAGCCCAGTGGGTCTGCCAAATGCAAACAGAAACACTCGAAATCCCCCAACCAGCCATCCCACGAATACCAACAGGTTGGTCACCCTTTCTTTGTGCGAACGAGCGGATACGAGCATGTTTCCTTCGGCCAAGAGCCTCTACGTTGGACCACAGGAAACGTGATGGTCGGACGCGGCAGACAACAAGACTCCACGAGCCACAATCCCTCGACGCCCAACCACCATCCATCATCCTATCAATACCCATCATATTGCTACATCAACATCCAAAATGCCTCCCACACGCTCCACGAGATCAACCAGAGCGGGAACGTCTCGACTGACAGCTTCTACCAGCACCTCGGCCAGCATAAACAGGCAAGCTTCAGACAACCATCACTTGCGCATCACCGTCAAGGCTCNNCCCCCCAGCAAATTGCGCCAGGCCATCTCAGGCGACGATCCTGAGTCCGACTATCCCGATGCCGACGACTCTCCTGAGCCTCCCGTGAGGACTGCTCGCTCTACCCGCAACCCACGTACCGTGCTCGATAACGAATCCGACGATGATCAAGAAGACGACGACGATGAAGACGATGACGACGACGCCGAAGGAGAGGATGATGATATTGAAAACACAGACATGATGGATGCAGAGGGCAGCGACGAAGACGCCGACGCTGATGCTGATGATATGGACATGGATTCTCCACACCCACCACCTCCCGTCATTCGCGTTCTCCCTTCAGCCTCCGCTACCAACCCAAAGCCGAAAGTCAATCTCGCCGTCTCAGCACCTCGACCCAAACCCAATCTCAAAAGTGTCGAAGCCAAGGAACTGGACGATGACGACGAAGACGACGACGATGAATTGTCTGATTTACAGTCTGGCGACGAGGATCTACCAGGTGCAGAAGATGATGAGGAAGAGCTCGATAGTGACCTCGAAGGCGAGGATGGTGATGCGACCTTGGATCTAACCAAATTGACTCGCCGCCAGCGGGCTGTCTACGACGAAGAGCAGGACGAGAGCCTCATGGCGCTTTCCAACGAGGCACAGAAGAAGAAACATCTTACTGCCGAAGAGCACGCCATGCGCAGAGCCGAGATGGCGAGACGAAGGAAGAACTTGTCTGAGNAAGCGCAACGAAGAAGAAAAGGTTCGTCTCCGTTGTACTGGCATTGCAATCTGTTAGCTAACACGGCTTTTCAGATGGACACTATCAACAAGCTACTCAAGAAACCTGCCACCAAGCGTCGAACTCGCGCCGAAATTATTGCTGCACAAAACGCTGCAGAGGGGACTCCGGCATATACCGAGGATGGCGAGGAATACTACCATCCTGCAAATCCTCTCTTTGTTCGTTATGTCAATAACAAGGACGGAACTCGTGTCGGTGTGCCGTCAGAATGGCTAGAAGAAGGGCAGCCCGCTGGACAAGTGTTGAAAAATGGTTGGAAAGCACCGTCCAAGCTGGTTGAAGAGGTATCTTGAGGATGACTATAGTTCCTCTTCCTACAGAGTCTTCGAACAATGGCCATAGCCAATAATAACGACATATGAGCATTCGAATATTTCCTTCGCCGCTCTGCCTCCTCTATCATACTCTGGCTGATCGGCGTGTCTTTCGCAAAGCAATCCTCACTAGAACAAAGAAATTCTGTGAATTGTCGGATTGTACGGCACGACAACTTCCACCTCAGAACGTAAACCACACTACAGGCTGAATTTGCAGCACGTTTCACGATCGACCAAAGACGCAACATCTGATCTGCAAGGAAGAGCACGGAAGAGCCGCTTCTGCCGTTGTGCTCGAGGCTCAACTTGGTTTTGACAGGGTGTTCCCCGGACTGGCCGATGATCCCCTCATCTCTCAGGCATGCATGACGTCTTTGAAATGCATCTGCCGTGGGGAAAATAGAATACCCATGAGCAACTCCGGACCATGTTGTTAAGTCCATTAGTGGTGACGTGACGCGGTCGTTGTGCCGTTACTGCATGATGCACGTAGGCAATGCCTTGTGAAGCTATATAACTTGACTGCCGTGCCTCTGAGTTCTGGATTCAAAATCCATTCGCCGGTATGAAGTTCCTAAGCTCCCTCTCGTTGCTGGCAGCAGGTGCCCTTGCCCAGCAAGTCACCTTCCAGAACTCATCTTCTACTATTCTTCGAGTCGATAACGGCACTTATGGTCCTGAGATTGAAGAGTACCATTACTACTACGACCAATGGCCGATAGGTGCGTACCACTTCCTGAGTTTTGGTCCTCCATTTCTGATATCGTCACGANTAGGCCTTGCCGTCTCCTCGACAGGACGATTCTTTGTCTCGTATACTCGAGGAGATTACGAGTACACTGTGGGAGAGGTGGTCAACAAGACTGCCGAGAAGCCATATCCGTCTCAGGCACTGCAGCTGCCGCTTGATAGTCTGAACACGACATGGAATGGCATCGCTTTCGGTAGCGGCAACAGCTCTGCTTTTGTCTCCGTCCAAGCTCTATACATAACACCCCAGACAGCCACACGACCAGAGACACTCTGGATCTTGGATACCGGAAGACCTACTGTCCACAACGCAGCTGGCGATCCGAGCATGCCCTACGCTCAGCCTGGAGGTCCCAAACTCATGGCTATTTCTCTTGCCAACGACACGATTTACAAAACCTACACCTTCCCTAGCACTGTCCATTACCCTGATTCCTACCTCAATGATCTTCGTTTTGATCTGAGAGCAAACGTCTCTGGTACCTCGGGAGAAGGAATTGCCTACCTCGTCGACAGCTCGAATGAAGGACGCAACGCATTCATCATGGTCGATCTCAAGACTGGCGAGTCGTGGCGCAGACTGAATCAAGACCACAGCGTACTGCGTGTCCCCAACGATGTCCCCACGTACTTCGGCAAGCCATTCTACTTCCGCCAACTCGGAATGCCAATCAGCTGGCAACAAGAAGGACTTGATGGCCTCCAGCTTTCTACAGACGGACAGACAGCCTACTATTCCCCATTGACCTCAAAGACTCTATACTCGATTCCCTCAGCCAATCTTCGCGAGAGAGACAGCAACCCTCTGGCTGAGATCTGGGCACACAGCAATGTATCCTCTCACGGCCAACGCGGCGGTGACGCCAATGGCTTTGAAGGCGACAGCAGTGGAAAGATCTACCAACTCATGCCTGAGCAGAATGCTGTGTACTACTTTGACCCCAGTGATGGCCAAACTCACGGCTTCCTTCGAGACCCGAGGATCTTGTGGCCTGATGGTGCTACTGTTGGTGCTGATGGCTACATCTATCTCAACATTAACCAGTTGCCATTCCAGCCTGATTGGAACTTTGGCGTTGATGGTAGAACGCATCCTGGCGCTGTGTTGAGGGCTAAGCTGCCTGATGGTGCGGTAAAGGTCAATACTCTTTATTGATCGATGCAGTGACAATATTAGCCGCGAAGGAATTGCCTTCTATAATCTAATAGTTCTTTCATGGTTGGACTCGTAATACACAATCTTATATTGTCTGTAAATAGAAGATCTTCTATTGCTTCTCCTTCCACTCATTGATAGCCTTCTCGGCAACCTTTGTACCTTCCATTCCAGCAGGCATACCGGCATAAACTGCCGCCTGCAATATGACCTCTCTAATCTCAACTTCCGAAGCTCCATTGTTCAATGCTCCTCTGGTGTGAACAGCCAACTCAGGGCTACGGTTCAAAGCACACAACATAGCAATGTTGAGCAAACTCCTGGTCTTGAGATCTAGACCTGGTCGTGTCCAGATGGTTCCCCAAGCTGCTTCTGTTGCTAGCTGTTTACTCTCTGATGAGCTTCGAGTGTGAGATTGGTGAGGATTAGACAGGAGCAATACCTCTTGCATGGGTTTTGCGAAATCCGAAGTCGCGTTTGCGAGGGCGCGGTCGACGTATTCTTTTCCGGCGACTTTGTTGCGCATTTCTAGACCGGCATTGTAGAGGGTCGAGTGGGCTTGTTTGACCTTGTCTGCGTTTTGTTCTGTGTATCTGGATGCCATGGTCTAGAAGAGGGATGTTCTGTGATGAGTAGGATGTGTAATTTCGAGGGATTGCTGCTTCTTGTAGTTGTGTCAAGTGGTATAGACTATCTGGTAGAGCCTGTGAAAGAGGTCGAATGTGTGGTACAGGGTCAACATGGAGGTAGAAGCGGGGTTCATGCCGAGGGAGACAAAACCGTGGAAGTGACTCGTCTCGGTTGCTCGCTTTCCATGCTCTAATCGCACTGACATCGGGTCTCTCATATTCCTGATCCAGAATTACACTGCCCTTCGCAAACAAGAGGTTGATTGAAGACAAGGTGTCCGTATCAAGCTCCCCAGGCTCTTGAAGGTTGTTAGATGGTCATCGGTTGCGAGAACCATATTCCCTATCTTAAGCGAGCTCTGGCAGGCACGTAATCGTGCAACACTGACGGTCCAGAAGAGAGATGCATCCCATGTCTCTAACCAAAAGTTGTTAGACCGAGCCTTCCTGCTGTTGGAGGAACGTCGAAGCTTGGCGCTGCAATTTGCTGCTCGTCGAAACCACATCTTTGGAGCAACTACATATTTGGGACAACTGCATGCAGACCACGAAGAGGCGCAGACGCTTATACTGTTAGGCAACTCATTGCACCATGAGACCCATAATCATACAAGAATGTTGGTTTCGTGAAAGACCCTCTGGCTGTTGAGCACACTAAACGTGATCCTGCGACGGCCGTTACTGTCTCAAATCTGCTTTCTTTCAGCTCGCATGCCTCTTTATATGAAGAGGTGCTCACTTGACCGAAGCAGATATCCAACGGCTCCAGTTGAGCTCAGCTGAACAATGTCTGAAAAGATTCGGTTCATCACTTGCATGTGTCGGTCAAGTCCGTTCATGCTCTATGCGGTATATGGTAATCTGTATAAGAGCAACCCAGCCACCATGTTATGTTCAATGCTTATCCGCCGTCGTTGTCGGAACTAAACCATGCCGTGCCTTTTCATCGTCTTCTTCTTCTCTTTCTTTCTCGTTGCCCGGTCTCTGGTTATAGAGCCAAAATCGTGTATCTCTCCTGATGTCATTGCGACTGCGCAACAGGTGTCGAGCCCTCACTACTTCTGTGCTTGGTATCTCAGCGAGTATGTGATCGAGTTTAATCCTATCTGAAGTATACCTCTAATCTCGAGATAGTGGCAGGACCAATTCCCCGATACCCAACATTAACGCAAATGCATTGTTGAATGCCTGCAGATGTATCGCTAGTGCAGAACCGGTAGGCACCAAGGTAAAGACTCTGGATGCGACAGCCAAGGCAGCACGCCTTCACAGCTATGTCAGCGCAACATGCCTAAGCACATCTGGCAATCCTATCAGTAAAGAGTTTAAAAAACTTCATCGTTTTGCACTTTCTTCAACTCTTAGTAAGTGAACATAGGACCAACCTGTTCACATTCTCTGTACTACGTCGGTTTTACCTCTCTACACCGATGCACCTTGCGGAAATCAACCTGCTGGATCGATGTATTCCAATCGCTTCTCTCTCGACCAACACAGCCTCTACTGCCACAGCTACGACGTTGTCGGTGTATTTCAGTATTCTAGAGATGACATGGATACTATGGAGGGTTGCATTAGTTTCTGTAACGACTTCAATGCCTGGTGTAAAGGCGTCAAGCAAAGCAACAAATCCTGTTGGCTCTACGATGATTTCACGTGTGGTCCGACAGGTAACTACAGCGTCGCGGTACGCACGATGTAGATCTGATAATGCTGAATACATCGTGGAGATCATCTCACCCTTCATTTCTGTATATACCTTTGCCATAACTATGATCTTTCCAAAAATAGCCTCTCCTGTGTATCTACGAAAAGTGTAATGGCAATTCAGCAGAGTTCAACAGCAGGTTGCAACCGATGATTGACAGCAGTGAACTTTCGGACGATATATCTGGATAAGGTTGAAGCCGACGTAGTGAATAGGGGACCTTCTGGAGAATATGTGGTCAATCCTGAGGTTCCCAAAGCTCGCCATCGCTACCACAAGCGATATAGACCGTTCGCATCCCGCAATTAACCTTTTCACGTTGGCGTATAGTGATGTTGTAAGCTACAGAAATGTAGAGCTGCTTTCTATAAGGGGAGCATGGTTACGACGCCGCCATACGATAACAAATTCTGCATGGACATTACTTCCTATTGAAGGATGTTGTGCATTTCCAAAGCTCATCTTACTAGGGGTATATGTTCCTTGGAAGCCCCAGGAAAAATGATATGAGATGAGGAACGGCCTTCAGGATATCTTATGAAGGCCTGCTGGCAGACGTCGCCACGCCTCTTCTTAATACCACGGATGCTTCCATTCATCTTTATGCAAGCCGTGAATCTTCCATACACAACGCTTGCAGAACAATCGCAGCCCTAATAACCATTGCATTCCTAAATGCATCATCATCATCATCATCATCACCAGAAGCAGAAAGAGCAATCCTCTTCCTAACTTCCAATTTCCCAAGCAACTCCATAAACCCCACGTCGCCCTCAGACCGCAGCATAAACAACCAAGAGATACAGCTATCAGGCTCAGAAGCCAAGACCTCAGCGCGCAACCTTTTAAGCCGTGTATCCTCGTCTATGTTGCTTGACTCGGTCTGTTGGCTTTGGTCGGCCACGTAACTGGCTAGTCTCTTCGCACACGTTATGCGAGCGGCGCGGTAGTCAGATACATCTTGCTTGTTGACGGCGGCAGCGACGGCTAGTAATTCGCGGACAAGTGTGATGTGGATGTTCGGTACAAGGTTCCAGGCTGTGAGTAGCCACATGCCCATCTCGCGATCGTAGAGTTGGGTCAAAGAAGCGGGATCCACTGCAGGATATAAAGTTGGCAGTGGGAGAGGTATGGCGGAGGATTTCTTCGCTGACACCGTATTGAAGATGACAGGGTAGGGCGAGTAAGGGGTATTTGGGATCCCGGATGCGATGCTATCGCAGACAATACTATCGGGAGTAGTGACACGGCAAGGAGATTCACGGACGTCCGGTCGAAGAGATGGATCCGACTGTGTTTGTTTTGTGTTGGGTGTTTGCGGTACCTGAGAATCTGCATATGCAGGAGGCGCCGGTCGACGATGATTGTATGCTGGCGGGGCCTTGACCTGTTCTTCCTCTAGCATAGGGGAGCATGCTTTTCGTTTCCGCGATGGTGGATCTTCAGGAGTGTGCCACCCTTGAGCCTCCCACAGATCAAAAGCGCCATCCCATCCACTCCCATACAAGTTTTTCAAGTCGAATTGTGGCGTGAAGAAGGCTATATTTTGCTTCAAGACTTGAGACAGGCGCTGAAACCCTACTTGAGCGTAGGAGCTAAACTTCAAATACAGATCAAACTGCCTTGCTTCTGACAAAGATTTGAGGCCATCGAGCAGCGCAAGAGGAGTACCGCGCATCTTGCCCGAGTAAGGCCGGGTATTCATGACAACACCGCATGTGCGTTTATGGCCGAGAGCAAATGATACGTGCAAGATACGAGTCGCGTTCGCTGAGACAGTGTCGGCAGGGCGCTCGAACAGGGATTCGGGAACAAGATCAAGAGAGATTGGGTGGAAGTCATGCATTTCACTAGATACGCGCAGGTCCTCTGCAGGCACGACTAGGAAGAAGCTGCGTGGACGTGCCTTTGATTTGGAGCGCGACTTGACAGACATTGTCAAGACGACAACAGTCTCGTTTTTGTCGTGATTGATGGCGAACCAGAGACGTAGCGAGCTATCGTTGCCATGAACAGGTGAAGGCCCTCCAAGATGGCGTGGTCTNTCCAAGCTCCTCCTTTCCCAACAAGCGCCGACCTGGTGGCCGCCCACGATCCACTCGTAACCTGATTGAGACGATAGCAGCACCTCGCTAGTGTCGGCGTCGAGCTTCGGGGCATCGTCGTTGCGAGACATGTCGTTGGATTCTAATCAGTCAGTAAAGCTTACCGTTTCCCTGCGTGCTTAAAGCAGCGCAGTTCCCACCCGCCCAGGCTTTCGCGTTGTTGGACGTTGCAGAGCAGCCTTGACTCGTCGACGGTGAGGGACCGTATTTAAGCCACACGGGTCGCAGACCTAGAAAGACTCATTCACACAGGGCTCAAGTCTACAGTCCGCGCTGCCAAAGGCTCAGTCACGCAACAGTGTTGGGATAGAGCCGGAGATAACGAAGATAGAAGAGCAAGTTCCCAGGGATAGAGTCGGACTAGAGGTGCTCCGGTTTGGCAGGTGCGAGGAATATTTCGACTTGTTACGATTGTTGATGTTGACGATGTGATTGAGGAAGGCAGCCATGATTGTTTTCGCGACTGGAGCGCGTTTCGATCACGTGAGCGTGCACCAGCCAATTTGTGCGTCCAGGGATTTGTGCATTTACACAAGTGCCACATAAAGTTCATAAAACAGAGCATCGATCACCAACAACCAGGAGCATCGTCCTGTCCACTCTCTGAGGACACATCTTGTGACTTTTTACAGCTACATGTGTGACTGATGTTCGCACAGAAAGGATTATCGAAAGGCTGTCGAGATTTCAATGTCCTCGGAACGAGTTTCTGTTGTTTGCTACATGTGCGCGATGCCACGCTGGGTATTATTAAAATAAATTGTGTTCGTAGGATCCTGGTTGATGCCCATGCTCCACCTCTCAAAACCAACCTCAACTGAATTGGTCGCCGTGGTCACCGTACTGCTGGGATCGGTTGACCTTCCTCATTCTTGTCTGCCTTCGGATCTCCTTTGCTTCCGCCTCGCGCTCTAGACGATGTTTCTCTTTTCTCTCCCAGACGGCTCGGATCGTGCGTCTGGTTTGTTCCTTCCCTTCTTCAAAGTTTGCTCGAGCCAACGACACGACTTTGTCGATTTCCTCGGACGTGTAGACAAAGTTCCATGTGCTCATGAAGTCGGATGTCTGTGGATCGACGCCTGGGACCTTGTCGTTCTTGAGGAAGGGGAAGTAGATAACGGCAATACCAGCGTCTGGCCTCATGAGCTCCCAATCCTCTTCAACCTGTTTCGACAGAGGCGGCTCTATGTCGTTCTCACGCTCCTCGATCGTGCCAACCCAAACAGTGCAGTATCCCAGTTCGCTAGGTTTGGCAGGGATTTTGTCACCTTCCATGGCAGGGCTGGAAGCTTCTGCATGTTGTGCGCGCTCAATTCTGTCAGTTGCTTCTTTCTCGGTAGTAGCCTGTGCTTGTTCGAGTTCCTTCAAAGTCTGCTCCTCGCTAATTTCCTCGCCAGGCCATCCAGCACCAATAGGCCACCCTTTAATTCCGCGTTGCTTGACATAACCATCGGTTACCTTGATCCAGTTGTCTTTCCTGACATCTGCAGAAGCATCGAATGCGATCAAAACGTCGATGTCTCTTCCTGGACGTAGAAGCGGGTAAATAGGGAGGTTATTGCTCATTCCAGCATCCATGAGTTGCAACGTTGTCACGTTGTGAACACTTTGCGGACATGACTGAGGCAAAAGACTCTCCATGTTTGCAGCAAAGTTCGGGATGGACGCTGGCTCGAAAGGGTGAACTTTAGTAAGGTCATCATCCTTCTCAGCGATCAATTGGTCGATGCCGCTAAACCCAGCAAGACTGCGAACGAGGGGTCGAACTTCCTTGTAGTAATGAGACAGCGTCGCACAGAAGGCGCTTCCCCAAATGCCCATCAGCAGAGGAACTCGAAGCTCTGGTAACGCAAGGCCATTCTCTCTCCAAACGCTGTGACCGCCGTCGAATCTGCGGCCGATCGCCCAAGTCGGAATTCCAGCTCCAAGTTCCTCACAAAAGAACTCGTAGGGTGTCCACTCGAACCATTGAAACCATGATTCTGCTCTAGCGATTGCCTTCGAATTCTCGTCTTGTAGATTCATGGCACGGTCTTGTGACTGGACCACCTCAGGAATCTCATGGCGGACAGCGGTGTAGATGGGGAGCGGATAAGCACCTGAGTCAGTATGCTGCCGTTGGTTGGAAATCTTGAAATCGTAGTCTGAGATACCTAGCTCGCCTCTAGGAACTAGCAGCCGAGCACCGAGAAGTAACCCATATACATCCACAAGACCAAAGGCGGCATCTGGCACACCCTTCATCTTCTCTACTATTCCACTGAGGAGATATTTACTGGTAGGTGCACTGCTCAGTAATGAGAGTGCTGCTGGTGGGTATGCGATATGGACGTCAAGGCGGCTTTTGAGGTGGTTAATCATTCGTCCATGATTTTGCTGGCCGACAGAAGAATAGAACAAGGTTTGTAACCAGCAAGAGCCACTGACGCCGGCTGTGTATGTCACACAGTCAAACAGGCCTGCTTCCTGTGCAGAGAGATATGAGGAAGTGCCAGCGACTAGGGCACGAAGACCGCCACCAGATCCACACATTGCAATGGTCGGTACGTCGGCCGGATGTATCTCTGCTTCCGGCACACCGAGATACCTAGCCAGAGCAGCAGTCGTGTGTGCCTTTCTTTGCCGTAGGAAATCACGCTCCTCTTTGCAGATCTCGTCTGACACACGAACTCGTGCGTCCCAGATGATCTCGGGATTGATTTCAGGGTCATTCGCTTCGTGCCAGATTTCTTCGGCTAGAGAGCCAGGAGCCATAGACAGTTCGTTCTGCAATTTTGAGATGTATCCAGGCATGACTTTGGCCCAACGCGGTACGATTGTACCAGCGATCTTCTCGCCAAGCTTGGAAATCTCGAAATTGACAATGCTGTCCTTGGCCGTTGCGAAGTTCCCAACCATGGTATGCCATGCTGATACATCAGAGTCATCTAAAGCTTCACTGATGTCTGAAGCTTTATGGCCTTTGGTTTGAGAGGGCGGTGCTTGCTGGCCTGGTCGAGATTGGTCGACATGGTTTCCGGTGCTGATAGGTTCAGGGAGCACCTTTGAATCTTGAGGGCCCGGTTTCTTGATGAGGACTGGCCATGAGAACCAGCTTTCGGGTTCTGACTCTCCAGGACTATCTGCATAGAGGACTTGGCCAGAAGACGTTAGAGCGTATGTACCTGCGCAAACAACGATGGTAGCGACGACACGAGTTGTGCCTCTGTGTGAGCGTCTGGAGCTTGGCGAGGCTTGGTGGAGCTGCCGGCGACTNAGACGGGACGGCAGCTTAGTATGTCTGTCGAAGTGGAATAGTTGGTCGACTGGGAGAACTCACCAGGCCGCGCGGGACTTTATGTTGTAGCGAAAAGCACTTGATCTGAGCATTGGTAACATTGAAGTGGCATTGTTGATGATAATGATGGGGTTTCAGAAAGGCATGCGGGAGCAGAGGATGGGGAGATGTCGAGACTCGAGCAGGGCGCACCAGGCAGCACTGCCACACTGAGGCTCTTGGGCAGAGAGATCAGGTTCTTGAAATCTGAAGATGGCTCGTCATGGCTACGATATGCGTTTTCGTGACTGGAGCGCGCATCTGCATCACGCGATCCTTCCCGCTCCCTCTGGCTGAAGTGCCACGTGCGCCGTCTCCACGATCGCGAGTCAGACCAGGCGTCTCCTCTTGGCTGAGAGCTGTACTCTTTGTTGCCAACGCCTCTCCAGTGTTTGGGTACTCTACATCGCTATCTGTTCCTGCATAAACTCGTACCCACCGCAGATACTCACCCTCCAGCATGTATTGATACACTATCCCTCAGCTGTAACTCGTAACCCCATTCATACGACTCCAACATGGCGGGCCCAAAGAGGGCCGCGTTCGCCGAGGAGAGCGCCGAAGTCGAGGTGCTCTACGCGAACCTGTCCAAGATGAAGAGCTTGACCAAGAAGATTCAAGCTTCCATGAGTCGTCTCGAGACCAGTGGAAAGACGGTCGAAGAGGCTATTGGGCCCATCTATGGAAATACACAGAAACTCCAGACAACCAATGCAAACATCGATCGCGTTATCATGGCCATCGACAGGATTCGCGAGCCCCTGGACATGCGCAACAGAGAAGAACAGGTCCTACGTTCGAACCCCCAGGCTGTGGGCTTGACCGAATACATAGCATCCATCGATCGCACCCGCCAGGCTCTGGGTGACCTGAAGCAGTCCAATCTCCGCTCCAACCAGCAAGCCATCTCTGAACTCAACGGCCTGTTGGGCGTTGGTAGCCGACAACTCGAGGACGTCTTCCAGAGCACTCTTCGCGAAGGATTAGCCCCAGTCGAGCCTCTCCACTTCATCACCAAGAACATCGATTTTCCTCGTATCNCCCCCAACAAGACGACTCTTCTACGAACCATTAATGCACACGCATCGTCATCGGCTTCCGAGCTTGCTCAAGGCGATTCGAGAGGTACACCAACAGCCAAAATCTACGCCGAAGTACGAGGCCAATACATTACTTCAAGTCTGCAAAACATGGCCGCTGCCTGTCTGGCAACTGCTCGAAAGCAGAATCCAAGCACTGCTACAGTATACAAGAAAGGAGACAATGCTATTGGCATGTATGCTGCAGGTATCAAAGGCATATTTATTGCCGAGTACGACAATATCTGCCCCATATTCGACCGTGAAGAGTGGGGCCAGGTTTTGACAATGACCTGCCAGGGCGCTCTGAAGGCTTTTGCTGCCACTCTGAAGGATCTCGATCGACATATTAAGGATAACATCACAAGCGACTGCTTCCTAGCATATGAGATCATCGAAGTCGTATCAAACACTGCTATCGAGATCGAGAGCAAAACAGGAGAGTTGAAGAATGAGGTGGCTGATGCTTTGAAGCCCATACGGGAGACCGCAAAGTCATCCCTCTCAGCACTTCTGACAGACGTGCGGAACAGAGTGCAGCAGATGATGCAACTACCTTCCGACGGTTCCGCAATACCCCTGACCTCGGAGATGATGGCCCGATTACAGGCAATGACCAGCTTCTTGGTACCCTTGTCGTCGATTTTGACATCTCTTGGAAAAGGTGGATGGTCCGCGCCAGGACCTGCAGCATCGAGCAGCTCTATACCTACCCTCAAATCTTTCGACGTTGGCGCAGATGGCCGCAAGCTGTTTGCAGACTATGCTGCAGACACCATACATACGCTCCTGTCGAACCTGGAGGCGCGTTCTCAATCTCTGCAGAAGGGCAAAGGTGTGCAAGGCGTCTTTTTGGCAAACAACATCGCCATCATTGATCGCATGATCCGAAGCTCTGAACTCGGTCCGCTGCTGGAACCCGCACAACCCAAGATCGAATCCTGGCGTGTCAAAGCGACTAAGCATTACATGACCACCTGGAACGAGGTGTCAGCTTATCTACTGGATGTACAGTACACCAATCGTGGTCCTCGTCCTCCCAGTACAGGAACAGCGGTCGACTCAGCAGCATTCGTAAAGGCTCTTTCGTCGAAGGAGAAGGACGCGATGAAGGAAAAGTTCCGCGGCTTCAACACATCATTCGATGAGATGGTTGCCAAACACAAGACCTACAAGATGGAGAAGGAGGTCAAGATCTCACTCGCAAGGGATGTCCAGAGGCTCATCGAGCCACTCTACGGTCGTCATTGGGACAGGTACCACGAAATTGATAAGGGTAAGGGCAAGTATGTCAAGTACGACAAGACGCAGCTCAACGCAGTGCTCACGAATCTGGGGTAAAGAAAGGTGATGGGATCTGAACTTAGCGTGGCGTCGGGAGTTTTGGATATGTACCTTAAGAAGAATTGACACGGGTACTGGTGGAGGTTCACTGGCGCGGGAGAGACGAGTTGCTTGCACGTGAAATAAGCTCGAGATGTGTCCAGGATGGTCGTACTGCCAGCTCAGGGCTGCTTCAATGCCGGCATGACGCCTTTCCCGATCGGGAGAGATGGTTGTGTTGACACTACTGAAAGCTGCCGTGCCTTGTCAAAAACATGGAGTCGCTTTCTCATGCTTGACAAACAACTACAGCATGCGAGAAAGGCGAGATGTTGAAGGATATTATGCTTGAGGACGTCTGATAGACATTTGTGAGGAACGCGTCGGATCAGCGGTTGCTTTCTCCATCCTCTCAGGACGCACGCACCACAGACCCCTTTCCGCGGCGGTTTGGCTGCTATAGGTTGGCTGTCCCTTCCCTCCACAATTCGACCTCCATCTTGTAGCGTTGATACTTCTGTGACTCCCACCCTTGTCTATCGCTTCTCGGACCACTTCTGTTATAACTCTCTGTACAATCCGACGGTATGTAAATTCGTTGGGGCGCGTTTGNCGGGTGCCAATCCCAGCAGCAGGGTGAGCTGCGACTGTCGGGCAACCACCACAGTGAACGCTCTTGCCGCCGCAAACTTGCTCAGCACAAACGAAGGTTTACAAGTGCATCTTGCTGACACGTGCCTGCCCGACAGAAGAAGGAGCGTTCAACCTCGCAACAGCTCGANNAATTCCACCCACCATGGGTAAGCCAGCTCTCCCAACCCACCGTCCCCCATTGCCTCTTGCATCGCGAGCAGCATCACTTTTCGTTCCGTCGCCATGAGCACTACCGAAGAAGGCGCATCGCTCGTCCAGGCAGAGCCTGCAGATGCCGATGCATCTGCCAATGCCAACAAGTCGTCCATGAATGATGCTGATGCAAAGCTCGTCGACACAGCTTCCAACGGCGTCTCTCCCACGCCTCCTCCGGTCCGCGCATCGCCAGTTCCTCCTCAGATCCCTTCTGATAGCAGCCCTGGCTCTCCTCTGATGGGTTCCATATCGCCTCAAATCCAGACTGTCTCTCACAGAGATCCCAAGGCTGCTGCCGCCGCAGCAAGCGACATGAAGAACATTGTGCGCAGGAAGTTGACCGGTTTCGTTGGATTCGCCAATTTGCCAAACCAATGGCACCGCAAGAGTGTCAGAAAAGGTTTCAGCTTCAATGTCATGGTTGTCGGTACGTGTGAACATGAGCACTTTGGTGCATGTATGCGGCTTCTGACATCAACACACANNGGTGAATCCGGTCTCGGAAAGTCGACCCTCGTCAACACACTGTTCAACACCTCTCTCTACCCGCCCAAGGAGCAGAAACAACCCAGCCTCGATTTCGCTCCGACCACTGTCGCCATCCAATCTATCAGTGCAGACATTGAGGAGAACGGTGTACGCCTGAGACTCAATGTTATCGACACTCCCGGCTTTGGTGACTTTGTCAACAACAACGAGTCCTGGCGCCCCATCGTCGAGAACATCGAGCAGCGCTTTGATGCCTATCTCGATGCTGAGAACAAGGTCAACCGCATGAACATTATCGACAACCGTATCCATGCCTGCGTGTACTTCATTCAGCCCACTGGTCACTCGCTCAAGCCTCTCGACATTGAGGTCATGCGTAGACTGCACACCAAGGTCAACCTGATCCCCGTCATCGCCAAGGCCGATACGCTTACAGACGAGGAGGTGATCTCCTTCAAGCAAAGAGTAAGCACGCTGATTTTGCTATTTTGAGATGTTATGCTAATGAAATCCCCAGNNATTCTCTCAGACATCAAGCACCAGGGCATTCAGATCTTCGAGGGCCCTCGTTACGAGCTGGACGACGAAGAGACGATTGCCGAGAACCAGGAGATCATGTCAAAGGTTCCTTTCGCCGTTGTTGGTGCCAACACTGAGGTCAGCACCNCCGAAGGTCGCAAGGTGCGTGGCCGCAAGTACCCTTGGGGTATCATCGAGGTCGACAACGAGGATCACTGCGACTTCGCCAAGCTCCGCCAAATGCTCATCCGAACACACATGGAAGAGCTCAAGGAACACACCAACAACACGCTCTACGAGAACTACCGTTCCGACAAGCTCGAGTCTATGGGCATGCAGCAAGACCCTTCTGTCTTCAAGGAGATCAACCCTGCAGCCAAGCAGGAGGAGGAGCGCTCGCTGCACGAGCAGAAGCTGGAGAAGATGGAGCGCGAGATGAAGATGGTCTTCCAACAAAAGGTCCAAGAGAAGGAAAGCAAGCTCAAGCAAAGCGAAGAGGAGCTGTATGCCCGTCATCGCGAGATGAAGGAGCAACTGGACAGGCAGAAGAACGAGCTCGAGGAGAAGAAGGGACGCATCGAAACAGGCCGACCAGTCGAAGAGAAGGGCAAGAGAAAGGGTTTCTCAATCCGCGGCTAAGCTCTGAGCAGCCACCGGTCGAAGATGCAGAAGAAGTCAAGACTACCATTGTGGCCAGTCCACATCATCACTATCGATTGCTGAGCAGCGAGGCAAGGGTAGGCAGGACTGTCTTTGCACAAGTTGGGTTCAAAGTTGTGATACCTCAGCGCTTTTGTTTGTTTCCCGTTTCGTTTTCCTCCATGTCAATTTACTTAATTGCTTTTCATTAGTCGACAAAAAGCGAGAAAAGGACAAACAGCATGGTTATTCTTGCAACAATCTTGTGCCTGTAATCTAAAAGTGTGCCTTGGTTCGTGTACTAATCTTGACAGTCGTTCTAAAGCTACAAAGGACAGCCAAACACTGTCTATTGGAAGGCACGGCAAGTAGATAATCAAATGTCCTCTCGATAGATTCTCGCCGAGCTTCCAGGCGATTGATGCAGCTCTCACGAGTCGCAGAGACTCGAGAGTCGGGACGCATGTGCAGTGGCTGGGCTGGGCGTGCGCGGACACATGACGACACCGTCTAGCTCCAGTTTCCCTGATTGAAAGGTCGCACCTGCCTTCTACATATCTCGCTCTTCCATAAGCAGACTGCAAGCAACTCTTCTTTTGCAAACAACTGTCCATCCTAGTCTCTGCCATCACCTATCACCTCCAAGACACATTACAGGATAGCATCCCCAGTCGCGACCACAGCACCAGCCGAGTAAGTGACGTTCTTGCTTTCGCTTTTCCCCAGCTTGCTAGCTCGCGTGAGTTTGTGCGCGCCAGCCACGGCAGAGCGCTGACCATGACGACCCCACTGGGCCAACACCTGTCATTCTGCTGCCCTTTCCTCACCTCTTTCCTGCACTCCTCACCTCAGCATCCATACTGATACCATTTGCTCAAGCTCTCCTACAACAATGGCCCCTCCTCCTCCTGCAAACCTTCCTCTCCAGGAGCGCATGCTCCAGCTCGTGCAGACGCTGCAGTTCGCATGGTTCGCTGGCCATGTCACCCTCTTGCTGTCCTCGGTCCGCTACGCTCTTTCGTACTTGACCTTCCACGCCAACTCCAAGTGGGCCACCTTCTCGTACCGCACGGCTTTCGTTGCAGCCGCTGTCACATACGGCATTGTCGTCTTTAAGAGCTTCCGTGCTCGTGCTCGTGCCGGCAAGGCTCAGGGCGGTGCTTTCCAGATCATTGGCGATGAGAACGTCCAATACCTGGGTAAGTTTTGATCTGCTCATAAGCTCAATATTCAGCGCTGATTCATTNTAGTCATGGCTTTGATCTGGCTCTGGTCTCGTCAGATCCCTCTTGCCATTCTGCCCTTTGCTGTCTACTCCGTCTTCCACGTCGCAACTTACACCAGATCCAACCTCCTGCCCACAATCCAGCCCCAGCCTGCTGTTGCTGCTGGTGAGAAGCCCAAGTCGTCTGGCCTTGCCGACACCATTGGCCAATTCGTTAAGAACTACTACGATTCGTCCATGACTCTTGTCGCTATCCTCGAGATTGCTCTGTGGTTCCGCCTGGGCTTCTCTGCCCTCCTTTTCCAGAAGGGCTCTTGGATCCTGATTGCTGTCTACACCGTCTTCCTCAGAGCTCGCTTCCACCAGAGCACCTTTGTGCAGTCGGCCGTCAACCAGCTGGGCGCTCGTGGTGACGCTATTGCCAACCGCCAGGACCTGCCTCCCGCTGTCAGACAGGCCTGGGATGGCCTCAAGAGCGGTATCAAGCAGGCCGCTGACTTGACCGACATCAACCGCTACGCTGGTGCTCAGCAGCAGGGTGTCCCCAAGAAGACCCAGTAGAGTTCTCGTGTTGTCCAGTTTTGCTCTTTGATCGAGACTGGACTGCTGTCCCAGAATCTATGTGTTCTTGCTCCTAAGGTCGGACTTACACAACACCACAGCAAAAGCAGTTAAGAACTACGCACATAACGATGCTCTTGATGAGAACAAAAAGTTGATAGAGGGAAGGATGAAGTTGCGCAGCCGTGTCAGCAAGCTGCCCGGAGGATTTTGGAGGATGAGAAGACTGACCTTTGTTCATGATTAGTACAGGCAACGATACCTTGTTTTCATTCCTAATGCTTCTGACATACGTCTCCGCTTACTCTCATCGATCTGCCTAACGAAGTGACCATTTGGATCTACTAAGTCGACGCCTCGCTTCTCAGCCTGCAAACTGTTTTGCTTGAAGAAGAATTACCAACGCACTCTAGATACAAGACTCGTCCAGCGTAGTATCCCTCGGTTACACAAAGTGGCACTTACTCCAAGGCTGTTCCTGCAGTAGTCTGACCCGGTCCTGGGTCTGAGGCGGTAGTGGGATGGCTTGACAGATCCGCACGCCGTGTGTACCTTGGATCAGTCGTCGTTCGAGAAGAAATGGAAGTTCCAACTCAAACTCGGCCGAGTTTGGAATAGGTACTGTATGCCAATCGCCAGATCAAGAGTTGCACAACCAGACGACAATATTGTGCAAAATCACAATAGGTACTCAGATCTCGTGGAATGCTACTGCTTCTTCGGCGTGTAGAAACTCTTTTCTGAACGTCCTACCGAGGGGTGATCTCACTGCAACACAAGATAACGAGCAGCCCTGGTTCATGGAATGACAAGCTAACTATCCAAGTACCTGTTTCCGCATCTACCTAAGCGTGAGGCTCCATGTACTCGCATCTTCGCTCATCCCGTGCAACGCTGCGCAGCATGATGCGAGACGATGGATATGCGATAGGCAAGGTATGCATATGCAAGAATTCCACACTATGGCAAGGACAAGACTTGTCAGATCGAGATTGCTATAGGGCGCATGCCTGGCATTTCACCGACCGGGTTCATGTGGAGCAAGTGGTGTCAAATGGGTAGCAGCAGGATAAATGTTCCGGTGACACCACACGAATCGGTATAAGGTGTGGCTGCATAACAGAAACCTCTCTTTCAACCGGGTTGGTGGGAGAAGGTGAAGGTATACCATCTGTGTTACAGTCATCGCTGCTCAACGACTACTGGAATTAGATGTCACAAACACATGTCGCATGCTATACCCGCCAGGTAGTACCTGGCGCAAGACCGTGAACGATCTAGTGAAATGACCTTGGGTAGTAACAACGAAGGTCATGCCTCGAACGAAACCAGGGCCTGCAGGGGTATCGTCATCTTCTTCTCAGCTCAAAGGTCATGATCGAGCTTTGATCAGGAATGTATGTACAAAAAGTGACAGATCTATGTTTTGTGGACGTTGGACCCTTGAACGAAGCACTGTTATCTCCATCACCATTCCCTTAAGATCAAAGGATCATTCTGCCGGTGTCTTTCTGCTGGGTCCTTGAGAAGACTGGCGCGCCGTGGCTTGACGCACGAGGCTTCTTCGGACCACGCACATGAATCTCTGAACGGCACGACATCATTTTTTCAGGCTTTCTGCCGACGTGCTAGATATGCAGCTACAGGCCATGGTTGGACTTGGCCAATTCGAGGAGATGACAAGGTCAGCCAGCCTCAATTTACTTGAGCGTGTTTGCCTGGAGGAATTGAATTGTGGGAGTGTCAGAAGCTGGGAAGGGAACAAGATGAACTTTTGAAAGCATCTCTGCCCGAGTTCCATACCACNAGATCTTGTTTCACAGATCTTCCCGCCGCTTGCAGATCTATGTGTTCCCTTGAATCCCAGNNATACCATGCAGAAAGAGGAAAGTCCACAGCATCGTACAAGGAGAAAGTCCCCGAAGGGTTGACCAANGCAGATGTGCGATGACTGATGCAAGCTGCGACTGTTCCCTGCTAGATCTCATGCATGTCCGGCACGACCATTCCGCTACGCCAGTTGCAGCCCCCGCCTGTGGAGCTGGGATAACAGGGTATCTTACTCGAGTCTTGNTTAGCAGGCAAGGCGACACGCGCCAGTACAAGAGGTCGGTCTGCAGTAGAATTTGCCGGCCCTTCTCTGCATACAGCATGGGCCTGCTCGATCCGTGCGACATGCTTCTAGTTGATTNNCATCATGGGTTTGATCNNATCCACATCCGCAGCCATGGATGTGGATGTGGATGGATCATGCTTGGAGAAACAGCTCTCGCAATGGCCAGCCAGCAGTGAGGGAGANTGATCAAGAATGACGGCGGCAGGTACCACACGGCTCCCCTTGCCGTGTTACTTGGATAGACTTTCCCCCAAGCTCACCCCTCTCCAAGATGGATCGTGACATGAGCAACGAGACCCGGCGCCCAAGAAACGGAATGGCGGCGCATGCAACAGTACGACATAGGCTTGCTGCTCTCTCCGCCACATTTGCACACGCCTCAGCTCATTTCGGTCTTGAGCTGGCTGCCCGTTCGAGCAAGTGCGCATAGCGCAGAAACCTCTTTCACTCTGGTTTCCCACCCCTCCACCTTGAGCCGTTCATTCCCATCTCCAGACGCCATCATTTCTTGTGAGATGTGGATGTAGGTCTCAGCTTTGCTTGCGGCGGGAACGTTTTTTCTGGCTTATCCACCAACGCCTCCACAGAACGAAGATCTTCTGCCCTTCTTCTTCTGTCTCTTGCTGCTGCCGGGTATGTTGCATGGGTAGCAGATCTAGTCTGCATTGTTTTGGTTTGATTGTTATATATATCTTTTACTTCGGCCACTCGAGAAGACATCCCATCTCACACCTTCCTCTCCACCTTCCCTCGACTACTTGTGCTTGCCTTCTACCGTCGTTGCTAGTCGGCCATACTCCACTCACTTCTTCTCTGCAACATCTGCTCGTCGAGTCCTACTTTTTCAACTTATACATAGTCACTTCACCTTCCTCTCACTGTCATCAAGGTAAATTTACCCCGCCATACCATCATTGATCAATTGAACTGACCAGACACGCACAGTACAATGGCCATCTCTGGATCTTGCGAGCACCGCTTCAGAGTTATCAAGTCAGACACAACTCTCATCATCTGGAACTGCAGTCTGTGTCATTCCGGTCCGCATTGGTTCATCTACGAATGCACCAAGTGCAAGGTGAAGAGATGCGAGCCCTGCACTCGCAAAGCATAAGAGCCGGAGAGAAGCGTGACCGAACACACCGAGCGGGTACGTACAAGGCCATCCAGTCCTTTCATTCCACCCATCTTTCGATCTCGCCCATGCTAATCGTATCACTTCCAGTGGACTGACTTGAATTGCAATAGTCTTCTCTACATGCGCACCGATGTCCCCCTTGATGCAGATCAATCGCCTGCATCCACCGACGTGCATGCTTCCCCACCCATCTACTTCGCTTGGCCACAATTTCTCTCTCCCGAGCACTCGGGTCGCGATGACCTCGCGCGATCAACCGGCAATGTGCGACTACCGTAGCGGATGACGCCTTGCACCAATTATTACTTGCTTCACATATCAGCTACACAGCACTAGCTCTCGAGCATCTTCAATCAACCGGCAAAGCAGCAGTAGCTTTGCTCGGATCTCTTACTCCGATGCCCTTATCTTCGGGGCTTCCTATCTCTTACATCTTCTTGCCCATGGCCTGGGCAATCATCTTATTGAGCATCTGGTTATCTGGCGTCGAGCGAGGAGTTTCCGTTTCATCAATCCACAAAACCGGGTATGGGATTTTTCGGCAGGCAATTGCCCTGGTGTTTTTGAGAAGATCGGGTCTATGACGAACGCCTCACGGCTGTACTAGAACACTGGATATGGGAAATGGTGAATGGGCTTACAAGTCTTCCGCAAGGATCTGGAGCTTGGCGTATACTTTGGTTGAATGTTTCTTTCTATCTTTCATGCCCTTCTGTTTCTCTCTCTTTCTCTTCTCATCTCCGCAGACACACAATCGGTGTGTCCTCTTTCTTAGTATCGTTTTTGTCTTTCAGATCGTTGTCGCGAGGCACAAAAGACTTAATGGCTCTCACGAGATCTTTACCATCAACAGATTGACCCTAGCCATGATCCAGGGTGATTTCTCCAACTATCTGTCAGCAAGGCACAAGTACTCAGTTGATCCGAGGCTGGCAATACGCGTAGCACTTTCCCGATCAGATTCAACATCTTCATCCTACAAGTTTACTGGGCAAGACAGCCTTCTAGACTATACCACCTGCCATGCAGAACAGACTTACACCTTGCATACCAACCCCCACCTCGGCTGACCATGTGTTTCCACAAACTGGAATATTGGAACTAGCAGGAAACCAGGTCGGCAGTGACTTGAGAGAGGGTCTGGTGGAAGAGAGATGTGTGCTCTTGCATATGTAGCTAACAAAGTCAAATAGAGAATAGAAGGAACTACTTCTGATGACCTTCCTGTTTCGCTGAGATTGTTGGTACTTAGAGATCAGATGGAGGATCGGCCGCGCAGGATGTCTGCTGCAGCCTGCGATCTACCTATATGTGCTTGGATATGTGGTAGATATACCGAATCTGTCGCTTCAATCATGGTTTATCGCTCGTCAGAAAATGTATCCAGACTCAACCACCTAGGTGTTCCCCGATTGCCTGGAGTGACCCAAAGGTTTGTTCAGGGAGAATCAAGAGGCCCCACCACATTGCAAGGTGAGCAGATGGAGGTCCGCATGTCTATCAGGATGGTGTGGCTGGTATAGAGCGACCTCAAGACTTGGCCCAAGCTCCGTGTCGAGCGAGGCCGGCGAACGGCCCGCCAAAAGCTGAGCCATGGCGCCTCGGCTGGAGCGTTCGCAGACGAATCACCAACCCATGTCTCCTGCGTCTTTTCATCTTGCCAATTCCATCACCTGAGCCTCTCTGGTGCAGACACACGACCAGATGGCGCCCAAGAGGAAGGTGCGCGTGTCACAAACGTCCAGTCCCGCACCGACGCCCTCTCGTTCAAACACGACCGTCGCAGTCGAGATAGAACAACGCCGACGACCCAAGCCATCAGACGAAACGCCAACCACGAAACTCTCGGAGCAAGCGGCGGACCCTGAAGACGACGAGGACGACGAAGAAGCTGCAAACGCCGCCTTGGTGGCAGATCCATGGACCGACGACGAGGAGATTGGCCTGTTCAAAGGTCTCATACGCTGGAAGCCTACCGGCATGCACAAGCACTTTCACCTGCTATCTCTACATCAACACCTGCTGTCAAACGGCTACATCCACCCCAAAGCAGCGCATACACGCATCCCCGGCATCTGGGCCAAACTCCACGACCTCTACGATCTCGAAGCGCTAGACGAACGCGAAGACGCAAATGCCGCCCCTTGGTCCACATCCGAAGACGAAGACGATGAAGAAGATGAAAGAGATGAATTAGGCGACGACGACGACGAGCCAGAACACATGCACGAGTCAGAGTTCGAACTTCCCGACGACGACTTTGGTAGCCTGATCTGGCGCGCTCGTTTCCCAGACTCTGAAGACGATGACAATCGGCAAAGCTCGCCTGCGTCACATGAAGAATTGGTCTCGAGGCCAGACAGTCCACCCGTGCGCTTCACACCCACGTTCGAGATTGCTTTGTCCGAAGCACAGCAAACGCCCTCTGCGCGGACGTCAAAGTCGAAAACAGCGACATCTGTGAAGGCGAAGGGCAAACAACCACCTCCAAACCCTAGAAGATCGAGTCGCGTGGCCGATAGTGTCGACCCCGATGAGCACGACGATGAAGAGGAGGAAGAGGAAGGTAGTGAGGAAGAAGACCAAAGCGAGCAGGATAGCATGGCCAGCGGGACCCCTGCGCCTAAAGCTTCGAAGGCAAAGGGTAAAGGAAAGCTCCTGCCGCAAAGCCTAGGGCTAGCAAGCGGAGGAGGTAGAAAAGAAGAAGAGGTGTGATGGAACGGGGTTGTGTTCATTGTTTGCTTTGTTGCCTGTTAGCCTTTGAGATACCCATTTGTATTGAGTTTGTTGTTCTCCATCCTTTCTTCCTTCCTTCCTTCCTTCCTTCCTTCCTTCCTTCCTCCCCTGCAATTGCCTTACGATTCGATGCGACATGTGCAGAATAGTGTATAGCATGCCAAGAAGTGTCAGGGTCATAGGCGATAGCTATCCCAAGTTTACTTGTCCATCTACTCATCGCAAATGACACTCTTCCCAAACAAACACTGTTGTATTTCTCCACGACCATGTCGTTACTATCGCTTCCGCCAGAAATCTTCAATACCGTTCTTGATGGCGTCTCCGGCCGCGATGTCATAAATCTACGCCTTGTCTGCCGACGCACAAGTGCACTATCAACCCATCAATTCGGACTCAAATGCCTGACAGATCTTTCTTTCATCTGGTCTCTATACAGTTTGCAAGGGTTGCTAGACCTCAGTGCGCATCCCTTGGGTCGATATATCAAACGCCTTACTTTTGCAACGCACTTCGTCTATGCCGAAAAACCCAACGAGGACCCGGTCGAACAGCGAAATGCCAGGTTGGAAACTATGTTTGAGCAGTGGGAAGAAAGAAGTGTGCCGCTGGTTCGAGCATTAAAAAACTTTAAAAGGCGANATGTGCAACCTATACTTGGATCTTACAATTACCATGTGCCTTGGATACCTCTGGACGACAGTATCGCAGACAGCAACAACAATCCACCAAGAAAAGGATATGGCTATGACAAGTACTACGGCACTACCGATTCGGAAACTCGACATGCGACTTTCGTCCACACGAATCAATACATCCTGAAAGCTGCACAACAAGTCAAACTTAGCATCAAAGCCTTCCACATACACTGGAACTCACAAACTCTGGACGAAGAAGATGGCATCCGTTTCATGCGACATCAACTCCTAGTCTCCAAAACCGACGGCAGTATCAAGCTTGATTTCGAGCTCTTGGCCACCGTCTCGTACTTGAGCTCAACAACAAGAACCTCGATTGATGCCAAACGCCAAAAGTATGAGTTTTGCACGTTGCCGATCAAGGGCCTTGCTTGGTCGACACATCCTCGGGCCTCTCTCACTTGGACCCAAAGTTTTCTGGATCCAGACATGTGCCATTGTTTCCGCGAAATACGCATCGCGTTATGCAACGTGGATGTAGGGTTCTTGACCTCGTTTTTATCCAAGCAAGCGAAAGGTTTACGCGTGCTTCATCTCGAACACATCACCATGGACCTCTATGACGAAAATCTGGGTGACGAAGAAGAAGATTTGGATCCCAGTGAGACGGCTATAAACCTTCTTGCAATGCTGAAGAATGACCTATCGTTGGAGTACCTCAGAATGACACGATTGAGCAATGCAAGAGATAGATCGAGGTTGATTGGTGGACATGACGATACCTGGACGAGTCGAGAGGAGATTCAGGATGGCTTGCAGATGTATATACAGAGGGAGGAAGACGACGAGCATTCCGTTGACGAGGAGTGGATTGATGATGATGAGGGCGAGTGGATATCTGTACATCATTCTGAGGATGAGGATGAAGAAGAAGTCTGGCCTGGTACTTTGCAGGACGGAAATAATGAGACAACCATGGCTCAGCCAGACGCGGGAGAGGGCGAAGAACCTGAGGGATAAATATCTCATGGACGAGGCATTACAATGTTCCAATAGATATCTTGAACACTGAATTGGTGGGTTTGATAGGGGGTTAGGGATGACTATGGAGTCTGAGGCATACCTCCATCACCCATCAGGTTACCAGTCAAGCCCTTCATCCTTCTACCCAACAGATCATCTTCACTAGCCAAGCTGACCAGACTCTTCATCCTTTGATTCCTAGGTCGCTCATTTCTGGCTCCCCTTACAGCTCGACCGCCACCTCTTGGACTACCCTTCTTTTTCGGGCTTGTCCGAGCACCACCATTCAGAGTACTCATCTCAAGTGGCCTATCCTCATCACCTGAAGATTCAGTAGGCATACGGCGATGATGTCTAATCCCATTGCTCTTCTTGATTCCCGATCCAGCTTCATTGCCAAAGTAATCTGTCTCTTCCCCTTCCTCGTCTAGTCCGGCACGCAAGTCAGCCTCCCGGAACAGATCCGCCATCCAGCGTGAGCATCTCGAGATGTATTTCCAGCCCGCTGGAAAAATACCCGCAAACTGCAAAAAGCCATGCGAGATGCCAGGGATCAAAACCACATTGACATGATCTGTATCCACAAAGACGTCTCTTTCGCGCACCAAACCCAATTCTTTGCGGTTGTTCCAGTGAGCGAGTTTGGCTTGCTTTAGGCGGCCTGCGAAGATGACCGTGTCGTCGACGAGGGGATCGCGCTCGCCGGTCATCATGTAGGTTTTTGGGAAGCGGGTGAGGAGGGCTTCGGGTGCGAGGAGTGGGGAGAGGAGATAGTCTGTTGAAAAGTCTGGGCGTGAGTGGGGACCGATGTATAAGATGATCATGGCGCGCATCATTTCGGGTGTCAGGACGCGGTCGTTGAAGTAGGATATCATGGATGACATTGCGAGCCGAGTACGCAGCATTTGAGGTACAGGTGCTGTGGGTGCAGCATCGATGGTATGAGCAGCACTAGTGTGGGCCTCCGTAGGTGAGGCGACGATGGGTTTGTCAGTCAACTGCTGTACTGCCGTGTTCGTTCGCTTCGTCTTTGGCGGACTGACATCGTCCTCTTCATCTTCGGAACCATGTGGAGTGTTTGGTGTTAGTTTCCTGTAGTCGTCACTCTTTCTGCTTAGAACGCCTCTGTTGGTCTTGCGCATCTTGCGGTCTTTGATCAGAGACATTTGTTCGTCTGTCATCCAGTTGCCAATGTTCATGTCGAGAGCTGGATAGACAAGGACTGCGCCTTCGGGTACGGGAAGCGATGTCTCGCCTTGCCAGCGTCGGGTTGCAGTACTTCCGGACTGTAGGATCATGAGGATAAGACCAACAGCAAGATTGCCGCCTGCGCTATCTCCACTGACGACAATCTTAGGCATGATCTCTCCAGAAAGACCTATGCATTGTCCTTTGGTCGTAACCAGGGTGTGATATGTGTCGTAACACTCGTTCAGGGCGTAAGGGTAAGGATATTCAGGGGCTTTTTTGTAGTCCAACGCTAACACAGGCAAGCCTGTTCTTGCTCCCCAGGCTAACAGTTTGTCATCATGTGCTCTTGGGTCCATTGCAACGAATCCACCGCCCGGGATGTCGAGCACGATCTTGTCATGATTCTTGAGATCACTGATAGGACCGTCAAAGTATAGCCAAGCCTGAATAGGCTCGTCATAACTGCTTTGTCTAGGTCTGGGTATGCGAATGGCGCGTGGCGGATAGCGCATCAATTTCGGACGCATCAGCTTGCCGAAGAAGTTGATGTATGGTGTATTGGGCTTGTTCCAGCTGACTCTCAAGTGCTCCAATGTCAAGCCAGCTCTTACTCTGCGTACCTTTTCATCTGCTTGCTCGGCACAGATGAGGTAGTAGACCGAAAAGACAAGACTGGCCAAGTCCTTCAGCCATACAGGACGTAGATTCATGGCCGTCCAAAAGCCAGCATCCAACGCTGTTGTGACCCATGTCGCCCGGAAGTACGATCGTGTGTAGAGGTTTGCAAGCGGTTCCGGGCACTCGAGGCCTACGAGCTTGCTAAAGTTTCGGGTGATGTATAGATATATCAGAGTCAAGACAACCGTGTGCCAGGCTGTCAGGCGGGAAGATAGGAGTTTGGAGATGCGACGAATGTACGGTGGGCCGTGAGGGTTACCCNNCTGGCACGTACATGGTTAGCAATAGATCTGTGTAAGCAGTATGAACAAGACGTACTTGTATAGATAGTAGGACCAGAATGAAACGACAGCAAAGACTTGGTACTTGCGAAACCTGACCGATGGCCTACCCAAGACATGGTCTGTTCAGAGTCCACTTAGCAGCCGCATATACAAGTACTTGACAAAGGGGTAGACTTACCTATCATGATGCGGACTGTTCAACAGACATGCAAAAGAAGAGAAGAGTGTAAAACTTCCGCCAAAGAAAAGCCAGTATAAAGAAGAATCTCACATCAGCAAGAAAAGGAGGGCGGCTGTTGGTCTAAACAAAGAAAGGAAAACAAGGTCCAAGTCAAGTCTTCATGACAATTGCAAGAAAGAGGTGAGTTTACACAGGAGCGGAACACGATATAGATGATGCCGGGTTTGCATGTGAAAGAGAGATTGGCATGGGCGAACAGTCATGCCCGTGCCTAGTGCTGCTGGCAATTTTCGATATTTGCCATGTCATGAGGCCTAAACGTTGCCCTTGCCTTTGACATGTGAAAGGCCGGAGCACACGTCCTGGCATTCCCGAGATGCCGAGACCTTGTTCTTTGCGGAGGTTCATGTGGGGATCCTGGAGTCGCTTTGTCCTCCTGTCATGCCGCCAACCTTCATGCCGCGAACCTTTATCGTGATGATATTATGCATGACAGAAGGCAGCTGACCGCAATACTATGCGCTTGAGTAGAATCGAGTTCGACTATCATAGTCGTACACGTGCCGTGCCCTTGCTTTTTGACAACCACGATGCCTCATTTAAACTCACCAGTCTAAGCCACACATCTCGTCTTCGTATCTACGCAAATGCTCAATAGACATATTAGCTAAACGCTGGATATGCAGTCGATACGTTGGACACCTTGTGGTGATTCCTTACACTTTAGTGTCGATTTCCTTGATCCTATACAGGATGGTATTCCAAATGGAATATGCTGTCAATAGTTAGACCTCCTATGCTTGTAACTAGTCCCCACTCACAAGTAGTGCTATGGTATACTGTAAAAATGCACAATCGCTAGCTAGATCATCTGTATGTCCACACAGAGTAAAAGGTAGCCATAGGATGATATGTCTCTCCTTGAACACTTTTCCATTTCAAAAAGTATTGGGCATTTCTATCACTACACTATAACCGTCTCTAGCGCACGGGGAGAACGAGGATCGTGAAAGGGGTAGGGGTACCGTTGTCGTTCGGTAAGGGCTAGTAAGCCACACACACTAAGCGTGCTGTAGATCAGCAACAAGATTGAGGAAGAGAGTGAGAAATTCGTTTATGATACACATCCAAGCCTCCAGCGCCTGAGTATTTATTTGACCAGCATGACGCAAAAGAACATCCAAAGTAGAGAGATGGGTCGAACTGGAGCCGAGAGGGGACGCGTGAAGTACAAGAATGAACCGTCGTAACCTTTTTAGTTCTTGGGAGGGTACTTCTTGAAGAGGAACCTGAGGGAAACCAGTCAGCATTGGTGTCACATTTCTACGCTTTTCTCCGCAAAGATAGCCTGTTGCACGACAATCTTCTGAAGAACAAGATTCTCGTCGTGCTGTCATGACACCACAGATAAGGAGGTAGGGATTTGCACTCACTTGCTGGCGTAGTAGTCGCCAAGGGCAAAGACACCGACGATACCTGCCCAAGCTCCTGCAACCTTCCAGGTGAGCTCGCCGGCAGTGTACTTTCTGTAGGCACCGAAACCGAGGAGACCACCAAGGGCAACAACAGCGACGGTGTTACCGAGGACGACAGGGTTGTCGCTGTTGGCCTTTGCCTTCTCCGTGGCTTTCTGTGCCTTCTGCTTGGCCTTCTCCTTGAGCTCCTCGGCCTGCTGAGCCTTCTTCTGAGCCTCCTCGCGAGCCTCAGACTCAAGACGTTCACGCTCGGCCTGGGTCTCGGTCTGGATTTCTTGCGACTGGAAGTCGGAGGGGACAGATGAGATGTGAGGGCTGTCGACGTCGATGAGCTCGTGGACCTCGTCGTCGGTGTGCTGGATTTCTGGAACAGCGTGTGCGCGCCTGGGTGTTTGTTAGTATTGGCTTGCTGTCGTCGCGTGGGTGACCAAGACTTACTTCTGTAAACAAGTTAGCGTGTGGTCAGGAGGGACAGATCAAGTAGCGACAACATACCTCCTCGTCGGACTGCTGGGGCCCACTGGCGGCAACAGATGCGTAAGACATGGTAGCGGGAGGTGCGGGTGCGGGTGCGGGTGCGGGCTCTTCGGTAGCGGTGTCGGGCTCTTGAGAAGGGCTGGGTTCTTGGGTGGTTACTGTCTCTTGGGTAGAGGCAGCGGGAGTGGGCTCGGGGACGGCGATGGGGGCAGTGGTGGTGTCGACTTGAGGTTCTGGTGTAGAATCAACAGGAACAGGAGCTGTGCCTGCGTCACTATTCGGTCGCTGGAGAAACTCGAGGCTCATCGTGATTGGTTTTGCTAATCCTACCTAAAGATGACATGTGATGGTGATGCCGAACTTCTTCTTACAGCAGAGGCTTGAGCCTTGGCACGGTTACGTCAAGTGCTCGTGGCCCGCGCGTTTGGCTGCTTAGAGTTGCACTCAATCAATAAGCAGACGTTGGATATCAGAAAGATTCGTAGCCGTCTATTACATGTCTAGAGAAGTGGTGATGCATTCGCTTTTTCCAGGCTTCTACTGCCTTGTTTTGGTAGAGTTACAAGCCCCAATGCGTAATGTACAAGTCATATGCGCGCAGAACCGACTTATTTGTCGCCCTTGCTTTCCTGTCCAGTAGCGTCGTGTGCGGCCTTGGGAACGAGGCTGTCAGACTCGCTCATGAGGTCGTGGTCGCGCTTGACCTGCTCAGTTGCGGCGTTGGAACGCTCTCTCTTTCCTTGAATAGCTTCGGGGTGATCGGCTCCTCTGTCGGCAACCTTCTCAGCGTCGGGGTTGGCCTCGGGCTGAGTAGGCTGGCTAGATTGACCAGTAGGGGCATCTTGCTCTCTTGCCTCAGCCTCGACATCATCCTCGAGCTCTGCACCGTAGACATCAGGGTGCTCGCGGAAGCAGTTCTGCATGTTNCCTACGCAGTCATGTTAGCCCCAGTTGCTGTATTCCTCGCAACCATCAACGTACTTGAACTTGTCAATACAGTCCATGCCCTTAGGCTCCTCCTTTGAGAAGACGAAGCAGCTGAAAGCCTCTCTGAACTGCTCGCCGCAGGGTCCGTGTGCCATGCCACCGAGGCATGGGCAGTCCCAGTTGATCTCGCCGGTCTCCTCGTTAAAAGCACCCTGCTGGCCAGCCTCCTCTTCCAGATCCTGCGGCGATCCGGCGAGAGCACCATCTTCGGGCTCTGGTACGGGAGCATTTGTGGTGGCTTCGCGGACCTTGTGTGCGGCGTCGGTTGCAGTGGCGGCAACCTTTCTTGCGTCGGCCTCTGCGTCGGCCTTGACCTGAGCCTGGAGGGCGTGGCGTTTCGCCGTCACTGCATCGAGGGTGGGAAGAGTCTCTGACTCGATCTGTGTCTCCGGTGGCGCGTGTCTAACATCTGAGTGGTGTTAGTTCCAGTGCTCGCGCAACTCGGCACAAGATGCGCTTACANNGGATTGCTCCTCGGCGAAGACATTGCTGGTGTTGTAGTAGTAGACCAGGGCACCGGCCAGTGTCCATCTCACAGCCGAGTTCTTCCAGCTTCGTGACTTCTGATGCGGAGGTGCGGTGGTGAGAAATCTCCGCGACGGAGCGCTGCTGCGCGAGGCCTGCACCGCGGCGCGTCTGACTATCGGGTGAAGCATTGTAGGTGTGTTGGAACCAGAAAAGACCGAAGACAAAGGGAAAGAGAGCAGCTGGGCGTGAAGGCTATCGCAGCGAAGATGATGGAAACATTAGCCCATCGGCCGCTGTCGCCGAGTGTTCGTGCACAGCTCTGTGGCTAGTGTGCTGCGCTCCAGCCACAGGAGCAAGTTATCATCTGGTTGTTGGCATCGCACAACCATACTCATGTCGTGCGACCTTCCAGTTTCCTTCTCGAACCACAACAACATGGCCGACAAACATCCGGACGTATACCCTGCTGACTTCATCAAGTCTGGCAACGAACTGATTCATTCTGGCAAAGGACAGTCCAAACCGGCTCTGATCATATTGAACCAGCCCATAGCAGACACAAGGGTATTAGGTCGCTTATGGAGACATACAAGCTATCGACTGTGCGCTGATGGTGGTGCCAACCAACTCTACGATCTGTTCACACAAAATGACCCATCGCAACTAGACCAATATGTAAGAAGACTCGCAGATTTTCCCAGTGCCATCTGATTCGTGATGGTTGTACCCAGTNTGCCAAACATCATCCATGGTGATCTAGACTCCCTACGACAAGACGTCAAGAATTACTACCAGGGATGCAACGTAGAAGTTACAGAAGATCCAGATCAGTACAGCACAGATTTTGGCAAGGCCATCAAACAGGTGCTGAGGGAGCAACCCTGGCAGAAAAATTTCCTCGTCCTCGGAACAATTGCAGGACGACTTGACCAGGGAATTGGTCTCTTATCAGAGATATATCGAGAGCAACATTCAAACGAACATCCAGATATCCGGTTCTGGTTGTTCTCCGAATCAAGTATCTCCTTCACTCTTTCACCAGGCACGACGACGATCCATACACCACTGGCTGAGAGGGTCGTCACACCAAACATTGGTATTCTACCCATCTTCGGGCCTGCGCATATCTCGACGAACGGACTGGAGTGGGATGTTCAGGATTGGCATACGCAAATGGGTGGCCAAGTTAGCACCAGTAATCACATTGTCAAAGACCAGATTACCATTTCGACCGACGCCGAAGTGCTCTTCACAGTCGAACGTAGGAAGAGCGTGGCAGGATAGAGCACTCTAGATCAAGCGAAAAGCAGATAATTGGTCAAATCCGACAGTGTAGAAGGCGCTGTATCTTTATCATCCGCACGGTGCAAGTGAAGGTAGAATAGAATGGCCACATCCGAGTGAAAGTGACGATGTTGAAAAGCAGTGAAAGCCAGTATGCTTGCTCAAGCAATCATGTTCATAGGAGTTCTTTTCTCCATCATTGCAAATAGAGACGATAAAGTTGGAATCTGCGATAAATTGCGATTGCATCAAAAGTACAGCCCTCTACAGTCATGACGAAGTCTGAGCGTGGACAGCACTGACCGACGTGATTTTCAGACAGCCAAGGGCTGCAAGTGCTCTTGTCGCGACCAACAGGCGTATTCAGCGTGTCCAATAAATTTGACAATAGGCTGCAATAAGTAGCGGTTTGTATTGTCGCAATTGCAATTGTGTGGATAGGGTCATCTTTGGGCTGTTCCGAACCTTTGGAAGTTGCACCGTCGCTTGCGTTGGCCGACTCTCCTGCTTCTCTCCACATTGGAAAGTAACACGACCGACTTTTTTTCCTCTCTCTACTGATCAGGTATGTTGAATGCCACTACATGCTTCTGCCCTGTCGCACTCACTGACTTGTCTCTCCTGAAGCAGCTGTCTGTCCTCCGCATCCCGACATCATGTCCTGGAGTCCGCAGCCTGAGCCTCTGGGCCAGCTGGCGCAGTTCCTCAAGGAGTCGCTCAACCCTCGCGACAAGACTGCGCAAAAGAACGCTGAGCTGGTGAGCTACTATGTGTTCGGCATACGACCCACTGGAGCTGACGATCTCTGTCCAGNNGCACTCAAGAATGCTGGCGCCAACCCAGATATCAACAACTACCTCGCCTACCTGTGTATCAGCCCCGAAGTTCCCGCCGCTTTGTCCAACGATGACTACTTTGTCGCCAGAAGTGCGGCTGCCGTCATGCTCAAGAACAATGTAAAGACATCGTACAAGACCATGGCCGAACCCAACAAGGACTACCTCCGTTCGACCATCCTTCAGGGCCTTCAAGACCAGGACAAGCGCATCAGAAGCTACGCCGGCAACGTAGTCACCGAGATCGTGCGCCAGGGTGGCATCTTGGGATGGCCCCAGGTCCTCTCCGAATTGATCACCTTGGTCGAGAACCGTAATGGCAACATCGCATCGCACATTCAAGATGGAGCCATGGGCGCATTACTCAAGATCTGCGAAGACCACAAGAAGGCTCTCAACCGAGTCTACGACGGACAGCGCCCCCTGGATTTCCTGATCCCCAAACTTATCGAGTTTACCGCTAGCCCCACATCACAAGTTCGCTCAAAAGCGCTAGGTACGCTGAACTTTTTCGTCGACGATCCGATGCCGCAGGCCATGCAAGACAATGTCGAGAAGTTCCTGGTTCAACTCTTCACACTGGCCCAGAACGATCAAGATGAAGAAGTCCGAAGATTCATCTGCCGCTCCTTCACGAAACTGGCCAGCAACACCCCTGCCCTGGTCATGCCGCATTTGAGTGGTATCATCGATTACGTCTTGGTCCAGCAAAAGAGTGATCCCGAGTCTGATCTGGCCCTGGATGCTGCTGAGTTCTTCTTTGAGAATTGTGAGATTGAGGAGTTACAAGATGGTTTCAACCAACATCTTGACAAGATTGTACCGGTTCTTCTGGAGAGCATGATCTACAGCCAGGATGACCAAGCAAAGCTGGAAGCCGAAGCAGAGGAAGATGCCGAAAAGGAAGACAAGGAAGAAGATATCAAGCCCCAGTTCGCTAGCGCAAAGGAGAAGGGAATTGCAGTGAATCCCGACGAATTTGCGAACGGCAACGGTTACGCTTACGACGATGACGAACTCAGCGACGGCGAACTCGAAGATGAGGACTACGGCGAGGATCCTGAAGAAATGTGGAATCTCAGAAAATGCTCAGCAGCTGCTCTGGATACATTTGCCACACGTTTCCACGAGCGCGTCTTCGAGTTCACTCTGCCCTATCTAAAGGACAACCTCAACCACTCAGAGTGGCCTAACCGAGAAGCCGCTGTGCTCGCCCTGGGTGCCATCTCTGTTGGCTGTATGGAAACCGTCCAGCCAAGTCTTCCGGATCTGGTTCCTTTCTTGATCTCTCTGCTCACAGACTCGCAACCCGTCGTAAGGCAGATCACCTGCTGGGCACTTGGCCGTTATTCCTCCTGGGCCTCTCATCTGGACGAGGCTGGCAAGCGCCAGTTCTTTGAGCCCATGATGGAGGGCATCTTGTTCCGTATGTTGGACAACAACAAGCGTGTACAGGAGGCCGCAGCTTCTGCCTTTGCCAACCTCGAAGACCAAGCGACCCGTGAGATCACACCCTACTGTGTAATCATTGCGCAGCAGTTCGTCAGATGCTTTGGCAAATATAAGGATAAGAACATGTACATTCTGTACGATTGTGTTCAGACTTTGGCAGAGCACGTCGGTCCCGATATGGCACAGCCAGCTATTGTCGACCTGCTCATGCCTGCGCTCATCCAACGTTGGACCACGGTTTCCGACAAATCGCGGGAGATGTTCCCTCTGCTGGAGTGCCTGGCATACATTGCTACTGCTCTTGGTGAGGCCTTTGCTCCTTACGCCAAGCCCTTCTTCTCGCGTTGCATCAAGATTATCCAGGACAACTTGGAAGAAGGCAACCTTGCAGCTTCACAAGCATACATGGACACACCCGACAAGGACTTCCTTGTTACCAGCTTGGATCTGCTTAGTGCCATCATCCAGGCACTAGACGAGGCTAGAGCAAGCGAGCTCATCGCAACCGCCAATCCCAATTTCTTCGAGCTACTTGCCTACTGCATGAGAGATAGCAACAACGACGTCAAACAGTCTGCATATGCTTTACTTGGTGACTGCGCCATTTACGTATTTGCTCAAATGCAGCCTTACCTGGACTCCATCATGCGTATTCTCAGCATGCAGCTCGACTTGACTGAGGCGCTCCGCGATACTGACCCAATGCTCAAAGAGACTGCATTCAGAGTGATTAACAATGCCTGCTGGTCTGTTGGAGAGATCGCAATGCGTCATCAAGCTGGCATGGATCCCTACGTCGAGGATCTATTGCAGAAACTCGGCATGATCCTCTTCAGTCAGCAAGTTCCTGAGTCGCTAAACCAGAACGCGGCAATCGCACTGGGCCGCATGGGTCTGGGTAACGACCAGAAGATCGCGCCCCATCTTGCCCAATTCGCTCCCGCTTTCCTGACTGTTATGCAATCTGTTGAGTGGACCGACGAGAAGTTGGATGCATTCAGAGGTTTCGTTCAAATTGTGTTGGATAACCCACAGGCACTCGAGCAATGCTTGCTCGCTTTCTTCGCAGCAATTGCAAGCGTGCCGGCCGACTCGCGCAAGGTTCCTGTATCCCAAAGCAAGAGACCATTCGAAGGATTCCACAAGGTACGTAAAGAGTTGTTGGAGTGAGCAAGCCTTATGACTAACGACCTTATCCAGGCTCTCCAGGCATACAAGAATATGATCCCCGACTTTGATGGTTTCATTAACCATCTGCCCCAAGAGCAGCAGTACGAGCTCAGACAAAACTACAGCCTGTAAATGACAACGAAATATCCGGATCGAGGTTTCACCACACAACCCGACCTGCATCTTTTCCCTTTTCCTTCACTCGATGGCGATACCAACACTGGGAGCAATGTCGTATATATACCTATAGCAACGCATGGATGACGGCAGTATGATACGAAACACACACACACACACACACACATACACACAAAAGTGGTAACTGTTTTTTATGATTTTGAGCGTACTTAGCGTATAGCATCTGCACGGGTTAGCCGACAGCCTTTTTTTCTCTCTTCTGCTTCTTCTTGCTGTCATTCTTGCTCCCATCTTTCCAGCACCCGAACGAGGCGTTTTGTGTATCTCTCACCGTTGTCAAAAGGAACGTTTTGGAGGCGGTAAAACTACGTGGGAGATGGATGATGCTTTTCAAGAGACGTGGGGTCTGTTCTTCTTCTTTACTTTTAGGTAGTTATATAGGTAGGCCTTTTTTTGATCAGACAGCTTTGCTCGTGGCCATGTTCTTGCTTGATGGATGTGGGCGACCACGAGTGCGAGCGCTTCAACAAAAACTCTACCTCCCTGTGTGCAAAAGACAGTCACAGCCTATAATCGGCCCCTCTCCCTCACTAACCCGTTATGCCATCATAAGCTATAGAAATGCACAATTGGATTTCAAGATAGGGGTGCCACCATGGAAATACCCAAACACAACCTTCTCTCCGTGGATATCGCTCTGCTATACAAGAGATTGTGCGTTTTTACAGACACACTGTGACTGTCTATCGCACACGGGAAGGCTGTTGCAATCGTTTCGATAACACGACAGCTGCTGGTTCCTTATGCAATGCGACAGATGCGCTACCAACTGGTGAAACTGCATTGCAGTGGTTGTCCCCAGATTGAGAGCACGAATGCTCACAGAAGCAGACAGACCTTGAGAATCCAATTGAATGGAGCACTATCTCTACTCTTTACTGGACACATGTCTGGTCTGAAGATACCCTTCTGTTTTGCAGCGACTACGTGTACGCGTGCCAAACTCTATACTCGGGGAGGCTGAGACTTGAGACAGAGGCGAAGCTATACCTTGGCTTGGCTCCTAGCGATGGAGCAACACCGGAAGTGGGCGGCCTGTGTTGGAAACTGGAAGGCCTTAGGTATCAGCGTTCATTTAGATGAATAGACACGAGGAACCCCTTTTGATGTCTTGAGAGGATAGAGGTCCGAGGGGAACTTCCAAATAAGGGATAGGAAAGGAGAGAAGAAGGTTTGACGTCAAAAGGCGGGCGGTCGGAGTTGGTTGCAAGTCTAGATGCGGCAGGTTGGTGTAGAGTAGGATCGCCAAGCAGCGAAACCACTTCTACATGCCCGACCTTGAAACCACTTCTTGACTCTACACCGAACATCGACCTGCCATCTCAAAGACGCCTGGACTTTTTATCGCGACGTTGGCATTTGGTATAGCGTCCATAACGCTCTCCTGCAGCCCAACACGACCTGAGGCTCTAAACGTTTCCCCGCCCGCCACGCCCCGTAGCAGCAAGCCGCCAACTCCTTGCACAAACATTCAACCAGGCCCATCGCCCCAGCGCGAGTGCGGCGATAGTCACAATTCACCATGCCATCCAATCCGTTTGTTCCGCGAACAATGTCGACGTCTTATGTCCAGCCCGCGTCGACACCCGCCATCATTGTCAATGGCAAGCCGTGGACCGTCGGCTCTCACTATGGCCCCATCTCCTGGAACTCGGAGAACGTACACGCAAACGCCATGGGCTTGAGTTCGACGGGCAAGGGCATCCTTATCGGCATGCTGTCTGCCTTTGGCTCGGCTGCATTTGTCGCCATCATTCTCGCTTGCATCTACTTCTTCCGCTACACCAACCGTGGTCGTATCTTCCTCGACAGCATCGGCAGACCTGGAGAGTACGATGATGAGCAAGCTTTCTTGCGTGAAGAGGAGGATGCTTTGGAGGACATGGATGACCTGCAGCGTGCCGAGTACCTCCGCGCCAAGGGTAAATCAAGCACATATCCATCTTTTGAAGAGAACCGTCGCTGACATTGTGTCCTGAAGNCTTTCGTCACAGCCAATCCTCCCGAATCCGTCCAAACCGACATTTCGCTCTCGCAGTTCCTCGCAATCCAGGAGAAGGGTGTACAAGCTTGGGAGTTTGAGCCCGAGTTGGAGATCGCAAACTGCTTTGTCGAAGGCCGCACTGAGATCGAGTTCTTCGATGCCGAGTGCAGCGTCCAGAGCAATCTGCCTGTGCCCAAACAGAACGAGGTCTACTACTGGGAAGCAAAGATCTTCGACAAACCCGACAACACCCTGATCAGCATTGGCATGACCACAAAACCCTATCCTCTTTTCCGACTCNCCTGGTATGTTTGAATGTTCTATCCAGCATCAAGTCCATGACTAATCCGTACAGGTATGCACAAATACTCGGTAGCCTATACTTCCTCCGGCCAACGGAGGTACAACCAGCCTTTCTCCGGCACCAACTATGCACCATCATACGAGCAGGGAGATGTTGTCGGAGTAGGCTACAGACCTCGTACTGGGACCGTCTTCTTTACTCGCAACGGGAAAAAATTGGAAGATGTTGCCCATGGTCTCAAATCACAAAACCTCTTCCCCACCGTCGGAGCCAACGGACCTTGCAACATCCAGGTCAACTTCGGTCAGATGGGCTTCGTGTTCATCGAAGCCAACGTTAAGAAATGGGGTCTTGCTCCGATGACTGGCAGCCTTGCGCCGCCGCCACCATACGGCAGCGAACAAGGTAGCATTCTCCTCGAAGGCGGTAGAGAGGGTGTTCGCGAGGGCCAAGCATACATTCATGGCCGTACGCATAGTGCCACTGTCCGCCTGGGTAGACCTCCGACTAGTCCTGGACCTCGACGATCACCTACTGAGATCTCACTTGCTCAGCTCAGTTTGAGCGAGTCAAGGGAAGACGTAGGTGAAGGCACGAGCTACACGGCAGCTGGTCACGTGTCCGAAGATGATCTCGCAATGCCATCGCACTCGGATGCGCCGCCGCCGGAATACGAGAGCCCAGATGAAGAGAATCAGTTCTCGACACCAAGACCGAGTATGCACTCGGAGCATTCGCACCTACTACCGCATGACCCACCAATTCCTTCTTACGAAGCAGCGGTTGGAGAGCGCGCGAGTGGGTCTCGTAATGATGACAACTAGCCGACCAATCACGACTCTTTTTTCTTTGACATTTTATTTCTTACATGGCGTTCTAGCGATCTCTTTTGGGTGGATGGTGTTTTTCCACGAATTTTATTACCCCTCTCACAAACAGGGAAGGCTGGCAGGGCAAAGGGAGGAGGTGGATGGGTTGGGCAGGGACCAGTCTTACAAAGGAATTATGGGACAGGCTTGGATGTTATATTCATTTGCAAAAATCACAATCGCTTATCGACCTCTCAGACTCTCTCTACCATTTCGACGCCACAAGAGCCTCCAGCTTGACAACTTGAGCCTCACCCCCGCAGATGATATCGATAACGAATAGTGACGTAGGTTCTACCAAACGCCATCGACCTATTCACCGTATTGGCGATATTCAATCACAGCAAGAAGAGAAGCATCTACTCCTCTCATGAAGCCAAAAATCCGCATGTTTACACAATCAGTCATGGCTACATCAAGCATTCTCACTCCACTCAAAGAGCTCAAAGTCGCCAAACATCAAATCCAGGCACATGGCTTGACACCAAACACATCAATCCAGAACAAACCTTTGTTACTGTACAGAAATGCATTCAAGGCAAACACCAGTGCAAGTCAGATCGAAGAACATCTGAGCAAAGTAGGCGTAGTGGACCCAGCATGGAGGTATACTGTGAGTTTGTCTCTTCTCACTCCTCACTAAAGAAAGACAGCTTTTCTGATTACTTGTGCATAGATGTACTCGACATCCCACTTCCACAGCACCTCTCACGAAGTCCTCGCCATCTGCAACGGAGAAGCCAAACTATGCTTTGGCCACGAAGACAATCCGGACCGTGTAGAGGAGACCTTGAAGCAAGGAGATGTGGTTGTTGTGCCCGCAGGAGTTGCTCACAGATTGTTAGAAGATGTTCAAGGAGGGTTTGAGATGGTGGGATCATATCCTAAAGGATTGAGTTGGGATATGTGTTATGGAAAGAAAGGGGAAGAAAGCAAGATCAAGGGGATTGAGAGATTGGGGTGGTTTGAAAAGGATCCGGTGTATGGAGAGGGAGGCCCTGCTACGGAGGTTTGAATGTCGTGCATGGAACGGCTTGAAAGCACTTCCTTACCCCGGTGCTGATCGTGACTGGTCGTGCATCTGGTGCGACAAGACACCACAAGCAAAAGTCTTTCGAGTGTCTAGAGACGACACACTCTTTCTGAAGAGAATGGCATTTCTCAAAAGACTCCTAATAATGAAACCACTCCCTTCATGAAAGTGAAACACGCTCACAGATTCGCCAGGCACGTCAGGCAGCCGCTACCCCAGATTTTCGGGAGTTGCCGCAGGGCAGGCAGCAGTTGCCTCAGCGCTCAGACGGTAAATGACATAGGATGAACCGTCAGAGAACAAGCTCCTACAATTCCGCGTTCACTCCAACCCCTCTATCACATATTACCATCCGGCAACAATCTCAAGCTTCGGTATTGTGAGCCCGCCATCTGGGTATCGAGCACAAAGACATCCATCCACCTCCTCGCCACTTCCTCTCAGCACAGTCTTATTCGGCGACGCGCATCTTCACAATCGCCCGCGTGCTCAACCCCTCCTACCGCAACCATGGCGAAGAATGCCACCGCTATGCCTCAGTTACCTGGCAAGGACGATATTCAAGGAACTTGGGATTTCCTTGCCATCGGCGTCGAGAAGATTATGAACCACCTTCGTGATGGTATTGATCTCAAGACGTACATGAGCCTGTACACAGCCATCCACAACTTCTGCACAGCTCAANAAGCTGTCGGTCAAACCACAAATCTTAACGCCACGCATCGTGGAGGTCAGTCCAAACACCGCTCTACTAGTCTACACGCTCCAGCAAGCTAACCTTCAAGCACAGCACACCTCCTTGGAGAAGATCTGTACAAGCGCCTAAATGATTACCTCCAATCTCACCTGGCTACTGTCCACTCCGAGATGGTCATGCATTCGGACGAGGCTCTTCTGTCCTTCTACATCAAGGAGTGGAACCGATACACCACCGCCGGCACCTACAACAACCACCTTTTCCGCTACCTTAACAGACACTGGGTCAAGCGTGAGATCGACGAGGGCAAGAAGGACATCTATGACATCTACACCTTGCACCTGGTCCGATGGAAGGAGGACATGTTCGGCACCACTCAGAACGCTGTTATGGACGCGGTCTTGCACCTGGTCGAGAAGCAGCGTAACGGCGAGACGATCGAGCAGAGCCAGATCAAAAGTGTCGTCGATTCGTTTGTCTCGCTGGGAATCGACGAGCAGGATAGCACAAAGTCGACCCTCGACGTCTACCGCATCTACTTTGAGAAGCCCTACCTTGAGGCCACCGAGAAGTACTACGCCCAAGAGTCTCGCCAGTTCCTCGCTGAGAACACCGTTGTCGAATACATGAAAAAGGCAGAACAGCGTCTTGAGGAAGAGAAGGAGCGTGTACCTCTGTACCTGCTCAACGAGATAATGACTCCCTTGATGAAGACCTGTGAGAAGGCCCTGATTACCGATCACTGTGCCATTCTGCGCGACGAGTTCCAGGTTCTACTCGACAATGACAGAGTCGAAGACATGACCCGCATGTACAAGCTGTTGGCCCGCATCCAGGATGGACTGGATCCTTTGCGAAGCAAGTTCGAGGCTCACGTCCTCAGAGCTGGCAACGCTGCCGTTGACAAGGTTGCCTCTGCCGCTGAGAACTCAGTCGACCCCAAGACATACGTCGATGCTTTGCTCGAGGTCCACACCAAGTACTCGGATCTCGTCCAGACTGCTTTTAACGGCGAATCTGAGTTTGTCCGCAGTCTTGATAACGCTTGCCGCAACTATGTCAACCGCAACGCCATCTGCAAGAACGGATCAACTCGCTCGCCCGAGCTTCTGTCCAAGCACGCCGATACCCTGCTGAAGAAGTCGACCAAGAGCACCGAAGAGGATGACATGGAGCAACAACTCAACCAGGTCATGACCGTCTTCAAGTACATCGAGGACAAGGATGTCTTCAACAAGTTCTACTCGAAGACACTGGCCAAGCGTTTGGTTCAAGGCACATCTGCTTCTGGTGACGCCGAGACTAGCATGATCTCCAAGCTGAAAGACGCAAGTGGATTCGAGTACACCAACAAGCTTCAGCGTATGTTCCAGGACATGCAGACGTCCAAGGATCTGAACGCATCATACGACGAGTGGTGCAAAGGAAACCTTGAAGAATCCGACCGCAAGGCCATTATCGACTCCTACTACAACGTCCTTGGTACCGGTTTCTGGCCACTGCAGCCCTCGAGCACTCCCTTCACACCCCCACAAGACATCGCGCGCACATATGAGCGCTTTCAGAGCTATTACCTTAGCAAACACGGTGGCCGTAAGCTTACTTGGCTCTGGCATCTGTGCAAGGGTGAGATCAGAGCCAACTACGTCAGGATGAACAAGGTTCCGTACACCTTCCAGGTTTCGACCTATCAGATGGCTATCTTGCTGCTCTTCAACGACAGTGAGACAGTCTCCTACGACGAGATTGCTGAAGCCACCAAGCTGAACAAAGACACTCTTGATCCCTCGATTGCTATCATGCTCAAGGCAAGAGTGCTTACAGCCAAGCCTGAAGGTGCTGGTCAAGCAAGTGGTACTACCTACACACTCAACCATGGTTTCAAGAACAAGAAGCTCAAGGTCAACCTCAACATCGCCATCAAGTCCGAGCAGAAGCAAGAAGTCGAGGAGACACACAAGACCATCGAGGAGGACAGAAAGATGCTCATGCAGGTAAGTCATTCTGATCTATGTTATTCTTTCCGTGCAATATGCTAACCAAATCGACAGTCTGCCATTGTCCGCATCATGAAGTCTCGCAAGACGATGAAGCACACACAGCTGGTCGCCGAGGTCATCTCGCAGATCAAGAACAGATTCGTGCCCAAGGTGCCAGACATCAAGAAGTGTATCGACATCCTCCTGGAGAAGGAGTACCTGGAGCGTCTGGAAGGCGATGAGCTTGGTTACTTGGCTTAAGTAGCAGAGTACGGAGTGACATGAAACGAGGAAGCAGGCGTTATGGGGGTGCGAAAAGGGGGTACCCTGGTGGAATTCGAGCATGGCGTTCTGGATGGTGTGGCTTTTCTATCGTCGCGACACACGACCGTCAGTATCGTGAAGCTTTCACATTCGTAGAAACGCAAACACATTTGTATCTATCCTTGCTTCTGCAACTTGCATGATCCTTTGTGATATGTGCTCTGGTTAGTAGAATGTCGGATCTAATCTTATCTCCATGCATCGGCGGAAAGCGCGAACATGCCGGTCCCCACCAACCAGCATCATCACAAGAGCAATCCGCGCATTCAATCTCGTCCAACACACACGAGCAGTAGCCCGATGCTGACTCTTTGGTACAACGATCTATCAGTTCCGACAGTTATTGCGCCACATCGCTGAAGAACAGTGACGCCATGGAAAGACAGAGGAAGCGTACGCCGGCCATCGAGCTCGACAGGAAAGTATTACATGTTAATGATGTATCACAGGCGAGCTGCGCGACCTCAACCAGCGGGCATGGGCCGGTGAAGCAAACGTCCTCCCCGTCCAGGGCTCGCTCGACTCGTCCATGAAAAAGAACACGGCATTCATCAAGCGTCTCCGAACCGCCATCAACGCCGCCGGCCAGACTGTCTTCCTGCAGGAAATCTGCACCCTCTCCCTCCACAAATACTTGTCCGAGATCATATCCGCCTGCTTCGAAGGCCTCACCAAACTCAAGTCTCCTGGAGAAATCGCCGCTGGCGTTGAAATCGTCTCTGCTCTCCACCAACGCTTTGGTCCCGATGAGTTTACCAAGATGCTCGGCTGGTTCGTCGGCCGTGGCCTGGCTACACCTGACAGGGCTCAGTTGAAGACCTTGGCTCAAGAGGTACGGGAAAGAGAAGAGAAGGAACGAATCTCAAGACAGCGCATCCTCCTGCGCGTGGCTACCGAACTGTGGCTTGTCGGTGTCTTGCATAGTTTGGAAGACATTGCTCGCCCTGAAGAAGCCAACAAGTTGAAAGAGTCGGGAAAGCCTGTGGACACCATGCCCAAGGCCAAAACTACTCGCTCCGACTCTGCGGACCCCGAACCCTTTCCTCTTGAAGTGCTCAAGGACATGCTAGGCCACGACCGCGATCATGTGAACCTGCCACTGGTTGTCATCTTCGTCAAGAGTTTTGCTTGGGACATTCTGGCTTCTAAGTCTACACAGGATGGCCGCAAGACTGTTGCTGAGGATGGCTCAACCGCTACTATCAACGCTACAGATGAGGTCGACGGCGATGCAAATGGAACACAAGACCCTCCGCTCTGCGCTCCCGACATGCAGCAACGCTTCAAGAACATTCTCAGCCGCTACTTCCAGGACGTCAAGGCACATATTGTTCGCGATCAGAAGCATCTCAGTGCCCAAGGACGACGTAACGCCGAAGCATATGTCAAGTCTGGAGAAGTATTCGAAGACCGACAGACCAACTTTGAAAAATTGACAAAATCTCACGAAAAGTTGGTCTCAAACGCCCAGGTCCTGGCAGATGCACTGGGCGCTGACATGCCGGATCTGTCTGAGAAGGAGTCAAACAATGCCGGTGGAGACGGCGGTATCGGCCTGGTTAAGACTGGCGAGTATCTGCGCGGCCAAGGCGAAGGCGCTGGCATTTGGGAGGATGAAGAAGAAAGACGCTTTTACGAGAACTTGATCGATCTCAAAGACAGAGTCCCCGGAATCTTGCTTGAGGATGGCAAGAAGAAGAAATCTGACGGGGATGATCAGGTCGGTAAGAGGATTGACGAGACATCCGAAGCAAAGGACAAGTTTGAAGTTGCAGAGCCCAAGGCAGCAGAGGGCGACGACCAGTCAACCGCTATTGCCAACAAGACAGTTGGTGCACAGGTTGATGCCTTGCTTGCCCAACTAGTCGACCTGACCAACAAAGACCAAGTCGATCAGTTTGCTATTGACTTCTGCTTCTTGAACTCCAAAGCTTCCCGAAATCGCTTGGTGAGGGCTATCCAGGACATTCCCAAAGGCAGGACCGATCTGTTGCCTCTGTACTCGCGCCTTGTCGCTACTCTCGGAAAGCAGTTAATTGACGTTCCGCAAGCCCTGATCGCCTACCTTGACGAGGAATTCAGAAGTCTGCAACGTCGCAAGTCGAAGGATTTCCTCGGACAGGTCCGTATGATTAACATCAGATATATCGCCGAGCTTACCAAATTTGGTGTTGTCCCTGAGCATGTCATCTTCCATTGTCTGAAGGTCAGCCTGGACGATTTCTCACGCATGAATATTGAGATCATTTCCAATCTTCTGGAAAATTGCGGTCGCTACCTCCTTCGCAACCCAGACACCTCACCCAGGATGGCCTCTTTCCTGGAGACTTTGCAGCGCAAGAAGGGTGCTCAGCACCTTGGACAGCAAGAGCGCATGCTTATCGAGAATGCCATGTACTATGTCAACCCGCCCGAGCGAGCAGCCATTCAGCAAAAGGAGCGTACTCCTCTGGAGCTCTTTGTTCGTAAGCTTATTTACTTGGACCTCTCGAAGCGCTCCATTGAGAAGATCATCAAGCAAATTCGAAAGCTACATTGGGAAGAGCCAGAGGTTCCGGAACTCCTTCTCAAGATCTTCATCAAGCCTGGCAAGATCAAGTACAGTAATATCCATCTGCTCGCCGTCATCCTCGCAGCGCTGCACCGCTATCATCAGAACTTCACTGTCGCTGTGCTTGACGACACACTCGAGCAGATAACAGTTGGATTGGAGACCAACGACTTCAAGCAGAACCAGAAGCGCATCGCTGAAGTCAAATATCTTGGTGAGCTGTACGTCTACCGCATGGTCGATTCAGCACTCATCTTCGACACGCTTTACCACATTGTGAACTACGGCCATCCAGGCGGATTCGCTCGTCCGGGCTCCTACAACATGCTCGACCTGCCGGATGATTACTTCCGCATCAGACTCGTGGCTAGTCTCCTCGAAACCTGCGGCATGTACTTCGACAAGGGTGCCGTGAAGAAGAAGCTCGATTTCTTCCTATCTTTCTTCCAGTATTATATTCAGACCAAGGAACCAATGCCTATGGATATCGAGTTCGTCGTCCAAGACATGTTTGCGCTGTTGCGGCCTCAGTGGAAGGTCGCTACGACTTTCGAGGAAGCGCAACAAGTCTTTAGTGAGGCTGTCAAACACAACTATCAGGCAACCGGCGCCAACAAGCAGCAAGAAGAGGAAGTGGATGGAGAGGATCGCCGTGAGATCGACGACGTCAACAACGACGACGACAATGATGACAAAGATGATGACAACGACGACAACGACGACGACAAGTCATCTGGAGACGAAGCTGCAGAGCCTACTGATGATGAGGGCGCCGGTGAGACTCCAGAGGAGGGCACCGAAGATGAAGAAGAGCACATTGTTGTGACACGCCCCGAGGATCAGCGTGATCCTGAGGCCGACGCTGAGTTCGACAGAGAGCTGGCCAAGATGATGGCAGACAGTGTTGAGTCACGCAAGTTTGACCGCAAGCCTGTCTTTGACGTGCCCTTACCGATGCGTAAGACTGCCACTGCTACTTCAACCCCTAACAGTGAACCAAGCCAACCTATCGAACCTCCATCAAACACAATGAAGTTTGCACTTCTCAGCAGAAAAGGCAACAAACCACAGGCAAGATTTCCAATCCAACCCTCCACGTTTCAACATGCCTGTTTGCTAACTTACANNCAGACTCGCTCTATTGACTTACCTTCAGACTCGAACTTCGCGGTCGCAATGCGCAGCCAGCAAGAGCAAGCTCGTGCTGAGCAGCAGCGCATCAAGAACTTGGTCCTCAATTACGACCTCCGCGACGACGACCCCAACGATGGTGAATCATCCTTCCACTATGTTTTGCAGCCCAACACGAACCGCACGGTTCTTGTAGGCAAAGGCGCTTTGAACCAACCACTGTCATCTAGGGATTCCAACAATCCTGTGGCGACAAGCACTTCCAACACATTCAAATCAAGCAACTATGGCAATGTCAACACTGCTCATGGTATAAGTCTTCATACACNNTCTCCCCCTTCTGCGATCACATCCTCCTACGCCTGCACCCGCAACAACGAAAATGCAAAGCCCAGAGCTGCCGCATCAACCACAAATGCTGACTTTTCCTCTTCTACTTCCACAGCAGCTTTAGATGCACAGTCCCCCTACAACCAGCCTCGTGTTGACAAATCAGGGACTTCACGTAACGTCACCCGAAGCAGAAAGTTGCAGCTCAGTGATGTCGACTGGTATGCCAAAACTCCCTCCAATCCCCAAGCACCATCGCAGAAAGAAAAGCCAGAGACCAAGTTGAGCTTGGATTCATATATTGTCGCGAGCAAGAGGCAGAGAAAGCCTTCTGAAAAGAGAAACAAAGGCCCGGATGCTCTGGGCAATTTTTGAACGAAAAGCGAGATGACGTGGCTATCAAAGAAACGAATCACAGATGCATGCGTAACCAAACCGACAGAGACTGATGTAAGGCCCCCGTCGGGCAATCGCAGGACTTGAAACCCAATATCGCTACGTATTTTTTGATCCACCGACAACCACCGACCGACATACGAAGCTTCGGATAGCTGTTTTCTCCTTAGACGACCGACTCGTCGCTTTGGTCAACAAGAGCGAGACCGTTCTATCGCCAATGAATGTCTCGCACTGCTTTGTGCTTGACAAAGGGTAAGAACTTTGTTCGCAGGCTGAAGAAGACTAGCGACAATCGTGGCTCTCATCAAATCAGCTCGAACTCGAACACCAAGACGCAGCGACGCAGGGGCAGGGAGAGACGGACTTTGTTTTTGGCTGCTAGCAGCTGATGCTGAGATCTTTTCTCGCACACGCAAGAGGCAAAGAAGCTAACTACCTGCGTTTCATGACTTGTCCCTTCTGCTTGCTCGAATCTTCTGGCTTGCTTACGAAAATGGGAAGGAAATGCAAAGCGAAGAGTACTTAGATATTCTCCTTGATCAAAGCAGACACTCTTTCTCTTTGTTTGTATCGAGCATACCGGTTGTGATGTTTGCATCGGCCATTTGTGTATTGCAACAACAGGCCTTAACAAAGGGTAACAAGGGACTATCGAGACAGCTACCACAAAGACAAATTGACGGTCTAGTCACAGGAAGATGTTGCGAACGATCAGCACGATCAACAGGGGAACAAAGACTTAGGATTAAAGTTTGTGATCAAGCAACGCAGGTCGGTACAGTTAAAGAAATAACGCCCGTTTTGCTTCCCGAATATAGTGAAAACGCCGTTGACATCCCAGGTCGTCGTCATCAGCAAACGTTCCCATAAAACATAAAGCATGAACCATGATCCCATGAACGTCGTTTCAGCCATACGAGCCCACATCGCCCGAGTCATCAATAAGAGCTTCTTCCATCGAACCTTTTCGCTTCAAGTGGCGGTCATGCATCTTCATAGCCATCTTCAACACTGCTTTGCTGAGCTAGAGCACTGAGTGGACAAATTGCAGCGTTGATGAAGCATCTGCCCATGTGTGCAGAAAAGAAGACGTAGGTGCCATTGGACGATCTCGAAGCTACTTCTTGGGAGCGGAAGTGGTGTAGCCAGCACCTCTGGCGTCGTTGTTGAAGATGTGCTCCACGGCGGCTCTCTTCTGGTCGCTCAGCTTGAAGCTAGGCTGTCTGCCAGGGTAGAGAGCAGGAGGAGCATCGGGACCGCCAAAGTCGCTGCGGATGGCAAGGCCGATGTCGTCAATGTGCTGTTGTTCACCAGTGGCGGCGGCACGGTCTCTCAGGGCCTGCTCGTAGGTGTTGGTGAGACGACGCTGGAGGTGGTTGTGGTGCATTCCATGAGCCTCCTGCTGGATGTCGGCGTGCGAGTGAGGAGGATGCATCTCAGGTGAGTGGTACTCGGGGCCCATGTTGGGAGAGGTCGGGGAACCAGCAGAGGCAGGGCTACTGCCGCCAGCTGAGGTGCCGGGACGCTCGTTGGTGAGACCTTGGTTGGAAGTGGGGTGGGAAGCAGACATTGCTGGATGATTGGTCGTGGTAACGATGATAGGAGGATCAGAAGAGTGAGTTGATGCTGCTCCTGTCAACGCCACGCTCAACAGAGGTACTGTATANGGACGTGGGGTGATTGCTGCAGACGAGCTGACAATAGACTGTGATGAGGGATGACCTCCTGCAGATAGGGTGATGTCGAGTTGTTCTCGATGGAAGAGTGAGTTGAAGGGGNNGAAGTGTTTACGTCGAGTATCGTCGNNAGCCTCGACGTTCGTCTTTCGTCGGGGTAACGACCCCTCGACGGACGACGCATGCCACCTGCCTTGTAACCTGTTCTATGACTTGTACGTGAGGGAAAGAGCACCCATTGTAGATTTCATCTTGCGATGGTGAGGTACATCGGGAAGGTACCCTTGTCCTCTACTACTTCCTGCAGTAAAGAGCTTTCCCCGCATCACACTTACACTGCTGATCGAGCACGAGCTCAGAGCTGTCTCTGAGCAGCAAGCCCGTGCGATATCGTTGTCGTCTCGTCCTGGAACTGTTCTACTTGTCTACCGAACCCATGTGTTCAGCCCAGTGAGACAACAACGCACAGGTTTTGGTGATACTGTAGAAGCTTCCATTCTTTGACCAGAAGTTCAATAGAGACAACGCTCGTGACAGAAGGGTTTGAAGCTGTCCAATAGTGTGCCCAGCCACAGGGAAGATCAAACTTTCGGCCGCCTCGGACCTTGTTGAGCCCTGAATCGAAACACTCATCTTGGCAAGAAACTTATCTGATACGGCTGCGACACGAAATAGCCTGTGCGACCCTTTAGGATTCTTGTGCGGCATCACTTCTAGAAAGACATCACTTGACTCGTATTTGGCTCTCTCCAAAAGGCAATGCCAATTCGCCAAGGACGCATGAACCTCCCTCCGGCATCGATTCGCGTCCCGTACTGCGCCATCTTGATTTACGCAATCTCGAGTTGGGCCGAGCCATCACGAAGACGGATGCGGGACTTCGAAAGTCGGTGAAGACGGGCATCAATCAATTTCTTCTATTCCCATTCCAAAAGACGTCTCTATTCCACTTTGGCATGATTGAGCAGATTTGAAACGGTTTTGCAAATTACCGTTGAGAAGTGTTCTCATCCTCACACACGCCACTATCCCCACACCAGGCCTGCCTGTCTCGCACCTTTCCTCTATTAGTGTCTGAACCTCTAGTCCGGCACTCCGCTCGAAGGAAAAAGAAAGATTCCCCATGTCTTCTCTGGTAAATAATATCTGGCCGTTTCTCGTCTTTCTCTTCCTCACGCTACCTCATTCCCAACTCAGACAACCGTCTCTTCTCTGGTCACGGCTCTCGACATATACATATCGGTATCGAACCACCTAGAAGGGCATGCTCATTTGAATTTCTCAACGCATTTTCATTCATTCGTTCATTATGTCGACTCTATCTTCTCCGGCTCTGAGCTTCTGCGACTCTCTTTCTTCGCCGGACCTTGATGCCTATTTGGACCGTCTTTCACCGCTGTCTCAACTACCATCGCCCACAATGAAGGAAGCTTGGTGGAGAGAAGAAACTCTTCACGGAAGACATGACTCGATTCTGCCCGACATCTCGCCATTGTGTGAGTTTTCCTTAGAAACACATTTGTTGATAGGCACGTGAGCTTACGAAAATCNNACAGTCGTCATTGCTGCAGACGTACTTTGCAATATCACTTCGTGTGACAGCTGCAGGTCCATCAAACCATTGCAAACAATGATCACACGGTTCCTGAAAAACTCTCGAGTGCCTATTGAGACCGTTGCTCTGGCTTACAATATCTTGTCTCAACCGGCCGTTGCGGCTATGCATTGCTGGCACAGCAACCCGGCTGGGTTCTCTTCCGGTCAAATGGCAAAGATCATGCAAATCCATGGACCTGAATCGGATGCTTCTTGTCAGCGAGCTCTGGTTATTCTTTCGGCGCTGAATGTTGCAGTATCCTTCACCGAGGACAATCCTAGAAGCTTGTTCCATTGGTCAAGACAGGTGGCTGGAGGCATCTTCAGCACCGAGCAGATCAACACTATGAACCGTATGGTTCTTGCCCAGCTGGAGTGGTCAATTCATCCCCTCGCTGCACCAACGGCGATCGAGACAGCTCTTTCAGCTCTGTCAATCCCGGAAGTTATCACGCACGACAAACATCCACCATTCACACCGCTGGTTGTTGACNGGGAAGACACTCTCAGGTTAATTCTCGGCCCACAAACGGTTATCCAGCATGGACTTGCGACACCTGAGCGAACACCCGACTGCATACATGGGGACGATGATTTGGTGCCGCGGTATCTGCCTGCAACTGGAGAGTAAAGAGATCGGTGGAATGGTGTAACACAAGGAAGCGAGCTTTGTCGGATTGTCTTGTTGGCCCTGGAGGCTCAAGTGGTTACAGGTACGACTAATTGCATGTGGGATCAGGTGTTCGGAGGACGGAAGCGATGTTTGATATCCGGGTTACGGCGCACGATGGACACAGGCAAAAGGCAGGCTGCGTGTATTTTTTTTTTTTGGCAGCTCACGATGATACCCACCTGATACGGTTTTTCAAGATATGGCGGCAGCGGATGGAAAGAAGACTAGAGGCTAGCTAGTAATACTGGTATCAAGACGAGCTACTGCATGCCCGAACAAGACGGTCACTCCCTGGTGCATGTGCAATATTCGGAGCGACTGTCAACAAAAGAGACGGGAGCAACACGCCAAGGTCCGAGCTAGAAGAAGGTTCGACCCGAGCGGCTCCAGACCCGCGCGTTCGCTGCTACCCCGCATCACCAGATACATCGGAACACCCAACAACAAGCAGCCACTGGCCAGTCGTACCTCCCTCACACGCAGCAGCCACCTACGGCACCAAGTCCAGAGCTCCGGAAGCGTTGGGGGCCGTCGACATCTTCTTCTACTTCTCGCCTCGTCCCTCTCCTTCCCCTGTCAATCATCTTCTTGCTCCAGTCAGCTCCGAGAGCTGCCCTCATACCCCTCAAACCCCCTCATTCTCCAGACTGCTCGTACCATAGTCATCATGGCTACCACGGCCACAGCCTCGCGTTCGCGCAGACCTTCAACATCGGCCCCAGTAGCTGAACTCTCGGGTCCCATTGGGCCTGCTGGCATCACAAGACCCAAGCACAAGCGTACAATTACAGGCTTCGGTGCATCCGATATCAAGAGCGTCGAAGCTGAGATTCCAGATGAGCAAAAGACTGCGTAAGTAGCCTGGACAGTAACTGTACCGAGAGCTATACTAACACGAGTGTTCTAGCNNTGGAAGAAACATGTATGGCAATGGCCCATCGCTGACATGGTACCGATCCAACGCTGACCCAAGCAGACTGCTTCAGGATTCAAGAACAAGGAGGACTTTGAGGTATAACAGGCTTTAACAGACACGACTCGCACAGTTCTAATTGAACTGGCAGNNGCCGCAGCCATCCGTCACATCGAGACGACCCTCGCTCGCTCACTCTACAACTGCGATGAAGGGTCAGTCTTAGCATGCTCCCAGACAAGGAATTGAGCTGATTTGGATTGCAGCGCTGCTTACGGCGGAACAGCTTTGGCATTTCGCGACCGCCTCATCATCGACTGGAACAAGACGCAGCAAAGTCATACCTTCGCTGACCAGAAGCGTGTCTATTNNGTAAGATTACCAACTTTAGTTCTATCGCAATCACTGACAAGCATAGATCTTTCTCTCGAGTTTTTGATGGGAAGAGCCTTGGACAATGCCATGCTCAACGTTGGCCTGAAGGATGTAGCAAGAGGTACGGCACACATCTCTGTCTAACACATGGCGAGTCTAACTCTTGTGTAGNATGGTCTCGCAGATCTCGGCTTCCGGATGGAAGATGTCATTGGCATCGAACGTGATGCCGCTCTCGGTAACGGTGGTCTCGGTCGTCTAGCAGCTTGCTTCCTGGACAGTCTTGCCTCGCTCGACTACCCTGCCTGGGGTTACGGTCTAAGATACAGATACGGTATCTTCAAGCAAGAGATTATCAATGGATACCAAGTCGAGGTGCCTGATTACTGGCTCGACTTCAACCCCTGGGAGTTCCCCCGACACGACGTTACAGTCGACATCCAATTCTACGGCCATGTCCGCAAGTACAACGATGACAACGGAAGACAGGTATCCGTCTGGGAGAATGGCGAGATAGTAACTGCCAACGCCTACGATGTACCCATCCCTGGTTACAACACGCCCACCACCAACAATCTGCGTCTGTGGTCTAGCAAGGCTGCCAGCGGCGAGTTCGACTTCCAAAAGTTCAACTCTGGCGAGTATGAGCAGTCGGTGCATGATCAGATGAGAGCCGAGACCATCTCTGCTGTGCTGTACCCCAATGACAAGTAAGTTGAGCCGAACGAGCAACGACGAACAGCTCACTAACACTGACATAGCCTTGACCGTGGTAAGGAGCTTCGTCTCAAGCAACAATACTTCTGGTGCGCTGCTTCGCTCCACGATATCGTCCGTCGTTTCAAGAAGTCAAAGAAGGCCTGGAAGGAGTTCCCCAACCAGATCGCTATACAGCTCAACGACACGCACCCGACGCTTGCCATTCCAGAGCTGCAACGCATCCTGGTCGACAATGAAGGTCTTGATTGGGACACTGCTTGGAACATTGTTGTCAACACGTTCGGCTACACCAACCACACCGTCATGGCAGAGGCTCTTGAGAAATGGTCCGTCCCATTGATCCAGCATCTGCTTCCTCGCCACCTTGAGATCATCTACGAGATCAACCTGCACTTCTTGCAGTACGTCGAGCGTACCTTCCCCAAGGACCGTGACATGCTCTCTCGCGTTTCAATCGTTGAGGAGTCCAACCCAAAGATGATCCGCATGGCTTTCCTCGCCATTGTCGGCTCTCACAAGGTCAACGGTGTCGCTGAACTGCACTCCGACCTGATCAAGACAACCATTTTCAAGGACTTTGTCAAGATCTACGGTCAGGACAAGTTCACCAACGTCACCAATGGTATCACTCCTCGTCGTTGGCTGCACCAAGCCAATCCTAAGCTGTCCGAGCTTATTGCTTCCAAGCTTGGTGGCTATGACTTCTTGAAGGACCTCACTCTACTGCACAAGATTGAGGCATATGCCGATGACAAGCAGTTCCGCAAGGCATTCCAGGACATCAAGTACGCCAACAAGTCCCGCCTCGCCAAATACATCAAGGAGACTACCGGCGTGTCAGTCAACCCCGCAGCCCTGTTCGACATCCAGGTCAAGCGTATCCACGAGTACAAGCGTCAGCAGCTCAACATTTTCGGTGTCATTCATCGCTACTTGGCTCTCAAGGCTATGTCACCAGAGGAGAGAAAGAAGATGCAGCCCAGAGTCTCCATCTTCGGTGGCAAGGCTGCTCCTGGTTATTGGATGGCCAAGTGCATCATTCATCTTGTCAATGAAGTCGGCAGAGTTGTCAACAATGACCCCGAGATCGGTGATGCTCTGAAGGTCATCTTCATCGAGGATTACAATGTCTCAAAGTGTGAGATTATCGCACCTGCCTCTGATATCAGTGAGCACATTTCTACTGCCGGCACAGAGGCTTCAGGTACTTCCAACATGAAGTTCGTCCTCAACGGCGGTCTCATCATCGGTACATGCGATGGCGCCAACATCGAAATCACCAGAGAAATTGGTGAGGAGAACATCTTCCTGTTCGGTAACCTAGCCGAGGACGTCGAGGATATCCGCCACCAACACACCTATGAAGGCGTTCTGATTGATGACGGTCTCCAANAGGTCTTCGATGCCATTCACGGTGGCATGTTCGGCCACTCGGACGAGTTCTCTGCTCTGACAAACACCGTTGTCAACCACGACCACTGGTTGACCTCTGCCGACTTTGAAGCATACTGCAAGACCCATGACTCTATTGACGAGGCATTCAAGGACCAGGAGGCATGGCTTCACAAGACTATTCTCGCAGTTGCTCGCATGGGCTTCTTCACCGCCGATCGTTGTATCGAGGAGTATGCCGAGATGATCTGGAACGTCGAGCCTCAANAGATCAAGCAGAATGGCGCGTAAGTTTAGAGCGATAGACAAATCATCTTTCGAGACGCCTACGAGACATGAAGAATGGTAATGGGAGTCGATAGTGCTTTATTTCGGTAATGATCAAACATTAGCAGTCTTTTATTCTTTGTGCCAAGAATCTCCCTCTAATGCTGTCATTGCTCAACACTTTATACTTGGAAGTTGCCTGCGTCTTTGATTCTACGCTGCACATTGGTCGCAAACTCACCAAATGAAAAGTAGCAGTTTTTGGCTGGCTTCGAGTTGTTATGCAACCGCAACCGTGATGCTGACATCGCTTGCTGACTCTACATACATGCTGACAAGGCATGTTGACAACGCATATCAATTTGACAATGCATACCCGCTTTATATTACATCTTTGACTTGACATTACGTCTTTGACTTGACATTACGTCTTTGACTTGCCATTACATCTTTGGCTTGATATTGCATGTTCGACTTGACACTGCATGTTTTGTTTGACATTACATGTTGACGCTACATATCTGACTTGACAATGCATATTCAAGTTGTATATCGATTTGACATTACATGTTGACACTACCTATATTGACTATGCATACCGAATTGACATTGCATGTTTGACTTGAGATCGTTTGCTGCCATTGCAAACTGACATGGCATGACAATATCACACATTTACAATGCATGTTGACGCTGCATATTATTCTGACAATGTATATTGATGACATTAGATATTTATAACATTGCACGTTCATGACATTGCATGATGACAATGCATACGAGCCTGACAGTGCATATAAACATGACAATGCATATCAAGCTGATATTGCATATAAAGATGACAAAACATACAAAGATGACAACGTACATAAAGATGACAAAACATACAGAGATGACATTGCATACAAAGATGACACTGCAGTACTGTCTTTGGTTTGTGTAGACAACCCTTCGCATTGCACATCACGTTCGGAAAAGATCAGGCATAAAAAGTCAAGAAGATTTGCAATCTCGCAAGTCGCCAGATTCGACTGCGAAGTCCCCGTCCAACGCCAACCCTGACCGCCAAGCCAGGCTTACCACCATATTTCCAGTCAAAAATTTCTACTGCACTCACCACCACCTTCGCAACACAAACGACGTAGTGCAAAAAGACACCAAAGAGGAGTCAACGATGTTGTAGGAATAGCCGAAGGCGGGGCTCGAACCCGCGACCTTGAGGTTTGGAATATCGAAGCGATAAGAGCCACACGCTCTACCGATTGAGCTACCCCGGCAGGTCTGATGATCAAGTTGTGTGTCACAACTGGCTGTTGACTTGTGAAGACTCGGGAGGCCAGTTGGTATATAAAGCTTCATCTTCCCTCTGGTGTACTGAGATGTTGGGAATGAGCTTCTGTAGCTGCTTTGATGTGTGTTCTGGTTCTGTAGGTATACAATCTATCTTTGGGATTGATTATGGCTGACAAACCATCATGTCTATCGAGGATGGATCTCTTGTTTTGATGCACCAAAGTCAATAGAGCTAGGCAGGTGAGCTACAACTGTTCCAGAGTCGGCAAGGTACAACACTTCACATGGTGTATCTCTTTCGATGTGAGAAGAGTAGCCAAAGAGAGCCGCTAAGATGTTGGCTTTCAGTGGATACTGCCCTGTTTCTTAATACCACTGTGCATTTCTATAGCTACACGCGTTCACACACTTTAGCACGTGGGGAGGTGGTGTTATTGTGGCTGGACCGAGTCTTCAGGGGGAAAGAGGACCAACACAAATGGACGACTTAATAGTGAGTGCAGTCTGTTCCATCAGCACTAACGTCGCATGAAGTAGTACTGTTCTGTGTTGCTTCCAGGAGTTGCGTGGCTCATCGTTGGGATTGGGTGGAGTTGAAATCCAGGCGCATCAACGTGCCAGCTCTACTTTCTTCGCACATTTCATGTACAGATATCTAAGCAAAAGTCAGTAAAGAGTGCAGTGCCAGAATGTATCGCTTGCTCACCCCCTGACAGGCTCCGAATCCTGCTTCGAAAGACCTTTGAGCTTGACCTTGGTGGTTTTGCCCGAGTGGTAATAAAGTTCTGATAATTGAAGTATTATATCGAAGGTCTTTTTGGTTTTGGCTCCTTCTTGAATCTCGATGTGCTTGATAGATTCGTGGGAGAAGTAGGACAAAGGTTCATTCCTTCCGTAAAATATGCCAGTCGGCAAGAAATATAGATATCCTTTGGAGGTTAGTGACAGACAATTCCGGCCAGAGCTAGGTGTCATCTTACCTTTGAAATGATCAACCTTTTGTGTAAAGAACTTGTATGTTCTCGCGCCAATCTTGATGGCACATTGCTCGTTCTTCTTCGTTGTACTCCACACTGCTGATGAAGTCTCCAGTGTCAGCCTTAATAACGTGTTTCCCACTTAGCATAGACTGGTCGTTAAACATTTTNTCAGTCACGTCTTGGGTGGTTTAGTTCGGGCCTGCGTTCTCGCATACCCATCCGTCGAGCTTGTGCTTTCGAGGCACATCAAATATCATCAGTTTAGGAAGCTCCCGAGTAAATGTAGAGGCTCCAACTGAAGCAGAGGGTACGACCACAACTCGAAAAGCTTCAACATCCTCAGGAGATGGCAAGAGGGTTATTTGGTCTNNGCTAAAGCGATAAGCAGGTGACAGCATCGGAGCGGTGCATACCATACCTATGAGGGCAGAGTGGAGTATAAACGTGATCCCACCGCCAATATCGTCAGTCAACTTAGAAAGACGAATACTGCCTTATCCGTCCGACATTCCAGACACGATCTTGAGATACATTTTCTGCTTTAAGGGAGAGACGTAAGAGACGACATTGACGCCTCCTATGTAGCTGTCACAGCCCATGCCAGCGATCAAAGGATCGAAAGTGTCGATTCCCAGCCTATACTGACGCTCGAAATCCCGCTCTTTTCTTTCCTCGACAGAGCGGTAAAGCCTTGTTAGACCACTGTATCGGAGTCTCTTGTCTTTCGGAGGTACTTCACCATCATATCGACGTTTGAGCGCGGCCTTCGTATCAGGCTTGTTGAGGTAGTCAAAAGGAGGTATATTACTGTTTAGCGCTTCGTAGCAGTCGTCATCGTTCCTCAAGAATGCGATATAGGCGTAAAGATCAAGCAGAGTATCCTTTTCGGGCTTTTTGCTTTTTCTGATGGATGTTCAGCATTACGAGTATCAAAGTGAGGTCGAATGAAGTGTTGCATCACGATCATTTTCTGAGCTCGTTTGCCCAAACTCGGGATATCTTCGAATACGTCTTCTACCTGAGTAGTCATATCGCAAATACCCGCGCAGCTTTAAAGGTCAAATGAAGTTCGTAGTGTTGAGTAGGAGAAAGAAGGACCAATGGTGGAGATAGATGCTCCTTCTGTTTGGAACGTACGTCATAATAAGTCCTGCCTTCCACCGAAATCAACACAACCACGCAGCAATCCTTCCCTCTCCATACGCTAGAGACACTCACAATCGAGTAGCTATGGAAATGCACAATGTTTTTCATGATAGAGCGAGATCCACGGGGAAAACCATCCTTAGGCATCTCCATGGCCACGCCTCTGTTTAGAAAGCGACTGTGCATTTTTATAGCATTTAACAACACTATATGATCATGAGATAGAGGTCGATCGCGAGGTTGTGGCTCTTTTGAGCACGAGAAGCCTACACGATCAAACACGAGGAAAGTTCTTTGCAAAGGGGCCTGGGCAGAAGATAAGAAGGACAAAACATACAGCAGCAGGGATTTTCGTCCGGCCCGCAGTCGTGACCGAGTTAAGGCCAAGTATTCGACCATGGCAACCAACTTTTTGTATTTGTTTAGAGTCAATTCCCACTCCAATCTATCAAGTCTGTCCTGACAAATATCAAAACATCGGAACACAAAAATGTCACCGACTCTCTTTCCTGGTGTTGCACTTGTGACGGGCGCTTCTTCCGGTCAGCTCAACAACCCTTGATTCCTCTTCGGAAGGGTTCAATCTCACATGATTTACANNGGTATCGGACGTGCAACAGCAGCAGCCTTTGCCCGTGAAGGATGTGAACGTATCGTCCTAGCCGACTTTTCAGGTCCAACCCTAGATGGAGCTCGTAAAGAAATCATGGCCAATTATCCCGATATCGAAGTACTCCGCGTACCGACAAATATCATATCTCCTAAGGCAGTTGAGAATCTTTTCAATTCTTTGATCCACAAATTTGGTAGGATAGATTATGCAGTCAATTGCGCCGGTGTTCTCGGTGCGGCCAAANAGTCTCATGAGATGAGTGTCGAGGAGTTCGATAATGTTATCGATGTCGACTATCGTGGAACTTGGCTGTGTTCGAGAGAAGCTCTGAAGTACATGGTCCACCAAGAGCCTTTGTCTACTCATGATGGACGGCCTGGCACCCGAGGGTTTGTCTAATGTTCTTCCTCTTGTGCCGCTCGTTGCTAACTCTATTCAACCAGCGCCATCGTCAATGTTGCAAGCCAACTCGGCATTGTCTCACGACCTCAGGCTCGTATGTTGTAACCTTTGTTAGCCACACATCACTTCTACTCACTGAAGCCAGCCGCATATTGCTCCGCCAAAGCAGCTGTCATTGGTCTTACCAAATCTGACGCTCTCGACGTATGTGTCACTTATCCTTTACTTATTCCCCCGACCCAATACACTTACTGAAATCACTTAAACACAGNNTATTCACAACACAACATTCGTGTCAATTGCGTTTGTCCTGGTGTCATCGAAACTCCCATGATCAACGACGAAGTCAGGAAAGCCGTTTCAATCGCTCCCATGAACAGGTAAATCCCCATCTCTTCAACTCTCTCTGCCTTATGCTTGGACTTTCGCTGACAAAAGTTAATCATCAAAAGAGCCGGTACACCAGATGAAATCGCGGACTGTATCCTTTTCCTATGCAGTCCGAAAGCCTCTNTTGTTCAAGGCGCTGCTTTGGTCGCTGATGGAGGTTACACCATCAACTGAAGGACAGACTGCCATATCTTTTGGACTGTTGCAGTCTATCTCCTATTTCAACTACCAGTGCTATAGTATGCTATAGAAATGCATAATTGCTTACCAAATCAGATGAGCAACCATAGAGACAGCCATAAGATAGTATATCTCTTTGGACATCGTTTCGATTAAACAGACATTGTGTGCGTTTATATATCATACTATGACCTTAGTCGACTTATGGGGAAGACCGGCATAGCAATTGTAAAACAGGTAGAGAAAAGAAGTAACTAGAAAATATAGGTCAACCACATGTCTTCTACAGAGTTTCATCTTCTACCAAACATCAACACCATCTCTACCCATCAGTCCTCTTCTACATCAGACATATCGAAAGTTGGTGGAGACGTGTGCAGCGACCAAAAGGACAAAACATACAGCAGCAGGGATTCCCACGTGGTCACCCACCGTAGTACTAATCTGCCGTTCAACTGCCTATGTATGGCAGAGCGGACGGGATGCCCAGTTTTCAGCTGACTGTGGCCGTATGTGCTTTCGATGGCGATCTCAAAATACATAATGTCTAGACAATGACTGAAAATTGTTCAACGGTTCATCTGAGTGCTGGGTCATCTTGGGCTTCATGCTCCTCGAATGTCGCAGTACACAAAAACGATTCACTCGGGAAGGGTCCTGAAGCGCTGTCCATGCATTCGATGGCCGACCTGTCGGTCGCTACTGACGTTTGTGGTTGCCGAATCAAGGTTGATCCTGCCTTGGGAATTGATTTCATGTCTTCGCCTTCTTGAACGCCTTCTTGAACGCGTTCTCAAGCGTACTTTGAGCACCTCTCTTTTTGGACGGTGTAGACTTGCTGTCCGGTTTGAGATCCTCCGTACCGTGAGCGTCTTCGTTGCCCAAAGATCCAGCTGGTCCTCCTCGATGGCCTTCGGTCGGTCCCTCGGCATCATCGTCAAACATTTCCTTCCAGGTGCCATCTAAAACCTTCGGTGAATCTCCATACAGCCCAATACTATATGCGCCTTTGAGACCGTTGATACAGATCTCTCTTTGCTTTGCAAACTCAAAGATGGGTTTGGGATATAGATTCAAACCACCCTCTTTNTGTTGCTCGCCATCGCCTTTGATCAGAACGCCTGCCTTCTTTTGGTCCTGGATGGGTGCTTTCCATGGTTCATAGATATACTTCGTAGGCATGTCCTTGAGCTCGGGCACATATCTCCTGACGAATGCGCCATCTTTGTCCCATTTCTGGGGAAANGCAATCGGTGAATAACACCGGTAGTATTGGGAGTAGAATGCGACACAGGCTAGCCATTGCCAGTTTCCAACATTGCAAGCTGTTTCATGGTCGATGAGTAGTTCCTCGAATACTTCTGCACCACGTTCCCAGTGGATGTAGCAGCCGCCACGCGTCAGGAAGCAAGCTACAGCGTGGCGTCCAAGGTGGTGTATCCAGCCCTCGAGTGCTAGCTGCCGCATCAAGGCGTCAATCCAAGGGAACCCGGTTTTACCGTTGCGCCAGCGCTTGAACCACGCCTCCTTCTCTGGATCATCTATCCCGTATTCTCCAGTGATCAACCCAGTTTTCTCATCAACCTTGGACGGCAAATGCCAAGGCACGAATCGGCAGTGATCGTTCTTTACTGTTTGCGCGAATGGGTAACCTATCGCTGCTTGAGCGCCGAAGTACATGTCTCTGAAGAGCAGTTGCCCGTGCAAGGAGGTAGGTGGCTCAGAAGCTTTGCCCTTGTACCTGTCAAGAACTTCTTGTACTTTGTACCAGAATAGTCTGCAGGACAAGGAGCCAAAGTGCAGATGAGGTGAGGTCAGACAAGTAGATTGTGGCTCGAATGCCGTTGGCGCAGTGGAGGGCTTGCTGAATGTCGCCGTGAATGTCTCGTTGGAAATGACATCGTCGAGTACTTTCAAGGCCAGAGACTCGCCTCCTCGATGAGGCGTAGTCGCTTCTTGTAATCCGAGCTCTTTCAAAGTCGGTACAGAGAAGTCGCCTTGTGGTCCGGCGAGTCCAACCTCGTAAGAGCCCTCATCGCTGGTCCGATGTGTCCGATTAAAGTCAGGTTCGGACTCAGGCTTCTCCTGCTCAAACCCAAGCGTGAGATCACCTGGATCAGGCAGACTTGTCGGCGCCGGCAGCGGCTCCGCAACCTTTCCTAGTTTCGCTGCTGCCGCCTGCACCTGCGCTATAGTCATTGTTGGCTTCCCACGATTTGTTTCAATCAGTAAGTCACTGTCATAGAGCGTACGTCCATTCTTCGTGATCACTCTAACGCCCATCTCATTGGCAATCTCGCAAATCTTGTCATCGCGTTCTCGCGCATACGCGTCTGTATCCTTCTCGAACACCAAATGTGTAATTCGCCACTCTTTGAATAACTTTGGCAACAAAGTCTGAGGAGCCTCGCGTAACACGAGGAGTTTCGAGTTCTTGTTGATTTTGGTAATACCTTGGGAGAGGTCGTTTTGACAGTCGATCAAGAATTGCCAGCGGTTGACGCCCACCCTGGCGCGGTAGACGTAGTGCGGGTCCCAGGTCCAGATAGGATATAGGCATTCTGGTTTCAGATCAAGTGCTGCCGCCAGCGCTGGAGAGTCGTGCAGGCGTAAGTCCGTACGGAACCAGTATATCACGCGTGGAGCTTGCGACATTGTTCAAGGCAAGGGATGGTGGTGGCTAAGGTAGTTGTTTTGTTCGTAGCGTATTTTCAATCAACACAACGGACTTGACCACAAAGACATGGCGCAGGTTGGATATTTTGTCATCCGCCATCTCAATCAATGCCGGTTTGCATAGGAAAACGGTTGCTGGATCTGATGATGACATTGATTGGAAGCCAAAACGCGCCGATCGAGCGTTTCGAATCGCTGAGCGCCCACATTTTGTTTCGCTGCAAGAGTATACAACACATTTCACAGACCAGCAATGTCATGAAAGCCGTCATCCTTTCGGCACTCTGTGGACGCTTCCCTAGCCTGAAAACAATTGTGCATTTCTACAGCTCAGATATCGCTTATGCTACTGTGTGAGCGACACTACTGGCATACCCAAACGTTACGTATCACCACTGGCAATCATATAAACGTATGTCACATGAAGCAAGACCAATAGACGTGAAAGTAAAGTAATGAAATTAAAGTTACTAGTAGAAGAAGATGCAGGCAGCGACGGGGTATATAGATGCCTACTGCCCGCGTCTTTGTACTAGACTGGAATAATAGAAGCGAGAAAGAATCACATTGCTGCAAAAGAACAGCCACCCATTTCACCGATCCCACCGCCAACGCCCACTTCGAGCTCGTCTGTAAGCAGAGCGAATGAGTCTAAACGCCATCAACTTGGTCCATTCCGTTTACTCGTGATTTGCCATATGGGAAAGCAACATAACCGTACACGCGACGAAGGAAGAATAAAGACGAATCTCCTTACTCTTCAACCTTCAGAACAGGATAGGCAACATCAGCTTCGCCTTCAGTTGCGGCTTGTTGATCATGCTGTGCGAGCTGCTGTTCGAGTTGCTGTTCATGATCCTGATGGTGGACCTGCTCGTAGTGGGGCTCGAGAGTCTTCTCATCGGTAGGCTGGTGATGATCCATGTGCATGTCATGATCGACATGGTGTTGAGGTTCAGGGTACTCGGCCTCAGTTTCAAATTCTTGGTTGTTGATTCTCTCACTGACCCATCTGCGGAGAGCCTCGATGACTCTGACGTTCTCGACCCAAGTGGCCTGCTTCTCATCAGTATCACTGCCTGCACCGGTGCTGGGGCTTTGGACAGCAGTTGATGTTTGAGAGGCAGCACGGAGAGCGGGGTCAAGAGAAGACGAGTCCTCGGGCTGCTTGGTGCTTGCGCGTGGAGTCTTGGCACCCTCAGACTCGGTATCCATGGCATCAGAGTCCATGTCATGAGAGCGAGGAGCAGGAGCCTCGCGTTGAAGACGACCACCACTGTAGCGGCGACCCTCGAAGCCCTCAAAGCCGGATGCAAGACCGGATGCGGGAGCGGAAGTGGTTGCAGGGTAACCAGCACCCATGTCAGAGATGGCTGTGACGGATGGGAGGCTGGGGTACATGGAGCTACCGTGAGCACTGCTCATGCTAGAGCGAGAGTGAGTCGACATGGGAGACTGGCCGGCTGAGGTGTACGATGAAACGGAAGCAGGAGTGAGAGCAGGAGTCTCCATAGCGCTGCTAGAAGGCATGTTGGAGAGCGATCCGATTCCGGGGGTAGAGACTGAGCCAGAGTGCTGCATGCTAGGAGGGCTATCGCTGTTGCGGTACTGGCTGCCGAAGCCAGGGTAGTTGGTGTACTGAGCATGAGAACCAGGCTGCTGAACGCCAGCGGCAGCGGCACTATTGCTGCTCTCGTACACGGTAGCCTGGAGCTGCTCGAGGAACTTATCAATCTCAACCAGGTCTTGCTTGGTGCGGGCGTTGGAAGGCAGAGGCAGCGAGTATGACTGGGTGAGAGGACCCTGTGACATGCTACCACTGCCATTGGCAGACATGCCCAAGTTGCCCGAGTTGTTGAAGCTGTCAAGCAACGAGCTGGCTGCGCTGTACGACGAGCTGTTGTTGTTGCTGGCGTAGTTATTGCCAGTCGAGTAGCCGTAGCCAGTGCTGATGGGAAGCGGCAGATTGGCCGACTGGAGACGCTGGCCAACATCGTAGTAGTTGCCAGGGTCGATAGCGCGGCGCTTGATATCACCGAGGAAGTCGTTCAAAGCTTCGATAGCACGTCTACGGGTGTCCATGCTCTGGATGTCGGCAAGGCTGTTGCTAGCAGGGTAGTTGACCTGACCATAGCCAGCATACTGGGGTTGCTGCTGAGGCTGCTGGAAGAAGTTGTTGCTGTTCAAGCCATGGCTAGGGTGAGGGTAACCACTGGGNGTTCCCAAATCATGGCCGTAGTAGCCGTTGGATGCTGAATTCAATGTCAGTATAGATTCTGATAGGTAAGCTGTAGAGGGCTTACCAGGCTGCCCTTGTTGGTAGCTGTTGCCAGGAGGTCTGTTCTGACCCATGTTCGGATCAGGAGAACGAAGGAGTACCGAGTCATCGGCATGGGTCTTGACATGCTTCTTAAGATCCTGAGGTCTCTTGAAGGCCTTGCCACAGAAGTCACACTTGTGAGGCTTGAGGGGAACATGGACACGGATGTGGGATGTGATGTGATCGCGCTTGACGGTTGTGACACGGCAAGAGCCCCAGTGGCAAGTCAAGTTGAGGTTATTTGTGCTCTTGCGACCGACGTGACGCTCACATACGTGCTCCTATGCAGACATTAGAACATGCGTATACTTGTGTAGTGCAAGGTGACTTACGTAGAGAGCTTCGGCCGACTGATGACGTTCACCACAGTTTAGCCACTGGCAAGTGAGTGAGTCGACAGTGGTGCTTTGGCCAAGGGAAGGGGTGCCGATGGCGTGCTGCACGGGTTGGGGCGACGCATGCTGTTGCATCGGCGACTGAAGTGCATGTTGAATAGTGGGAGACTGTTGAAGTGACTGCTGTGCCAGCGTCTGTTGTTGGAGAGGCTGGTGCTGGAGGCCTTGCAACTGCTGGTGCTGCTGAGTAGGTGATGCCTGTTGGAGTTGTTGAGCAGCAGCGGCGGCTGCGGCGGCGGCGGCTGGATCAGGGTGGTTGGCCTGAGGTGCCCCTCCGACATTTTGAACATCGGCCATGCTGAAGAAGTCTTGGACTGCTGGAGGAGAGGAGAGTCTTGGTTATGCCAAGAGAGAGAGCGACGCTTTGAATAGCACGCGTCGAGATGTGCGATGCAACTCAAAGCAGAAGTCTGGGTGGATATGTGAATCTGAATTTACACGTGGAGTGGTAAAAGAGGAGTTCAACACGTGAAATGTATGGCGAAAAATCGAGTCAAAAGGCGTGTAAACCAGAGGAGCAAAAAGGGCCAAGAAGAGGAAAGAGCGCGCACTTATGGCAGGAGCGGAGGTCCCAAGAGCCGAGGGAGGTACACACGGACCATGAAAATCGGCGCGCGGGGCGTTGCCGGCCAAGTTCCTTCCAAGCTCGATTTGCGAGCGCTAGGTACTCGCGCACCCACTTACCACAACATTCGCTGTCAGTCACATCGCCAGAATTCGAAATATGACCTTCTCCTCGCTGCTAGGCAAGAGCCGGAGTCGATCGACCAGGACTTGGCCATCGACTGTACAGCCTGTTTCCTAGAAATGTAGTCTCCTGGGCTCCATGCAGAATTTCACTTTACTGTCTCGCGATGGGGGTTTATTCACCTGCCAAGTGCGCCAAGATAGGCAGTGCCAATCCTTCTGCGATTCATTGGTCTGTCTTGGTCCTGAGACCGGCCAGTTTCGGAGTGAGCAACTTTCAGTCCGGTATTCAGTATCGAGCCTTTACCGCTACGAAACCAGCTGTATCGCCGACTTGTGCTGATAGATAGTATCCAAGGATATCAACCTGGGTGCAGGGTTTGCAAATCTCTCAGCTCTCGATGTCAACGGTACTTGAAAGGAGGCGACATCATTGTTTCCAACCGTTCAACCACCTTGGCAAGATTGACATAGGTCCGCGTGGCATACCAAGTACTTGGCCTCCGCTGTCTTGGGCAAAGCCATGGCCGCAGGCAAAAGAAATCCTGTGCGGAGAAGGGGTAGCCAAGTCGATATCGAGGAGGTGTTTGTTGAGCAAGAAGGCTATGCAGCGATGAGGAGGCGTCTGACGCCCCTGGCATCTCACAGTACTGTGGTACGCGTCTCATCGCTTGGTATCATCGTATCTAATCGGTATGTCAGCCCTCGCACTTCAAATCTCGGACGGTAAGTTACGCTCATACTTACCTGCCTGCTGTCTCAGTGTAACATAACACAAAGGCACAGTCAGGTCGGCGACTCCATTCGAGTGTTGGCAAACGTGTTGCAGTATGCACATCCGACAAAGCAGTGCTCTCGATTTTGGCTGACGGCGTTATGCGCATGTCAAGCCAAGAGCCAACTTGGCAGATCGAAGGAAGAGGTGCCAAGTAAGCCATCAACATCTTTGGTGTCGCTTCTGCCCGGACTCTGTGCTTCTGCTTCAAGCTTGGGGACTGTCAGTTTAAAATCATATATCAGGTGAGACCCAAAGACTTCTTTCACTAGACTGACTTTGTGATTGCTCGCTGGTTAGGCTTCGAGCGATGAATATGCTTACAGAAGAACGTATGAGACAGTACGGAACCAACGAACAAAAAGATTGTCGACCGGAGGACCAGAAAACTCACGAGCAGGCAAGGCTTGCATACCTAGGAAGCATAAACGACACCAACGTTGCTCAACAACATGTGCTTACTGCTGCTAAGTACTTGATACTAACCGTACATTATCTCACGACTCGTATCATAGCAAGCCTAATATCACCAGGTAATCTTGCCGACTTTAGCAGCTTATTCTCTTATTGGATGGCGCTCACCAATGCTTGTCGTATGGGCATACCCCTACAGGCAACGGAATGGCCCTAAGCTAGACAGTCATCTTACAATGTCTATATCAGCAGATCTTGCATATGGGTCTTCTTTATCTGCAAGTCGCTCCTTCTTTCATTCCTTCTATCCTCAACTTCTACGTATTGTGTTCTACATCCAAATTTTACTTCTACGAGAGAGGCAATGCTCAAGTAGAAAGCCTGATCATTGCATATCTCTACAGAGTCTAGTTGTGTCGCTCTTCCCGTGATATGTTTTTTCTCCTTCCATTTATTTTGATGCTGTCTGCCGATAGCGGAGTAGCATGCCAGAAGCTATAGAAATGCACAGAGTTTTTAGCATTAGACATGTGTCCATAGAGAGCCCTCGAGGTGACATCGCTCCTTGGACATTGTTCTATTGATTGAAAGTATTGTGTATTTTTATAACCGTATCTCCAAGACTGGCCGGCACGAGGAGAGGTTTCTACAGTCATACCAATGAGACTGGCTGGCAAACGAACAGGGCAAAGCAGCCGGTGAAGAAGCTGCCGAACAATAAACGTTGATCTCTATGTTGAACTACGAGTGTCGAGAACAAAACCATAAAACATCTTTGGGCTCACTACAGACAATCACATACGACGAAGGAAAGGGCAAGGTAGTTGTGATCAGAAAGGCATTGGTATTCGAAAAGCTGAGACTACAAATTTCCATCGCAGTTCCGATGCAGAAATCCCTCATCATCCATTCCTGATGATGTTCCTCTGATACAAATTTCTCATAACATTCGTGATCCGTTGATCATATTGTCCTCCAAACATAAAGCTCATGCCAGAAAAAAGGCTTCCAAGGCAAGCCCTTTGAGGCCTCAAGCAAAACACAAGTTGCTTTGGTCCATCAGAGAAACCCTGGAGGGTATTATGCCTTGTCCGACATCGAGGTAGTGATGAATGGCGGTTGTGGTGTTGGGGAGGAAGAATCAAAGCGACGAGCTTAGATGGCCTCCTTGTTGGCCTTGGCCTGGGCCTCGTGGGAGTGCTGGTCGATCTTGTCGGAGGCAGCGCCCATGGCACCAGAGACACGGCCGGAGATGGAGTCGTCGGCGGTGTTGCCCTTGGCCTGCTGCTTGTTGGCCTCCTTGGAAGCCTCGGCGGAGTTGCCCTGGATGGTCTCGGAGACGTAGTTGGCGGCGTTGGCGATGGTGTTAGAGATCTGGCCAACGATACCCTCGTTAGGCTTGTCGACGTTAGGGGCAGACATTTTGATGGAAGTGTGGTGGTGGTTGGGTTTGATTTGGTAGAAAGTGGAAGATTGGTTTGTGATGATGAGAGAAGAGGGAAACGAGATAAAGGTGGTGGCTCTTCTTATATTCGAGTCTCATTCCGCAATGATCAATGTGTACCCACTCAAGCCTCATTCACTCGCCAAGTGACATCAAAACGTTTCCCCTTGCTAACGACATCGAGCCATGGTCTGACGCTATAGCAACCCAGAGTCTGGAATGGCCCCGCCAATTCTTGCTTGCGAAACAAAAGTCCCTCCGCCGATTTGATCACGCACCCCTCATCTGGCTACGTCATCTCGTGAGCTTTCAAACGGCTCTTTCGAAAACGATACAAAGGGAAATTGCCATTGCTCTAGACAAGTCGATACACTTAACTCGAACATCTTCACAGACTGTAGTGATTCGTCTCCCTTCACAGAACAGCTATAGAGCAAGTCTCTGTTTACATTCCTACTCTTGACTTGCAAAAACAACAGCGGGGCTCAAGAAGCAGGGTGAATCCAGACCAGAATTGTGGGAAGCGGGGGAAGCTTGAAAGCTGCCCTGAACATCATTCCCGTTTGCGGTAGCTACTAGCCACCGACATCATCGCCGTGCCTTTGCTTTCTCTCCCCTTCGATGCCAGATGTCATCTCGATCTTGAAGCTTCCAAAGAAGCTCGATTTGGCATGTGAGAAAGACGGTGAAGCCGCGGATGAGCCACACGGCAAGGTACGGAAAGAGAGATACGACGCTCTCGTAAAAGCGTCTGGCAAAGGCAAGCAGAGTTCTGAGCCGATGGAGGACACGTATTGGAACAGCTATTGGAGTGAAGCTGCACCCCTAGTTTGCGCTGCAGGGGAGGCTGTCTTCGAAAGCTTTGCGACGATCTAACTGCGAATCCCCCCTCAGAGGGGGCTGTGTCGCCCATGGAAACAAGGTCGGTCCAGGTCCCAGTGCGATTACATCAGAGTAAACACACGGGTCCACTTCCGGTAGCAAGCTGCATACGCATAGCTCTGTGGATGAGGACAGATCGCAGTAGAATAAAAGAGTGGTACGGTACAGACACTGCTCCGGCGCACGAAGATGCCGGATCTGAGGCGTACAGCAGACTGTGCGGATGACGAAGATACGGGCTAGCGGAAAGTCGTCTCGCATCCATCATTCCGATGCCTGAACAGATTCGAGGCGAGAAGAGCTGACTGGAAAGTACTCAATAATGTAGCCAGTACCACCACGCACCGTGAGCTAACCGGCGAGGTTGAAGACGATGTCCTTGGGACTAGCCCAGCCGCTGAGCGGGCCTACGAGTCTGACACCGAGGAACTTGGACAGAGACAAGAGGCAAAAAACAAGAAAGAGAAGGACTTTGAGCAACACTCTCTGCGGAACCAGAGAAGACAAGGATAACAACCTAGAAAGGCTCACCACCAGGCAGACGTGCCTTCTCAGGACGAGACAGCACATCATCAACACCCCTCTCAATCTGCTGCTTCAGCTCCTCCTGCTTTCGCGCCTCCTCCTCCTGCTTCTTCCCCGAATCCTCGTCTCCACCAAAGAAATTGCCCATCCCTCCTCTACCATGGCGCACGCCCGTCGTCTCCTTATCCTTGTTCGTCTCCGTCTTGGGCGCAGGCGTACCATCGCCTAAAACATGACTTGTATTTGCGCCTTCAAACTTGCCGGTCGCATTGAGCTCGCGAGGAGAGTAGTAGTTTCCTGCGCCGCCTCTTCCTGTATGTGCGTATTCTTGGTTGTGGAGTGCTGGGTGTGCGGTGCCGGCGTATTCTTCGGCATTTTGCTGGTTGCGCTCGAGGTCTGCGGATATCTTTTCGTTTGTCGCGTTGGTTGTCTTTGTCGCATTGAGGGCTTCGATGTTTCCCGCTCCGCCGCGACCGAATGCAGGCATCTTGAGTGTCTTTGGTTGTGTATTGGGTGTAATAGAATCCAGAGCCGTGATGAGGAGAGCTGTCGCGTGGGTTATGGTTGGAAGTCAGATCGTCTCGAATGGACGTAGTGTGGTCTATACAGAGTGGTTTCTTCTGCCGATTAAAGAGGTATAGAATCAGGTATTGCAGTAGAATGGGAGATAGAGAAACAATGATCGTTATCAGACAGATGAAGGAGCATGACAAGTGCCATGACGTATTGAAAATTGACGGTTTCCGAGGTTATGACCCTGTCTCTATTTATCTCGATCCATCAGGCTAGCATACGTCCTGATCTCTGGATTATAATGGTTGGTGAGTTCTTAGGGAATATCCTAGCAAGTGCAAGTCCCATTCTTGAGTCTCTGCGGGCTGCAAATTGCGTTTCCGAAGATGACCGCGGGTTGTTAAATAATGTCGACTATCATCACAGCGTACCACGTGGAAGTTATTAGATCGACCCATGGGAAATCTTTACCGAGTGGACAAGAATACAAAATAGGCATGGATCAATTCTCTATTATACAATCGGTGCTATCGATCTGCTGTTAAACCATATTCCAATGCCTCGCTACGCTTGTTATGCTCAAAAACTGCAACGCGGCTATTAACAAAAGCTCCCAGCCCGATATTAGCAATAGGCGCGAGAACCAAGTTTTAAACGCTTCTGTTCCTTCTCCGATGCTTGATCCGCGTACGACGTGACTAGAATTGACGCGAACCGTGCTCTGTAGGACTGAGGACTTCCTCTGCTCTGGGCTCCGAGCCTGAGTTAGAGAAGCCAGGATCATTGAATTGAGGAGTGGCAGTTGCCCCCGAGGTCGAAGATGAAGCATTGCCTTGGCTAGTGGTGACTTGGGAACTGGAAGGCGCAGTTTCTTTATTATAGAAAGCCGGTGCGGTCGATGGCATTGCGCGGCTGGGCAATTTCTTCTCGGGCATCTTCAAATCAAGAGGTGTGTTGATAGAGCCACGTCTCAACTCTTCAAGTTTCTCCTCCGGGTTCTATATGTGAAGTCAGTATAGGTTAAGAACAAAAAAGACATGTAAGAAGGAGTACGCACCCAGTCTGCCTGCTCAGGAACACCCTCTGCGGATGGAAGTTGTCCATTATTGTTGCGTTCGCTACCCCAGAAGTTTGATCTGCGGATGGGTGCTGGGGTGACTGGAAGGCTGGGACGATCTATCTCGGAGGGGAAATCGGTAAGTATTAAGCTTTCTCTGCGCTCGAATGGTGTGTTTGTCGCGGGAGATTTTGCATGGACTGAGCTCTTACGGCCTTTTGCTTGAGACTCGTTAAGATAACGAATATAAGTGTCGATGCCTACAACGTCGTCCCATGCATTTCTACTGCTTTGGGAGAAGTTTTGCCAGGGGTCATCAGTTGTGACCTTGATAACAGGGGTGACGGGGCTGTTGGAACTAGCAGTGAAATCGGCAGAGGGAATGGTGACTCCGGGCTGAGGAGTCGAATCAGGAGAATCAAGATCTTCGATGAACCTCCTGGTAGGGGCAGAGGTCTGTCTTTCTTCCCAGGGGAAAACTGGCTTGGGCTTTGCCGTAGGTGGGTCGGGCTTCGTCTTGGGTACTTCATACCACATGTCCTTGGGAGGTTCAGGGTAGGTCCTAGGTGGGCGGAAGAAGTCCTTGTCTTGGTTAAAGTCATAAGTGGTGGTAGGGAAGTTGGCGGCCTCAGGTCTCGAACCAGAAGGTGGTTCCATNGCTAGCTGAAGTCAGAGAGTAGTCACGTATGTACCAATGGCTTTCACTTACCGAGTCGCATCCCATTCTGCCTGCGGTGCTGAGAATCTTCTTTGTTCTACTGTCGGGGTGGGCTCAACACGGCCTTGGGCCAACTCTTCTCCCAGCTCTCTCTCCTCGGCAGGATCGGCCTCAGTAGTAAGGATGGGTGTTTCTGGCTGCGCGATAGGAGAGGATGCAGGCGAGTAGCGGCCTGATGTATACTCGACAACCNNTGCTGTGTATTAGCAACGAGCTGTTTCAAGTTCTCGAACAGCGCATCTCACCGGCTCCTTGAAGTGTCTGTCGTAGACTGCCCACCATCGGAAGAGAAGTTCGTTGTATGCTCCAGGAGTCGCACCTTGCGATCTGGCGGCAGTCCATGGCTTGTTCTTGCCAATAAAGTGGACGACAGCAATTCTTGACTTGTGGTAGCGATAGGCGGGCTCGTATTGGTAGTTTGCACTCGGGGTACAGTTGTAGATGAAACTCAAGCGGTGCCAGTTCTTGTGTTCGTAGTACTGGTTCAGGAGACCTTGGTCTGCTCCATCGAAACTGTCGCCCGTAGCAGCCAGTGTCTTCAATGCCCAGTAGTCGCCCATGTGCGGTGATATAACCATGACTCCAGTGTTGAAGGCATCGGGCCAGCCCACATCAGGCGCACCAGCAAAGGATGCCTCGAGGTCAAAGAGCTCGTCGGGAGCGCGGAGGGCAACAGTATCTGCGTCAAGGTAGACGATCTTGCGGAATTGTGTCTGGCGCCAGAGGTTGATTTTGGTAAAGGCATCGCGCAGGTCGCCGCGACCCATCAGGTAGAGGTTGGCAAGGTTGGGTGAGGTGATGCGTTCCACGGGGATAACATAGTCGTACAATGACNNTACGCTGGGTCAGTCTCAAGGCATTGAGTTGGCTTTATTGCGCCGTACCTTTAGTTCGGTAATAGTAGCAGATCGTAGGGAGTCTGCAGTAATAAGTACGGCCAGCTTCTTCTTGGTGCCGTTGTCTCTTAGGGAATGCGCCAGCACGGCGGCTCCTGTTCTTGGTTAGATCGTTGCGCATATGAGGCTTCGCATTCATCAGGACATACCGGCAACATACGAGTCGCTCGTAACCAGCTACAAGACAGAAATGGTCAGCATGTTCCGGAAAGGAGAGATCGTGAGACCGTGAGATCGTGACCAGAAGCGGAGAGATAGTAGCATCGAATAGAGAGGTCGTAGGACTAACCGTGCAGTAAACATCTTCTTTACTAGTAACCATCTTGACAGACGGCGGAGCGGTGGCCTGAAAGTATGAAAGTAATGTCGAGATTGAATGAGGAGGTGAGGATTTGTTGGGAGTTGGGAGGTGGTAGCAAGACAGCAACGCTCAGACAAAACACCGCTTTATACAGCTCAATTGATGCAGAAATACAACCCTTCGTCACTTCCAAGCAATGCGGTGTGAAAGAAGAGAGCTATTTGCAGTATAGAATACAAATTTGGGAGGCCAAGGAAGGAATATAACCCCAAGGGATCAGGGAAAATACCCACGTCCGATGATGCTTTGGCGCAAATGGCTTCGACTGTCATTCCCCAGTCCTCCACAATCCCCACTCTGAACTACGACATCAAGCAACGATCTTCACACGAGCATGCACTGCGGAACAAGCGACCCATTCAGCTCCCTGCCTCATCCTGTCAAGTCAATCACGAGCACTCTTCTCCGCAATCGTCACCTGTGTCTGGACCGTACTGCTATCTGGCCCAGTACCACGTGAGGCGACTGCATATTCATTCTCCGCACAATTCACGGCCGAGTCCGACTCAAACTGGGGTGAGCATGCGAACTGAACCATGTTCTGACCCTCGAGAGATAGGCAAGCCACCCCTTTTACTTTGTAGGCACGCCGTTGAGCTAGTCGTGCTCCCCGATGCAGACCTACGTAGCACCATTATCACAATCCGAGAAACGATAGATAGGAAAGAATGTTTGGGAACACTTCATAGAACGCTTGATGAAGTTGGAAGAAATTTGTTTTTGGACGACGAGCTTTTGACTCCCTGGCGATAGCGCCGACTCCTGTACGTGCCGCCATAACAAGTGCATTGAAAAACACCCTAACCGTGGCTATCATTTGCTCCAATCATGCATCACCGCGCATTTATTGCTGCTCCTGCTGCTCGGCAGCGGGCTGCTCGCCCTGCTGCTCACCTTGCTCAGCAGCGCGCTGGGCCTCGGCGGCCTGCTGGGCAGCGGCGGCCTTGGCACCGTAGTCCTGGGACATGGGCTGGACGACACTCTGCTCCTCCTTGGGCTCGATGATAGTGACCGAGTCGGGGAGGGCCTTCTGGGGACCAGCCTTGCCCTCGGGGTCGGCACCGCGCATGATCTTGACCTTGATACCAAGAACACCCTGGCGGAGGAGGACGTGGCGAGTGGCAGAGTCGATGAAGTCCTTGGCGGGCTGACCGGAGTGGATCATGAAACCGTCNCTGAAAAGATCTGTTAGTATCGGGGTATGTCGCAACATCGGCACAGAAGAACGTACAGTGAACTTCATGGACTTGGCACGGGCGGCACGCAGCTTGCCGGAGACGACAACCTCGCAACCCTTGGCACCAGACTCCATGATGAAACGGAGGACACCGTAGCATGCTCTGCGGACGGCGAGACCGTTGAGGAGCTTGTATCTGAGGGACTCGCACTGGGCGACAGCGGAGAGACCACGGTTCTGGACCTTGGCGGCGTAGAGCGAGACAGAGTTCTCGGGGAACTTGAAGCGCTTCTGGATCAGCGAGGTGAGCTCGCGGATGCGGCGGCCCTGCTCGCCGAGGACATCCTGGGTGTGGGTGGCGCGGATGATGATGTCGGTAACGGTAGGGGTAACGCGGACCTCGACACCGGAGTAACCCTCCTCAGCAAGCTCGCGTTGGAAGAACTCGTTGAGCTCGGCGTAGAAGACACCGTCTGCGCGTCTGTTTTAGTGATTGTCCTAACATGTGTACGTGTGTGCGTGTCTGAGTGCGTATTCTGGAGGTGGAAATGGATGCGACAAGAGAGCGATCGAATGCGAATTGTAGAGTCGGCGAGAGTGTGGAAAATGCGAAAATAGCGAATCTAGCAGAAGGGGAGGCATACCGGCGACGAACTTTCTTCTCTTGGAGCTGCAGAGGGCAATTAGCAACTGGTCGCGAGCGCATTTTCTGGGCAGCGGGCAATACTCACATAGCACCTGCTTGCTGAACGGCGGCCATGTTTGCGATCTGTGTTAATTGATCGAAAAGGGAGAGGGTGTCTGGTCGCTGGGCGAGTTGTCGTTAAAGTCGTCAAAGTCGTCCGCACAGTCCGAATGCCAGGCGCGAAATCGAAGTGCGCTCGACGGGCTTGGCACCGCGCTAATGTCCGTCCGCGAAGCCCGCTCTGATCTAATCACACGTGACCCGGTGCATCTTATGTTGAGCACGGCACATCGGCAGCAGAGGCCGACGGCATGACGCGCGCCCGAGGGTCGAGTCTCTGCTGCTGCTGTTGGACTGAGGGGCAGCGACAGCGAGAAAGGTGCGTGTTGCAAACATTCTCACACACAAACCCCAACACCAAGCTCCGCGCGCACTCTCGCCGGATGCTGACATTCTCTAGCGTGCCATGGACAAGATCAAAATCTCAAAGGTGCGTCCCTACAATAGACAGCACGACGGCGCACACATCTTTTCCTCACGACAAGTCCTGGACTGACGGCGCAACTAACAGGTCGAGAATGTGACGCTTCACAAGAAGAACGTCCAGGTCACTGGCACCCTCCATATCTCTACCCACCATCTGATCTTCGAGCATCGCCCAGATGCGTCCGCCAACTCCCAACCCCCGGCCAAACCCCAAGGCCGCGTCAAAGAGATGTGGATCACATACCCCATGATTGCGTCCTGTGTTTATAGACCCATGCCCGCCGTTCTCCGACAAGACCACGCCATCCGTCTACGATGCAGAGACTTTACCTTTGCCGCCTTTCATTTCTCCCAAGAGGCTCAGGCCCGCAGCGTCTACGACAGCATCAAGGCCTTGACCTGTGGCCTCGGTTCATTCAGCAAGCTGTACGCTTTCACCTACGACCCTCCTCCAATTGAGAAGAACATCAATGGTTGGCAAATCTACGATGCTCGCAAGGAGTTCAAACGCATGGGTATCTCTCCTAAGGGCGCCGACCGAGGCTGGCGCTTGACTGATATCAACCGTGACTACGAAGTACGCGGCCAACGCTTTTGACTTTGCCGTTTCATCTACTGATTCTCTACAGNNTACTCGCCCACCTACCCCTCGCTCTTGGTTGTCCCGTCTTCGGTGTCCGACAACGTCCTCAAACATGGAAGGGAATACCGCTCGCGCTACCGCATCCCTGCTCTAACCTACTTGCATCCTGTCAACAATTGCTCCATCACACGAAGCTCACAACCGAAGTGTGGCATATTCCAGAAAGAGAGAAATCCTCAGGATGAACGACTGGTCGCTGCCATCTTCTCCACTTCGAAACCTGTGGCTGGAGCTGGCATGCCCATCCTTGACGATGACGGTCAGCAGTTTGATCCGGACATGCAGGAAAGCCGGGATCCTCCACGGGTCAAACCTCGGTCCAGTACAGACAGCGTTGCCAATCAGCCCACCGACAAGATCTATGGAGCTCAGCAGAGAAACTTCATTGTCGATGCCCGTCCACAGGTCAATGCTGTTGCCAACCAGGCTACCGGAATGGGCTCAGAAAATATGGAGTTCTACAAGGACGCGACAAAGGAATATCTTGGTATCGCCAACATCCATGTCATGAGAGACTCTCTCAATAAACTAGTCGAGGCCTTCGCTCACACCGACTACACCGAATTTGGTCCAAACGAAGATCTCCTCGCCAAGAGCAAGTGGCTCGATTACATCTCTTTGGTCTTGCGCGGCTCCAGTCTAGTAGCTCGGCAGGTCGGCATCAATCACTCCCACGTCCTCATTCACTGCTCGGATGGCTGGGACCGCACCAGTCAGATCAGTGCTTTGAGCCAGCTTTGCTTGGATCCATATTACCGCACTCTTGAAGGCTTCATTGTCTTGGTGGAGAAGGACTGGGTGTCTTTCGGTCACATGTTCCGTCATCGCTCAGGGTTCTTGAGCAGTGAAAAGTGGTTCGAGATTGAGAATGAGCGTGTCGGAGGCAATCGCAAGGCTGATAATCCCACTGCAAACAGCGGCAACGGCAACGCCTTTGGCAATGCGTTCTCAACTGCTAGAGGTTTCTTCACCAAGAAGAATGACAGTAGGGAGTCCTTCGATGTGAACGATGCTGGCGATGGTTCACCCGTCCCAGCTCCAACTTCAAAAGCTGCCAAACACGCCACCACTAACGTCAAAGAGACAAGTCCGATCTTCCATCAGTTCTTGGATGCAACCTATCAGATGCTCCGACAATATCCTACCAGGTTTGAATTCAATGAACGATTCCTGCGCCGCTTGTTCTACCAGCTTTACTCATGCCAATATGGCACTTTCCTCTGGGACAGTGAGCGGGATAGAGTTGAAGAAAAAGCCTATGAGAGGACAAGAAGCGTATGGGACTACTTCCTCTCTCGTCGAGACATGTTCATCAACGAACAGTACGATCCTACCATTGACGATAACACCTCCGGAAAGGAGCGCATCATTCTTCCCGATACCACCCAAGTCAAGTGGTGGCACGAATTGTTTGGCCGTACAGACACTGAGATGAACGGGACTGCTTACGCACCCACTGCCAGCCTGCCGAAAGAACCGAGAGATCCGATTGTGACAGGTATAGAGAACTCGGAGATCTCTACAGGGTCCGCAGCGAATGGTGGCAGTTTTACTGGCCAGACCGCAAGCGCTTTTACCAATGGCGCTGCACGTCTGACTGCTGGATTGGGCAATCTAAGTTTGGGAAGGAACAGCGCAAGTGCACCCAGCAGCCGGCCTCAGTCTCCACCAACCAACGAATCCCTGCCTGCGCATAATATCGACGAGAAGATGAAATCGGCGGCATCCAACGAGTCAGACACAACCACAACCGGTCGACTCTCATTTTCAGCATTTGCACGAGACAATGCTTTTAGGGATAACTAGATGTGGAATTCTACATAGCGTGGCGTTTTGGGATCATGATTTGATGATAGGGATGGAAGGTATCACGACTTATCAGAGACTGTGCATAAGAAGGAAGTTTGCATGGCGGAGGAACTCATATGAAAGCTTGAAACATAGTACGAAGTGCAAGGACAGACATGAGATCCAAGCCTACAACAAACGAACATGAGAACACGTGCATCCGCAAACCACTTGACCACAATCATGTGCAATTGGACGTTGGTATAGGACAGCCAAGACATGTACGCGTACGTCATGCCGTTCTGGTCTGACCGTGCCTAATCAACTTCAAGACAAGGGCCACTTCGTTCCCTGTTCGTTGTTGCATTGTGCATGCTGTTTCCGAAAAGAAGGTGGAGATCCACACTTGACAAAGCGCTTCGGACCCCGTAGACATCCTGGTTGTTTACCTATCTATATGACCCTTCCCTACATTCTCTCCATACCTCAACCTTTTCCGAACAACAAAAGCTGAAGCCGAAACATTGCTTCTACAAACCATGGGATTTTTAAAGAAGTTCAAAACTGAAATGAAGTCGGCCTTTGGTGATGACCGGCCTTCGTATCCTTCACAGCAACAGCAGCAATCACAGATGCCCATGACCGACCAGCCGGCCAGCATCCAAGAGCCTTCACCCTTGGATGTTCTCCGCTATCGTTATCAACATGGCACTAACTTTGGCTCCATCTTTGTGCTTGAGAAATGGCTCACTCCCAGCATGTATCAAGATAACGCTGACTCAGCTGAGCTTGCGGCTGTGACTGGCAACATCAAAGCGATGGGTCTCGATGCAGCCAAGCAAAAGTTCGAAAACCATTGGGAGACTTATATCAGTGACTCCGACCTAGACTGGCTCGCTAGCCAGGCTCATTGTATGTCACACAAAAGGGTGTCTGTATTAATAAGCTGATCAAATAGGTNNACATCTGTTCGTCTGCCTATTGGATACTTCACGCTGGGCCCAGCTTATTGCGCAAACACGCCTTTCGAATCTTCTTCCGCAGTGTATGAGAATGCTTGGCCAGCTGTAAAGCGTCTTGTCAGTCGTCTGACTGCCAGAGGTATTGGCACTCTTCTCGACCTGCACGCGTTACCTGGTGGTGCGAACGGAGGTGATCATTCGGGAACCAACAGCGGCAAAGCCGAACTGTGGAAGTCGAAGAAAAACTTGGACCTTGCTACACGTTGTCTACTGTTTATCGCTCATGAAGCCAGATCAATGGACGGTGTCGTTGGTCTGCAGCTGATCAACGAGGCCGAGTGGGACGCTCCTGGCATGTATGGCTGGTACGACTCGGTTATTGGTCAGATAGGTGGCATTGACAACACTATTCCTCTCTACATTTCGGACGCCTGGAACCTAGGTCCTGCAGTTGGCTACGTCAATGGCAAGAACAGTCTGCATGCTGGTCGAGCCAACCCAATCGTTATCGACACTCATTTGTATTGGGCGTTCTCGGATGATGACAAGAAGAAGCATCCTGGTGAGATCGCAAATGAAGCCAGATCGAAGCTCGGTGAGCTAGATGGTCACGAAGGCAACGTCGTGGACAATGGTGCCGCGCAGGTGGTCATTGGTGAATACAGCTGTGTTTTGACCGAAGACTCTTGGTCCAAGGCCGGTGCTCACGAGAAGGATAACCTGGTTCGCGAGTTTGGGCAAGCACAGACGCAGAGATATCAGCAAAGGACTGGTGGAAGTTTCTTCTGGACATATCGCATGGTTCGTTTCCTTCGCCTCCCCAGAGATCAAAACTAATTGTGTATCAGGNACTGGATGGATGGCGGAGAATGGGGCTTCAAGCAGCAAACCAACAACGGCGCCATTACAGCTCCTAACAACCTCGCTCTTTCCAATGACGACGTTCAGTCTCGTATTGGACATGCGCAGTCTCAAGCAGATGCGAAATTTGGACAGACTTTTGGTAGTCACTGCAACTACTGGGATTCTAACCACCCTGGCGAATACGAGCATTGGCGATTTGAGAGTGGCTGGAAGCTCGGCTTCAACGATGCAGTGGCGTTCTTCGGCGCAAGAGCTAATGGCCGTCTTCCTGGTACTGGAGGTGACAAGATCGGTATGCTGGACATCTGGACCAAGAAGAGAATCGTCGAGAGTGGGCAGGCAGGCAAAATGTTGTGGGAGTACGAGCAAGGATTCAGACAAGGAATCCGTGACTTTTACGAGCTTGCTGGAATTTGAGTATAGATATCGTTGTACCTGCGCTTGATAGGCCTGAGCACTTGTTGATTGATACAGTAGACTCTTGGATATACACTTTTAGCGCTTGTAGTGAGTAGACAGATGCAACGCACAGCCCTATGAGCTGATAGGCAGAATATGGTAAATCTGAATTGAAGATCGCATGTTTTGAAAGTGTGACACTGGGCAGAGTAAATTGAAAGAATGTGACTGGAAGATAATTGCGAGGCAGATGTGCGACCCTGACATGATGACATCACACCTAACCCACCTCACGCGACTTGATTGTCGCATCTCCTCGACCCTTGACATTGTACTTTTGAAACGCGTCTTATCTGGAAATTGACAAGGCACATCAATCAAATCGCGATGTTCTTCACACAGCTTCTCCATACAGGCCAGGTCGCGCTGTGCGCTTATGGCGCATACGTGTCCTATATTGCCATTCGCAACCTCCAGCAATACGAAGAGACGAGCAAGAAGGCAGCCAAGTACTCGACCGAGGCAGAGCATCAGCTTCACAAGACGAGAACCACGCAGAGCAGTGGCGCCATTTGCGTTAGTTGCCTCCTGACATACAATACTTTGTTTTCGCACACATCCATGTACTGATTATCCACCTCAGNNATCTTGGCCTCGCTCATTGCAGCTACTACCTTGTCGCTGGCACCCAACTCTCTGCCTTCGTTTGTGAGATTTGGTATCTCACCTGCTGCTCTGGTGTTCACGCTGTTCGTACGCGCTCACGTGTCCAACTTCTGGAAGGCCAAGGCCAAGGTTCCTTTCGTTGACGGCTACGTAAGTTACACCGTCTGGTTATGTTTACTGGAAGTAGGCACTGACGAATTTATAGNNAACGAGGCAATCTCCAAGACCGGCGAGCTTTTACAAGTTCTCGAGTATCTCGAGTACACTTGGGCCGGAACTGCGCTCGCCAGCGGGCTTGTTGGATACTGAGTGGAAATTGCCTGATGCTGTCAAGCAGGCACAGTGACCCGATGCAACCACTTCGAAAACTGGTCGGCTAGATGTTGATGCACTGTATACACAGCAGTCTTAGCATGTCTTGTTAGGCCTTTAATGATTGCTTTCGTCCAGCTCAACATCTCAACGAGACATCACGATATTGTCCGGACCGGATAAAATTGACCTCTCTCCATTGGAGCTATACCTTGGAGTCATATCGAGCCTCGCCGAACACCCAGCGACACTGTCCGAGCTGTGCTATCACTGTTGATGTGTCAGATTGGGACCAATTGACGGTGGTGGAACCTGGGAATCCCAACAAGACGCTACCATCCTCCATGGTCTTATGATTGTTGAATAGTACATATGCTTGACGTTGGCGAAAGCATTAAGGCAGATATAATTGATGCAGCCAAAAGCTTGAGTTTGTCTTGACATGACTGCTCTTCCCTAACTTGCGTGTTCTTCAATTGGAAGGGTTAGTGAACTGTTCTCACAAAGGAGTGCTGTAACGTGATGCCTGACGACCAATGCTGGACCACCATCTGGACTCTGGAAGGCTCTATAGAGCTCAGAACTCCAAGCATTGGTCAACTAGTAAGTTGGACGTTCGAAGTTTACAACCTTGATGCAAAAGCCATGCTCTCTCAACAAACGTTCTCGGGTATGAGCTTCTGAACCCTTGTTAATCTTTCGCAACCTGTGTGGGTTTCTTGTAACGCCTTGACAGGGATTAAGTACTCCAAGACGCATGTTCACCGAGCACCACCATGCTGCCTTGACTGCGATTAACCTTTTTGACATGCCAGCACCCGGCACCTGAGGAAATTGAGTTTTCGGAAATGAAGACAAACTTCAGTGTCTCGGCCCTCATTTGCAACAGCTCGTAAACGCACACACGAAGGATTCTCAATGTATATTCCCATAGTTTCATTAAACCAGAGTGGAGTATGTTGGGGATATCAAGGTGTTTTTACGAAGACAAACAGGATGTCATCATAGACTCAGACGCATACCGGAAGAAATGCTTGGAAGAATAGGGCCGGTCGAGTCAAAAGAGACGTGCTTCAGGCGGTCTGTGGATTGTTTTAGCGAACGCGGGAGTCCACAGTCGAGTGCTTATCGCACGCGAGCCGCCTTGTGTAGCCAATGAGCGCGTTGGGATTCGTGACGCTTGCCGGCTAAAGTTCATTAGGGCAGATCAGTAAAAACTCGTTACATATGTGCCCATCAAGGTGTTTTCCCACCTCAGGCCGCGGACAGCTTCGTTCCTCGCTCGCTCGTCCCTATGTAACGCTCAAATACCTCTCCTCATCGCCTCCTGTCCCACTACTCATCATCTTTAGCTTGTCGTCTTGCAGCGACAACATTCTGCCTCTTTCACGCAGAATTGTAGCGCACTAGTGCAGAGCGATACAAAGACAGCGGGCCTCAACGCTTTTTCGCCAATTCACCAGAGCCACCATGTCTACCTGCAAACCAGAAAATGACTACGATGGTCGCATTGGTGTCCGCATTTCGGCCATTTTCGTTATCGGTGTTTGTTCACTGTTTGGTAAGTCTGTAAAAGATAAACAATCGAGGCATGTTATACTGATATCGATAATCANNGCAACCTGGTTCCCCGTCTTCGCTGCTAGGCACAGAGGTGTCGGCGTACCCGATTGGGCCTTTTTCATCGCCAAGTACTTTGGCTCAGGTGTCATCATAGCCACTGCCTTTATTCATGTGAGTCTTCTACCTACTCGTGTCTTCATGCGACTTGGATACTGATAGACGAAGTTACTCGCACCTGCCAATGATGCCTTGACGGATGAGTGCTTGACTGGCCCTATCACCGAGTACGATTGGGTCGAGGGCATTGTTTTGATGACCATCTTTGTGCTGTTTTTCGTCGAGCTCATGACCATGCGTTATGCCAAGTTCGGACACAGTCACGAGCATGAAGATCTGGAGCCTCAACACGACTTGGGTATCAAGCCCGAGCCCTTCACCGATGGCAAGAAGCCCGATATCCACGATGAAGCCGACCCTGTCTACGAGATGCACCCCGGACGTGTCAGCACGAGTACTGCTCACTGCCCCACCAACCCTCACGCTCGTGGCGATGACCACCTTGGCCATGCTCGCTCTCACGTTGACAATGAGATTTCTGTCGGATGGACCGAGGCGCAAAAGCAAGCGGCTGGCATCGTCACCGAATCTTATGCCGCCCAGATGACCGCCCTCTTCATACTAGAATTTGGTGTCATCTTCCACTCCATTTTTATCGGCTTGACCTTGGCTGTCTCTGGTGCTGAGTTCCCTACCCTCTATGTCGTCCTTGTCTTCCATCAATCCTTTGAAGGCCTCGGTCTGGGTACTCGTCTCGCTGCCATCCCATGGCCCGAGTCAAAGCGTTGGTCTCCTTACCTTCTCGGTGCCGCCTACGCCATCAGCACTCCCATCGCCATTGCCATCGGTCTTGGTGTTCGTCAGTCCTTCGCCCCCGGCAGCCAGACAACTTTGATTGCCAACGGTGTCTTCGACAGTATCAGTGCAGGCATTCTGATTTACACTGGTCTGGTTGAGCTCATGGCACACGAGTTCATGTTCTCCACATACATGCAANAAGCCAGCATCAAGACTGTCCTGACTGCATTCTTGTTTATGTGCCTGGGTGCTGGTTTGATGGCTCTTCTCGGCAAGTGGGCTTAAAGGTGTCGGGCAGGCTTTCCAACGACTACTCAACGATTTGTTTTATTCATGACTGTACAAAAACTCCAGCGATTAGATTAAAAGCATGGTTTCATGACCGAACGTAGCAGGAAGCAAATCCTGCTGCTCGTATTCAACATTCCATCATATCAATGCAAATATTTTCGAGCATATGAATTCTTTCCTTCATCGAACTCACTCTAATGCTATCCACGCATGACTTCCAACTGAACCTGGAATAGATACAGGTATGCCGCCGTGGCGTGACACATGGTGAGGTACCTATAGCATAGCTTTGTTATAGCAAGCTCTGTTCGACCGTCAACGTCGAAGTTTCAAGAATCAAGAGACGCCAACACAAACACGCCAACCAAGCAGACACTTACCATCCTCAATAAATTCTACAACCATACATCCAAAATGCAAAAATCAAATACCCCTTCAGCAACAAAGCAGCAAACCAATTCTGAACCATCTGCTACTGACCCCTGCAAAGTTCCGTAGGGCCAAACATCTCTCACACTCTGCACTTCACACACGAATTCTTCAACAAAATCATGTGTCGCTGGTACTGGCAGTACTATGTCCTCTGTCAACATCACGACAAGAAGCGCGTTCCTTGCGACATGTCAAGACGGCTGCAATGGAAATGCGAGGGGTGGAGAGACCCTGATCGCGAGCAACAGATCAGAACCAACGGAGGTGAGATTTATGAACCTGCAGTGACAAAGTTGTGCCCAGACTGCCGATCAGCTGAGAGAGGCAGGGGTAGGCGTTGAGACAGATATGGGAGGAGTGGAGGTAGCTTGGAGAGCCGGTTTGCCGGAACGGTATGAGTCTGTGCTTTGTGGATGGGTATGATCTTGGAGGTCATGTTTGTAGAGAGATATGCTTAAATGTTGGCATATGGTTGGTTGAAAGGAGCCAGACCAAAGGTCCTTGGAAAGCCAGGATGATATGATTACGATATCCAGGGAGCAAGTAATGCCTTGTGATTGTTGACAGGAAAGCCTGCCAAAACATGTGTCGAATGAGATTCGTTAGCCAATGATCATGCTTTCCTTGTATAAGACTCGTGCGACAAGCAAATGTAAACCAGCTAGTAGGCTCCAGTGCAAGTAATATGAAGTATCCTACAGCAGGAAAAATATCTCAAAGCTGGGAAAGAGAGCGAAACGACAGATATAAATCACTGTTAGACAAATATAAGAACATCAATCACCAATAAGCCAATAACCGAACAAAATCCCACCTATCTGTGTTCGATACCGTCCCACCATGTGTTTCTGGCGAAACATCTACTACATAGACTGCAAACACTATAGCAGAGATCCCGTCGAGTGCACAGAGGCTCACCGTACAAACATGCGTTACGAGAGCTAGGAAGCTGACGACAAGGAAATGGAAAGCCAGACAGCAAATGGCACTTCCTATACCAAGGCTGAACCAGCCAAGTGCATGGACTGCAAGTACATGGCGATGTTGCGTCGAAACGCAAACAACAAGAAGTCTGGAAGCGGATCGGGAGGTAAGGCTTAGGAAGCAGGACCAAGGCTTGATTGATTGATGGATTGAGAAGGCGCAAGATTGCGAATGTGCATCTTGGAACAGCTGAGAGATAGACTCAAATGTCGTCTGCAAGTCAGGACAGTGTCACCAATCGAAAAGATGATTGTATTTGATGAAATGTTTCTCGTGCCACATGTGAGGTCAAAAGTTGGAAGCTGCAAGCCTGTCGTCAACGTGTGATTTTCGTGCCAGCCACCGCAGATCGTCGATCAACCCAACACGTTACCTGTATCGTTCAGCAGAGTATCTTTTGCTCTTCTGTTCGCATCACTACACCGACTAGAAGCGTCAGGCATGGTCACGGCAGCTTTGGGCACAGCGAACGTCGCTGTCGCGAACGAGCGTGATGTATACGGCCTCAGCGGCGACATCAAGAAAGACCTCTTGAATTACCTTGACAACATCGCCAACTCTGGCGACTTCGCGACCATGAAATCAATCCCAAAACTTTCTGTAAATCCAGAAGTTCGACTCTTGAGTAACGAAGATCAAGAAGAAGTCGAGATTGGCATTAAACTAACGAGGATGGGATCGTGCCGAAGATTCAGGAGATCTTGAATACACCGACGCCATCGAAAACGGCGTTCGTAATGAGCTTTCTCTGTAGACTCGTTGAGCAATCTGAATCGTCAGACACCAGCGGTACTAATGTCCTAGAGATGTATGAGTCTATCTTGAGAGCCGCGATGCCTGAATTCGCTCTCAGAAAGCCGGAAGAGCGACGTTCATACTACGGATATGGGCGGGAGCAGGAAGTGCGTGAACCTGCGTTAGATGGCCATAATCTGTCATCAGTCGTCCAACATTGCATGAAGCTGGGCCTTGATGACTGCATCAACCAGTTAATTGGTAGGATCCTGCAGGAGATCACTGTCATGGATACGAAAGACTTTCCCACAGCCATCCTGCCTCTACTGGAAAGCCTCTTGTCGGACATCAAGAAGGGCGAAATTCAAGCCGAGAGATTCCGACGCCTCTTCCAATCCAGTTTGGTCCAGTACATTGCCCGACACGTCGGCGAGGAGCCCAAACAAGCCAACTGGTCTCGAGAGCCGATTGATTGCGAAGGTAAGGACCGTTATGCATACTACTCTCTACCCGCTGAGAGACGAAAGGATATAGAGCCTTGTCCGGATTGCCAGCAGATGAACAAGTTCAACCAAGACCCCAAAGAGACAGTCTGGCGTTATCCTGCTGCAGAGAAACATCGCGATCATTTGAAATACAAACTCGAAGAAGAATACCAATGCTCCACGACCGTCGAAAGAACTAACAGGCCATTCATCCTTGTAGTTACCAAACACAAGAAAGGGTTGAATGAAAAGCATCGGAAATGGGCCTCACGGGTCGCTGAAGTCAAACTGCACCCGAAGGAACTTGAGGGCCGCCATCGCTTCCTTGAAATTATACTTGCTGAGAAGTACAGCGATATAATGGTTGTGCGTGCGAGCAAACTGACGGCAGAAGTTGATCAGGCAAAAGGGGAGACCGAGGACCAGATATCTACTTGTGCAGGAGGAGTGATTCAGAGTTACCCAAGTTCTCGCGGACAGAAAAGGAAGGCAGTTGTAATCGATCTGACCGATGATTGGGACGATGTTACGCATCACGTACTGGGTAGTCGAGTTACGCGATGCAAGCGTTCTTATCAAATCAGTTGGAGTAAACTAGATGAACAACCTTCAGTGCTCATCTCGTGTTATAGTCTCATAAACTTCATGACAACATCCCGTAGCCCTTCTCGCAGAAAGTTTTTGTAATCTATGCAGAGCCGTGCTGCAAGATGTAGCCGCCGTCGACCTAAGATGAGGATGAAATTAGCATGGTTTCGCAAAGTATGGTAATATAGTCCTGATGCATAGCTTACAGCAATAGCTTGCCCATTTAGGTATTGATTAGTTGCCACAAAGAGCATGGCATTTCCTAAAGAGGTATGGTTAGTATGGTGAGATCGAAGTTGGATAGTAAGGTAGATTCGTGAGGTGCTAGCAGGGTCACCCTCCGAAGAAGAAAGAAAAAAAGAAAGAAAAAAGGAGACGATCTGCCAGATTCGTGGAGAGTAAGAACACCACAGCTCTGCTTGACGAGTACGCTTAACTCTGTAAGACGCCATCCCAGGTGGTGTCGCGTCAGAACACAACCCGTTTGAGCCTTTCGTACAGACTGAGCTGAAGCGCCAGCAGTAGTTGTGGTGTCTTGCAGTCTTGGCTTGACTTACCCATGTCACGATCGTTACCGGGGCGTTGAGCAAAGACCTTGCCCTCGAAGTCCTCCTTGGGGAGCTCTGACTTCTGGTTCTCGCCACTCTCACCCTGGGTCATCTCCGAAGGGAAGACACCAGGAGCGATGGAGTTGACTCTGACCTTGAGGCCGTTGTTGCCGATCTCGAAGCCAAGCATCTTGGTAAGGTGGATGACAGCAGCCTTTGAGGCGTTGTATGCGAAGTGGTGCTGTGCGGTCTTCACAATTCCGGAAATTGAGCATACCTAACGAGTAAGGTCATTAGCATAAAGTTTGACAACGTGATACAGACGGTTGGCAACATAACGCTTTGGCTGGACAACTAGGTTCAACTCTGTGAGATATCCTCTCAGACGGTACCCATCTGAAACACATCCCTAGATGGGCAATTTGTACAGAACGGGACAGAGCGCCAGCACTAGTGGTGGTGTTTGTGCTTCTAATTCAAAACTTACATTGATCACGCAACCAGAGTAACCGTGCTGGTGCTCAGTAGACTTCTGAAGCAGAGGGAGGAAGCCCATGGTCATGAAGAAGCACTGAGGAACGTTGGTCTTGTAAGTGTCGGTCCAGTCTTCGATGTTCGAGTCAGGGTTGTCGAAAAGGTTGGCCTTCATCTCCTCGGCCGTCTTGGCCTCGGTCTGCATGGTGTTGGAGGAAACACCAGCGCTGGCATGCATGTCAGTAAGGAGGATCTGATGGGTGGTATGGCTGCGCATACTTATTGACAAGAATGCAAACGCATTTCTCCTTGGATTCAATCTCCTTGACCATGGCGGCGATGGATTCCTTCTTGGAAATATCACCCTGGAGAGGAATGATCTGTCCGGGGATGTCCTTGCCGTAGATCTCGGCGACCTTGTCGAGCTTCTCCTTTGTACGGCCAATGATATAGACCTTGGCTCCGTTTACAGCAAATGCCTGGGTAGCCATGAGACCGATACCTGAGCCACCGCCTGTACATCTCTGGTCAGATGATGGAGATCTCTTACTGGAGGAAGAACGATTTCGGACTAACCGGAGACGACGACGACCTTGTCCTTGACATTGAAGAGCTCAGAGAGCTTGAAAGCATCGTTGTTGTTGGGAGAAGACATGTTGGATGTGGTTGCGAAAGTGCGTTTGGTGATAGGTGTATGGATTGCTCGAGGAGGGATGTGTCGAGAAAGTGTCTGAAGTCGGGAAGCAGCATTCAGTGTTTGGGGAGCTGCCCTACTTGTACCTGAGGGAAGAGCTCTAGATACCATCCTGTGGAGTGTCGTCATGATGAATGGCATTGATCCGAATAGCAAGCAGAATGCGTAGGCTAAAACTCGTTGTAACAGAAACTTTCTACTTTGCTGCGATTCCCCGCTCAATGGGCAGCTATTAAATGTGCTAGATGCTCAACACGAAAGTGCTGTCGTCAGAAGTGCCCGCACTTTGGATGAAGACCATCAATGTCATCAGGTAGGCGTCATCGAGTACTTCCTCGGGATGCATGTTTCGATTCCTCAGGACATCACGGTGCATGAATATCTAGTCCTCGACATGGAGATTACCATCAAGACATAGCCATGTCAAAGGTACAAGAAGCAATCGATTTGTGAAGGAAGCCTTTGAACAATTGCATGTGCCCTCTCGATAGAGAACGTGTAGATCGCGTTGAAGCTTGGGCCTACCTGTTCTTGCCGGCATCAGCTCCGACGAATCTGCGTGCCTGCCTTCGAGAGCATCGATCCTGTCAGTCGTTCTTGCCGCAAAACATTATTTGCGACAGAAAACAAAAATTGTCGTCGTTGACAAACAAGAGCTGAGTTTTGCAGCCCAGGATTCGTGTCAAGCCATCAAAAAGTGAAGCTGCTACGCTGGGTCGAACAACGGACCTTAGGATGATTGCAGAAACTGCAATCCCACGCTCTACCACTGAGCTACAGCAGCCAGTCACGTGATAGATTGTACTTGATCGTTATCACTAACAATCATTGATTAGAAGCATGTTCTGGGACGGCGACAGCCGGATAGCGGAGAGGAGCGTGCACGCGTGCAAGACGTCGGTCGGGCAGTTCGAGCGAAGTCGATATCGAAGTCGAAGCTGAAGCTGCTTTTGCAACCAACTCCCTCGCCCTCCCTCTTTTTCCTTCTGTCCAGCGGTCATAATGCTTCGCACTCCGTTGATTCGGAGTCGGGCTCGCCTGTGCGCCCCGCGCGCCTCGCCCGTCGTCTCGCAATTGCTGCTCAACCGTTCCGTGCGTCCTGCCCGGCTGACGTCTATCAAGCCGTCCAATTGACTGTCGCGTGCTGACAATCCCATCCAGAGAGCCTTTGCCGACATCCGTAGACCCGATCAGATTGTCCTCCCTGGAACACACAGCGAGAATGCCGCCAGCGACGTGCCTGAGCCGCCCAAGCTCGGCGCCGAAACTCCCGCTTCGCCAATCGAGGGCGCACCCATTGGCATCCCTAGAGCCCCTCCTACCCCCGAGGCCGTCGGTGCCACTCCTCCCCCTCCTCCTCCTGCCTCTACAACTGGTCCCAAGGTCGTAGCTGGCCCTGCACCCAAGCCCAGACGCCGTGGTCGTTTCCGACGCTTCTTGACCACCCTCTTCCTCCTGTCTTCTCTTGGTTTCGCTGGTGGTGTCTACTACTCGCTCACCTCGGACAACTTCCACGACTTCTTCACCGAATACATACCCTTCGGCGAGGACGCCGTTGCGTACTTCGAGGAGCGCGAGTTTCGCAAGCGATTCCCCAGCCGCAAGCTCGAGGACCGCCATTACCCTCAGGTCCGCGGCGAAAACAAGGTCCAGATTGGAAAGAACAGTGGCTTGACAGCACAGGTCAACGATGTCAGCCCTGACACGGAGCGCCGCCATGTCAGCGCTCGCGAGCCCTCGCGCCCTCTCCAGCAGCCTCAAGAGGCCACCCCTGCTGAGCGCACCGCTGCCGTTGAGACAGCAGCCCACAAAGACGGTAAGCCCCGCCTCGACATGGAGTCAAAGTCGCACCATCTCTTGCCCAAGGACGATGTCAAATCTGAACGCAATTCGCAAACAACAGCCTCCAAGCCCTCGAACCCCGCCCCTCAAGTTGCCCAGGCACCTACCACCGCTGCTGCCCCTCTCGACCTGATGAGCATGCCCAACGCCGCCGAGCCCGTTGTTCAGGATGTCGTGAAGATGCTCAACAACATTATCACCGTCATCAACGCCGATCCCTCTGCCGACAAGTACACATCAACCATGGCTGCCGCTAAGAGCCAAGTCGAGAAGATTGTCTCGGACATTTCCACCCTCAAGGCCCAAGCCGAGAAGCAAACCGCCGATGAGATTTCCAACGCCCACACTCTGTTCGACACTGCTGCCAAGGAGCTCGTCAGCCGTCTGCAGTCGGAAATGCAAGACCAGGAGGCCAAGTGGCGTGAGGAGTACGAGAGCGAGCGCGAGAAGTTGTCGCAATCATACCAGACCAAGCTCTCGACCGAGCTTGATGTCGTGCGCAAGGTTTCCGAACAGCGTGCCCACAACGCCCTGGTTGAGCAAGAGATTGAGCTGCAGCGCCGCTTCGCAAAGAGCGTGCGTGACCGTGTTGAGGAGGAGCGCAATGGCCGTCTGGCCCGTCTTGACGAGCTGTCCAGCTCCGTTGCCGAGCTTGAGAAGCTTACCGGAGAGTGGAACAAGGTTGTCGACAGCAACTTGGCTACCCAGCACTTGCACGTCGCTCTTGAGTCCGTCCGCCATGCCATCGCCAAGCACGACCACCCTACTCCTTTCATCAACGAGCTCGCCGCTCTTAAGGAGATCAGCAACAACAACGAGCTCGTCTCTGCTGCCGTTGCCAGCATTCCCCCTACCGCATACCAGCGCGGTGTCCCCAGCTCTGCTCACCTGATTGACCGTTTCCGCCGTGTCGCTTCCGAGGTTCGCAAGGCTGCTCTTCTACCCGAAGATGCCGGTATTGCGTCTCACGCCGCTTCCGCCGTCCTTTCTCGTTTCATGTTCAACAAGCAAGGTGCCGGTATGCCCGAAGGTGATGATGTTGAGGCTGTCTTGAGCCGTACCCAAGTCTTCCTCGAGGAGGGTGACATTGATGGTGCTGCCAGAGAGATGAACTCGCTTGGAGGTTGGGCTGGTGTCCTGAGCAAGGACTGGGTCGCAGAGTGCAGAAGAGTTTTGGAGACTAAGCAGGCTATCGATGTGAGTTCTCCCAACTTGTTACTTTCTTTTCTGCCATATACTGACTTGACTACCAGGNTTATCGCTACCGAAGCTAGACTTCAGAGCCTCCTCGTCGACTAGATTATCACAAAAGCTTTTGGTGAATTTGTACATTTTTCTAGATCAGTTTTCTTTTTCCGCCAAACCAAAGCTATACGATATCCAACATCATTTTTCCTATGATCAGCTTCTCGTGTATGAATTGTGATGCATAATGTCCGTTGTGGTAGTGAGACGTGAGATGAGGTTGGAAACGGGTCCGCTTGAAACTTTGACCGTAGCGCGAGCCCAGCGCGGCTCTTCGCGGGTGTGCATCGTCATAATAGTGAGCGGTTTCGAAAAAAACATCCATCTTCAAGAGTGACTTTGATCAATCTTGCCTTGTTGATTATACCTACTATTGTGTCCGGAGAAAAGTGCCTGTCTAGTGATATCGAATTGAGCAGGCGCAGCCATTCCGAAGAACGCGAAGATCCAGCAAAAGCTTCGTAGAGGTCGATGCAACTCCAGCCACCCATCAACATGTCGGACGCACTCTCTGTCAAGAGCTCGAGCAAGAGCGTTCGAAGCCTCAAGGACAAGCTCCGCTCTACTTTTGGTAGAAAATCAGTCGACGACACGAATGTCCCGCGAAGGAAAAGCAGCACTGGCGAGAATGTACCTCAAGGGCGCAAAAGCTCACAGGGAGCTTCCATCGATTCGAGGCAGGACTCTATTCAAGTCGTTGCCTTCAAAACGCAAGCAGAGCGTATCAGAGAAGCAAGAGAGACTGGCCCAAAAATCGATAAACAGACTGGAGAGCTTCTGGACGGCACTACGATGCTGCACAGTCTTGCGCACGACTCTTTCGATACTGTCACTGAGATATTGAACAAGTACGAGTTGGATCTAAATCGTCCGCCTGGCGAAGCTCAGATTGCTAGCTTGTCTCCTCAGTTATGGAGTCAAATTACAGAGCATATCAGCTTGGTTGATCGCGCCTGCCTTGCTCTTGCGTCCAAGACTTTGATGGACCGTGTGGGGTCTTCTTGTTTGGCAACCATCAATCATCCTGAAAATACAGCATACAGGCTCGCATTCTTACACCGGCTGGAGGACAAATTGCCGAACCATTTATTCTGCTTCGTCTGCAACAAATACCATCTACGAACGATGAAAGGCGAGGAAAAACTCAGGCCTGCCAGCGTACTCAATCCTCTTTTCAACTGCCCAAATGCCACCAACAACCTCATGCCTCAACCAAGACTGCGCATCACCACTGGCCGCACACTCCCCTTCAACTTTGTCCAACTCGCCCTTAAAGGCAAGAAATACGGTCTAGACTACGGAATCGACGCAACGACAATGGCACGTCTCTGGAGAGAACAACACGAACCCAGATGGATCCACAGCACGCGCTACTTTGTCTTCAAAGGCCGTCTTCTAATGCGCGTTCAGAGTACTTGCTTTACAAAGGCAGGACTAACTCCAGCTGGCGAGCGCATGCTTCTCTACAGTCGTGAAGACTACTTGCCTTACTTTTCCGCTTGTGCGCACTGGAGAGATGGCTTGTTGATGAATATCTGCAAGTGTGCGTTGAGTCATCTGCCAGTACCGCCGGAAAAGTCGTTGCAAGAGGGGTTGGCAAAGGTTGCTGGGAGACGACCATCGCAAGGTGCAATCATTATATTGTGCTCGAATTGTCGTCCTATGCGTCGTTGTCCGTCGTGTCCGACAGAGTATCTGGTGGAAGTCAAGTTGGCCGAAGACAGGTCGGAGAAGGATCCGACGAAGTTGTTCAAACATGCCATTGTGGTTACACGATGGAGTGATCTTGGAGATGGATCTTCTCCTGAGACTCCCGAGTGGGCGGCTGTCACTGGTGCAAAAGACGATTATGACTCTTTGTCTTCGATCGGCACACGAGCTATTTCGGGCACTTTCGAAAGTCAGTCAGCAGACACTGGTCCTGGACAAAGAATTTTGAACCTCAACCCCAAAGATGAACACAAGGGAGAGGAGGGCCACGACTGGTACTAGGGAAACCTATCAACTTCACACCGAGTAACGAAGACACAAAGCAGACCATATTGGTTTGATATCATATTACCATACTACTACATAATCTAATTCCAACACCATATCCTTGAGAATTTGTATCCGCCCTTTACCAAAAGCAAAAAAACTTCACCTCAGATCTGTGAGCTATCTCAGCTCCGCATCAGAGACATAGTGAGCACCTGCCTCACACCTATATCCACCATCCTGCTTGATCCAGGCAAACCCTACAGGACAAACACCCATAGCTTGCAGTTTCTGCTGCGCAATCTCTTCCTCCTCCATCCTTTGTTTCTGCCATTCTTGCTCCTCCTGCAGTTGGGCGAGTCTTTTCTCTTATTCTCTCGACAATCGTGCCTGCTCAGCCAATCTTGCTGGTTCGGCTTGTTGTGCTTGATAGGCTTGTTGCTCCGCATACGCTTCATCTATGACAAGAACCTTGCCTGCTGCTGAAGCTAGAATGCCTTTTGTCAGATTTTCAGATTCTCCAACGGCAGCACCAATAAAGTCAGACGGGTTCTTGATCGTGACTTCGCCATTCGAAAGTAGCCCTATGTCTGCCAGAATCTGGCCGTAGAGCTTTGCCACAGTGGTTTTGCCTGTTCCGGGCGAACCGAGGAAGACTTTGTTCAGGTTGAACTCTAACAGTGGCTTCTCTTCAAGCTCTTTGTGATAGTTGTCCTGGGTGGTTCGGATAAATGCTTTGACTGATTGCTTGACAGCATCTAGACCAGTCATGTTCTGTAATTTCTTCCCGGCGGGGCTGTCCGCCAGAGATGCAGCAGGTTCAGGTCCAATAAGGTCGGTCTTGGTAAGCGACATAGCATCCGGCAGATGTCCTGGCCGTTTCTTTAGCATCAATCTCTTTGCTTGTCGACTGAAGATCTTGGAAAGTGCAATCTGAATCGCCGATGCATTGCCAAAATCCTCTCGCCCACGACCGTATCCAACACGACGAGCCACGATCCGGCAGTAAAGCCCATCGAGTCCATCCTCGACACTAGCTCGTCCGCTAAAGTGACGCTGGATATGAATTTGCAGAATGTGCAATAGTTCGGTGTCTTTGTAGTCTTGTAGTTGGAATTGGTATGGAAACCGGCTTGGTGCACCTGGACTATGGGCGAGGAGCTCCTCCATCTGTTTTGGATATCCGGCAAGGATGAAGATGATTTGACCATTGAGAGTGTCCATCTCAGGAAGGAGGAAGTCGAGGATCTGCTTACCCCTAGTGACCAGTTGATGTGCTTCATCGATGAATAGAACTCCTCCACCCCTCGTCTTAAAATCCTCGAGGTCAGAGATAAGCTGTTTCAGACCACCAGCAATCAAATAGGCTGCTGTGATAGATGCGAACCTGTCACCCTGCAGTATGTTCAAGGACATCAAGAACTTCACAAAGAGACGGCCAAGTGAGGTCTTTCCAGTACCAGGATTTCCAGAGATGACCGTTCCAAAACTCTCATTGCCCAGGTTGACACCTTGTTCGCGGCAAACATCTGCTCTGGCCACGATGTTCAGGAAATGTTCCTTGATGGTCTCAAGGCCGGCCGCAGTCATTAATTCATCGACATTCTCGTTGCTGGCGGAATCCATATGTTTGCGTCGATGCCATTCTTTTTCCGACGCCGAGTTCAGAATTCAGGAACTTCGAGACAATTTCTTTGATGCTTGTGTCGGTGTTGTTGATTTCCAGTCCATGATATTGGAGACAAAGAGCAAACCCTGAAAACCCTGATACGGCACTGATGTTGAGATTCCCATTCCAGAAGTTTTGGGTAGTTTGCATGTTATGACGATGGATGCGTATTGCTGGATGAGGTTGGCGAGCCAGAGGCCCAAGGATGTGTGTTATTATACCTGCATCCCCGGCGTGATTAATAGTTCTGGAGACAAAGGATTAGCAAAACATGCAAGTTCAAGACATAACATCGGAGACTGTCGGATTATGGATGACTCTTGTCGGAGTTCATACAGTGACTCATCGTGGGTTTCAATGTCCGAGTTAGTTAATTCCCGACACCTCCAGAATCCAGATGTTTGAGAATGTGAACAAAGAAGTCCACACATTTGAGTAGTTCGTGAGACTCGACACTCGCGGGGCCTCTATGAGCTATCTCGCCGTGCTTAGGTCTCCAATAGTTTAAGTCGAGATGATATGCGACTTTCATAATAGTGGTGCAAAATCTGTCAGGTCCGGTTAAGGCAGGAATAGCCAAGCTCGTGACTTCCTCGTACTCATAGTGCCGTCCGAGTGTGTCGTATAGTATATAAGCACATGAGTTTTTTTCTTTCTAAATTTAATCTAAGAAGGGATATTGTCCTAGACATACTATAAGTTGCTTGGGTTATACTTATAGTTTAGCATACTAGTGTTCTAAACTAATAAGTTTACTATAGAATAGTTATTTATTGCTAGATTGCTATTAGCTTTTAGAACTATTAGCATCTATTATATTAGGTTTAACTTAATCTCTTATATTAAGAAGTAGTAGAAACAGGTAAGTAGTAGTAAAAATATAGAAAGTAGTAGAGATGGATAGAAAGTAGTAGGATAGATAACTAGAGAGTTTTGGGGCATTAGTTTACTTTAATAACGAACCTGGCCAATCTAGAGAAGAAGGATCAAGTTACGGAATGATCTACATGGTTTGTTTCTAGAAAGCAAGTAGTCTAAGTAGATCGAGGTCAAAGTCCTTCGGCCTAGCAAGCCGACTTCCGAAGCCGCATCCGACTCAGCATCCTTGGTAAAAAGAAGAGGAGTCCGCACACTCTCGCTACTTGTTTTGTCTCACAACATATGATGTTACCAATTCCTCAACTCCAGTTATTGGATGTCGCACCCTTGCTGCCCGCCAGCGTAGCGTTGACATACATCGCTTCCGTCGCATTCAGATGGGAGCAAGCTCTGGCTCGTCGCATCTCTGGCACTGGAACATACAACGACAAGGACACGAAAATTCTATTGCCTGCCAACAAAACTGATATCAAGGTCCAAGAAAGCTCTACTTGGACCTCACAAATCACCTCCGCAGTGGTGCCGATCGCTCATTACTATCTTACAACGACCAGACTCTGGGGATTGAAGAAGTCCGAGACAGTCACTACCAATATTTGTCTTGGCCAAATTGCCTTGGTAGTAGTTGAGTTTGTATTTCATTACCTTCGTCACCATGATTGGAGAAGAGGCAGATTGTTGTCTCTCGGAGCTGCCTGGAGCGGCATGGCATTGAGGTCACAAAGCTGGATGCCAGGCTCCGGTTTGGCAGACCTAGGTTCCGCGATTTGCATTACAATTCTTGCTGTCATTTCGATCTTGTCGGAACAATCAACGATCAACCGAGACTCGTCTGGAACCCCTATCACTGGCATGATCAAGTCCGAGAAGAAAGAGTCCTTAGGGGCGGATAATATAATATCACGATCTTCACTTGTCCATCTGCACATCTTTAGTGTCTCACTGTTGCTGGTCTATCTGCTTCATGACTATCCACCTCTATCCTTCTGGCTCCTTTATGGGATCCCGTGGCTAGGATCGTTACCGCATTACCTGATAGCATTCAGTCTGTTGCTCCTACGAGACGGAGTCGACAACTGGCGAGCCACATATCGACATCAACAGACACTTCAACAACATCTACACGCTTTTGTTTCCTCAGTCTACAAGGGATTACCAGAATTCCCGGAGTTTGTGCGCTGCGGTATCCTTATACCTCTGTCTGTGATGGGTCTATGGCTCACTTTCTTCTTTTTGACCAATTACATGGCTTCCTGTCTTGGATTTCGCAAGTTGATTTTCGACAAACCCAGGACTATGCCAGGGTTTCTCGATGGAGGGATATTCGGGNGGTTCATCTATCAGATGATTGTGACTGGGCATTTACTGCTCCGGCAGGAAAGGATTAAGAGGGATAATCCTAACAAGATGTTTCACCTTGTGATGGCCTTTGTGGTAGCTTGTGGGCAGACCACTACAAGTCTTGTGATTCTAGCTTTTGGGCTGTGTGGTCTGAAGACGTTCGGTTGATGTAATCAAGCACCTTCTCCAGATACAATACCGATGCATACTTGTTGCACGAATCAAGTGATGATGGATGAGCGGGACCATGAATGCATGATGCTTACGAACAGGGTGGTAACCCTGGCCAAAGCTGTCCAAATTCAATCCAAAATCAACAAGTGCTAAGAATAGCACAACAACATGGAAAAGTCATGCGAGCTTATTTGCAGCATGGGGTTTGCTGAGAAGTCGATAGTGGATGTGGTGGTTGGTCACGAACTCCTGAGAGCAGCCAGCATCATGGTGATGTATGCGCGCAGAAATGCGGGTGGTGGCGAGTCGCCATGCACAACGGCATTAACCAATGCTGGCATTGGCGCGCGATTTTAACCGTCTAGACCGTCTAGACGGGACAATTCGATGAGGCCAGGGAGTAGTTTCTCCAGAAGTCGGAGGGGCATTTGCTTTGTGGTAATGACATGAGCGCGGTCTCGATATGAACAGCAGTGCGGCTCTTCTGATCGCAAGCGCGCTGCCGGATCTGAAGCCGCAAGAGCTGCCTGTCATCACTCGCGTCCTTGACTTTCTCGGCATCCGCATCGCAAACTCGAACTCGCCGACAGCGAAGACGACCCTGTTCATAGCGACCGATGATGCGAGAAACGATACACAGACCGAAGTAGGGAATGGCAATTGGACGGCAGGAGCGACAGGGGAAGAAGCGACCGGCGTCGAATTCGACTTGGATTCGCGGCGGTGGAAGCTGGACCATGGACACAGCAAGAGCAAGGACCATAATGCGACAGACTGGACTGCGCAGATACCGGACAGCGAGCACAACCGCTTCCTGATCAACACACGCTGGGACAAGACAGCCCTTGGTCCGATAAAGTCATGGCCCTTGGTACTGCAGCTCATGGTACTCAAGATGCTCGGCGATCCTCGGCCTGCAAATCTATACTGGGGCCAGGATCGCATCGCTATCTATAATGAGTCGTTTTCCATAATGGCCCATAGTCGCCATCCTGCCATGATGGGCTCTACTGCAGAGGAAGCCATGCCCGCTACCTGGCCCTTTCTCAAACTCATGATGCAGCAAGTTCAAGACACAAAGATAGCTTTCCACGCCCCCGAGTTCGAGATGGAGGTACACAAGGAGAGCGGTTTCCTCGAAGAAGCTTGGTACGATGGCGTCTTCTCGCCCATCGTCAACAGTGACGGCAGCTTCCAAGGCCTGTACAACTCTGGCTATGAGATTACGACCGCCGTTCTCATGACACGTTACTCTCGATTGATCCATCAAATCGCCGCCGTACCCGACTTTCGCCAGACAAATGCTTGGATCCACATCATTGAGAGCTGTCGATCCTTTGAAAGGGATGTTCCTATGCTTCTTGTTTATTCGGCTGATGTCTCGCCAACACAACGATCTGATCATTGCACTCTGCAACTGAAGGGTTCACTAGGCATCAATCACGAGCATGAGCAAACACTGCGCACTCTCAGTCTGGACGATTCGACTCATCCTCTTACACCTGCTTTCCGGTCCAGCAAAGCACTTGGTCATCCCATCGTCCTCGATACATGTAGCCAATCCTTGAGGCAATTTCGGCAAGATGTGGAATGGCGAGGCTGGCAAGAACCATCGTCACTCGTCATTGTCATGCCTATACTTATCAGTGGTCTTATTTCTGGCTTCATGGTCATGGGTCTAAATCCCCGGAGACCTTACGATGATGATCTGAAACAACTGGTCAACGACATCTGGCGAACAGCAACTTCCGTAGTCTCCTCAAGCGTCAATTTCGAGCAAGCACAAGAGCGAGAAAGGGTTTTGACCAGAAAGTTGACCCAGCGCGAACGGTTTATCCGCAAGGTTGCGGAGATAACCAACGTCGGCATCTATTCTTGGTCATCTGCTGGAATTCTTACTTATGCCAATCCAAAGTATCACGATATTGTTGACGACACCCCCGAAACCGGATGTAGTCAAGCCGCCGGTTTCGTTGCCTTTGTTTTGGAAGAGGACCAAGAANAAATCACAAACGCCATCGAGGAATGCAAATCTCGGCGTACCAACATCAGCATCAGCGTTCGTTTGAAACGCAAATGGACGCCGCCAGGCTCCTCCACAGAACAACACTATTGGGTGCTGAACTCTATCGTTCCGGATGTTGAGGATGACAAGATACAAGGTGTTATCGGATCGTTGGCTGATATCAGGCACACGATGTGGGCTTTGCAGCTACAANAAGACTCGACCGAAGCGGCTCTCGAATCGAAGAAACACCTTGAACGATTTATAGTAAGTCAAAAGACATTAGTGACTAGTAAAAAGACTGACAGTTCTGCAGNNGACATGACATCCCATGAAGTGAGTGGTTTCATCACGGGTGATCACACATTGCTAACGATGGTGTAGATGCGAAATCCTCTAGGTGCAACAATGCAGTGTGCTGACGACATTCTTCGATTGATTGAGGAAGATATAACTTTGCGTGAGATCGAGGGCTCCCGCGAACTCTTCGACGCGGTACGGGAGAATGCAAAGACCATCGCATTCTGCAGTGCTCACCAAAAGACCATTGCGGATGATATTCTCGTGGTATCAAAGCTAAGCTCATCGCTTTTGTCACTTTCTTCCGCAGTGTGCCAACCTGAATTGGTGGCAAGGCAGGTTGTCCGCATGTTCCAAGCCGAAGCCGCGAACGCCGACATCAACCTTGATCTCGAGGTCCACCAATCTTACGCGATCAGCTGGGCTTTGTGCGACGCTTCGAGGATTCGACAGATATTGATCAATCTGGTCAGTAATGCAATGAAATTCACAAAGGGCAGGAGCAAACGACAAATAAAAGTCATCATCGGGTCCAGCGACGTCACGCCTCCGAGTTACATGTCTCAGCTACAATGGCATCCAAAGGAGTCGCCGGCTCCTGTATTGAGCGACGCTAGCAACAGTTTCTTGACTTTCCAGGTGCGAGATACTGGCAAGGGACTCACTCCAGAGGAGATGTCGAGGCTTTTTAATAGGTTTAGTCAAGCAAGTGCAACAACTAGTGCTACGGTAAGCTCTCACATTTTGCCATTCGTGTTTCAATGGCTCACTTGTCTTTAGTACGGCGGCTCAGGATTAGGGCTGTACATTTCGATGCAATTAGCAGAACTCCAAGGTGGTCGCATCGGTCTGTCGAGCGAACCAGATGTTGGAAGTATGCAAACGCCTGATCCATGCATCATTTCCCGTGCTGACTGTTCCTCAAAGGCATCTNTCGGTTTCTACATCAGCATCCAGAAGACATCAGCTACCGAAGAAGACGAACGAAACATCAGAAGAATCTCCGAGACTATCGAGAAGCAGACACTGGACAAGCGTACTAGACCGCTTGACATCTTGCTGGTAGAGGACAACAAGATTAATGCAAGAGTGTTGAGTAAACAACTTCGAGCGAAAGGACATCAAGTGTTCATCGCAAATCACGGCGGCGAGGCGCTCGAATATCTCAAGACTACGAACTACTGGCGAGGTGGGGCCCGTCCTGGCAAGAAGTTGGATGTCATCCTGATGGACTGGGAAATGCCTGTTCTCAACGGCATCGACTGCACTAAACAGATACGACAATTTGAAGTGCAGGGCTCATTAACGGAACACCTGCCAATCATTGTCACGTCTGCAAATGCGCGGCCTGAGCAGATCGAAGTTGCCTGCTCGGCGGGAGCTGTAAGTATCAGTTGTTCTTACATTTCGTCATGGTCAAGCTAACGGTTTTTAGNNGACGGCTTTTTGCCAAAGCCTTTTACGGTGGTACAAGTCTTTGAGAAGATACAGCAGATGGATTTGTAACAGCAGACGATGAGACGCGGATACCAAAATGAATATGCTCTTATCTGCGACTTGAATCTACAACTCGTAGAATCTCAAAGATTCGTCCATGTCCATACTGACCAAGGCCTGAGCCCCTTCGAGCCAGTGGCAACCCCTGGCCCTCCTCGTCATGCCAGGTCCTATAGGTCTTTGCATCCTCCACTTGACATTTCGGTCTTGGTCCCACACTTCGATCGTGCCACCACAATTCTTGGCAATCAACATCCTGCCCTCTTCAGCCTACATGAGCTCGATAGTGTTGGCAAATACGCGCATCAGTGGGTTCTCAATCTTCAGAGACCAGTTTGTGGAGACGATGTCCTCGAATGGTTTCCAGATCCAGATATTAATCTCATGCGCAATGGCGATCTCATTCCTTGGAGACCAGGCTGTGATTATGCCTGTCACTCTACTGGTGATTCTCTCATTTCTGTACGTTGTGACCTGCTCGCCAGTCTCGCTCGAATGCACAGCCAGATAGTAAGTCTGGCGGGTGGTCTGGTCTTCGTTCTTTTCTCTCATCAAGCCGGAGTGTAAGATGTGTTTGGAGTCTGGTGACCACTCGGCTTTCCAATATTGCCCTTTTGGCGGACTGATCTTTTGCTTACACTCACCACTTGTGGTGTCGAAAATGCGCAGAGATCCATCTCGAGACACAGTGGCGACGCTTCTAGCATCTGGGCTGAATTCTGTCCAAGAGATGAAGACGGTGTCGCCGCCAATAACGTGTTTCTGTGCGTTCTGAACAAGATTGTGAATAACGATTCTTGTGGTTTGTGTTGCTTGGGAAGGACCCTCTTGCTCCTGCTTGTCTTCGATGCGATATAATAATAGCTTGCTATCTAAGCTAATGGGGTTTTCGCGATAGCTCGCAATTCTTGCTATGCGAACCAGATCCTTGGATATCAACGTGGATTGCAATCTGTCCAGAGCCTTTTGTATTCCGCACGAACAGTATCCAAGAATGGTTGCCATCAAAAAGCTAGAAGAAAAGTGGATGTCAACAACAATGATACTCGATGGCATCGGTGACCAATCTCTTTCGGATGATCCCTTCGGAACAGACACACATCACTTCTGGCTCGCCCCGTCGCTCCTTCCTTATCCAAAATACTCGAATGATTGAGCTCCTATGATGTAACGGATATCGCTGTATCCCCAAAAAGTCAGCTTGCTATACAGCGATGGCAAGCATACGCGAGAAACCCCTACAGTACAAGCGAGTAGGTTTACTAAAAGCGAGATCTGCAGTAACGGCTTTCTTCAGAATCCCTCCACATCACCTATTTCTCGTGCGTAAAACACCCAAAAACATCTACCTCTTGTGTCAGGGCCGCAGATGCGCATATCAGATAAGAAGAAGTGAGTAGCCTTGTCAGATCCGAATGCAGCAACGATCTTTGTATGGACACTTCGGAAGCAAAAGGGACCATAACTATAACCTTGTTTGTCGCGCGGACTTGCGGTTCCAGAAGTATCCGAGTGCGCAACTACTCGCACAACATGCGAGCAAACAAGTGCAGCCGATGATAGATCGACCTTTGGAGATAAGACAGACAGTGATAGGAGGGTTATTGTCTTATCTCGACATCTCCGCGTATCTGGGATCCTTATAGGTGTCCTGTTTGGTGGGTAGATCGTTGTCGATTACACGCGTTTGTTTGCAGAGCATGCAAGTCTAGCCATCTCTTTCGGTCGTAAGGGCATATCACAAGGCCATACTTCTCGCAAGACATACTCTCGCAAGGCATGCCCTCGCAAGATATACTGGAGCAGAAGGGGGCCTAGTGACGAACAAACAGCGATCGAGATGATCAATTAACAGGTAGAGAAAGTGTGACATGCCAAAGCCATTGATCCGGGGTATTCTCTGGCGACAGTGAGAAGAAGAGGAAAGGGTATAAGTAGCAGCATCTGTTCGTCTCAAAATCCAGCACAAAACAATCATACTCTCGTCCACAACTTCCCGTCAACACTTTTTCTTCTTCATCTCCAACACCACCAATAACAACCTTTATACCATCGTCATGAAGGTCCTTACCAGCATCTTCGCCATCGCCACTGCTGTCTCTGCAGCAGCAACAACACCAACCTCAAGCGCCGTACCGGTATCATTGAGATGCGCACTGCATCCGACCTCTGCGGTCCCCTGGACACACCCATGTGCTGTGGCACCGATGTGCTCGGTCTTGCTGACCTGTCCTGCTCCTCTGGTATATCTTGCCTCTCATTTGCTTTTCGTGTTGTGTACAAGCATATGCTAACTTGTTGGATTTGCAAAANNGTTCCAAGCACTGTTACGACGTCTGGTGACTTTGGCACTTATTGTGCTAGCGAGGGCAAGTCTGCCGAGTGTTGTGTTACTTCGCTGGTGAGCTTGTCTTTCTATGCTTGCTATGTTGTGTTGATACTGACTGTTATACTCAGCTCGGTAGTCTTGGTAGTCTTGGTGTTGTATGCTCTGCTGCTTGAGTCTCTGTGACAATCCGTTGAGGCGCTTCATGATTATGGTCTTAGTATGTAGTGACGTATATCCTATTTTGGTTCCAGTGCTGTTCCTGAAAACGATTGTGTTGCTCCAAATCCGATTCTTGACTCACGAGGGACAATGAGTATTGGTTTCTGCTGTATGCTGTGGTGACCGACGCCGTGACATCGTCTCTATACGGAAGGCTGCGCTTTCTGAACCCCAAATTTCTGCCCGAGAACGACCCATTGTGCCAGGATCCAAGAAAGTCTGAAGCACGATTCATCGCGGTTTTCAAAAGCCTTTGGTACAATACCTTTGACCTTGTCCCACTGCACGAAGCCCAGCTGCTCAATATTCTCGCGAGTGACCAATCGCTTCATCAACTTATGCAAAGGTCCATCGACAGGCCATGCTGGTGGAGCGGAGTACACATGCTTCTTGCGCTCGTAGATCTCTTGCGTGATAAAGGGCTTACAAGCCTCGCGAAGGATCCACTTCTCGGTCGCTCGTTGCTCAACTGGATCCCAACGAATCTTCAGACTGGGTGGGATCTGGTTGACGTATTCGGTCAAAGGGTGATCCAAGAAGGGCGGTCTTGCCTCGAGACTGTGTGCCATCTCCGCGCGATCGGCCAGAGAAGTAAGGATTGCGTTGGCCAAGATTCCTTTGGTCCAAATATACTGCGCTGTGTGCAGGGGATGCCACTTGTCGGTCATAAGACCTTTCACGCGACCATCTACGTTGCTCGCGATGCTGTCCTTGATCGAGTATTCACCGAGCTCCGAAGTCCAGTTGTTGAACACATTGGGAAATGTTGCGCCGATAGACTCAAGGGTACTGATGTTGTTGAGCTGTGTGTTTGCAGGGCTAACCAGTTTTGATCTGTCGCCATCTGCAGCTGCATCCTTGATCTTGAAAAAATGGCTTGGGTGGTGTTTTGGGTCGTTCCAGATGGCTTGACGTTCGGCCTCGGTGAGATTGTATTCTGGCCAAGAGTGGTCGAACTCTCCAAGATAGTCGGGCTGGAAGGTTGGATAGCCTCCGAAGTGTTCATCGGCGCCTTCACCTGTCAAAACCACCTTGACTCCATGCTCCCGAGGCGCGCGGGAGAGAACAAATTTGCCGATATAGTTGAGATCGGACATGGTATGCTCGTTGTGCCAAGTGGCTTCTTCGAAGTTGTCGGCCAAGACCTGCTCTGACATGTGTGTCTTATGGTAGTTGACGCCTAGGAATTGCGCTGTTCTTCTTGCAATCTCTGCTCATCTGGTCAGTGTATGTTCACAAAAGCTGGAATGCGCTTAACAGCACTGCGATCGACAACAACATACCNNAGACTCATCAAAGCCGCTATCTTCATCGAAACCGACGGTATAGCAATGGATGTTGCCCATACCCTCGTTGCTACCGAGCTTGACTCCTTCTGTCTTGACCAAATGGGTCACCATTCCTGCGATAACAGACGAGTCGATGCCACCACTGAGGAAAACACCAACAGGTACGTCGGCCTGAAGTCGAATACGCACAGCGTCCAGTAACCGCTCCCGCACGCCCAGGATTAGTTCTTGCTCGGTTCGTTTCTCAACAGCGTACNNTGCAAATGTCAGAGACGATTCAACGCTTGTTTGACTTAGACCAACCTTGTCAGGATACTCAAGATCCCAATAGCTGTTGTGCTCAATGGATCCAGTTGCATCGCAAGTGAAGTAGGAACCAGGTTTCACCTTTCGAACTATCAATCAGCATGCGACAATACAGCAGCGCAACTCCCGGTCGCTCACCTTGTGGATCTTGTCGAGTGCGGTTCGTTGGCCGAACAACCACTTGCGGTCGAGAATACTTCTCACGTCCCACTCTGGACTCCAGCCAAATGGACAAAAGGCTTTCATCTCTGCTGCGACATGGAGGTTGCCGTCAATCTGTGTAAAGAACAACGGCTTGATTCCATATCGGTCACGCGCAGCGATGAAGAATTTTGTCCTTGAATCATACAAGCATAGGGCAAATTCGCCGCGCAAGTGTCGCAAGAAAGATGTTCCATAAGTCTGGTATAGAGCAATGACAATCTCGCAGTCACTCTTGCCTTTGAAGGTCACACCTGTTTCTTTGACAAGTCGTTGACGAATCGTGTCGGCGTCGTAGAGTTCTCCATTGACAACAGCGTGCACATGATTATCTGATGAGTGGAAGGGTTGTTCTCCGTCGGGACTCAGGTCGTTGATGGCGAGGCGGACGTGGCCAAGAGCNTGTGTGAAGTTGTTAGCCGACAAGCACTGCATCAGATATATCCTTGTAGTCTTCGCACCAACTCTCCCGTCCTTGCTTGTCCATGTGTCGCGAGCATCGGGACCTCGATGTTTGATGGCTTCGAGACTCTGGTCAAGTTTTGAGGTCGAGTGTTTGTCATTGACGTCCCCAGAATTTGTGATGCTCGGATCCAAAGGCTTGGGCGACAGCGAGACTACAGCAGAGATACCACACATTTTGGAATGATGTTGGGGTATTTGAAAGTGGTTTAGGGTGGAAGATGTCTGTTCCTCCCTGGTGGAGGATGTCCTTCTTTATGCATTGCTTGCTTCATCTTGAATCTAGCAAAGTCAAAACCCGGACCGCTGAGGAGCCATGACTGTTACAGAAGAACATCATCGACATCAAGCTGAAAGCTATGAAGAGCATGCTCAACAAAGGACGTTGATGCGTCACTGTAAGTGTTTTTGGAGCAGTTGCAGTGGATACTGGACCCTGTGACGTCGTCTTGGGAGCCTCGTGCACCCTCCCAAAACAGTTAGCAGCATCGAACAGTGCCTGAGCGCATTGCATCAACAAAGATCTTGTCCCACGCACGCACCAAACACTCCGTCTTTCCTAGTCGATCATCATAGAGTGATGGAGATCTCTGCGCATCGTGTCTGGCAATCGCGTTGCTTGAGCTTATTCGGTGCTAGCTTGTACGCCGAAAGAGTCCACTGCATCGCTGAACACGTAAATGATGCTCTTGAATGCATCTTTTTCTGTGCCTGACGATCGTTTCTTCCTGAACAGGTCTTGTTTTTCCTCAACAGAGTACCGGTTCGTCAGAAGGATAAGTATGCGTCCCTGGCCTTGGTCCAGAGGTCGAGAAACCAGTGCAGTATACCGTCATGTCATCGCAACACGTCGTTTTCACCTTTGCCGGCCAAGGATGGCCTCCTGTCCAAGCAGCTCGTGATCTGTATCGGACATCCCAAGTCTTCAGAGATGCAGTCGTAGATGTTCAAAGTACGATTGATACTCTGCTGCGGGAGAAATTGATCCAAGACTGCCGCCACGTACCACTAACGGACTACCTGGACCAAGACGATGTGCGACCACCATATGCGACGAGTTTCGATCAATCTCCAGACACCAAACAAGATTCGCTACCGCCAACAGAGTCACTAGTCATTGTGGCCTCACAATATGCACTCGGCAAGATGCTCCAGTCCTGGGGCATTGCTCCTCGCAGCGTCATGGCCTACTCGCTCGGCGAGATGGTGGCAGGCACTTTCACTGGTTCCTATACTTTACCTGCCGTGATGAAGCTACTTGCCCGGCGAGAGTCATTGCTTGCCGATCGATCCTTGATCCCGCAANAAGGTGCGCTGGCAGTGGTCCTGACCGACGGTGACAGCGCCAAAGAAGTCCTTGCCAAAGAAGGACTCTTGGGCACAGTCGACATCTCAGGCTTTCTCACTCCATCATCCACCGGTCTCGCAGGCGACGCGGATGCTCTTGAACTCGTCTTGAAAAGGTTTGAAGCTGCCGAAATTGGCATCAAGCGTGTCAAATTGGAGGTTGGCATGGTAAGTCGCGACTTGTAACTCCGGTAGGCCAACTTGCAATGTCGTTAACTATTGTCAACACAGCACTCTGGGCACATTCAAGCCCTGACAGACCACATTCGCTCAAGTCCCGACATTTTCCCAGAGTCGGAGTCGAAAGACTGCAATGTCGTTCCTGACTTTGATCACTGGTCCTCGCTAGGATTTCAGATGCCGACCGGCTCGCCTTTGAACGCCAATCATTATGCCACAGTCCTGCGTCGGCCACTGCGCTACAGAGAGTGCATCCAGGGCATCTACCGCAAGCACATGAAAGAGCAGCCAGACCAGGACTTGGTGTTTATTGATATGGGCATGGGGCCGGGTCAGCTGTATAAATCCATTATGGCTACACTGAAGGACACTCCAGGATGGCAGGAAGGACGTGTCAGAGCCACCGCCAGTATCGATCCAGTCGAGGCAGGCGACGCAAAGATGAAGCTTGGCTGGGCTGGGTCACAGCTAGAGGCGAATCTCCGACGAGCAAATATCTTTATGGAAGCCCGACAGCCAGCTCAGGGTATATTGCCATCAGATTGGCATTCAACAAATCATGTACTGACAACGGTTACAGCCTCGAGCGGTCGATACCAACAACGAAGATCCATCCATACCTCGGTTAAAAGGCCACTGCAGCGAGTTGCACCCACGGGCTGCGCACCTCGATTACCGGGGCTGAATATTCGTCCATGGGCACGAAAGGCCTTGAGAGTATGAAGATCTGAAGGACAGGAAGCTCGCGTTCGACAGCCAGGTGTTCTAGCAATGGCATTGCCTGAAATCGGCCCGATGACAAACAGTGCAAATTGCGCATGTTGCTTGCAGATTGTCAAATACTCTTGAGAAGGAGTAAGGACTTTCGCCTGACGCGTGATTAGAAACACATACTTCCGGTCTCTAATGGTCTTTTAGGTCCATGGATCCTAGTCTGCAGCACACAGTTTTTTTTTTTATTGCATGCATGGCCGAGGGTGTTATAGAATTGGCAAAGGATCAAGATTCGGTATGTGAAATGAACGAATGATGTAAGAGAAAGTTCTTTTCCATGAATTGATAACAGTTTTCATCAAGATTCTTTCCTTCAATGATCGTGTGAAGCTCGTGTGAAGCCCTTCTGGAGGCCACATATCCATCTTCAATCTTCCTTCATTGCCTCACTCACATTTCCCAATCTTCATCTTCATCTTCACTGTGCTCGTAGACGTCACCATCACTCTCCTCTCCAGCAAACCCATACTCGTCCTCCCATCTTTCCATCTCGATGAAGCTGGACTGAGGCTTTTTGGTCACTTCTTGCCCTTGCATCAGACCTCTGTTTCCACGTTCCTTAATCTGTGCAACCAACTCCGCGAATCCTACGCGAACTTCGTTGACTCCCTCCCAATTTTCTGTGTAAGTGACGCTGGCAGAGATGGTGTCGTTGTAATGCACAATCAAGTTTTTGATCTCAAAACTCTGGACCTCGAGGGTGTGGGTAAGCAAACCGGCGATTTTGGACAACAAGGCACAGGATTCACCGATGTTGTCGCGGGTAGAGAGGAAGTGCATGTGTGTGTTGATAAACTCGACTTTCTTGAGTTCTTTGCTTTGAGTGCCGAGGAAGGTATCGAGCTCAAGGGTGTCGATGGCGAGATTTTCTAGACGGACCTCGGTGAATTGTTTGCCTTTGTGGGCGGAGAGAGGGTCGCGCGTAGAGGGTTGCTCGGTTGTGGCATTTAGGGTGGGTTTGCAGAGTAAAAGCAGTGAGGTCTGGCCGCTGGGATCGAGCTCGGTGTAGATTGTAGTGGACATGGAGTTCATGGTTGGTGCTGTTGATGCCATCTTGTGATGACTGATGAACTTTGAGGTTTATCTGACCGTGAAGGTAGAGAGGAGAAAGAGATAGTTTGACTCGATATTAGAAAAGGGAGGAAGAAAGTGGTGTTGTGATGATTAACGTTGAAGAAGAGGTAAATGTTTAGATGTGGAAGAGATGTTTCACCATCACAAGCAAAGTGATAGCATGCTTGCAAAAGTGAAAGAAGCTCTCGAAAGCAGAACAACAATCAAAAATCTAAAGGAGGAAAAGAAAAATCATCATCGTCTATACAGAACCGTATATCTACCAACCAAAACCCGAACCAAGTCCCTTTCCCAATTCTCGTCTAAGCATTATCCGCAGCATTAAAACTATCATCTTTCCTGCATATCAACTCTTCGAACCCAGCTTGATTTTCAATGACCAAACCTTTTTCGTTGGCAAGATGCAAAAGACAGATGAAGCCGAAACTCGTGCTAATGTCTGACAATTGTTGTTGAGGATACACGTGCCGGAGATTGTTCATCACATCTGTGAATTTGAACGTGCCTTCTTCTGATATATCGACGGTGGGTGGCGGGGCTTTGGAAGGCGTTTGTGTGGGTTCAATCTATGCAATTGTCAGAGGTTTGGGATAGGGAAGATGGAGCAGAGAACTTACCTCGAATCCAATGCCTCGCCACATTTCTTCTTTGAGTCGTCGTACATCGACCTTTTTCGCTACACGTGCGTATTGTACGTATTCTGGTCGCAGGCGTCTGCTTTGTGTGATGAGATTTGAGCCAAAGGCCGTCTCTTGGCTGCTGGGAGGTAGACTGTTAGGTACCCCTGATTGTGCAGCGTCGAAGGCGTCTGCAGGCGGCAGCATCTCTTGCGCGTCTGCAAAGTCGTCATCCTCGTCTGCGGCTCCTGCTGCGATACCCAGACCATCATCTTGGAAGAAGTTGGCATCGTAGTCGCCTCTTGCGCCTTCTTCGTCAACGGGTTGCGACTCCGCCAGACCTTGAGCGTTCGCCCAATAAGCTTCGTCAACATCGCCATGTTGGAACTGTTCGACACCAGTACGGACTTGTTGTGTTGATTTACGTGATCCCATGCGTGCCTTGGGCTTCAGGAAAAGTCGTAGTAGGTCGCGCGAGCTAAAGTGTTTGTCGTCCGGCAGCAGGTTGCGTGTCTTGCTCTTCCAGTCCTTCTTGGGCAAACTGATAGTCGCGTTGGATGGTGCTGGTGTGTAGAGCAGGTCGGCGAGTTGTTGGTTCATCGGGCTCATAAAATCGATCTCGAATGGCTCTTTTTCTTTCTTCTTTGTCGTGGCGGGCGTTGCTTTTGCAGCATCCTTGATCCTCTTGATCTTCCAATGTTCCGGACCAGCCCAATTCTTTTGTAGTGCTTGATCGAAATAGCTGAGGATGTTTTCGTGTTCGTCGCCACGATGCGCAAGAGTGACGCCAAACTGATTACCATTCGAGTCGAAGCCGCCCACCTCGCCGCCTTCTGCATCGACACCAACGCCAGCGTCGACATCGGCGCCTTCATCATGAGGTCGAAGTTGAGGCTCAACATGTGCTTCCTTGGCCCAAGCCTCACCACCTTCACCGAAACCAGCATCGACTGGGATATCAAAGCCACCAAATGCGCCGTCGTCATCGTCGAAACCAACAGCATCGTCGTCACCCAAGACAATGCCGGAACGAGCATCGTCATGGTCCTCCTCTTCTTTTTGCGCGCGCCAGTCTTCAGGAGCCTTCAAGAAGGGTAGGTCCATCGAGGCACTGCCACCACCGAGCTCAAACGTCTTGAGCGATGGGCAGATATCTTGCGAGTCGAGCTTTGAAAGATCTGGGAAGAATCGCGCGGCCAGTCCAGAGATGTCGACAGGTGCCGGGTGAGTAATCTTGAGTTCCTCCTCGTCTGGCTTCTCCTCCTCTCCTGCAACCATGCTGTCTCGTCGCGACTCATCGTCGTCTTGGGCATCGTCGCTGCTGTCAAAGACAATTCTTCCAGTGCTGTCTATGGAGAGATGGTTCAGCAACAAGCCCTTTGCGCCTCCCTCGTCGAAATCTGCCGAGGCCTTTTTTNNAAATAGCGGGTCGACAGAGAATTCGAGTTCAATCTTCTTGAGCTGCAATTGGGCAAAGGAGGTTGCGAGTGTTGCCTCTGAGCGATGTGTCTTCTTCTTTGTCTTTTTCTTGGAGCCGTCTTCGCCGTCTTCGTCTTCACCGTCCTCATTCTCTTGGTCGTCTTCTTCTCCACGCTTTTTCTTGTTGCCGCTGTCGGCCAGACCGCTCAACAGCTTTCCAGTCTCGGTTGCGACGCTGTCGACTCTGCTAGTGTAGATTTTGACACAGCCATCCAGGGTGCAACTGGCTTTTTGGAAGTTGACGCCGTCGCCCTCTCTCAGCAGAGACATGTCGTGGAAGTAGTCGATCAGAGCAAAGTTCCAGGAGTTTGTGGCATTGATCTTGTTGTCGGTGGCCATCTTCATCCACTCTTCGAAATTGGCCAGAATAGGGACACGCTTCATAGGCGTGACGGCGCTTCCTCCGACATGGAAGGCTTCATCTTGACTTCCATTTCCGCTNGGTGTTTGAGGACCTTCGGCGAGTTCGGCACCGAGGGACTTTCGTTTGCGAGCAGGCGATGCGGCGGCCTTGAGCGAGTTCATGTGCATTTCGTGGAAGGCCTGGCGCGACTGTAGGCGCTTTGCCTTTTCTTCGCGATCGTCGTTGAGCGGTATCTTGGTGCCGGCGGGTTTGTGAGGAGTTGCGGCGACGGGAGCATTGGCGGCAGGGCCGCTCGCGCGCACTCGGGGCATGTTGAAGGGGTTGAGGTCGCCGGAGAGAGCGACGTGCGTAGCGGAATGATATGTCGACGAATGTTGGTTCTACCTACCTACTTCGTGTCGCGAAGTCCGTGTGGTGCAAACAAACAAGCAGTTTGCAAAGGTGGGGAAAAGTGTGGCCCCTCCAGCCCTACTCAGCCACATGCGAGATCAGCGCACGGCCACGGCCACGGCCACGGCCACTGATGACCACCCGTCGTCATTGCCAGCCGCTCTGGACGGAGCCGCCAACAATTACTTGTTCTACCACGCTTCACTCGTCCTCGACCCAACATTCTGTATCTCGGTGCCGTGTCGTCTCTACCATCAATCATGCTACCCTGACTATCAACCTCCGACATCCCATCCTTCTGACTCGCGGCACTCAACCCCTGCTATGCGCCTCGCTCGCAATGACCTCGCTCCACTATCTCTACCCAAAGTACCGGTCCAAGGCTTCGTCCCGCCTGCATAGACGCCGATACTCGCCTCAGTCCTTTGTCTATACTGTGACGCTCTTTTCTCTCCTTGGACTCGCCGGCTATCTCTACCGCTCTGACCCCGATTCACAACACCTTAGACAGTCATACACAACTCAAAACCGCCGAGATGTGGGCGCATTCGCATCTAGCGATGAAGAGGTTCGTCAAGAGGAGTCTGACACCATCATACCCACAGCTGACCACTCTCGCAGTGCCGACTTGTCCACCAGGCTGCCGACCAGTGCCACTACATTACGAAACACTGTCCCGCCGAAGACCCAGGCTTCTACTCGTATCTCTCTCTCTTCTACTGCTCCATGCCACACGCCAAACCCGTCGCCTTCCTCATCCTGGTCTCGTGGCTTGGTCTTCTCTTCAGTACTATTGGTATAGCCGCTAGCGACTTCTTCTGCATCAACCTAAGCACAATTGCGACAATCCTGGGAATGAGCGAGAGCATGGCTGGAGTTACCTTTTTGGCCTTTGGAAATGGCAGCCCCGATGTCTTTTCTACTTTTGCCGCGTTCAGCACAAACAGCAGCAGTCTGGCCATCGGAGAGTTGTTCGGTGCGGCTGGCTTTATCACTGCCGTCGTCGCTGGCTCCATGGCCTTGGTTAGACCGTTTAGAGTGGCCAGGAAAGCCTTTGTTCGAGATGTCGGCTTCTTCACCGTTGCCGCAGCTTTCAGTCTGTCTTTCCTGTGGGACGGAAGGTTACACTTGTGGGAGTGCATCACCATGGTCCTCTTCTACGTCTTTTACGTCGCCTTTGTTGTTGTCTGGCACTGGTGGATGGGCGTTAGGAAACGCCGTCGCGAGAGGGACGCTGCTGTACGAGGTCATTTTGTCGTTCCTGGAAGTGAGGAAATTGATGCTGAAGAGAACTATCGCGACGCAGACGACGAGGAATCTACTACTCGCCCTACCTTCTCGCGTGGCCCCTCGGTCGACGACTTTTCTATACTCGAGAGGGGAGGAACGCCCACCATCGTTGAGCCTTATGAGGACGAAGATGATGATGAGGCTAGGGATCGATGGCTCGGCGAGCTCAAGAGCAACATGCGCCTAACAAGACCCGGTCCTGGCTCAAGACGCAACACACTAACCCCTATCCGACCCAGTCTCGTGGGTGCTTTGGAGTTTCAAGCTGTTCTCAAATCATTGCAGAAAGCCAGGTCTCACCAAACGATTCCCATGCACACCCGACGCTACTCGGATGACCCGACCTTCACCACTGCTCAGCAGCAGGGCGAATTGTCTGGGGAGGCTGACCCAGCTTCGCGGCCTCCTTTTCATCCGACGACAGAAGGAACCTCCCCAAGCCTCGAACGACCTGCTCTTGATGTTTTCAAAAATACATCTGGACGCACACGTGCCGTCTCGGCTAATGATGCTGCACACCTGCGCATCGATCCGCGTTTTGTCCAAAAGCATACTCCTAGCATGATGAATATTGTCGAAGATGAAGACAACAATCTCCAACCGCCCTCTCTCCGACCAGCATCGTTCCGCAGTATGCCATCTGGTGCATCTGATCGACCGCAAACCCCCGAAGTCACCGTTTCTGACTTCGATGGTCAACTCGCGAATCCATGGCAAGCACCTGACTTTGCCGAAAACACTACATCTGAACACTCTCGCGCACGTTCCACAAGTTCAATCAGTGTGCCCGCGATCGATGTGTCAGAGGAGGCTGAGGTATCACCACGTAAACGGTCCCGTCACAGCAGCCCCAGCCATTCGCCCCGTACTTTCGGCAAAGATTTATACAACCTCAAGATTCCGGCAAGTAGTCAGGTCTCGCCAAACTGTTCTGCGCCTTCATCTCCCTTTCCAACTTACCATGAGCCAACTTCCGCGAGCAGCAGCCGGGCGCCTAGTCTGTATCTCCCTCCTGCAAGCGTTTCTGTTGCCTCGTGTCCTTTGACACATATTGACAGTGAGCAAGACGAGAAGCCAATACGCTGGTGGCCCTACAAGATTCTCCCGCCTCCTCTCGTGCTCTTGTACAGACTCTTTCCTACAATCGAACATTGGCGAGATAAGAACTGGTGGGAGAGAATCTTGGCCATCATCGCAGCTCCGAGCATGTTTCTATTGATCGTGACTTTGCCGGTTGTAGAGTCAGATCGGGAAGAGGCAGAGGAAGTGATCGACGTGATCGATCCTCTGGGATCAAGGCCTCCGAGCATCCCACCTCTGGACGCTGAGAGTCCGCACTCGCATCTTACTGACTACACTCACCCCTCTGCTGGTGCAGGAGCAGGAAGCGCTGCAGTGGCCACCCGCATTGAACGAGACTACCTATTGGTTCCTGGCGAGCGCGAGCCTCTTCTGTCACCCGCTGCAAGTACCGCTCTGCCGTCGCCAAACCCGCCGAGCGCTATGCTGCAACCTCAATACTGGAACAGGTGGTTGACTATCGTTCAGTTGTTCTTGGCTCCTCTATTGACCGTAGTGGTGATCTACACTCAATATGTCGACGATACCGACAGCATACGACCTCTGATTCGACCAATGCTGATATCTTTGCTTGTATCGGTCGTTCTTCTTATTCCTCTACTTTTGACCACGACACCAACCCATAGACCGAAGCCGTACAACACTATCCTCTCCATGGCTGGCTTTGTGGTCTCGATAGCTTGGATTTCAACGATCGCGGCGCAGGTAGTCGCTGTCCTGAAAGCGCTTGCTATCATCATGAACATGTCACACGCAATTATGGGCCTTACTATCTTTGCTGTTGGCAATTCACTAGGAGACCTTGTCGCAGACATCACCGTAGCAAGGCTAGGATACCCAATCATGGCTCTTAGTGCGTGCCTTGGCGGTCCCATGCTTAACATTCTCTTGGGCATTGGTCTTTCTGGTTCTTGGATCTTGATCCGTGGAGCGGAACACAGGCACGCAAAGCATCCAGGANAACCGATCCACTACCGCACTTACGAGATCGAGGTCGGACAGACGTTGATCGTCAGTGGTGTTACGTTGCTCGTTACCTTGATTGGACTCCTCATCGCTGTGCCTATGAACAAGTGGATTCTGAGCAGAAAGATCGGATGGACCCTCATTGGTGTCTGGTGCATTAGCACCACTGTCAACGTCGTTCTAGAAGTCTTAGGGATCGGCGAATCAGGGGTGAGGAAAAGAAGTCCATGAGCCTGAGGTTTTGATCTGGGTAAGCATATGAGACCATCGTTTCCAAAAGCGCCCGAAAGCATTTTCCTTCTTTTCGTACGATATGTCTGACATATTCTGTCTTTTCTACTATGAGTGGTTTTTCCTTTCGCTTCTCTGTCTATTGTTTTTCAAGCAAGTGGCGTTTGGAAGATTGGCCCCGATCACTGTACGTAGACTGAATGATACCCCCACGACACTTATTCACATGCTGCATACATATTCCAGGCACATGACGTACTGAAGATATGCAGACCAGTCTTTATTGTTGTTGTGACTGGTCTAAGGTCTGTTGCAAGCTGCTAGAGTCGAGAAGCAAGTCGCCGCTTGTGGGTGGTACATCTCGTATGGTATCGATTCGACCGTGTAACAGTGGCGGCTAGGATATCGATCAATGCGAAAAGGTCGACCGGAGTGGGCACCCACTGGAATTGACTGCCTGGTATTTGACTCATCACTGATAGACTTCAGGGACAGGCAAACTGATGGCAGCGATGGCTGTGGGAGGCGCCGTTGTTAGCGGCAGGGGTTTGATGCCCAACATCGTGTTGGGCAGCAAGATGCGGACAAGGCGGCGGGATAGCACCTCGAATCCGGGTTATCGTCTGCGACGAATGGAATACACACCTTGCCAGATGCCCAAAAGCGTTCATGGGCGGTTACATTGGGCTCTGAAGTAAGAAGCAGAGCAAAGTTTATAGCGTTGCTTTCGCCCTGGTCAGACAATGCTGTCCACGTTTCATTAAAGCACTCTTAAGTGTGTGACAAGAGGCTACCGCAAATCATTAAAGAAACAGCTTTATTCTTACTTCTTCTCTCAAACATTCTTCCATATCTAATGTTTCCTCATAGATTTACTCACAGCAAAGTCCGCAGACCACGTATTCGAAGGAGACCTTGATCAACGACAGATCAATTGCTATCCAAGAGGCAGAGGAAGCACATTGACAGGGTATAGCAGGGTTGGTGGGGTAACGGTACGTCGCGAAGCAAAAACGTTCAAGTCACACGCTTCCACCTCCTTGTACAAGGGGTAGTGGTGGTCGAACGAGAAGAGAGTGAGTGCTATCTTGTTTTTTGACCTCATTTCAATTTCATACATGTTTGCAGCATGGCTGATTTTACCGGAGCTTCAGCAGCTATTTTGACCTTTGGACCCGATTTCTTCCTTTGGTTAAATAGAGTAGGGCGTCGCCCCAAGGCTTTGGCGAAGCGATCGTCCTCTCCACTCGACGCGCTCTTTTGCAAAGGCTCAATCAAGCTGCAAGGCAGTTTCTAGACATCGCATTCGACGTGGACGACGCTCAGTGGACGGAGTTCCTGGCTGGACCAAGAAGACCTTTTTTTCAATTCATCCCACCTTGCGTGCCACTCGGATGCACTGTGACGCCCTCACCGCCAACACTTCTCAGAACTACCTGTTTACGAACCAAAGTTTTTGATCAAGTGCTATCTTGATACATTCCACGGTTTGCGAGCGACAGGGTTCGCGACGGACACAAGACGGCAAAGCAGCAACGACGGGAGTGCAAACAGAGGGGTATACAGCTGGAAGCGACGCTGCCCAATCGCCCCTGGCTCGTCGCTGGTACAGCGCTGATTGTTTACCGCACTGTGGAGGCTTGACTTTGCGACGCTGTTGGATCAACAAAACGCCCCGGTCTTCTCACATTTAAACTTTGGCCAAGTAAACATCGGTTCATATCCTGGACAAAAGACAGGCGGCCTTTACAAATACATTTCTCGTCTCGTCGTGGTACATGTCGTGAGTGCTTGTGGTTTGCTTTTCCTTGATTGCAGTTGCGCTAACCGGGCCTTGCAGGAGAGCCAGCTTCCCGGCCTACTCGTCGACGGGCTCCCAGCCTCACCTTCACTACGACGACATCGACGACACAAGCTACGAGCAATCTGATTACGATCGCCACGACTACACAAGCTCGCCCTACAGCACTTCGACCAGCTCAGAGAGCGACATCAGTCCCAACGACTCGGCTTCCATACCGGCTGCCAGACCTTCCAGTCACGCTCGATACCAATCGCATCNNCGCACCCGCAACCGCCATATCCTCCGTCGCACAGCCACACCCGTGAAGAAAGACCTCTACGCAAGTCACGACACCGTCGCCCGCCAGCTGAGCACTACTCCCGCCCCGAACCAAGCCGACACGCCGCATACCCAGAACACGCTTCGACTCCGAGCGNACCCCTCGGAGCTGTCGGCCAGCGTGGCATATCCTCACGACCGCCCGGCCTACTCGGCCCGTGCTAGTTATCATGAAGCACAAGGGCAGTACGAAGACCTGTATCCCGATCATCATTGGCCCCGACAGCCCACGCATTACCCAACACCACCTACAATCACGTCAAGCACCTCCTCAGCCTCGCACTACGCAAGCCCTGCCGCCCTTGCTCACTACGATCATTACGCCTATGCTGGCCAACCCAATCCATACGCAAGTCAAGCTAGTCCTGGAAACCCATTCATGGCCACGCCACCTCCTCAGGCCCCTTCTCCACAGCCAGGCTACACCTATGACCCCTATACCGGCGCTTATCACGCGCAGAGACCTGACATGTTAACGAGAAGTTCCATGGCCTATATGCCTGCCGACATGCAGTATGGTGGTTACCCACAAAGACCGTACTCTGTCCCTCAGAACATGATGCAAGCCATGATGCCTCCTGGATATCCTCACTTCTACCAACCTCATGCGTCACCTCCTGTTCCAGACGAGAAGCCCGCAAAGTCTGAGAAGAAAGAAGAACCTCCACCAGCGCCTCCTGCTCCGCCTCCACCAACCGCCGAGGAGATTAGGAAGAAGATGGAAGAGGAAGCCGCGCTTCAAGCCGAGAATCTCGTCAAGGCTCTCAAGGCCCTTAAGGCAGAGGAGGAGGCTTCAGCGGCTGCCGCCGCCGAGAAGGATGCAAAGGTGCAGGCCGAATCTGACAAGATCGCTTTGCTGCTAGCAGATTTTGAGAAACAGCGTCTTGCAAGAGAAGAGGCTGCTGCTGCCAAAGCTGCCGCAGAGAAAGCCGAAGCTGAGGCCAAAGCAGCTCGCGTGAAAGAGCTTGCTGATGCTGCTACAGCTGCTCGCGAGAATGCCGTAAAGGAAGCAGCCGCCGCAGCTGCTGTTGCCAAGGCTGAGAATGAGAAGGTGATTGCAGAAGCCAAAGCAGAGCATGAGAAGAAGATGGCAGAGGCGAAAGCTGCCGCCGACGCAGCCGAAGCANGCAAAAAGGCCGCAGAGGAAGAGTTGAAGAAGAACGCTCCCGGATCGGATGCCGACAAAGCGCCTCTAAAATTCACCGACGCTGTCGAAAGGAGCTTTACCTTGCCGTGGCATCTGGTCAAGACCTGGAAGGGCATGGAGACTCTGATCAGACAAGCTTTCGTCAACATCGAGCGTGTTGGGCCCCATGTCGCTAACGGCCATTATCACTTGTTAGGTCCTAATGGCGAGATCATCCTACCACAAGTCTGGGACATTGTCGTACAACCTGGGTGGGACATCAAGATGCAGCTCTGGCCGCTGCCACCGGATCCTCTGGAGGATAAAGTCAATAGCCGCATCGGCGGATTCCCACCTGATATCCAACCAATCCCGGAGCGACATTCAAGGCCTGGAAAACCACCACGCAATCAGGTCAGTGGCAATAAGAACGCGGGCAAGCGTGCGTCCGTAGGACCTGCGCCGCTACCGCCACCACCTCCCCTTGCACCAGTTCTACACGCTTTCCCTCCTTCACCTCCCATACACACTGTCTACGCCGGTCACGATGATCCCGATGATCCCATCATCGAGGTCATTGAAGACTCTGGCAGGGGACGAGGTGGGGGTGGCAACAAGCCGAAGAACAGTGCTAACGCAGGCAAGAAGAAACAGGTACCGGCGTTCACCAGATGGATGCTCGGAGGCGGTACACGGCCGCGCCCAAAAGGGGCTGAAAAACCTGCTGCCGGTGTCAAAGTCCGTCATGTTGTTGTCTAAGAACAATGCGACAAGGTTCAATGACACTAGCATCAAAGAGTCGAGGGCTTTTGTCTCCCATGCGTGTGTGGGAGTTTTTCCTCGTCTCCAACATTTATTACGGCTGTTTTCTCCTTCTACTTGGCCATGCATCTTGCGATGCTTTGCACCTTTGTACTTGGTGTTCTCCCTTTATGATAGCGTCGCGTTTTGTTTGTCCGTTTTCCTTATGACTTTTGCTTCTTTACTTACGAAATGATGGGTTTATGGTGTGATGGTTTGACGACTTTGGATATGAGAGACGAGGTTTTACCGGAAGAAACATTTCCAGATACCCTTTTGCATCTATTATCGGAAATGGAAAAGAGATCTGGAGTTTTTTACTTTCACAAAAGAGAGCAAGATTCCACTGAAGTTTGATGCGAAGAAAGATATGCGATTCTGTTGTTGAGATGATAAGGGTGGAACAAGATTGTTTTCCTAACTCAAAGACAGTCTCCCTCTCCTTTGCGTATGGCTCATTGTTTCTACTAACAACGTGGGTTTGGACCGAGAAGGGCTGTGGTTTATTGTACGAATCGTCTTTGGTAGGCTCGGCAATGAGACTCGCTCTTTCCTGTCTCAAGAGTGTGTGTTTCTGCAATCTCACTTTCCGTTTGTGCTATGTTGTTACCTTCACTTGATCGTGGTTATCCACTAAGCCTCATGATCTTTTTTCGTGGGATGTAGGGCGGTCTAGGCGGTGCTTTGTGGTCGATACAATAACCTGATATTGGGTAGGAGATCTGTTGGGGTTCTGTGATGGCTGGAGGTAGAGGGCAGGATGTTATGAGACCGGATCTGAGTTTCATTTCTGAGAATGTAGAAAGCTCTTGCTAGATCCAAGTGGTATGGTGACTGTGGAAGAATGGGAATAAGAAGGAACGAGCGGATGCAGAAACAAGCAAAAGCTTGATGTTCTTGATCATCGTTTACTGAGCTGTCCTGCCTGATTCAATTTAACTGCTAAATCCTTCGTGAAAGGATGCAAGGCCCTCAGCCACAGAGATATAGAAGCACGCCAAGGAAGAAGGATGGAGATGAAGTCGTGATTGACAGTCACGAGTCAGGTGGAGGAAGCTTGGCACGAGGCTGTGAATGCCCACAGCGCCTCGGAAGGATTCGACACTGCCTCATACAAATGAATGTTGGCCTGAGACATGAATAGTATCGTGATGGAGGCAGATTGAGGACCACATATAAGATTGGGCCTTCTGCCTTAGGTAGGTGCGATCTTGACAAGTATCACTCTACCCTTCAAATCTTCACCCTTATACTCATCACCACCCTTCCCTTCGAGAGTGATCGTACTTGGATATACAATCAAACTTGAAAACCACTTACCAATACCATAATATCACAAACAATCATGGGCTCCAGACTCATCGAATCACTTCAACACGCAGCGGGAAGAAACCAAGAGTTACTCACCATCCTCTCCCAAACCGACAATGCACCCACAGCCCTCAAGCAAAACACAACATACATCACCGACCTCCAAACCCGCATCGCAGACACAGACAAGGAAATAAAACGCCTGCACCGCATCACCGAGGACGAACGCAAAGACCACATCAAATACGAGGAAAGCACTTTTACGCGCTACATGTACAAGCTGCGCGGCAAAAAGGGCGAAGCAGCGTTTGCAGCCAAAGCCAACAAGGAAGAAAAGGAATTTGTCGAGGCGTGGCAGAAGGAGAGAGAGACGCAAGAGTCGCATATGGAGCTGACTGCTGCGTTGAAGGCTGCTGAGAACGAACAGCATCGTCTGCAAGCTGAAACTGCGAGACACGATCAAGCGCAAGGCGAACTGGATAGATTGTATTCGTCCATCTTTGACGGTCCTACCCCAGAGGTCCCTGGCGAGGATCAATTGGAGTCGAGCCTGCAACGCAACAAGCGATGGGCAGACAGCAGCATCCAACACCAAAACCTGCAAAGGAGAGCTGCAGAGGCTCTGAACGCAACACTGCAATGTCTGCAGCGCGCAAACAGAGACATGGCCGAAGCAATCGACATGTCCCGCTGGGACATGTTCGGCGGCGGCACCTTCGTAGACATGATGGAACGAGACGCGCTTTCCAAAGCTCAAGTCGGTGTCTCTGAAGCTTTGCGCCATATGGATGAGGCCCGCCGCTGTCAACCCGCCATCCCGCCTTTGCACAACATCAACATTGACAATGGACATATGATCAGCGATGTCTTGTTCGACAACATTTTCAGCGATATGGCGCAGCATGACCGTATCAAGAATTCGGCGGCGCAGTTGCAGATGGCGATCAAGCAGTGTACAGAGTTGCTTGAAAAGCAGAAGCGCACGTATCGTGATGCTGCTGCGCAGAGTGCTCAGGCGAACGAGGCGACTAATGCTGCTCGTCTTGAGTTGCAGCGGATCAGAGCAGAGGCGTTTGAGAGGTTTGCTGGTCAAGGTGCGCCGCCGTCGTTCCAGGCTTCTGTGCAATATGTTCCTCCACCAGCGTATTGAGATGGCTGCCTGATGTACGATAGGTTAAGAGTATGTAATCCGTTCTCGGCATCTCATATACTGTTGCAAAACAATCCGATGCAATGAGAATATGACATGTGTTATTCGTACAACCCTTCTTGGAGCTGAATCGTGGGTATCTCAACTGCTCGACTCTATCTCTCTCCTCTGACATGATGACACCATTGACTCCAAACATTTGATCCATGAGAAAGAAAGTAAAAGAAAGAACCCCTGCCCCAAATCAACAATCCCAATGCATGACGTGAAGGAAAAGACCAGACGAGAAAGTCTAGAAGGCAATCTTTCTCTTTCTGCCAGTGTACTTTGAGTTTGCCTTGACGACCTTGCCCTGCTTCTCCATCTGGTCCTTCTTCCTCATGATCCAGCCTTTGCTTCCCTTGACTCTTGTCATGTCCTTGCGCGAGCGCAGATCCTTCTTGCGACGCGCATCTTGGATATCCACATCGGTCATGCCATTGACAACACCAGTGATATCTCTGCTTGCCGCCTCTTGCTCTCTTCCCAGATCACCTCCTCCGACCGTAAGAACCAGGTACAGTTTTTCGCTCTTGGTGCCTGGATCGTCCTCGAGGATACCAGCGCCAAAGCCTGCTTTTACGGCGGCCGCACTGATCATATTCCTCTGTTGCTTGTTCTTAGGGTAGAATTGGCAGACTGCGCGACCACCGCGCCTTAGACTCGCGTACAAGCCATCAAAGAAACGCTTTAGTCTTCCTTCAGGCGTAACATCGCTGCTCTCGGCATTACACAACCACTGAATCGCGGATATAGAAATCGCGGCATCGAAACTGCCTGGTCGGAAGGGAACACCTTGTCCAATATCTGCTAGCATCAAGTCGCCGTCTACATCTCTGTCGAGTGCTTGTGCAAGCATAGATGCAGAGATATCCATGCCGATCCAGGTGTGTGGGCCGCCGTCTTCTGGTTCCACTTGCGAGAGCAGTTCTCCCGACAAGCCGCTTCCACAGCCCAAGTCGAGAATCAAGGAGGGAGAGCGTAGGTCGAGGAGTTCGAGGGCACGGTGCGTCATGGAGGCTTGAATGTTCTTGATGCGGGAGTTGGTGGTGTATTTGCGACTCTCGACATCGTTGTAGAAGAGGTCCGGGGGCAGGAGGTCTTCGGGGCGCGACATGTTGGGCGAATTAGTGTGTTGTTTGGTTGCTTCTCTTTTCGGCGGGTGTCGGGTACGGGCCTTGTTGCAGAGTGTCGCAGTTTGGGGAAGGTTGCTTGGTCAAATAATTTTTGAGACGCTCGCCGAAAGATGCGGAGCTGTGTTTTATTCTGCACAAAGTTGTGAATGTTGCACAATATCTGTGGGGAAGTCGTAAGGGTCCAGCCGCTCTTCCGCGTTCAACGACTGGTGCTGTTCCTTCTTCACTTTTATCCTTCCAGTTGCAGCTGTTACAGAATTCGAGTGAGGTGAAGTGTTCGATGAGAGGTTTTTTCGAACGAGCTTCTGCGCAGTGTGGGACTTGCTTTTCCCGAAGCGATCTTGCATGATGCTTCTTAAATGGGCATCCGAAAGGAGAGACAGAAAGTGACTGTGACTAAGTATACTGAAATAGAACGAACTCGCTCGTTGATAGTAAAGAGGCCTGTGGAGATCTCAGCAAGTGCAAAAAAATTGGTCATCGAGGAGTCGATCCAATAGCCATGTTGCAACTCGTTGCAAATCAGAATCATCCACGGTATAGAGAAGACACATCCCAACACCACAGCATCCAAAATCATCACCACAATCACTTGAAAAAGGACAGCAACACCCAAGCAGTAAGCTCGACAAGGCCAAAAAGACTCGCCCCTTGTGAGGGCGAGGAAACTTTCCTTCATCAATACAAGGCAGAGTTGTCTAGGACTTCAACTGACTATCTCGGGCAGTTTGCTTCTTCAAGGACCGCCAAACGCTGATCAGACGTATAGGCAATTAGGTCTCTCATGGCGAACCCACTCGGCCACCGAATCGCAGTTGATGCAGTCCGTCTTGGTGAGGAAGTGGCGAGTTGGCTAATCTATATAGTCAGCAGTTCCCTTCTTGATTGGTGCCATAGTCTTATCTCTTCTGTCGTTCGTTTCGGGCTTCTTGAGGATGCAAACAGACCTTGTATGAGCAGCCCTCCCTCTGACGCATAATCTGCTATTCGCGTTTGACCCATTTTTCGACGGTTGATCCTCTTTTCGATGATTGAACCCCCTTTTCGATCATACGTCTCGTCTTGGATGCTCCTGATCCCTCATGATCACTTCTTCTTTTGTCAGGGAGTGTCGGGTCCAACATCGACACGATGGATGCTCTTGACGCTTATCTATCTTCTATTGATGTCGAGACTCTTCCATTCAATCTCCGTTCGATCCTGTTGCCCAGCAACACCACCTTCGCCAACACGGCTCTCTTCTTCTCGGGTATCCGAACAGCAGCACGCGATGATATTGTGAGGATTCTCGTACGAGCCATCTCTAGCGTCTTACCCCGAGAATCATGACCAATAAGACACGACTTTGACTCCGATTACCACCTTCACATCATGGCGAGCCTTAACGAGCACCAGAACTTGTACGTTACCACTAAAATCATCACTACTCATGATCATCACACGTATGTGGCACTCTCGCTCCCTCAGCGGGTATACTGACACACTCAAGGGGCATCATTATGGTCGACACCACTGTGATTGGTACCTGCCTTGGACAACGAATCTTTGAAAATGTTCATCACCAAGCTATACACCCTGAGCCCATCCATGCCCGAGGACCATTTTCTCCAAACGCACGCGGATATCCTCCTTTCCCCTATCTTGAGATCACGAGATATTAGGACTCGACAACCATATCCCTTTCTTTCCTTCTCTTGTTCCCACCTCTTTCCTCTCGTCAGAAAAATCGAGCACTGGACAACGAAGCTATATCTGGGGACTCGAGAGCATCACCTGAAGTTGACAGAACGGCAGCAAGAATCGACGCTTTCCCTCCCTTTTTCCCCTTATTTTTCTCCACGCTTGTTCTTTTTCTTCTCTACATACATACATCTTTTTGTCTGTTTTTATCTGCCCATATAGAATAGTAGGAACCATGGTTATAACCCTTTCTTATCAGTCCCTCTGTCTAGATGTCCGTGTACGAGCCACATGGCTAAGACGAGTCACGGTTACGGATCAGCGCGAATGAGGTGGGCATGATAGTCTCTGTCAAGAGAGCTCAAACGGTGTTACAGTAGGTGTGTATGCATCTAATATCTTCCAATAAAGTGGCTACTTTGTACCAACTAATATGCTCATCTAAGAGCGAGAACGATCAGTCCATCTACAATGCATAGTGCTCAAGCACTTTTTCTCCTAATCCATAGACAGTAGGCAGCAATCAACCCCAATTAAACAGAACCTGCTTCTTTCCCTGCTTGCCCTTCCTGATAGTCCTCTGCTCGGGCGACTCTTCCACAGCAGGTGGACTCTGCACGCCACCGGCACCGCCAGAACCCCATGCCACGGTCGAAGGACCGGCGGCGTTGACTCGTCGCACGCCAGCGCCAGTGTAACCAGGACTGAAGACCGTGCTAGTGGGCTTTTGTGCTTTAGGTAAAGAGGGGAAGGCGTCTCCACCACGGCCTGGCGGCTTGCTGTTGCTGGGTGTTGCAGAGCGCGAAGGTTGGGGTGTAGGGCGTGCAGATGCGGGTGCTGAATTGAGCCATGTTGCTTGCGTGGGGTTGACGCGAACAGGAGGGGCCGCGGGAGTAGAAGATCTCGAGGAAGCTGACAGAGGAGGGAAGGAGAGACCGCCAGCACTTGAAGGGTTTCCGCTCGAGTGTGGAGCGACAGCAGTACCATAAGAGCGGGAGTTGTTAGAACGCGAACTTTGTGCTGTGCTTGACTTGAGATTGAGAATGCGCTTGGATCCAATGCCATTGCCCAAGACGGACGCTGCGCTGGTGCTGGGGCCAGACTGACCGCCAGCGGCGTGAGGAAGAGAGGGGTAGTCTTCATTGATGGATCTCCAGTTGTTCCAAGCTTTCAGCAACTGGTCTCTCTTTGTAGCGATTTCGAAGATGTCGGCAAGCTCCTTAATCAGCTTACCCAGCTCGGCTGACGACGTGTCGAACAACGCAAAGAAGGCGTCGATGAGATGGTCAGCAGTCAACGCACCTTGACGGTAGAGTGAGACCTTGTTGCGGAACTCGGCCAGCTTGGTCTGGTCGTTGCGCAAGAGGTTGGAAGCACGTTCGTTGACGGCGTTGTGACGAAGACGGCGAGCCTGTTCTTGCGGCGTCAATCCAGCCATGGAACGGTCCGGTGAGGCAGTGCGAGGGGTAGCTGACGATGGTTGGAGGCTGAGAGAACCAAGTGATGGGAATGAATCCTGTACAGGACGAGGAGCAGTAATGGTGGCAGGTTCAGGAGCGTTTGCAGGAGCTCTGGCAGCATACGTCTCGGTCGGCTGAGTGAGCTGGCCACCGAAACTGCGCGTCGACACAGATTGGGCACTTTGGATAGCCATCTGACGCTGGTAAGCCATCTCTGCTCTACCCATAGGTTGCGCAGACGAGACAGGCAGTGGATCAGCATTCGGATCACGTCCACGACCACCTCCACGGCGCTCTCTGTTGTTGGTGTTATTGCGCTGAGGACGGTCTTGCTGGTGAGGAGCACGGTAGTCGAAGCCTGAGATGTCAACCCTACGAGCATCACGACGAGCGTCCTTGGTCAAGCCATTGGGATGAGCCTCAAGCTGGTGTGCCTTCAAGTCCATCTCCGAGTCAAAGACGACAAACTTCTTTTCCAAACACTCCTGGTCAGGGCAGACGAAATGGTCCTTTCGGAAATGCACTTCGAGGGCGTTGTAGTCAACGTAGTATTGTGGCTGTCTGCCACCATCACGGCGGTCGCACAGATGGCATCGTTCGTGGCGGTCGCGACAATGTGAGAACAGTTCGTCGTCACCGTAGAAGCGTTGACGACAGAAACCACACTCGGGGTGACCCTTGAAACCAGACTGATTCTCGGCGCCAGGAATATCGTCTCCATGCTTCTCGTGTCTACGCAGTTCTTGGACGGTAAAGAGATCGTGTTCGTGGGTAAAGACCTTCTTGTTGCGGGTGCAGAGATCACACATCTGTTTGTGGTGGACGCTCTTGACGTGACGGTGCAGGTCGGGCCAGCCTAAACAGGCAGCATCGCATGACGGATCGGGGCAGTTGTAGCGTAATAGGAGAATGGTGTCTTCAAAGATGTCTTGACTCTCGTAGTGGATGCCCAAGTTGTCGTCGTTGTGGGCAAACTCCTGAGTGTTGTAATCCTCGAAGCGCTTGTTGGCATCATCGGTGAAGATGACTTCCTCGGCACTTGTNCTAGGACGTCTGTTAGTGGTTGTATGAGAGTCAAGTGTTGTGGATCAACATACTCGACAATGGGCGCAAGTCTTTGTCTTGTAGAGGGCACGCAACCTCAGCGAGCAGATGTGGCAGGTGCGATGGTTGCATGGAGCGACGCTTTGATGGACGACTGGCGAGGCGCAGATGAAGCAGACCTCGGCCTCGACATCGTCTTCGCCGTCCTGTGTTTGCGGTACTAGAGCGAGAGCCTTTCCCTTTGCTTGGATCTGTTGTTCGGTCGTGGGTTGGTCTTTCGTGTCCTGCGGCTGATGTGCCCCTCCTGCCCCTCCTCTGGCACGTCCACCACGACCTCTGCTTCTGCCAGCATTTCTATTGCCGCCCTGGGCTTGTTCTCCGTCCTGGCCTTCGCGGGGAGCTCTGTTTCCTCCTCTGCCTCCTCTTTGGCGATTGTTCCTGCCGCGATTGGCTGACTGGTCGTTTTGTGCTGAGGTGGGGGCTGATGTGTCGGCCATGGCGCCTGTGTTTCCAGAGATGTATCGTCTGCGAGGGCGAGGGTGCTAGAAACAGGCGAGAAAACAGAAACGACAGCGATAGTCTCGTAACACGGCCAAGAATATACAGTAGTGGGTTGGTGGGTTGAGAATATTGAGCGGCCCTCCAGACCCATGACGGCATTCCGTGTCGAGCTCTGTGATTGGCTGGCCACTTTGGCTCTTTCCCTCTCTGCTGCCCCCGTAATCTCTTGACCGACACCAGCAATCATGACCTCCTTACTACGCAGTTCCTTCCGCCTACCACTTGCATCCTCGAGCCGCTTCTTCTCTACATCCATCCGCCGTCTCGCACAGGAACCAGCCCCTGTCGACCCTCAAGCCGCCAAGAATACAAAGGTTTCGGCCAACTACAGCAGCCCTCAGATCCGCAAGCCCCGCAGAGGCCCCTACGCAGACTCGCCCTTGCCAGTCTTCCCTCTGCTCGCCATCTTCTTCACCGGCTCCTTCCTTTTCTACCAACTCTCAAAGTCACGAGCAGGCCAAGGCAAATCCCACTACGTTTTGCCCCCTAGAGACNAAGAAGCCTCCCCCACCAAAGAATTCAACTCCAACCTCCACTCCGAACACTAAACAATGGCTCCCACCAACCTCCCCACCATCCCCGCCATGAACCGTGACAAGCCTCTGTTTCCCACTGGTGTCGCCGACGGTGAGGCTACCGTCATCTTCGTCCTCGGTGGTCCCGGTGCTGGCAAGGGCACTCAATGCAGTAACATCGTCCGCGACTACAAGTTCAAGCATCTCTCCGCTGGTGACTTGCTGCGCGAAGAGCAGGACCGCCAGGGTAGTGACTTTGGCGACCTGATCAAGGAATACATCCGCGACGGCAAGATTGTCCCCATGGAGGTCACCATCCAATTGCTCGAGAACGCCATGCAGGCCACCATCAAGAACGACGGTATCAACAAGTTCCTCATCGACGGTTTCCCTCGCAAGATGGACCAGGCCATTCAATTCGAAAAATCCGTCTGCAAGAGCAACTTCACTCTGTTCTTCGAGTGCACCGAGAAGGTCATGGAGGAGCGTCTGCTCAACCGTGGCAAGACCAGCGGCAGAGCCGATGACAACGAGGAGAGCATCCGCAAGCGTTTCAGAACCTTTGTCGAGACCAGCATGCCTGTTGTCGAGTACTTTGACAAGGATGGCCGTGTCGTCAAGATACAGGCTGTTCAGACCCCTGACGAGGTCTACGAGCACGTCAAGCTTGGTTTCACTGAGCGTGGTATCAAGCTCGTCTAGATTCCTTTGCATGTTTGCATTATAGACTTCTAATCAACATTTTTACCCCCTTCCTATCTCCTTCAATATGGCTTGTTCCACACGGCAAATTGACCTTCACTCCAAAGCACAGTACACAATCACAAAGGCAAAGACGTTGGACGATAGGCAGACGGAGGATGGCAAGATTGTGGTTTCTGAGGCACTAAGTGTGGGTCGTGCTCGGTGTGTTGTCTCTCATCCTCTCAGTGATGCCGCCCTTTATTCCATTGCCTTGCACATCTGGTTGAGGTCCTCTCCTCGAAGCATCGAACGGAGAGCTGACACGCAAAAATCGAGATCTGGCACTGGCACACCAACCTCCCAGTGAGTCGCGTTATCCTTTTCGCCTCCTGATATGGTAGCTCGACATGATGGTTGCATTCTCGCGTTCGATCACTTTGAGACATTGAGCAAATCGGGAAGACAGTGGACGTCTGGAAGAAAGATCAGCTACTGGGAAATGATGCAAGACAAACACNATTGACTCACTTCCATTGCTGACCACGAAAACCTGAACAGTCTTCTTGTTTGCGTTCTTGTGATCAAGGACGGCGGCGTCGAATGAGTTCATCGAGCTGACGAATGCGATATGTTTGGTCTCCGACATGCGCCAAACAATAGAGTAGCTCTCCCAGTCGACTTCGAGGCGGTTGCGCAACACTTTCTTGAGGTCCTCCAGAAGGGTCTTGTCAGAACGACGCACAGTGCCGAGGGCTGAAAGGGGAAGTTGGTAGGTGTAACAGACATCGGTGGTTGAGCGCCTGTGACGAGTGATCGAGACGATCATGTGATCCTCGTTGGGTCTCTCGGACGGCTGAGGTGCGCTGACAGTGGTTGGGGTCTTGGGTGTGATAGCGCCCATTGTCAGTGATGTTTTGGTATTAATGTCGACAAAGAAAAGATGATTCGCGCTAGAGGAGAAGAGCGAGCTTAAGAAAGCGAAAGTGTTGGAACCAACTTTCACATGTTTTCTCGCATCAACTTTCACTGTACCTTCACTTGCTGCACTTTCCTTCTGCACCACTGGACCTTCCTGACTGCCTCTTTCTCACTACACATTCAATTCCTTACTCGATGTTCCATATTCACCAATACCTGCCTCACTGTCCCAGAAGCAGCTCGCCAGGGAAACACACTTCTCAACCCTAGAACACGTCTCGATAATCCTGCATGTACTATTCCCAGTCAAACACTTCTTTCCAAGAATGCACAAAAGATTCGAGGCAACCTTCATCCATCTAACGAAGTCATTTCTTTCTCCGAGACTTGACCGCAACATGGTTTTGTAGACACAATTTTGCACCTTGCATCTAGTGACCAGGATCAAGGTACTCGAGAGGAGTGATCCAGCTCTGGTTTAACTTTTGTTTGTTCCTGTGGGTAGAAGGGTGGTGCAGATTTACACATGGCAAATGAAAGGAAGGGGCGGGAATATACAGCACCCTACTCAAAGAAAAGAACAAGAGCATAGCTTTTTGTAATCTTACATAATTGTACAACTGTGTTTGAAGTGCCTAAGACGACAATTCCTCCTTTGCGGCCTTGACTTCTTCCCAGCCCGGAGCATTGAGACTTTTNTGCACGTACTCGCCATCATTGATGACTTCAACGAGCTTGACGTTCCACTTGCCTGTCCTAAGCACAAGCACATTACTTTGTCCCAACATTTCGGTGATCGTTGCAGCAGTGATGCCTTTCAAAGAACGAAACTTGAGTTCTGAGTCGTTGGAGTCGGATTGACTGCCGATGTATGCGCCGCCAGAGTTGACCATGCGTGTGCCGTCGCTGTTGCTCTTGGCCAAGCCTGCATGATATAAAATCCGTGCTGGTGGTTTATTGTGGACAAGGCTGTGAGGCAGGTACACGCGATTGAGACCTTCCTTGCTCTTTTCTGCTTCCTTGTTCTGCAGGGTTTGGAGATTTGGTCGGCGGGAAAATTGATGCTGGTTTTGTGTGTTTTCGGCTTCCTCAGAGCCGTGGACGAGGTCGACGACTTCGCGGGCGAGAAGGTGTTGGGCTTTGCGTTGGCTGGGGTCGGCGTTGTGCTCGGCCATGACGGAAGAGATGTTGGCCAAAGGGAGGAAGGTGAAGAGTTTGAGGTAGCGCTCGACGTCGGCGTCAGCAGAGCCGACGAGGAAACCGTAGAGTTCAAAAGGACTGGTCATGGTTTTGTCGAGCCAGATGGCGTTTCCAGCGCTTTTGCCAAACTTGGCGCCGGCTGCGGTGGTCATGAGGGGTACGGTTAAACCGAAAGGACCAGATAATTGCTTGGTTTCTGGCGATGTTGAGGGTCTGGGAGTCAAGTGCTTGATGAGGTCGATACCAGCGACGATGTTGCCGTATTGATCAGAGCCACCGATCTGGACTTGAACACCAGATTGATACAGATGCCACCAGTCGTAGGCTTGCAGCAGAGGATAAGTAAACTCAGCATAGGACATGCCGTCACCTTGAGCCATCTTGTTCTTGACANNCTGCCGAAGTCAGCATGCTGTCAGAACAGAGAGGGAAACGACTAGAACTCACGTATCTCTACCCAGCATAGCACCCATTCTCGCAACAGTACCGGCGTCTGACAAGAAATCGATGATATTAAGTTTGCTCAACCAGACCGAGTTATTCTCTATACTCTTGTTCCAAGACTCGTCTTTCTTGTAGCCGTGTCTCTCTGCATATACTTCAACACTCTTCCACATGGCGCGTACACAATTGTGCAACGAGACCAGGTTTGAAGTCCTTGTGTTTCTGTCCATCTCTTGTCGGCTGACCAGACGTCCGGTAGGATCACCAATCTTTGCAGTCGCACCTCCGATGATGGAAACGGCTTTGTGGCCATGAATGTACATCCAGAACAAGACCATCATGGGCAAGAGGTGCCCTAGATGTAAGGAGGGAGCGGTGGGGTCGATGCCGGAGTAGGCACCGATGCGTTTGTCGGTGAGCAGTTTGTCGAGGGCCTTGCGATCACCAGCCAAATCCTTGACATATCCACGCTCTTCCAGTATGGTCAACAAGCTCTTGCTCTCGCCAGCACGTATCCTCTCAGCCTGTTGGTCCCATGATTTGGAGGAAACGCTTTCTTTAAAGGCGGCGGTTCGTGAGATGTTGCGCCGCGTCACCCTGGAGATACAATCTCTGCAAGTGTATGGCTTCAATGGCTGCAGTGGCCTTGCACGCCAGAGAGCCGCTTGTCGCATGATTGATTGACTTGGTCGGCGAGAATTGACGCGACAGATTTTGGACCGAACGGCGTCATGTCATGCAGCCGAGCTTATCTCCGGTGGCAGTAAACAATTCTTGACTACAACATTGACACACGACAACAACTGACATCCATACACAATGACTGCGATTGGCGAGTGGAGACCTTCGAAAGCTGCTCTACACATGCTGATTGTCTGGCAGACGGCCGCCATGAGCGCCACATGATGCGCCAGAGAGGTGCTGGGTACAGACAATCCTTATTCGTCTTGCTGCATCTCTGCTTACACAACACTCAAGTGCTCGATCTATTCCTACAAATTTTGGTTTCATCTTTCAGGCTGGTCCTATCCAAGTCTCAGACAACACCACTGCCGAATCGCCTCTGCCCGCGACTACGCCCGCGACTGCCATTATTCATACAGAACCTCACAGTGTACCTGAACCCTCGCCCTCTGCACACGCACCAGCTCCGAAACGAAAGAGAGTCATCAAGGAAGAAGACGACGATCAAGTCTGGTTTCAAAAACGCTCAAAAAAGACGACCGAACCAGAACCTCNNCAGAGCATACCGTACTCGCTGCGCCCACCGAAACTACCCACGATGAGTCGCTGCAAGACCCTCCGATCGAGAAGAAGCCGACAAAGCGAAAAGTTGTACGGAAGCGTGTCTTGGTACCGAGGACACGCAAGAAGGAATCGCACGAATTACAACACCATCCTCGGCCTGAACAGCCAATCCCTCTACCAGAGCTTGTGGTAGAAGCCAATCCGGCACCCAAGAAGAAGACGCGAAAGGAAACTGCTGTCTCTAAGCAACCGCCGAAACAAACAGACACTTCCGATGCACCTCCTCCAGAAGATGAATTGAGCAATTATTCTCTTCATAGCGATTCTTTACCGAAGCCCGCTCTTCCGGAGANGAACAAAAGCCACCAAGGGCCTCAAGAATGAATGCATCGTTGAGAAAAGTCGACCGGAGGCTGTACCACGAAAAAGAGCTGTAAGAAAACAGATACAAGAAGGTGTTAATATTGCACAACTGAGCCTGGAGGAATCGGCACAGACTAAGACACCCACACTACCACCGATGAAGGAAGACGGTGATAAGCAGCCTAAGGCCAAGACCGCTAGACAGCGCAAGGTAGCTAGAAAGCAACCTGAGAAGTCCGTTGAGCAAGGGACCCACCAAGAACCCATGATTGAGCCCTCTTTGGCTGAACAGCCAGATCCTACACACGAAGCGGACCTACCACCAAAGAAGAAAAAGCTAGTTAGAAGAGTGCGTGTCCCAAGGACATCCGCAAAACCAGCAATGCCTGGGAAAGAGGACCCAGTGGACACGGTCAACAAGCATGGCACTAAGCCATCAGCGTCAACCGACAACATCGGTTTGGCCTTGTTCGAAGCAGCAGCTTCGGTACCAGTCACCAAANAAGCATCCAAGACTCCGAAAAGAATCTTCTTCAATGATGATTCTGAGATCGATCTCGATCAGATGTTGAGTGGCATTGCGGCAATGGCTGGAACCAAAAGCGGTACTAAAGCGGACGCCAGGTCTGCTCGCATCGCAAAGAGGAAGGTGGTAACATGATCTTCTCGAGGTTGTAAAACATCCCGAAAATCCAACAATCCACAACACCATCTTTGCGCTGTTCAACTCGCTATTGTGTGTGTTCTCTCTGACGATACGATCATACCATATGACCAACAGCGAAAGCACTAATAACCACGGATGCAAGGCTCACAGACTGCTGCTTGCGGGCTTCATCTAGCATGGCGAAAGCATGAGTATAGATCCCAAAAGCCAGTGCAACACGGTGCGATAGTCGGGAAGATGTGGGGTTGCGCGCAAGCAAATAGTGAATAGTGTTCCAAAAAGCAGTCCAGTATAAGAGTTTATGCCAAGGGGGACTCTGTGGTGTGTCCATAGTCGAGGGCTATGGATCAGAGGAGGCTGAGGAGAAGAGATGAAGACTGAGGGTTCACACACCGACAATGTCCTCGATGTCTTGGCGGAACCATTCGGGTGCCGAAGAGGGTCCATGCTCTCGGCAACCCATCAAGCTTCCAAGGTTCCATGTTTTGTTGTTGCTTGTCTTGTTCTTCATTTCCTGGAATGATCTTCAAAAGAGTATATGTGTGTATAGCACCTCCAAACACGAGGACCCAATGGCATGTCCGGGCTCATAACGTTACCAAGTCTGTCCAAAGCATCAGTGCAACATGACCTTTGAGCAAGAAACGCCCTCGATGCCGTAAGAGCATCGAAGTCTGGGTGTGAAGCATTGACTCCTACCTCCCGCCGCCAAGTTCATGGTTGCTATAGACATGGCGAGTAAGTCTGTTTCCCAGTCCAAAGCGTACCATTGAAAGAGACGAGGCCTACCACATCTAAGCTTGTCGCGTCGCATCGTGTCTTTTCTCTATCCTCCATCTTTCATACTGCTCTCCAAGAGTCATGTCCTCTTCGTTATCAACTCCAGCAAAGCATAGCAGGACAAACAGCTTCAGCAATAGTCTTGAGATATCCGACCTTTCCTTTGCACCGACGCCTCCCCCCTCACAATCATACTCGTCAACGATCATCAATCAGCTCCACCAGATCACAGTCGACGTCTCTATCAAGTTTGAGGAGCGGAAGTGTGATATGGAACAAATCAAGTTCACTACCACAGCTGTATGATCCTGGTCAAACCACAAGAACCTTCACGCCTTCCGAGTTCAGCAGCAGCCATGTGTCTAGCGAGCCGCCCGGGCTGACTTCCTTTGCATCTCCCGATGATTCATGGTCTGCAGCAAGCTCGAGTTTCCAGACGAGCTCTGGTATCAATTTGAACGAGAGTGCAACATCACAGATGCCCACATATTCCAACCCACCAAGCTCGAGTAGGGCGAGCTTTCGCAGGCCATTGCCGGACACTCCCCAAGCTTCGTCTTTCTCGACCAATACCCCTGTGCAAACCAGCACAACACTTCCTAGTATACCTGGATATGGCCCTATACGACTTACGGTCACTATGGACTTGCCGCAGCCACCTCATCACTACCAGTATACACCGCACACGTCTATACGGGTAGATACACCCATGAGTGAAATTGCTCCACTACAAGTAACTCACTCTGATATTTCCTTCGACACTGCATTAGACTCTTTCTCCCCAGCCGAATTACGCCAACTACTCCGCCTCGCTGTGCAGAAACATCCTTCGTTGGTCTCTGACATTACCTCAGAGCATGCACACAGAGCCTCGCTTGGTGCGAGCAAATCTGTAAACTTTGTGCACTACAGCAACAGTGTTTGGCATACTTTGAATGCTAAGCAACACCTGGGCGCAGACAAAGCAGGACGCCATGCCGACAAAGCGGTCCAGAGGATAGCGAACGATATCTCTTCCATCGCCGTACAAGTCCACAGACATAGCTCCCTCGTCACCAAAAAGAATGCCTTGGAAACCCTCAGGAAGATTGGCAGGAGCATCTGTCTTGCCACTGGTATAGTAGGAGAAAGGGTTAAAAACGTGTTGGGCTCTGATAAGATATTCGTAGATGCAATTGTTAAGGTGGCAGCGAGCTTCATAGAGAATGATCGACGAACATTATGGGCTGGTGGGAGTGGTGCGGAGATTGTTAAGCGGCTTGATCAGTTGGATGAGTTGAGAAGGTGCTATCTTGTTTTTGATGGATTTGATGTTGTGTTGAGGTTGTTGAAGAGGGAGGATAGTTCGGACGAAAGTCTGTATTGCTGATTATGAGGATATGGTGCATCATGATGTGATATGTCTACTTAATGTTTAATGCCTGTTGTAATATTAATTGTTGGGTACTCCGGCATTCATGGTTTTGTGACGCCAGGGTCGTTCCTAGACGCCATGATCTCTCAACTTCTTCACTTATGTCGGAGCCTCTAGAGTCAGGCCATGCTATTTACCCGTACGAGTTCATCTGCAGGAACATTCGGCTACCTGACTCCTTCGAGCTTCTTAGGGTTTGTTCATGCTGTCGATCATGGAGCCAGGCGGGCCATGGGTCTGAAAATAGGACCTTTGCATGTCTTGGCGCATGAAATTGCCAACTCCCATGCTTTCTATGATCCACTTCCTCTCTGTAAAGACGGCCTAAGGATGGCAATACGAGCAACCAGGGCCCTTGTTGTACGGTAACCTACTATGAAAATGTGACGTCGAAAGTAAGGCATATATAAGTAGCCATGTTTTCCCTTTGGTTTGTGTTTCACTTCCATTTCATCATTGAACATCCATCGTAGAGATTCTGTTGATCTACAAGATGCTCTCTTCCACTCTTCTTTCCGCCTTGGCCACAGCCACCACGGCCTCTGCTGCTAAAACCTACCTCGCCTACGCATGGAACGAGACCGCGCCTGAGATCCACGGCATGGCCGTACAAGCCCGCAACGGATACTTCTATCTCGGCGGCCAAGCATACCCTCACTGTGCTGAAGACGCTTTCGACTGCGTCCACAACCAGACCCTTATCACCGGACCTAGCACCAGCAAGTACAGCGACAACCTCGATGGCTTCTTCATGTCCATCACGGACGCTCAGCCTCAAGAGATCGTCACGGCCCCCAAGACTGGCGAACTGTTATATACGCTGCCCAAGACTGACTTGGCGTCTATGGTTGTTCAAGCATATAGTGGCGGCAGCATCAACACCCCATTTTCAGTCGATTACGATGACTTCTCTGGAGAAACGGTGTTGAGATTCAACGGCAATGATTTTGCTAGTTGTCCTACCCACAGCCAAGTCCAGGAATATGGCTGGCAACCCTACAGCATCAGAGCGCTCAGCTATGGTGGCTTGGTATACAAGGACCAAGTCTTCCAGGTTGGAGTCGAGTGCATCCCATTCAAGATGCGTTTGGTTGAGACTGAGTTGCCCGCACCTGAGTACTACGAGTACCCCTGCACTGAGTACTATTACTCAGTTAGTGGACAAGAAGGCCATTATACTTGTCTTGACAGCTTGTATTTCGACTGCTTGGACAATGATAACTGTACTGATGCGGAGAAGAGGGTCTGGGCCACCAAGACTTCGGTCAACAAGCTGCAGTATGGTATGGAGTTGTGTCAATGCAGGGACTTTACTGATGGTGCTCCTGGACTGGGTGTTGCTTCGTAATGCTTCACCTAGTGTATTTACAAACTCAAAAGTCTCTTGACAAAATCGCTTTTCTCCACCAAGCGTTACCAATATGTCCACACCTATCTAACCACAACAACATATATGTGATGTGTCGAAATTTGGTACGATTATTTTATGACATATAAAGAGATGATATAAAGGCTAGCAAATGATTTTATGCGTGGGAAGTGATAATAATATCTTGTTTAGATCGAGCATTTCCAAAAGTTATGCTTAGAAAGCACGTTTTAACCAACTAGGTTTTAATGCTGAATTGATCTACACACAACCGACATGGGCATCTAAGATTCTGGTATACTGTGCCTAGATATACTAGCTACCTACCATTGAGCTCGCAGATTGATACAATTAGTGGTCGTAGTACTGTATTGATTCGAAAATACATTGATCCTGGTGATATCGACTGCTTTCAAGGCCCGTGCGTCAAGAGACTAAATCTGAGCGTGAGTATGTTTGGGAAGAAGACCAGTGAAGTTGAGGAAGAGGAGCCTACGATATCAAAGTGTATACTCAAACATTGTCCTCTTCTGCTCTGCTCCTGCCTTTGTTTCGTCTTGATTGCTGTTCGGATCTGGCTTGTTTCCTCTAGTCAATGCTTCTTGTACATCGTCGTTCTTCGGTTCATCTCGACATACCGCCCGGCAGAACTGAATCTGAGTGGATCATTAACAATACTGCTTTGATCACAAGTACGATCTGGTCAGATGGCCGAGTGGTTATGGCGCTAGTTTCAGGCTCACCTGAAATGAGTTTACTAGTGAGAAATCGCGTGGGTTCGAATCCCACTCTGATCATTATCCTTTTGTTTTGTGGACATGTGTCGTTGGACGGCTGATTGTTTTGCTGAAACAATTTTCTTGGGCGAAATTTAGCGAAGTGGAGTGTTGGAGCAGGACATGGCGTCGCGTGTTCAAAACGAGCTTCTGTCTTTCAGCACCGTCACGAGCTTATCATTATTAGGCGGCAAGGATTGCTACGACTAAGATGGCGTCTCTATCATGCAGAGACGCGTACGCGCTCTTGACGACTTTGTATGTTCGTTTCATAAGATGAAGTCGGGCTTGAACTGCCGAGAAACCCAGCCCCTGAAGTGTCCTTATCGACCACCTGCCTTATCCGTCCACAAGTCAACTCAGGTAGGCTTATGATATAGTTTTGCCTCATGTGCAGTAAATTAGACACTCGAGTCGTGAGCTTCCACAGACATGTCGAACGCGACGTGGCTATTCGACTCAATGTCGGACTGTAGGTTGCACGCGTTTGGCCCGGCCAGCTGCGATGGCAGCTTCGACTTTACGTTGGTGTTCGAACAGACTATTTTGTCGATTGCTCCTTCCATCATCTTTCTCTGTTTTCTTCCCATCAGCGTGATCAAGCTGTTTCGCGCTGCACCGAAGTTCAAAGCATCAACAATCCGAATCTCGAAGCTGGTATACGCCTTCCAGTCACGTCGACGGACACAGCTGACTGTCAATAGANCCGTTGCAATTCTTCTCACAATTGCACAGATCTCTCTTNTAGCGTTATGGACTACTCAGCGCGCCTCAAAGACCCTAGCAACAATCCCTGCTCTGTGTCTTGGTCTTATTGTGTCTCTGGCCATAGTGTTTCTTTCTGCGCTGTCGCACACGAGATCAGTCAGGCCGTCTTCGCTCCTGGGCATATATCTGCTGTTTTCATCCATCTTTGATGCGACTCAGGCGCGTACACTGTTTCTGAGTCCGATCAACAAAGTGATACCCAGCTTCGTGTGCCTTTCGATCGCTCTCAAGTTGGTCTTGGTGGTCGTTGAATCCTGGAACAAGAGATCATGGCTACCTCCTGCGGATCGGACACTACCACCAGAGTCGACAAGCTCTATTCTGAGCAGAAGCTTCTTGTGGTGGTTGAATCCTCTGTTTGTAAGTGGCATGCGGACTCTCCTCGATCAGGACCAGCTGTATGCTATTGATCCAGAATTGCGGGTTCGAGGGAGCGGCCACAAGCTGAAGACAGCGTTCGAGAGAAGATCTAAGATGTCACAAGGTCGCGCCGAGACGAGCAGAGTTCCTTCGTCCATATGGGCTCTGCCTAAGGCTTGTTTTCGCTCAATCTGGACAGATGTCATGGCCATGGTTCCTACAAGACTTGCTTTAGTTGGCTTCACATTTGCCCAACCTTTTCTGTTTACTCGCGCCATTGACTATCTCGGCCAGCAGGACCAGGTTTCATACGACAACGTTGGTTACGGACTTGTTGGCGCGACGTTAATCATCTATATTGGAATAGCCGTAAGGACAGGCAGTTTTTTCAGTTTGAAAACTGACCCAACCTGCAGGNTATCCAATGCACTCTACCAGCAACAAGTCTCTCGCATCATGACTAAACTCAGAGGGGCTTTGATTTCGGTTGTTTACGATCACGTCCTTGTCATATCCGATACATCTAGCAATGACGGTGCTGCATTGACTTTAATCTCGACTGGTAAGTCCTGGCTTGAGCTACTTTGCTGTTGGTCAATGATTTAACACCATCCATAGNACGTTGACACAGTAATAAGAGTTCTTGGTGAACTCAACGAGACTTGGGCTAGGTTGATCGAGGTCGCTGTGGGTGTTGGCCTTCTAGCTCGACAAGTCGGCGCGGTTAGTATCGTGCCCATAGTTCTTACTGTCATGTCCACCCAGGCACAAGGCTGGGTGTCTAAACGGATAGGATCGAGAAGAAAAGATTGGAGTGCTGCAACACAGAAGCGCGTCAGTACGACAGCTGTGGTGCTTGGTTTCCTCCAATCGGTGAAGACGTCAGGTATGTGCGCATGTGGAGCATGAAACGCTATGGTTGACTATCTTTTTANNGGTCTTATGGCCTCTGCTTCGGACTTACTTCATTCTTTGAGAACTAGCGAGCTCCAAATGTTCTCTTTCTTCGCTCGCTTCATCATTGGCCTGAATGCAATTGGTCAGTTGGTCTAGTACTCCATTAATCGAGACAGACACTGACCCTTACAGNCCGTGATACCCTCAATATGGGCACCTGTGATGACTTTCATGGTTTATGCCATCAAAGCACATGTCGACGGTTCGCCGGGTCTGGATATCTCACAAGCTTTTGCCTCGCTGGCTTTGTTGAATCTTGTCACCACCCCCACGGCAAAACTACTCACCATCATACCATTGTGGGCACAGGCTTTGGGTTGCTTCGAACGATTACAGCATTATTTGGAACTCCCGGTTCGCAAGAATCATCGCTCTTCCAACAGGTTAAACTCCGAAATCTCTGACTTTGACATTGAGATGTCGCCGATGCTTTCGCACAGAGTTCAGAAAGATTTTGCTGTTGTCTGTACAGATCTGGAGGTGTCTTTGTCCACTGGTGGACCTACGATTCTACAAGCTATATCTCTGGAAGCAAACATGCACTCCTTCACAGTCATCACGGGCCCAACTGGATCTGGCAAGACTGTTCTACTGAAAACAATACTTGGCGAAACTCTTACTTTGCGCGGTAAAGTTTCAGTCTCTTCGCAGAGCATTTCTTATTGCAGCCAAAAGCCTTGGATTACCAGCACTACCGTCAAGGAGTATATTGCTGGTCTTAGCTTTAAAACGGCAGCGATTGAAGAGGCTTGGTATGGTAGCGTGGTACACGCTTGCGACCTAGCCAAAGACTTCGCAAGGATGCCAGATGGAGACGATACTCAACTCGGCAGCAAAGGAGTCTCACTATCTGGTGGACAGAAAGCAAGACTTGCACTTGCTCGGGCTGTGTACATGCGAAGAGATATCATGCTTCTCGATGACGTCTTTAGTGCGCTTGATGTCAACACTGAGGAAGTCATCATCCATCGTCTAGTTGGGCCAAACGGTTTACTTAGGAAGCTCGGAACTACAGTACTTCTGGTTTCGCATTCGCAAAGAGTCATGTCAATGGCTGACCAAATCTTGACCCTTTCGAAAGATGGCTGTATTGTACACACAGGCTCTATCCAATCACCTCGAATCGAGATTGGAGTGACTATCGATTCACCTCCCGATAAGTCTGCTGATGCGACGGTTGCAGAGACAATCCAAGCACGAGCGCCAAAAGGTCCATCCAAAGAAGACAAAGAAGACTTGGCGAGAAAAACCGGTGACTGGTCAATATACAAGTACTACTTCAGCAATTTCCAAAACAGGTATCTGGCCATCTTCGTCGCTTGTTCTGTTTGTGCCGCATTCAGTTCGAGGTTCTCCCAGATCTGGCTGAACTGGTGGGCGGCAGATGGCGGAGACGATTTAGGCTTGTATCTCACAGTCTACACAGTACTTGCTCTGGCACAGACCTTGTCTAGCAATCTGAACATGTGGGTCGTCTTCTTGAAGATGATTCCTTGTTCTGCAATCAATATGCATCGCACTTTGTTGGAAACAGTCGCAGGAGCAGCTTCGTCTGTATACTATCACACCGACAGCGGAGCAATTCTGAACAGATTCGTCCAAGATATGGCATTGGTTGTAGGAGCATTGCCTACCTCCCTCATCGCGACTGGAAACACACTTTGTGAGACAATCGCCTCTCTGGCAATGATTTCCACAGGAGCGAGTTATATGGGCATCAGCATTCCTTTCGTCATACTCGCAATATATGCGGTACAGAAGGTTTATCTCAGCACCTCGCGGCAACTGCGTTTACTCGAGATTGAAGCGCGAAGCCCAATATATTCTCACTTTCTCGAAACGCTCGAAGGGGTAGTGACGATTCGCGCTTTTGGCTGGGAGCAAGCGGCTAAAGAGAAGCAAGAGAGTTTGTTGGATACTGCTCAATCGCCTTACTATTTGTTGGCTTGTATCCAGCGATGGCTCAAATTGGTTCTGGATCTGATGGTGGCGGCGCTGGCTGTTGTGGTTGTTGGTCTTGCTGTCTCGCAACGAGGCACGACTTCAGCGGGTTTGCTGGGAGTGGCATTGACCAACGTCCTTGGGTTTAGCCAGTCTCTCACTCGTCTGGTTACGGAATGGACAACTCTGGAAACGTCTTTGGGCGCTATTGCACGAGTGCGCTCTTTCGCCACGACCACAGAGCAGGAAGCTTCTTCCGCAGAATCCTCCACCACAATCCCGTTGGACCTGGTACCTAAAGGCGCAGTCGTGTTCTCTGGCGTCTATGCTAAACACAACGACGACCCCGGCGCTTACGCTCTCCATGACATCTCCTTTGCCATCCCTCCACGCACCAAAGTAGCCATTTGCGGCCGCACCGGCAGTGGGAAATCAAGTCTCGTGCTCGCTCTATTGCGTCTTCTTCCTCTTCGACATGGAAACATCTCTATCGATGACGTGGACATTGCACATGTAAATCCAGATCTCATTCGTCGCAGCATCACCACTATCCCTCAACAACCATTTCTTCTCCCTGGCACTGTACGCAGTATCCTGGACTCGAAAGCCCAGTCCAGCGATACAGACCTGAGATCTGCACTGNCAAAAGTGCAGTTACTCGATCTTGTCGATCAACGCGGTGGACTTGATGAGAATATGGAGCAACAAAGTCTTAGTCAAGGTCAAGCGCAATTACTCTGTTTGGCACGAGCTCTGCTGCGAAAGAGTGAATTGGTGGTTCTTGATGAAGCAACTAGTAGTTTGGATGCTGATACCGAGGCGCTGATACGCAGGGTGTTGAAAACAGAGTTTGCGGATTGCACTGTCATCTCTGTTGCGCATAGGGTGAGTTTCTTTTCGCTGGCAGAGATGCTTGTATTTTTCCTCTGCTAACGTGTATGGGTGCGCAGANTAACGACTATTCTGGATGCAGATATGGTTGTCATGATGGATGCAGGACGCGTCTCCGCTATCGGCAAGCCAGAGCACTTGAGTATGTCCAACAATGACTTCAAACAGCTCTGTGGTATTTCTTGAGCATCTGTTTAGAACGGCAAAAGAGAGGTTCGAAAAGTGGAAGGTAGTACAGTAGTATACAGAGTATATACAAAAGGTTGTCTAATCGTGTTTCTCGTAGAAAAGCATTAACGGTTCGTAGAAGGGTATCGGTTTTGCAAGAGGAAAAAAGAAGACAGCAATTAAAGGAACCCAAAGACAAGAAGAGAATAAAACATCAAAACGCAGAGAGTGAGAGTACGAAACACAGGGCAAGGCGTGCTGGTGCTTGCATCTTAGAGCTTTACAGCTCAGAGCATGGTAGGCACAGGCACATCAAACTTGTGAGGAGCCTTGATGACAATCTGGCTCTGCGAACGCTTGTGTGCCCTGGGCTTCTTGCCGCCAAACACGCCGAAACCAGGCATACCCCAGCTTGCGCTTGCATTCGAAACGGCAGGACTGACGGGATTGGAGGCAGGAGGAGTGTTGGGAGTCTCAAGATGTTGCTGCAGACGGATCTGCTGCTTCAGCTCGACAATCTGCTGAGTCAAGGCATCGGTGGTGTGGCTCTGCTGCTGGAACAGGTGTTCCATGCTGGCTGTCTGGGACTCGAGCAGTTGGCGGAAGGTCAGCTCGTTGGCGGTGCGCAAGGAGTGCAGTTCTTGATTCTTGGACTCGATCTGCGCGTCCAGTTGAGCGAGGACAGTCTTTGTGTGTGCGAGCTCGGCGTCATTGCCGGCGAGGCCTTCGTGCAGTTGCTTGATCTCGTCGTCCTTGGCTGTAATGGAGTCGCTGAGTGCGGCGTGTTCTTGATCTTGAAATGCGACGAGCGAGTCCATCTTGGAGAGTTCAGTCTTCAAGGTCGACATTTCCAGATCCTTGGTCTCGAGGGCACCGCGAGCGTCCTTGACGTCTTGGTCGATGTTTTCGAGCAGAGACTTGAGGTGAGCGATGCGTTCGTCCTTCGAGTTGCAGTTTGCTTTGAGCTGTGTGGCGTGTTCTCTTGTGCTGTTGTGGGCTGCCATCTCTTCCTTGTGCGCGGTCTCCGAAGCTGCGAGACGTGCCTCGAGGTCTGCGATCCGTTGCGACTGTCGGCCGATGGTTTGGTTCAAAGCGACAATGTCAGGCATCTGGCCCATGTGCTCGAGTGTGGCAGGGAGGCCATTGAGATGAGTGAGGATCTGTACAAAGTTGTCGAGGTTGTGTTGTTTGTGTTGCTCAGCTTGGTCTGCGAGTGCCTTGGACATGTATTAGCATCTTTGTGCACGGGTCGAGGAAGCCATGGAAGACGCNACCTTCAGATCTTGAGCGAGTTCGGCGATCTCACGGTTGCTGGTATCAGACGCGTCCGATCTTGGGATGTAGGCGGCATCAAAGACACCAGACGATGGTCGCGAGGAAGATGAGAAGACGCCAGAAGAAGGACGACTAGACTTTTCGAAGACTGCCGATTGAGGGCGGGAACCCATTGAGGGACGCAAGCTGAATCTACCCATGTTTTTGATTGGTTGAGAGATCCTTTGTTGTTTTGGTATGCGTTGATATTGTTGGCGTCGAGACAGGTGATCAAAGTCGAGAAGTCAACACCAATGTCAAAGAACCGATATAGGTAGATAGTACTGGAACGAAACAACAAAAGAAGCACCACCGTCTTTAATAGCACCAATGGTCTCGGGTAAGAACCTCCTGGCGGTGTATCAAAGCTCCTTTGGACATGTGCGGTGAGACGTCCGTTCGAGGGCCTAAGGCCCTAGTCAAGCCCTCGTAATTGTTAATTTCGAGCGGTGGGAACTCCAGGGCATAACAATCCTGTTATACCATGACGACCATCTAGACAACAAGTTACTGCAACGGGCAACAAGTAAACAGACTAAAGTGCCTAGTACAAGAGTCGGTCACAACATGCTTGCCTTAGCTTCTACATCCTTCGCGTTATCAGCGACTGACCGTTCACAAGGCGTGGCGACGAAGAGGAACTATTGAAGGCCGGGCTGGTGTTAATAGCAAGCTCAAGAGGCCCTTCGAGCAAAGGTCATTACAGAAAATATCGGCCTCATACACAGTGAAGGTCGGAAAATTGGTAGGAACGATCCAGAGAAACGAATTGCCAAAACATTAACGTATAGCCAAGATTTCAGGCGTCGGCGTCTCAGAACGCCGTGCCCGCACCTTCCTACATTTTGCCAAAAAAAAAATTCTTTTATCTCCCCACCGCTATACCACGCATATTCCAGTAACAAAAGAACATTGCACAGTAGCAAAACTGTGATTCCGCCCGGGTTCGAACCGGGGACCGCCTGTGTGTTAGACAGAAGTGATAACCAACTACACCACAGAACCATTGATGTGTTTATGAAAATGTAGTAGAACAATGTCCTATCACTCAGTACGACACGTACGTCAAACATCGGGCCGAGGCTCAACCCTCCGACATGCCGAGCTATCATCTATCTCAGACAGCTACGAACACAACCTCCTCTTCATCCAAACATTCTGACCTCCATGATCGTCACATCAACTGATCGCACCTCATGCAGGAGAGCAACCATCGATCAATCTCTGCGTATGGTACACATTTCTCCGCCAGTCAAGTCGAATGTGATCTACCGGAGGCAGACTTGCACCTGCCTCTATAGGGACGAGATCGTCTCTGGTCGCGTCAAGACAGTTCCCCGCTCGTTTCATCTACAACAAGCGATTCACTGCCTCACGCACATCGATTAGGGCAGGTCTAGAATAGGCTCAAGCGACGAGTACATATAGAACTGGGTAAGGTCTGTTTTTGCTCTCTCTTCTGTTGTCATAACCATTCATTTTAAACATCTTTGCTCTTAACATGCACTTTCCTTCTCTTCTTCTCGCCGCAGGTTCGGCGAGCGTTGTTCTTCCCAGCCCCTTGCTCGTCTTGACCGACGTGCTGGTAAGCTTCAGTTCATCGGCATCAATGAATCGGGACCCGAGTTTGGTGAGGGAAACATACCCGGTCGCTTGGGGACCGATTACACATGGCCCGATCTTGGTTCCATCAGTACATTCGTCAACAAGGGCTATAACAGCTTCCGTGTGAACTTTNTGATGGAGCGTCTGGTGCCCAACCAGATGACTGGCTCGCTGGATGCCGCGTACCTTAACAACCTGACGCAGACTGTCGATGGCATTACCAACCTCGGTGCGTATGCTATCATCGTTCCTCACAACTATGGTCGCTACAACGGCCAAATCATTACTTCAGCCGAGGACTTTGGCACATTCTGGAAGACTGTTGCTGCACAGTTCAAGGACAATGAAAAGGTCATCTTTGATACCAATAACGAGTTTCATGATGAGTCTTCTACTCTTGTTGCCGATCTCAACCAAGCCGCTATCAATGCCATCCGCTCTGCTGGCGCTACTTCTCAGTACATCACTGTCGAGGGCAATGCCTACACCGGTGCTTGGACTTGGACAACTACTCAGGGTACTGATGGCAAGACCAACAGCGAGACAATGGGTGCTTTGACCGACAGCGTCGATGACAAGCTCATCTACCAAATGCACCAATATCTCGACTCGGTATGTCGTCCTCAAAAACCCTTCACTCCTCAAAGCTAACACCACACGTCAGNNGATGGCTCCGGCACATCCTCAACATGTGTCTCTCAAACCATCGGCAGCGAGCGTCTCCAAGCCGCAACGACCTGGCTCCGTGACAACAAGAAGATTGGATTGATTGGTGAATTTGCAGGCGCGGTCAATGCCGATTGCGAAGCCGCTGTCAAGGACATGCTTGCCTTTGTGGCTGACAACTCTGACGTTTGGGCCGGTGCACTCTGGTGGGCTGCTGGTCCTTGGTGGGGTGACTATATGTTTTCGGTCGAGCCTAAGGACGGTGTAGCGTACAGCACATATGCAGACCTCGTCGCATCGTATGCATAGACAAAACCATGCTACCAGCGATGCTCATAGACTCTAGTCCAACCAAGTCAGTCAATCATGGTCCTCAAGCATCACCAGCAAGAAGACAAACTCACAAGCTCCATCCGCGGAAGAATAATCCGTATAGTTTGTATAGGACCTCTGGGCGTTGGCTGGTCTGCGCGGCATCTTGTGCAGGATTGCCATCTGATTCCTCTCTCTTACTTCGCGCATGTAGCTCGCTTGCACTTCTGAAGGCCGAGATTCCACTGTCTCGCTGGTATCGCCGTAATACATTCTTCCTAGCCCAGCTATGGTGACGGCGAGTAAGGCGCAGCCCAGCAGAACCAGTAGGATGATTAACCATGGTTGCATCTGTGCCATTGTTGCGGTCTATTCTGGTGAGGATGTTTGAAGTTGATGGAAAGAAAAGGAGAAAAAACAACAAGATATGGCCTCATGGGACGTGTATGTGCAACACAGGACTACCTTTAAGAGAGCCAGTACAGCAGCAGGATCGGATCACACCACCTGTCAGGCTGAGCAAGCAGCATGCATATCGGTTGTTGACAGCCATACTGCTATTTCAATCCCTCCTTTGCTGGGCCTTCCTCCAGCTCTGTGTTTCTCATTGGCTGGTTTCCAGCAAAGTAGCCAATAGGGACTTGTTCCTGGACTAATTCCTTCCGTACTCCTACGGTTGTTTGCAGCTGCATGCAGGGTATACGGTGTAAGCAAGCTTGGCAGGCACACGCGTTTGTGTGCTTGGCGGTGGTGGTGAGATAGGTGTGCTACATTCCTGTCAATGTTTCATTTCCTGTAAACGTTTCGTGTGGAGGCTGTGCAGACTGCTTCGTTTACGTGCGTATAGGATTCTATATTGAGAGCTATTCTCTGGGGATACGAGAAGGATCATATGGCTGATTAAATAAGATATGGATGGTTTTGACGCAGTCGTATTCGTATAGTGTGTTTGTTTTGATGGAATGGTCGAACAGGTCAGGGTGCTACCACTAACCATGGGTTTCGACAAGTTTTTGTCTATTACAACGGCAGCAGGAGTGTTGAAGTATTACAGATGGGCTAGGATAGGCATATAGTGTGTAGGAATAGCTTGTGAGCAGTTGAAACATACCTGAGCTCCTGAAGATGCGTTGTCCCTGATTTTGATATTTGAAAAGAGCTTGATTAGAATCCTTCCTGAGAACCGGTGTGGGGGACGCCCAATCCTGAACAGAGCATCGAGACTAGATAAGTCGGGACATTTTGAGTCCCATACCGCTCCCGAAGGTCAAGCGGGTTGCATCTCGATTAGACCAATATCTGAATCTTTCGTTTCCCGCGCAAAAAGCCTCTCCTTCAAGCAGAAGGAGACTGCAAGTGATGGTTGGGAGTTGAGGCTCGTGCACAGCACAACATCGCCAAGCTCATTGGGGCAGCCAGGCTTCACGCACGAAAAACTCACTCACAAATTCCATGTCCAGATTTCCAAAATCTCAGCCACCGACCCATTGCACTTCCTTCTTGCTTCCCATCCATCGACATAGCCAAAACAAAAGAAATATTGACGAGAGTGGGATTTGAACCCACGCCCTTTCGGACCAGCGTATTGGATTAACCTTAAGCTGGCGCCTTAGACCGCTCGGCCATCTCGCCGTTGTTGGAAAGCATTTCGGCTGGTATATATAATCATCCTTGCCAGATTGGATATGCTGGGTGGTGTACCGGGATGCGGATGGAAAGACACCAAGTCCGCAGTTTCCGAGCTCAGCATAAGGTTGCGATTCCCTTCGGAGTATGTGGACTTATTGTTCGCGATGCCGTTGTGTCTCAAAGCCCTGGGATTGACAAACTGTGGAAGGGTATCTTTATCGAAGATAGCCTCGGGGATACGGCGTATGGCAAGCTATGCCAACGATGTAGCTCGTTCGACTGAGTCCGTGGAATCCAGGAAGTACCCAGTCAGAAAGCGCGGTCCAGATACTGATATAATTGCGCGCAGGGCGCAATCCTCTAGGGAAGAGTCTGCATCTGATGCGGTACGAGAGATGTAGGTGAGGACCGGACGACAACTGCTTGTTCGGATAGATACACCTCGTCGTCAAGTCTTGTTCTGTGGAAAGCTTCACTCAACACCGTCTATAAACTAGGACGCGATTGGAGCCGCCAGCGTAGTGTCGAGAGACCAGGGATCAACGAGATGTAAGACAGGGCGAGAACCAGACGTCGTAAAGCGTGGTGGCAGAGTACATGGTGTTGATTGTTGATGCACGAAACAAAAACAATAGCAGGTCCTGCTGATGGGTGACGGAAGAACAAGAGCAAGTACACACGTCGTGCGAAGGATTCTTGGAAAGTCGCTCCTTCCTGAAGACAAGCCTCTAAGCTACCCATCACGACTTCAACTGTTAACCATTGCGCGTTCTTCCTTTCAACTCTGGTATCGCAAGGGCAAGAGTCGAACATCTTTATGGTATCCTTGTGGTGAATCTAGCATCAGTCGATGGCTATATTGTGCTATTCAAGGAGATAAATCAAGAATTCCAGCAGATTGGCAGGCAACAACGTTGACTGGAACCGGTGTCTATAGTACAAGCGCAAGAGTCACTGCATATGTTTGGAGTGTAGCAAAACACTGCAGTCTGATATCAAAGTCAATGTTTACCAAAAACGCAAAACCGCTGGAAGCCGAGCTTGCATACCATGATCATCTTTCCAATACACCAAAGATCTATGTAGCAGACTCCCATGCGGTACGGATATTCTGGTACTCTGCAAACATCAAACACCGTCAAAACCCTCAAGCACGAACCGGGCATGTGCCCGAGTCATCCAGCCCGTCCCGCAACGCTGCCACACATCAAACCCTCGACACGAACAACCCCATGGAGTAGTGCCTCCCGCTCATGTTGTTCGTACATGCATGCGGAGCAGCGAGCAGCCGTTGCAAGACCCCCGGTAACCCGGCACGTTTTGTAAAGAATATTGCTCAGATCGATGATATACGCCTCTGCCAAAGCCGACGCTATGCGCAAGACTCTCTGAGCGTCACCACCAACACCTCTGTCTCGCGAACGGATGTATTGCGTATCCTTTTGCTAAGCCGAGAGCCCGGATGGCCGGATGCTGGGGCAGATAAGAGGAAATAGCTTCATTTGCTCTAAAAGGCGGAGGGCTTGACTAAAGAGAGTGACAGGCATGTTGTGATGAGGCAAAGGAAGAGAACCGTGTCCGACAGATAGAGAAGGCTAGGTCTCCTGCATGGTCTGCAGGCGGGCCGTAGCCCATGAGGGGTTCCTGATAGGTGTAGTCTCGGTGTGAGGTCATGTTTTATGCTGCTCCTTTGTGTCAAGAGATCTGTGTGGTGGCTTGCTTCCAGATCATAGGTATCCAGCTCCTTCCTCGGCAGACAGTCCGGGGGTGACGAGCGTGGTGGGTATCCAGGACAGTTGCAGGATTGTTTGCGACCTTTTCCGAGAAGATACCATGAAGTTTGAAGCAATGTCTTCACGAGGATTAGTGAGCAAGGCAGTGCCGGGCCTTCATGGCAGAGCATTTCTCGCCAAATAAGGCATCCCTTGAGATCCTTGCCTCTCGTGGGACGAATGGGCCCAGATGGCCATGGTGGTTGCCTAGAAGAACTCGCTGTCATGCTGCCTCGATAGCCCTGAAGCCGGAAGAATCTCCATCACGAGGAAGATCGAGCTCGCAAGCACAACTTACACGAGCAGGGAGTATTGTAGCTACCTGTTCTCTCTGCCTGGGAAACTAGGTACTCACGAGTCTTGTACACCCAGAGAGGGTTTATGGACCCCTGGCAACATCCAACACGGCTTCCTTCGCCGCGTGGGAAATACTCTCGAGCGCAGTCGTCCCAGAAGAGGCACAATCGTGACCAGAGGCGATAGTCTTGACTCGTTCCATCAGGCTGATCTTCATCCGGCGCGGGCGCAAAGCGGTGGATTGCTGTTAAGAATGAGAGCCTTGGCTCAATGGATCAACGTTTACGTGACGTGTGTTTTCTTCACAGACTTTTGGTGTGCAAAAGCCACTGACACCAGATGAGGGAAAATCTCTGTTGCTTGCATGATGTTGACCGCTAGCGCTGCGCACTTTCGTATCTCGATTTTGAGATGTCTCGACGGCATGTGGAATGCTGGAAAGGCTTCAGCAGCGTTTGAGTAGAGTTGTACAGTGTAGCATGGACATGTCGAGATGTTGAAAGTGAAGGGATTTTGTGGAATGGTCATAGTAGATTGTTCTCTCGCCATATCTATCAAGAAAGGTATAAAATATTCATCAAACGCAGTAAAAAGCAGATTTCATAGCATACAAGCATCCAGTGCTCGTTGCTTAGCGGTTGTCAGCGCAAGACCAGGAGCGACCGCTGGAGTCCTTGGCCAGCTCGGTGCCTGATGCGTAAAGACCAACAACGCAGATGATGATACCCAAGAGCACCAAAATAACGTTGCACAAGAAGAGGAAAATCTTCTTGGGGCTGCTGAACCAGCTGCCCTTCATGATGTAAAGCCACATGACACCGGGAAGTCCGTAACTGAACCACGAGGCGAAGAGAGCAGCGACGAATCCGAGCAAGTTGCTGAAGTTGGGAATCGACTCGGCCAAGATCCATGCAACGAACCAGATACCGAAGATGATGGCGAACCAGGATGAAGTGGCAACGACACCACGGCTGTGAAGGTGCTTGGTGCCAGCGAAGAGGCGGATATAGATGTACTTGGCGGTGACGTGACCGAAGATGACACCAGCAATGATGATGGTGGGCAAGGCGATACCCCAGGCGATCTTGGAGACGAGAGGAGAAGCACTGCTGAGAGCAGGACTGGTGACCATGTCACCAGCGAAGTAGTAGATGACAACAGCAGCAACCAGGTAGAGCGAAGTATCGACGGCCTGAAGAGTTATCAAGGCCTTGGGGTAGTCCTTGGGGTCACGGAGCTCACTGATGAAGCTCAACCAGGCAGCGTGTCCACCATAGGCGAAAACAATGTTGGAGACACTGTTGAAGGCAGTAGGGAAGTTGGGGTGTGCGGCGTCGACGATGTTGCGGCCCTCCAGAGGGTTGACACCAAGAGCAATCATGGTGATCATGACAGCTGAGAGGATGGAAATGAAAGAAGCAATAGCCAAGAAGGATACGTTCTTCATAGTGCGAGGAATAGTAAGAAGGAAGAAGAGAACCAGACCGACGATACCAAAGACGATGCTGCAAGTTCCGTGGTTGGTGAGGGTATTCATTGCGATGATGAACGTCAGAACGTGAGAAGCCATGCCTATTTTTGATTAGAATGATATGACTCTTAGGTTTGTAAGAACAAAACTTACANNGAAGACACAGAAAGTAACGTATGCGAAACCGAACAGTTCACGTCCAACCTTGCCCATAAGAATGTAACCGACATCACCGAAGGAGGCGACTTGGGGGTATCTCATGCGGAATTGCCACAGAGTGTAACCAGAGTAGGTGGTGATGATACCCATGAGGAGGATAGCGATTATACCGCCAACCAGACCGATGGTCTTGAGGACAGCAGGCAAAGACAAGATACCAAGTGAGATGTTCTCGGCGATCATGATCATGGCACCTTGCCACCAGGTCATGGTCTTGTACTGAATATCGGCACCATCCTCGTTACCGAAGACGTCCAGCACCTCGGTTTCCTTCATGGTAGTGTTAGATTCCACATCGTCGGCAATGGGGGCTGAGCCGATGGCTCCGAAGTCATCAACCCTTTTTCCTGGTCATATTGAGGTGGTTGACCAACAGGCGTGGGCATTTCGTTTTGATGCATGTTGAAGACGATACGTCGAGACCTGAAGAGGTTGTGTTGGCGTTCGCCTAGTAGGGTCTGACCGGGTATAAGAGAGGTGGCGTGACTGGTTTGCTGGAATATCCCCACAAAGTGACAGGTGTAAGAATAACCAGAGATGACCGTGAGAGAGGAGGGCAGGAGGACACACGACGGAGGGGAAGGTAGTTAAATAGTGGTTGGGGTAAAAGTTGACTAGACCCGGCAGATCACCAAGCAAAGCGGTTGTGCCTACGTAAAATTTTGCTGATGTCGTTTGGTCGTTGGTGGAGGAGAAGTGGACGATGCACCAGACGCTACGGCCTTACAACGGAGCTTTTCCCCACGCCCTTAGGTAAAAAGAATCATGGTCTTGGTTGAGCAAGTATGCGTTTAGGTTTCAGGCAGGGCATCGGACTGGTTGGATTGACTCGTAGGCGGTTTGTATCAAGTAATGAAAATCCTTTCACTCTCGAGCAACGTGGTCCCCAGAGTTCAGGTATGGGGATGCATGTGGAGCCCCAGGATGTGATCAATCTTGAACATCTTCGAGAACTGCTTGATCGCAGAACATCTGGATAACATCTGGTTGCCTCTGGACAGCGATTTTTTTCTCTTGCAGAAGTGTCGTCAAAAGTAGCACTACGTATGTGGAGCAAGTTTGAGTCAATCGACGCCTCCCAAGCCTCATCAGGCTTTCGTGCCTGAATGGCACTGCAGAGCCTCCAACCTACTCCTATCTGATTGCTAGAAATTCGAATGCGTAAAGGTTAAGGCTCGGTTCGGGCTCTGAGTTATCCGTCGTACGACTCGCTATCAGCTCCCTGGTGCGGATCTTTGCCAGATAGCGATGTCGGCAGGGTTCACCGAGCAAAACAAAAACCCGGGCGGTTGTCGGCGGCTTTACTCGGGTTTGATGTTCTATCCAACGACACACCGTCACCTTGTACACAAACACGCTTTTTATGCTACTGATGCTGGCTCATGGTGCTGGAAATTTGGATATCCTTGTCCAGTCGATTTTGGCGCTTCAATCCATGTAAAGATTGACCACAAACACTGGCCAATGTTCAGCTTCTCGTCGAGACGAGCGAAACCGACGGCAAAATTTGCCCTGGCAAGCTGCGGCTTCGGATGTCTGACACTGCCAGAGCGTTCCAGTCTCATCTCGACCTCCTTCGCACGGTCGGACGAGGCGGCGCGCGCGGCGGATGGCTGTTTCTTGCTTTCTCACCAAATTCCGTGCCAAGGGCTCGTTTGAAGGAATATGGATCTGCTTTGGAGTGGTTAGGTCTCTGCTGCCGACCCTTTACGCATGACGTGGTTTCAACTGGGGCCCCCTGCTGCATTCGGGGATCTCGAGACGTGAACAGGTAGGGCTTTGTTGATCCGGCAGCGATCACAGTACCACACCATCGCTACCTGATACATGTTGTATATGCATTGCCAAATGTATATGACAAGCGATGGGGCAGCATGTCCGCCTACAAAGACGATTGTTGAGAAGAGGTATGGGAGATCGGTTGACAGCAATGTACTCTGTTCGCTGTCTCCCTGTATGTCGATGTTTATCACACGTTTAGTTATAGAACTGCATGGTCCCTTTGAGGAGCTGAGCAACATCCGCAGTGATGCTGTATGGACGACTCTCTCCAAACCCGTTCCGGGTTGAGAGGCGACTGTGTATCTCCACAGCTTCCAACATTACTCGATGTCGCTACGAGAGAAAGGATGGGTCACTTGGAAGAACCCCTGATTTTGTATCAATCGAACTGTCAACGGTCTCGAATCTTTGTTCGTCACCTGTTGAGGGACTACCATTCAAAAGTCATTGCTGTCCGTGCTGGGGTGGATGTGCAAAAGGGGAGGTGTAGTTGAGATAGAGTAGGTATGGGTTCTGATATACAACAAGTCTACGGTTGCGAACCGAGCACCCTAACGCAAATACAAACGTCCAGATTCACAAAAACGCCGCTCCAAATATGCGTCTATCATGGCCTTGGGTTTGCAGATGAAACGCCCCTGAAATGCCACCCTTTCCACAAGATCCGTTCGGTATAAATACAAGTTTTACAGGCTCTTCTCATGACAAGGCCAATTTATCCTCGTCCGAAGCAACGAGTGGATGTAACTCGAAATATTTGAGGAGCTGCTGGTACATGACAAGCATGGTTCCGCTTTGTACGCTTGTCCATACGAAACGTGGGCCCACGCCTCTGAAAAGTCCGGCAAGCCCCTCGTGCTTGTAAATCACCTTCAAGCCTGCGATGACGTTCTCGGTCTCGAGGGCGACGGCTCCGTGGTTCTTCAGTGCCGTTGACGGCCCTCCAGTGGAAATAGGTCTCTTGGAATCGTGTATTGAAGGTGCTTGCTTCGTAGGTCTATGCGTTGTGCTGGCAGGACTGACTATGGGACCGGCCTTGGAGGCTTGAGAAGCAGGCGCGTGTGCAAATTCGGGATCCAGCTGAGTTTGAATGCGTGTCTTGACCACATCAAGCGGACATGTTATGACCCCGGCCATACCTCCGGCGCTTGCACCGGTGAAGATCTCCAATGGAAGACCAATATCTTTGCTTCCCATCCAAGCTTTTGCTATCCTTTGCTCTTGCTCATAGAAGGCGAATTGTAGAGCGGAAAAAGGCAGGTCGCGTGCCAGGGTGGCAGAATAGCCAGAGAACATTTCCCTCCACCCTTCGACACGGATGATGGTTCGAAAAGCATCCCAGGTACCATGGTAGTTGTAGCCACTGTAGAAGTAGGGATTGTTGTGTCGGCCCTGTAGTTGCAACCTGGTCTTGAGGACCTCGGAAGGGACGTACCAGGGCGAGGCGGCGAGGTCGGCAAAGAAGCCNTAATGGTCTTGTCAGTATAGAGAGCAGGATAGTATGCTAGGTGGAGGAGTCTTACCAGAGGTGAAGTATGCGACAGAAGGATTGACACCGTAATCGATCATGGCGCGCTTGGAGTACTCGTAGGCGCCAAAGAAGGTCATGGTACCTGTGAAAGATCCGAGGAAAGCAGGCGTCACGCCTCCGTAGAGACCTCGTACCAGACCCTCCTGACGCCAGATGGTGCGATAGGTCAAGCCCATGGATGTGTATTTCGGCGGCATGTGAGGGTCGCCTTGTTGCCTAGTCTTGACCGTGTCAAGCGAGTGCATGAGCATGTCGCCCATTAGACCACCGAGACCTCCTGCAAGCATTGCNCTAGACTCAGTTAACCTTGATTCCATGGCTGTGTCGCCGTCCAGACTAACATGAATATATGGCGGCCGGGCGGCATCTAGGTCGTCTTCTTCCATGATTGGCTCGGTCTGCGCTCTTTTTGGTTGGTAGTCCCGTTCCTGTGTCGCCGGCTCTGTCGGAGCATAATGTGAAATGGTGTCGGACGGGGACAAGTATTCAGCCACGCGGGCTAATACCATGGGTGCCTTCGAATGCGCCTCGTATGCGCTCTTTCGTTGTCGACGAGAGAGCCAATGGAAGCGAGTGTAAGTGTACGGGCGCCGGGTGGTAGAGAATGTTTCGCACGGTGGTGAATATCAGAATGAACGAGTACAGATTTCTGGTCGTCGCCGGTCTTCGTCAACTTTCTTTGAGCCTTCTGCACCCGGCGTCATGCTTGGCAGTCGCCTCTGCACTCCCGCATCCGTGCACCGACCCTCCGCCGACTACCTTGCCTTGACCACAGATGCTCTGAGACAATCGTCTCGTCGTGTAGTCGCTGTGTTTCGACTCGAGAACATTGTTATGTGTTTCTCAGAGCTCGATAGTACTGCCTCTGTAGCCATCAACTCAACGATTGATCACATGGTCGGACCGCCTGTTTAGTCGAATGCCAAGACGCTCGTTGCTTCTGCTTCGAGTGTTTACTTTACCTCATCGAAGCTGCCATCTTTCACCTACGCGTCTCTGCACACTCGCGTTTTCCCTCTCCAACAGATTACTCACCACACAACGTTCTAAATACTTCCATCTCACGAGATACCTGGTCGCCTCACTTACGCGATTCTTTCCATTATATTTTCGCACCATGCCTTCCTGGTTGAACTTGCACCGTAAAGCTGAACTGGCCGAAATGGCTGGTCAAGCTGGCATCGACGAGTATGCATACCAAACGCGTCATTTTCCACCACTTTTCTGACTCTCGTAGCNNGTTTCCGATCTTCGCAAAGATCAGATCGTTGCTCTCCTGGAAGAGCAACTCACAAATAACGCGTCAACATACTCTGACCATCCTTCCTTCGAGGGCTATTATGCCCGCAAGGGTTCTCCCACAAAGCGTGAGTCGGGCTCGACTCCTGCTGCCGACCCAGAAGTGACCAGGTCTATTACTCGAAGACGCGCCCCTCGCATCAAGGGTGAATCCGATGTGTAAGTCATGACTCGTTTTGTGTGCATTGTCTTTTTCTCATCAAAATCTGTCAGTGAACCCATATCATCACCTACTGCAGTCACTGGAAGGCGTACTGCTCGCGCCGTGCTGGTGTCAACTCCGGCCAGAATCGAGGCACCTAGAATCGAGGAACCCGTGTTTGAGGCACCACGTGTCGAAGAGTCTATGCTCCTCAGCCCTCCACGCATGGCACTCCCTCCTTCCCCAGCAGTCGTGACGGATGCCATTGAGGAGCAGACTGCCCGCATCTCTGAGGGCATGAACAAGCTCTGGACATCTTCGCACATCATGGACGTGCTTGAAGAAGCTCGTCTCGACCTCTCATCTGTTACCGGCATCCACTTCACAATCCTCCTTCTCGAGTCTGCGGCACTCCACTACGCAACTGTTCCGTGGAAATTCGCATTCGACTTCCCGAGTCTGTTCGGATTACCCAGTTTCGCAGTATTCCTGCCTGACATATTTGTGTTCCTCACCCATCACTACTGGGCACCTTCATTGCTGTGGGCACTCATGAACTTCTGGGCCCCACTTGCAACTGGCTGGTTGTTCAACCTGTCTCTCAAACTTAAGAAGAAGGACGGATTCGAAGACTACAGACCAGTTTACCGCATCGATCCTTTAATGTTCAGTATCGCCAAAGGTCTGATGTCTTGGATGGTTTACGCCCAAGGTAACAGACTATACGGAACCTTCACCGAGCAGACCGTCAAGACGGTCGAGAATGCCATGCCTTATGGCTACAGTGGCTCCATGGTCGCAGCGTACATCGGTATCGCTACCAGTATCTGGGATGGTATCCAGAACAAGAAGAGAGCGTAAATCTCGATTCTCTACGGACACACAGGGGAAATAGGATGAGATGACTTATATGTTCAATATTGCTCTTGTTGCTGGTAGGATTTCTTGGCGTTCAGATGGCGGGACGGGGTATTGGTTGGCGATTTGTGGAACTGCACATGCTTCCAGTGTGAGATTTGAAATTATGTAGTTATTGCTAGATCTTCGATCGTGTTGATACAAATAAAGGCATCAAACGCATATTCATTTTCGTATGGTTCCATGAATGTCGCAAGATGTGCCACAGAAGCAAGAGCGGAAAACTCCGCGCTTGAAAACTTCCAAAAGCTTCCATCCCGAGCGCGTTCGATTCAGGGTCCAGAGAAATATTGTTGCAGGACATCTGCAATCTGGAAACACCACAATTCAGTCGCAAACATGGCCGACGCTTTGCAAACGCTTTTTCGCAGCTCTCTACCCGAAGAGATCTCGGGGCTGTTGACTGAACGTCTGTCGGAACTGGAATCTGGAGATNTTTTTGCCCTTCTACAATCGAAAGATGCGCAGGAACTTCTTGGGCATAGCCCAAACTCGGAGCTGGATGAGACACAGTTGAAAGATTGTGCGACGTGGAATGAATATATCTCGATTCGATTGAGCAAGATTCTCGCTAAGGATCAAGAAAACGCAAAGTACAAGCAGAGTCTCTTCTTTGTCATCGGATATGCCGCTTTACTCGCCTTCCTACAATCTAACGCTACTGGTCCTCCACTCCCATTTTCACCTTCGAAAACCGTTCTACCACGGGATGTGGTTGAGGACAAGCAGCAAGTCACTACGCTGCGCCGCCAATTGATTGCCAGCCTTGCAGTCGACGGTATCGCGGCATACAGATTGACACCGAATATCGAACTTCTTTGCCTATCAAATGTAATTATCAGCAACCCGGACATTCTTGCGAACATCTCGGTCTCGCGGTGGGCTAGGCTGAGGGTGACGTTTATGCACCAAAGACTGTTGTCGGAGGATTGCGGAACCCTGCAGGACAAGATCTTCGCAGATGTCGACGCAATTCAAGAGCAATTCTTTGACGTCTTGCCGAAGGGCAAGTCGAGAGCTGGCGACGACGATGCAAAGGTTGAGTTCTTGCTTGAACGTGCTAGTATCGAGACTTTCTATGGCTTGGACAAGAAGGCCAGAGTTGATCTAGACAAAGCGGCAGCTGAGCAGGGCTTCCAATTCGCCTTGACTGGTATTTTGGGAAGAAGAACTAAGTTCCAACAGCACGACGTCAGTCAGCTGGTCGTACTTGCTAAAAGTGCACGCGATGCAGAGAATGTCAAGGACTCAAAGTCGGCAGAAACTCAGCAGATGGAAGGCGCAACCAACGGACCTAAGAATGTGGACCTTAATGATGACACACTTCTGGAAAACATCTCGTTCATAGACAAGCCGACACTCAACTTGGACGTACAAACCAAGGAGTCTCTGCCGTCCGCATTGGCTGAACTGGATCCATCGAATCAACCAAAGCTACTACCACTGGACTCGATCATCTTGCTCGCTCTTGCGTCTTCTATCACAAACACATCTCCTGCAAACGGTCTCACAAGAGAAGAGACTCTGCCATATGCAACCCGTGTGTTGGAAGGTGGTAGCTCGAACTGGCAAGTCTACACTCAAGGTCTGCTCGTTCGCAGCAGAATGGAGGGCTACAGATCTAGAACCATCGAACGTGGTCTCTTGCAACTGCAGGCAGTTGTCGATCAAGTCATTGCCGATACAACAGAAACACCCGCAGATGGTAGCGCAGATGTGACGGCCACTAGCTTCCTGCGCAAGGGCGACAACGAGGACTCTGCTCCGGCTTCCGAAAGACTGCGTTACATCTTTCAGATTGCTGCGCCTACCCGATGGGAGCTGGAAGGAGAATTAGCTCAAAGATGGGTTACTCTGGGAGGTCTTCGCTCAGCACTTGACATTTATATCCGCTTGGAGATGTGGGCTGAGGCTGCTCTCTGCTATGCTGCTACCGAGAAAGAGGAGACGGCGAAGAAGATGATTCGCCGTCAACTGTTCCATGCCACCAACGACGGTGATGAGGACAATGCTGGAGACGAAGAAGCTTGGGAAGGCCCCGAGAGACAACCTCCACCAGCTGACGCAGCACGTCTCTACTGCATTCTCGGCGACCTTGACCAAGATGCTTCCATGTATGAAAAGGCGTGGGAGGTTTCAGGTCAGAGATATGCTCGTGCTCAACGCTCGTTGGGTCGCATGTACATTGGTCAACGCGACATGATCAAGGCTGCAGATGCCTACGCTAAGAGTTTGAGAGCAAACCAGCTCAACCACGCTTCGTGGTTTGCTATGGGCTGCTGTCTACTGGAGCTTGCCCAGTTTGAAAAGGCCGCTGAGGCTTTCTCGCGTACTGTCCAGCTTGAAGAAACAGACGCAGAAGCATGGAGCAATTTGGCTGCTGCTCTTCTCAAGAACCAGGTTCCTACTACCGACGATGAAACCGCGGCACCTACAGTTGAGCTCGCTGAAGACGAGGACGAGTCTATGGCTCCCCAACCCAAGAGGGCCGATCCTCAACAAAACAAGAAAGATGCTCTTCGCGCACTGAAGCGTGCCGCTACTCTCAAGCACGACAGCCACCGTATCTGGGAGAACCTTCTCATCGTTGCCGCCTCTCTTTCACCTCCAGACTACGACACAGTGCTGACAGCTCAACGCCACATTATCGACCTCCGCTCCAAGACCAGCGGCGAGTCATGTATCGATGTTGAAATCATGGAACACATGATCCGTCATGTCATCGCCTTGAACGACGAGTACGACCCCGCAAAGCCTGGATTTGAACGTCTGCTGGTCGAGATGTTCGACAAGAAGATCGTGCCCCTCATCACCTCCTCTCGCGAGTTGTGGCAATCATACGCTAAGCTCTGTCTCTGGCGCAAGAAGCCAGCCACCGCACTAGACGCAAATGAAAAAGCATGGAGAGCAGTAAGCAGTCAGCCTGGCTGGGAAACTGAGAGCGAAGATCGCTGGAATGTTGTGGTCGACGCAACAGTAGACTTGTGCGATGCATACGAGAGTTTGGGCCAGATGGAAAAGACAGAGGGTATGGCTGCCGGAAGCGGTGCTTTGGTCGCCAAGGACTGGAAGTTCAAAGCCAGAAGCGCCATCAGATCTATCATGGGTAAAGGCAAGGATTGCTGGGAAGACACTGATGGCTGGGAGAGACTGAAGGAGGCACTTGAAGGACTGCGTGGTTGAGCATAAACATAGAGTCTAAATGTTTATAAATGTCTTCCAACGCTGTTATGGCGCAACTGAACCCTGGATAGCTGAGTTTTCTGAGATTTGTGAGTATTGCTTTTAGATTGAGATCCCACGTGGAAATGTGGGTGGTGCGACTGCTACACAAAGAATCAAATGACATCTCACATAATAAACACCACCACAAGCTACAAAAGAACAAAAAGACGAAAAGAGATCCAACAGCAACAAATGTCTCAACATCTCCTCCTCGCAATCCTCCTACCTCTGCTGTCACTCTGGCCAATATGGGGATCCTGGATCTTTACTCCGTCCGCCTCTTCTTGTTCTCCAACCACCACAGCCACCATCACGACGACCGTGTTTGACATCTGTATCCTGATCTCAACAATCCCACCCACAACGACACATACAGTCACCACATGTGAAGAACATCGCCTACGCCACGAACGACGCATGAGGGAATCGCAAGAGTTGAGTAAGGATCTTCATCGCAAGGTGGTGGCTCTTCGACAAGATATGGATGCTAGCAGAAAAGCAAGGTTGGAGAGGCAGGTGCAGCAGACGGAAGATTCATGGTCTTCGTGGTTTATGAAGGTTTGTTTATTTGTTGTTTGGTTGCTTGTGTGGCTAGCTGTGTTGTACGGAATTGGCATGATATTATGGCTTTGTGGAATCTGAGCCAGGGGTTGAATAAGAAGTTTGATGAGGTAAAGGGTTATACTAAGTATGGCGGTGTTGAGTAAGGCTGAGATATGTTTACTGAGTACTAGATGGCTGGTTTTGGTTACGTCCAATAACCTCAGTCGGGATATCAAAGCCAATCCTAGGTTCCACGACGCCCTCATCTTGTAGCTGGATGGCAAAACTGACAGCTGTAGAAGTACACAGATATTTCAATGGATGATTTTGAGCCAGCGAGTCGGCAAGATGCTCAGCTCTCAAGGAGAAGTATCCGACGATGATGAGATTTGTGAATTGTGATGATTGGATCAGTGAAGTATGTGCCGTTTGAGATGAACGAGTGTCAACCGTTCTCCTGACCATTCGTCTCCCTGAGTACTGTGGTGGGTTGAGTTCGAGGCGCCAGTCGCATGTTATCTTAGGGGATGTCCATGACCACGGTCTTGATTTATGAACAAATCGTGCATGTCAACAACTACACTGGGCTGTCTTTGGCATACAAGAAAGTGCGATGAACATGCGAGGGTAGGACTCATATAGCAGCCGCGACCCTCATTGTGTCATTGTTGCGTGGAGGTGGGGCATCACGGCATGCAACTCCGCCACGATATAAGCCTTATCTCTCTCCTCTGACTCCATACCGACTAAACTTTGTTCCATACCATCCAAACAACAAACCAACATGTCCGAATCCAACAGCAAAAAGGTCTTCTTGATCGGTCCTGGCTACATTGGCCTCGAGTTCATGGACCGACTGCTAGAGAACGGGTATATCGTTACAACTTTGGTCCGCCGACAAGAAGCAGCAGAAGAACTAAGGCACAAAGAAAACGTCGATGTGGTGATGGGTACAATTGATGATTCGGACCTCATTACCCAGCAAACCGCACTTCATGATATTGTCATCCACACCGCTACGGCCGACCATCTACCCTCTGTGCAAGCAGTCATCAAAGGAATCGAGCAAAGAGCCGCTGGAGACAAACACACCTTCTACATCCACACAAGCGGCTGCAGCTTCCTCAGCGACGACAGCCACGGCGAACATGGAAGCGACAAGATCTACACAGACACCAACCCAGCAGACCTCGACGCACGACCAGAATCTTCTTCGCATCGAGAAATCGACCTTGCCATTCTCGCCGCCCGCAACAAACTAGGCATGAAAGCAAAACTGTTCATCATACTACCTCCTTTGATCTACGGTGCTTCAAGCCATGGAAAGTTATCCATTCAAGTCATCACCATGGCTCGCTTCGCCCTCAAACACAAGTATGCAGGCTACGTGGGTGGAGGCAAGGGAATCTGGGGTTTGATACACGTCAAAGATCTCTCTTACGGCTATGCCACCATCCTCCAATGGCTAGAAAACTCTCCCGAGACCGTAAGCCTGGAAAACCCCTATTTCTTCTGCGAAAACGGAACAGAAGCCACTTGGGCCGAGTGCGCAGGCTTCATCGGCAAAGAATTAAAGGCAGTTGGAAAAATTGAGGATGCTTCACCGCGAGAGATTCCGTCTGAACAGTATAATGATCTGTTTGGCAAGTACTCGGATGTGGTTATTGCGAGCAATGCAAGAAACAGAGCTGAGAGATTGAGGCAGCTGGGTTGGCGACCAAAGCACACGGATATCCATCAAGCGTTTAGAGATGAGGAGTTGCCGATTTTGCTCAAGGAGACTGGCGAGTTCAATGGGTATGCGAAGGAAGCGGCATCGGGTTCTGGCTGAGCAAAGCACTATCCGTATGGCCCTCGTCTAGTTTGGTAAGCAATTGTGCATTTCTTCTGCATACTATAGCATTAACTGTCGGCGTGAGGAATATGAATGTATACAGACCCAGATTTACCACATACTCTCTAGAGCACGCTCCGCATCTAGCAGTAGATTACAGCAAACTCTTCTGCTCAACGCGTGCCTCTTTCTTCACTTTCTCAAAGTCAAAGCCCAGCTCTTCCAACGTCCTCACTTGATGTCTACCCTCACCTCTATCCTGAAAAGCCTTTTTGATCTCTGGAAACTTTTCTCGCATCCAATATTGCTTTTCGCCCCATGTCGGTGGTCGCTTGCCCGTAGTCTCTGCATCAGACGCCGACATGGACCAGTCATACATGGCATTAATGTAATTTGCATCTTTGGGAAACAGGAGTAGGTGGAAGTCTCTCCCACCACCGTTTGTTTCATTCAAGAGGTTGTCTTCCCAGGTTTTCATGTCGGAGATTGAGGGGAGGGAGATACGGTTGTTCCAGAGACGGGCAATGACTGCGCTTTGTGATTCTGCCATGGGGAAGGGGATGACGCGTTGTTGTAGAGTAGGGAAACAGAGGGTAGGGTGTGGACGATATATCAAGTGTTGATACAAGTTCTCGACATGGGTGCCGCTGGTGACGAGCGGTGGGTCTAAATTGTTGAGGAAAGGGTAGGAATAAAAGTAGCCGGTGCAGAAGAGGATGCAGTCGATGTCCTTCTCAACAGTACCATCCGCAAAGCGTACAGCTCTGTCTTGAATGATGAACTCGACGATCTCTTCTCGTTCTTGCTTTTTCGGCGTTGGGTCGGATAGCAGGAATCCTCTTGACTTTTGGGATTGTATGAGGGGCAGTTTGCATGCTTGCATTAGCTGCATGGCAATGTCGATACCTGAAGCGCCGCTGCCAACAAGAATGGTCTTGAGATCTTTGTAGTCCTCAGGCTTCTTATAGTACATGGAGTGCGAGATGGCATTCGGGTAATGCTCTGCCCACTCTTTCATGCCTTTGATCTGAGGGATGAAAGGCACGGCAAAGTGACCATTGGCGACAACGATCGCATCGTATCTCGTTTCAACGGCAGCCTCCTGGGTATTATGTTGTACTTTTTGCGTCTTGACAGACCATATGTCTTGTCCATCTTGTTTGGTACCAGCCAAGTTGATGTCCAGGACTTGGGTGTTGAAGTGGATGAGGTGCTTGATATCGGCAGCGTAGTCTTCGAGGTATTGAGTGACGGTCTCGTGCTTAGGGAAGAGTTGCGAGTCTTGTGGCCAGTCGAAGTCGGAAAAGCCCATCAANGCTGTGTTGAGTTAAGTGTCAGTTGGGACAGGCTAGAGGCTTCGCATGGATGGCTCGACCTACGTGCGCGGAATGTTCGTCTCCAAGCGGTCATATAGCGGGCTAAGGAATAAAGACTCTTCCTCGATGCGACTCCCCAGCGCCTTCCTGGTGCCCGATTGCAGCCATTTTGGTTTAGCAAGGCCGGCGTGCGGTGTCACGCTGGGCACAGGGAGGTCATCGGGCGTCTTCTCTTCCGGCGAGTAATCCCAGATGCCTCCTACACGCGATCGCTGCTCGTAGATATCGATGCGCTCAAATGCTTTCTCAGCAAGTAGATACNNCTACAGACATCAGCTTCGTTGGTCGCACGAGCTCAGAACAAGTCGCGACGCCGCCTACTTTGCGCAAGCCAACCCTGAGGGCCCAGCACCCACTATGCACACATTCTTGACCGAGAACTTTCCTGCCATTGCTCCTGATATCTTGCGCCTCAACATACACTGTAAACTCTAGCGATACTCGAGTTGGACAATCAGCCACATCTCTACCCTCGTCACGTCATGGACAATGGCGTCAACATGCCACTGACTAATGGCTCTGCCTATCTTTCGGCTCGTGTCATATCATCTTCATCGCATTCATCAACATTCATGCACGACATCGTGCAGTATGCAGTATGCACCCGAGTCAGGAGTAAACAAATAGCCATGTTCATTATTCATCAAGGGTATCGTAAAACATCATCTCCAAAGTCCCAAGCGCCTCGCTCCCAAAACGATATAATCGAGCCAAGTCATCAAACTTCTCATCGAACCATGCTGCCGATTCTGTCGAATCCAGCCATCTTCATCACCCACTCGTCAAGCAGTGCCGCGCCATAGTCGCCTCTGTTGGGCAAGCGCTGCGTCGCGTGAATGCGGTATTGTTTGCTCAATGTTCCTGGCACCATGATACCGTCTTGGTGGTCGAGTTCATCCATCACCACCGGACTGTGAATTCGGAAATAGAATGGTGCATCTGTGTGAACGGGTCCAAGCCAGGAAAAGTAAGTCTCGTCGAGATGGCTTTCCACGCGCTGCATGAACAAGTCCAGCGAGTCCTGCGGCAATACTTGGTTGAACGACCTCACAATGTTGAGAAGCGCTCTTTGTTGATCGTAGTTGAGGTCGGCGGCGCAGATGCCTTCGTATGGCACGATTCGGTTGTCTTGGTGTGCGCCTCCCAGACTGCGGTAGTCCATGGGATCGAACAGATCTTGATCCATGCTGAAGTCCTCGATCTCGCCCAAAAGACTGGCTTCACGCTGTTGTTGTGGGTTGAGAGAAGCCATCAAAGCGAGTCCAGCTGCTTCCTCTCTCTCAAACACCTGCACACCGTCTACCAAGCCCTGCTCGGTGAAACTGGGACCAGCACTGACGAAGAAAGGTCCGATGACAACTTCTCCGCTAAGGGTGAAGACGTTTACGCAGACGTTGTCACCAGACAAGTTGAATCCCCAGGGTGAGAACGGACCAGGCTCGCCGAATAGGCAGAACTGGTAGCCAGAGATGCGGTGCAAGTCTTCTTGGTTTTCGGCTTGGGTCATCATCATCGCTGTCCAGACTCTCTCGAAGCCCTCAGGACTTAATGATACTCTGAGTAGCTCGTATACTGCATTCATGGTGTCTGCACTCATGGCATCAACACGGAGACCACATTCCATAACGATAACCTGGTTCTTGTTAGTCGAATGTTACGAACATGCCCGCACGCCATCACGAACCTCGGGGTTTGACCACGCACGCCACTCTCTAGCCGTGACGAGATGACGGAACCGTGCCTTTTCGTTTGCCGATGCTACTGAGAGCAAGTACTGAGCGGCATCCACCATCGCCTGTGTCGGTCCATTGGCATTGGGGTTGGATTTCCAGAGACCGGGTACAATGTTTCCATCAGAGGTGAAGCCTTTGTAGGGCTCTCTATAGTTCCGGAGCCATTTCTTGGCCAGAGGTGATAGCGAGATACGTCTGTCCCGAATGTGTGCCTGGGCGTAGTCTTGGTAGTCCTGCAGTTTCGGTGCCGAGGCTGTGTGGAAGTAGTCCGGGGAGAACATGTTTGCTGCTGTCGACTTATTTGGCTTGGTCAAAAAGTGTCGCGCGACTTTCTCTCCGGTGCTCAAAAGAATGGGCGAGGCATCGGAATAAATAAAAACGAGCTCGCGGCGCTGCTGCGGACGAACTCGTGAGCACATGGACCCATCGGGACGGCGGATTGTCTTTGCCCTCGTTATTCCACCCTCTGTCACTCTTTACCCGGCGGCGCTTCTCGCTCCCAAGTGTGGAGGAAGGGACAACAAGGTCTCAAGGCGGAAAAGGGCCCAGGTCGGGCCGATACCACACAGACGTAATCCGCCATCAATCTCGCGACTACTCCGCAACCATGCTACGCGCTGGAATTAGCGACGGGTAGCGCCAAACTTCCGCTGCCTCCCACAGTTTTTCACATGCTGCTTTCCCCGCTGTGGCTCTGACGGCTGTTCTGGGCAGTTGTGGGGGTGGGGATCTGAAGTCGGTAAGTCTTTACGGAGTGCTGCTTGTGGATGGCCATGTAGGGCAGACAGACGACAGCGTGGAGAGCTCGTTGATTTGTATTCGACTTATAAGCAAATGTGACTGCTCTCAGTCTTTTCCACACCCCTTTCGCAATTTCATCAACAATATGCCTTCGGCGACCTCTTCAACCCTAGATATTGTCGTGATTGGAGCCGGCCTCGGTGGTTTGGCTGCGGCCATCTCCTGTGCTCTCGGCGGCCACAACGTAACAGTCCTGGAACAAGCAAGAGAACTGGCGGAGGTACGTGTGTCTCGCGGTGCAAACGCGATTGCCGACAAAAGGGAACTCATCGCTGACCGACGAATCAGANTCGGAGCCGGCCTACAAATTACACCAAAGTAAGAACGCAGCAGATCCGGGCCCACCCGGTCTCAATAGCCGAGGACGAGATAGAAGAACTGGTTCCCTGACATGCATCCCAGCGCATCGAGACTGTTCCAGCAATGGGGAATTGATAAGGTTCTCGAGCCGTTGGCGGCAGAGCCGACCTTCCTCGCCGTGCACAGGTATTCTGACGGAAAAGTGCTCGCCTTGCAGCAGGATTTTGACAAGAAGATACGAGCCAAGTATGGAGCACCCTTCTGGGACTTGCACCGTGTGGATCTGCAAAAGACACTTGCACAAAGAGCAAAGGATTTAGGCGTCAAGCTGAGGCTGAACTCCAAGGTAATCAGTGTGGACTTCGAACAGTCGACAATACATCTGGATGATGGAACCACATATGAGGCAGACCTTTTGGTCGGTGCCGATGGATTGTGGTCCAAGTGTAGGGCGCATTTCCTGAAGCAATCCGGCAAGGAGGACGCACCGCTCCCGACCGGAGATCTGGCATACCGTATTGTCCTCGATCTAGATGATCTCCAGGATCCCGAGCTACGGCAATGGGTGTCGAAACCGGCATGCCACTTCTGGATTGGTCCTGGAGCTCATGTTGTCGCATACTCTGTTCGTGGTGGCAAGCAGTACAACATCGTGCTTCTTGTGCCTGACAATCTTCCTCCAGATGTATCAAGATCTTCCGGAGACATTAGTGAGATGAGAGAGATCTTCACCAAATGGGACCCTATCCTGAATCGTTTCCTTGACAACGTCAAGACCGTCGACAAGTGGAAGTTGATGCACCGTCCAGAGTTGGATAGCTGGGTTAGCAAGAAGAGTAACTTTGTCTTCCTCGGAGACTCGTGGTAAGTGCCGACCATTCTACCATCGAACATGGTTTGCTCGTGCTGACAGTGTATAGCCNATCCCATGCTACCCTACCTGGCACAGGGTGCGAACTCGTCATTGGAGGACGGTGCAGTTCTCGGAAATCTGCTCGCCGTAGTAAAGAGCAAAGAGCAGCTGCCTGAGGCACTACGTCTGTACGAGAACCTGAGAAAGAAGCGTGGTGAGGCTATTGTTCGCGAGACCTTTGCCCAAAGGAACGACTTCCACATGATGGACGGGGAAGAGCAACGAGCACGCGACGAGCTGTTTGCAGGTCAACTCGGCAAGGAAGAGCCTGAGGTCAAGTTTCCGAGTCGTTGGTGAGCAAGAGCAATAACTGCCGGATTTCTGGAATATCTGCTGACATTAGTTTGTAGGACCTGCCCTGTAGTACAACCATGGCTTTACGGTTACGATGCGAAGAAAGAGGTGGATGACGCCTTGAGAGGGTCATCACTGGCTCAGTAAACAGTTGATACCTGATACCATGAAACAATGCCGTTTCGACACCAACCTCTTGCACTCGATTGTTGACCTTGACAATGTCATGAGCACCACGTCAGTTATAAGACTTCGGCAATATACACAACTTCTCCCCCATGTCTGCTTCGCCATCAGGGCAAGCTTGCAAAGAACGGGCATACTGTCGGCGTCAATTTGGCGTTGACGTTGCTTTTCAATTCGGTCCTGCTGGCGGTTATTCAAAAGTCGAGCATTTAGCCTGTATGCACACGAAGAAAGAGTGAGCCCGAGAACAAAAGAAAAGGCGTTAAATCGGGCCTTCTGTGAAGCGGCCTCCATCGTCCTTTCTCCACGAAATATGCCGAGCACCTCCGCAGAGCGGCCGATTCCATGGGATGTCACCGTACCCCACAGCTTCGAGAAAAGCGAGGGTGAAGGTGTGGGCGTGCGTGTGGCTTTTCCCAAAAATCTATCCTCCTTCGTCATGTTAGAGACTTTAGGCCGGCGAGTCCCACGTGCTTCTCGCATATCGCCGAAATGATGCTTGATTTCTCTTATCTCGAAAGCCTAAAGTGGATGGTCTCGCCCTTCCGGTGGGCGGCGCTTCTTTTACTTGATTTTCCCTTGCTCGAAACCGCCATCCCGCACTTTTCGAGGCGGCACTGCGGTTACTTACAGAAACAGACATGCTCCGACGGCAAGGGTCTCATCTCGGTTCAACTCGTTTTGCAACTCGTGCGAGCTGCTCTTCGTTTCCTTCTCGGTCGCTCTTTGTCCGAGACGGCCAAGCCGTGGTTCCGTGATCCGCGCTCTGCCCTAAGTTAGGGCTGGAGACTTCTTCTCCACGTTCTCCACATTCGTTGTACCTTCCTACCGTATCATCGTCCCACGACAGCTACAACTGGTATTGTCATATGTAGATCTTCGTGGGGATGCTGTATGCATACTGCAGTCCTACCTGCCGACCTCAGATAGGAGATGATGAACATAGGCAGGTGGGGTTCCACTGATGGCTGACTTGTCATGGTTAGGTTGAAGATATCCTCTTCTTCCACAATCTCAACTTGACGACCCTCTGGGCAGTGTATTGTGACTTCCGCGATACCCAACACAGCTTCCCTTGGAACTATGGCAGACAAAACACGAGAGACCAGGATCGATGATGTTGAGAACTTGAAACCCGCTGAGGACACAGGCAATGTTCGTCTACCGGTACCCAGCAACGACCCCAACGATCCTCTTGTAAGTCATCTCTTGGAACTGGCATGTGAAGCTTGCTAACACACCTGCAGANACTGGCCTCTGTCTGTCAAGATCTCGGTCTATCTTACAGTCTGTTTCTTCACCTTCATCGCCAACGTAAACGGGAGCAATTTTACTGTCGCTATAGTGCCACTCCGAAAACACTTTCACATCGATGCCACCGATGCAACTCTTCTGGTTGGGCTCAACGTCCTCATGTTTGGAATTGGCAATATCTTCTGGGTCCCTTTGATGCGCGTGCTTGGTAAACGCCCGGTATACCTCATGGCTTTGACTGTCCTGACCGTGGCCAACATTTGGAGTGCATTCGCACAAACTTGGGGCAGTCTACTGGGTGCGCGTATGCTCAGTGGCGTTGGTGCCGCGTGTGCTGACGCTACTGTTCCTTCTCTCGTGGCCGAGATGTTCTTCTTTGACCAGCGTGGCCATTGCATGATGTTTTTCCACGTAGCTTTGGCGTCTGGTCTTTTCTTGGGGCCGTTGATCAACGCCTATATTGTTGGATTGCATGGCTGGCGCTGGAGTTGTGGATTCATCGCCATCTTCTCTGGCGTCTTGCTTGTTTGCACTTTCTTTCTTGTCCGAGAAACGCAGTACAGCAAGCCTCGCATTCAGCACCCTGAAGGCGATATACCAGCTAAGAGAAGCTACATTGGGTGGCTCTCCCCAACCATCGGATACAATGCTCAGGGCCACTTCCTACGCACATTTTGGGATATCCTTCGCATGGCCACTTACCCACCTGTCTTCTGGGCCGGCATCTTAATCGGCTGTTTCGTTGGGTGGACCATCGTCGTTCAAATTGCTACAACACAAACGTTCACACAACCGCCCTATCGATGGTCCACAGGCACAGTGGGTCTCTTCTCCCTATCCGCCTTCATCGGCGCACTCCTATCGTTCTACTTCGGAGGCCGTCTCATCGATCTCATCGCCAACCGAGCCCGTCGCCAGGCTTCCCATCCACGCCCCGAGATCCGTCTTATCGCTCTCGTCATCCCTGCTTTCATCGGCCCCCTAGGCATCATAACCTACGGCCAATGCATTGCCCACAAAACGACTTGGGTGGGTCCCGCATTCGGCTTCGGTATGCACGCCTTCGCCCTCACAGCGCTCAGCAATATCGTCGTTACCTATGTTGTAGACTGCTACTCTTCGTTTGCGGGCGAGGCACTGGTGATTGTGTTTGTGATTCGCAATGCCATTGCTTGTGTATTGAGTATGTATTCCAGTGACTGGATTGCTGAGCAGGGGGCTTCGGATGTGTTTGGCGAGATGGCGGCGATACAGTATNTTTTGCTGTTGGGTGCTGTGCCGTTGTATTTCTGGGGTCCTTCGTTGTTGAAGTTTACGAGTACGTATGGCCCTATGTTGAGGGTTGGGGGCTAGACTTGTTACTATGACTGCTTTTATGATATACGATTTCTGGGGCACCTGTGCATCGTGTACTGGGATGGAAACATGCAGACAACTTTTAAAACGACAGAGTTGGTTTCGAGCAGGTCTTTCGTTCTTACACACATTTCTGATGTTATTTCGTCTATACGTCTTTAAATTTCATAGCGCTCTACATCATCGCTCTGAGCATCTATAATCTGTATGCTTTGGTAAACGAGAATGATGGAAAGAGAAAAAAAAAGTCCCCGAGTTGGTCTGCTGCTATTCCCTATTTCCAAAACAAGCATATTCAAAAACGGATTTTGGTCGATATCGCTTCAACATTCATGCATATCCATCGAAACTGTCTCTTTATGACCTTAGTACCATCATAGAAACTCACAAATGGTATCAGAAGGTAGGTATATCGTTCAATCAAGGCGCGGTTGGAGTTTTGCGTCGTCAAGCACGTGTTACGCGTACGACCCTGTCTCCAAAAATCGCATAGAGAATTGTTCGAAAAGTGTTAGAGATGTCCGAATACTATTGAACGCCTTATCACAGTGGTGAAGACGAGGACGAAGGCGGGACAGAAGATCACAATAAGCTCATAACCGTAAATTTGTCCTGTCCTTGCTCTTGTACCGTCACTAACCGAACCAAACACACTCAACCACCAGAACGATCAAACAACACGACACAAACCACCTACTCCTCATCCAAGAAACTCAATCCCTGCATAGCGGTACCACCGCAAGCCCTCTCCAACGTCAAAAACGCAAAGTGACTACCAATGACCGGTCTAGCGAAAAAGTTAGGGCCAGGGAACCCACCTTCACCCTCTGTGTCATACAGATCGGTGAAGGGTCTATCAGTAACAGTCTCATTCAGCCACCTGGAAACCCTGTCTAAGATCTCTGTTCGCGTTTTGCGGGAAGCGACGGCCGCGGCTTGGAACTCCCAGTCGGATTTGGTGTAGAGATGGCGAGAGTCTAGGGGNAGTCCGTATTTCTGCATCACTGCGGCGTACCAGTCTGATTGCATCTTGTAGATGTGGTTGGGGATGAAGTCATGGGTTGGTGGCTCGAGGATGGGCTCTTGCTTGCCGCCTGAGACTTGAGCATATTCGTTGACAGACTGAGCGTTGCTACCATTTGTTGTTGAAGGATGGAAGCAAAGCAGTGCGTCGGCATAGAGCGAGTACAACGTGGTCCAACTGCCGTACCAGTCGTATGCGAGCTTTGCATGAGTGCCGTCACGAGAGATGGCGAGCTCCTCCCAGCGTTTGATGTATGTATCCGAAATGTTACGGAAGTGCTTTGCGTCGTCTTTCTTGTCCATGACGGTAGCCAGCTCGCTCATGGCCCGGATGCCGACAATACCCTTCAGAGCCAGGTTGGTATGGAGAGCCAACCATCCAGCAAAGTCATCGGTTGACAACTGATTTTCAGGCTCTAGACTGTATTCGACAAGATACGAAGTCCACTGCTTCCACAAGCCGTATGATTTGTCGAGCCACTTTCGTGCCTGTTTGACTCCTTGGGTCGAACCACCCCAACTGTCATCGAGACCAACAATCTCATCCCGGCTTTGCATGGTGCCCAAAGCAAACGGACTGGCCTCGTTAGGTTGGGGAGTGTGGTCACCACCGAGCGCAGACCAGATCGACTGAGCTTCGTGTCCAGAGTCATAGGTCAACGAGTTGACCAGAGCGAGTCCCATGATCAGCATATCTCCACACTCTTCGACAGGCATGTATTCATCCTTGCCATCAGCATGGCCTGTCAAGTTGGGGAAGTGTGTACCCAGATCGTGCATGCTGTAATCGTTCGGATATTGGCCAGAAAGCATGTGCTCGATTAGAGGCTCGAGAAGGTATGCCAACCATCGAGGTTGAGTGTAGAGGAAGAAAGGGAAGGCTGGGAAGATGACATCGACAGTCTGGCTGTTTCCGTTGGAGGAGATTTCCTTGAGGAAGAGCAGAGGGTTCTCCTGGGTGCCTGAGAAACTAGTAGCCCCCATGGTTTGACGAGCTGAAAGAGCAACAATGTCGACATACGAGTCGGAGCCAGATTGATATGCGTCAATGGCGAGCTGGTCTGAGTAGTTCTGTGCGAGCTTCTGAGCAATTTTGAAGTCCAAGTAGTGGAACGAAGTTAGCTTGTCATCGGTCGGGAACCAAGTCTTCCAAAGCGGGCGCATGAAAGTCAAGCCACGTGCAGAGGCATACTGGGTGACGGGGTCCTGTATGTGGGCAATGGTGAAGAGAACGCTATCGGATGAAGTCTTCTTATGGCTGGTCGTGTTGGGAGCGAGATTAAAGGATTTGGAGAAGGCAAAAACGGGCTCGTCTCGCATGATACTCCTGAAGTGGTTGTCGTTCTCGTTCTGGAGCGTTCCCGTACGAGAGAAGCGGTTTCTCAAGATTCCCGATGTTCCACTCTCGTGGCGGACGTCNCTTTTGACTCGTTAGCCTCATGTTGATGGACTCATGTTGTAACTCATGCTCACGGAAGGGCCAGTAAATATCAGGCTTCCCCACTCGGCGCGATCACTCCATTCGGTGAATAGGAGCTCCTCCTTTCTCTTGACAACCCAGCTCTTGAGTTTCTCCGTCTCGGCATTCTCCAGCTCCCAGACTATTTCAGCACCTCTGTCTCCCNNGCTAACCCACTGACCGTTGAGATCGATGTATATGTCGACGTCAAAGCTTCCAGTGGCATGAATACTGAGATACGAGGCTGGGATGGACTGGCGGAGAGTAGACGAGGGTGTCACGGGAGACAAGAAGGACAGGACGATTTCGACGTGCTCGGAGGTCGAGTTCAGCGAAGGAATCTGGTACGTCAAGTTGGTAACGGATGCATCGTATTGTGCGCCCTTGTAGACGGGGTAAGAGATGTTGTAACTATCAAGACAGTCAGTAATATGTCTCTCACATTGGGTTACAGAGACAGACGTGTGGTCGTTCTCGTCCAACGAGTCCTGAGGACGACCGAGCAGAGGATAGGCATGTTTGGTCTCAGGTACACTGGCCAAGATGGAGAAGCCTATCTCTTCGCCAGTATAGAACATGGGCCACTTGGTCCATGGCTTGTCTCTCGCGTTGCCCAGCCAGGTCGAAAGGTACGGGTTCCTGACGATTAATGGCAAGACTGGTGGGTTCAGCGAGGAAGCAGCAACCGACGAGACCAGCGAGGTCACGGCAGCCACAACCACTTGTAGCTTCATCATGTAGAATCTATCCAAGAAGGGACGACGACAAATGGCAGAGATGCAGTCCAGCTGATCTATGGGAATAGGAGGAAAAGACGGAGAGCAAGAATGAGAATAATCAGGACCTCACTAGCGCACTCATAGACAAGTTGGGCGTGCAAGGAGAAAGGAGGGCGCGGCCTGCTGACCCGTCAAGGTCTTAGCCGACATGGATCAGGTGTGGGAAGCACATGTTCGCGATCTGCATCAGTGGCTTGTGTGCCTTGCAGCTTCCCCACGTTCCATAGCGGGGTACATTTCTATACCGACGACGCGATAGGGTTGCTCGCAGTGCCGTAGCATTGTCGGGCAGAGATGAGATGCATGTACTGCTGAACCATTTGTACATGATGCGCGTGACTGTGTGCCACGATGTATTGACCTGCTGCCTTGCTAAGATGCAGACTTGGCTGTTCGACTCATAGCCGAAGATTTTGACCCATTTTGACATGTGAAGCTCCTCCCCAGTTTTTCTTTTTCTTTTTTTCTTTTTCTTGGCTTCTTGTACACGTCACCACATTGAGACGACCAGACAACAATCATCTTCCACCTTTTACCCACAGTCGACCGTTCGATAACCCATCTCTTTGCAGCGCTTTGTCACCTCTGGACTTGGTGATGAAGGTCGAGATGGTGTGGCCCATCGGCATGCTCTGACCAACTCAAGACAGGGACGCCGAGCTGGTCTTGTGCGACAAGGACGGACGGACAGGGGATGTTGATCTGGTAGCTCTTCTCTTAGAAATGCTTCCAAACCAACCCTTGATCATTGCTCCGCTGCGCTTTCGGAGGCTTGATGGTGATGTATCCGTTAACTGCTGTCCTGTCTCCAGAGGTGTAGGCGTTTGCACCGAGTACTTTCGAACGACCGTCTCCGGAATGCTCATGCGCTCTTGTTCCTCCTGCTCCAAGGCGTCTGGCTGCGATTCTGTAGTGGGTTGTTCAGGCTCTGGTTGGGACTCGATCGTGATGGGTGGATCCGGATCTAGAATTGACATATTCAGCTCTGAGGCAAAAGGCATCTCTGCGTCCAGCTTTGTGGGTGACGAAGGCTCGGTGCGTGAAGAGGTGGGGACGAGACAGATGGTCGGCGGGTAAGACAGTCTGCGAAGTTGCGACGCGTCTTGTAATTCTTCTGACAGCCTCGAAGGCTGGTCGGCTGTGCTGACATAGGAGTCGTTGCTGCTTTGGTCGAAGTCCTGATCGGAGCTACGGGCGTGGATGTGAGGACCGCTTCGTATGTGATAGCGGAAGGTCGCGTACGGTTGGTCAAGTGGATCCAGAAGAGCATACTGATAGAAGTTCTGAGGGTGATGTTCCTTGAGACGGCCCCAGTTGACAAGATCGAAGCCCTTTTCGCCTATGGATGGTTGTTCGTCGAACTGTCTGCACGCCCTGCGTCTTCCCCTGGCGCGATACGCAAGGATGTCGAAGTCTTGGTCGTCGCCTGTAGGGCGAAAGAAGAAGGCGCGCTTGTCAACAGTACGCCAACCGCCATGGTCCTCTCCTCGGAAAAACGCCCACATGGTTTTGCCTTTCCATACTTCTGCCTCTCCGACACCCCAGCTGACGATACACTCCTCGTCGAGGACGAGCTTGAAGAACATGTACTTTGTTGGCGCATGGGTTGGCGCGAGCATGGCTGGGTTGATTGTGCATGAGATCCAAAACTGAGATGCGAGGTAGGATGGGACGTATACATCAACTAATCGTGGGTCGTCAGACGCGTCGGATGCGTGGCTGGCTGGTATGGCTGCCTCTGGGATTGTGTCGGCATCGAACTGCGACTCCAGCATCAGGACGATGCCTTCGGCTGCTGGCATTTTGCTTCTGCGCGTTGGACGATGAGACAAAGCCACGGGTTTGTGTTGGTGGAGAGATCAAAGACTTTGTGTTTGTCTTGTCGCGGGTCTGCACCGGTTTCGTTTGGCTTGTCTGAGTTGGGCTTGCTCGCCGACTCGGTGCGCCGCTTCCACAAAGCTCCCCCTGACGAAAGCCAAAGCTCAGCATATCATCACGCTTGCCATCTCTGTTTACGCGTAATCCTGTCGGTTTTCTCATTGTCTCCACGAAACATATCTCAATCACACAGGTCTGAAACATGACAATTCACCCAGTACGACTGACATAACACTAGGGTGGTCGGAAGACTGCTGAGACTCTCTCTTGACAGAATTCTACTTGAATGTCACCCGTCAAGATACACAATACTTTCGATAGTAATCAGTCCTCCAGAGAAACACGTTGTTCGATACACCCTCACCCTCACCCTCACCGACCAGGAGTCGGGGCACGTCTCGACCGGAACCCAGGGCACATTCCCACCAGATGCCAAGGCCTATCTCGACTAGAGGGGAGACAAACCACAATAAACCCTCTCGCAGCAGGGCTGTCGAGAGGCAATGCAGACCAACGATCTTGCAGTGCCCCTGAGTCCTGCTGTTGCTATTCGCTGCATCTTCTGTGGCCCAAGACTCTCGCGAAAACAACTCTCTCACGTCACGGGACGCTGTGTTGGCTTCGTTTTTCAGGCATATATAGTTCAAGAAAATGACTGTTTTTTCTTTCTTTTTCAGAATTCCACATCTCACAACACATCGCATCAAGCTAACCAGTGGTTCTATTTCTCTTACATTCTTACACAACACTAATACCTTTCTACAACACAACCAAAAATTTGCATGATGGCTCCAGCAACTGCAATTCAGAAGCTCCACAAGGCTACCAGAAACCACCAAAATGCCCTCGGTGGTGGTTGGGCCACTCCCTTCCCTCGCGACATTCTCAAGCAGCAGCAAAAGTCCGCTGCTGCAAAGGCAACCAAGGTCATCAAGGTTCGCCCACAGCCCTCAAACTTCTTCAAGAGTCCCGAAGAGCTCCTCGCCATCGCCGAGAAATCCACAACCATCAAGGCTCAGGCAAAGCCCATCTATCTCGGCCGCAACAACAGTGCATCTGAGCCTGTCATGACATGCAACAAGGCCAGGGCTCGTCAAGACTCCTTGGCACCACTCTCGCCTACTCCCGAGGCAAAGCGCACTCCCAACCCCAACCCCAACAACAACGGAACAAGCATCAAGAGCAGCTCTTGCTCTCCCACCAGTGCCAGAGGTGTCCACCTGCTGCTGTCCATCATCGAATCGCGCGACTACGACAAGTGGACTGCAGCTCTGGAACAACACTGCAGCCTGTTCCACGATGACATCAACGCGTACTACTCGAGCATCGAGTTTGGTTCTCACAACTCGCGCTACCATGTCTATGCCAACTGCGAGAACAAGGTCATGGCCATGCTGCTCAAGAGCAAGCTCGACGGCGACATCATCCTCGGCAAGCAGTTGATCTGCGAATTCATCTAAGCAACACGATGCAAAGTCTACTACACTATACCATATTATGAACGGGCAACGGAGGCTTTTTTGAGCAAGGAGTTTTTGGGAAGATTGAAGTTTGGATATCGAAATTTTGGAGTTTTGGAAATTGTCACTCTTGGGATTGCTGTATACCCATACATTGTTATTGTATTCTGGAATTCTATCATGTTTATTGATGTTCTCGATGCGATCGATCCTTCTCCCACCATAATATATAGTGTGATCATGTACTATAGAAATACACAGTTGCTTCTCCAAATAAGGTGTGGCCATCGAGATGCCTGGATGGAGCCTTCTCTCCTTGGATCTTGCTCTGTTGTGGAAAGTATTGTGCATTCCTAGGGCTTAAATATGACTGAATATCGCACACGGAGATGCGATATCCAGTGTGCGGCATGGCTGCCTGGCTCACATGAATATGAGAAGAACCATGAAATCTCGCTTCTGACATGTGACCCCGAGTAGACTTGCCTCGATCGTCCGATCTGCCTCAAGTGCTACCTCATCGTGTGCTAAAGACAGTCACAATTCTGTGATGAATACTCCTTCTCATGTACTGGTATTGTCGGCTGTGAATATGCACAATACTAGGCTGAAGTACGGAATTTGTTTCATGACTATCTGCACCATTTACCAAGCGAAAAGACCAACAGAAACACCAAGACAAAAGTATATACTAGGACAGCAAAATCCAAACATAATCCTAGTGTGACTGGCCACTCAAACTCCAAACTCATCATCCAGCCAGTCGCCCAGCATTCAATACACATATCTCCAGCCTCGCTCGACACCGCTGTGCCCACTGTAACCTTCCGCCTCATCGAGCTTCTTGTTCAACTTCTTGGCCCTCCACTTGACTCCCCACGCATGAAGTACAGTGCACAAGCACCCGAACAAGATCAGCCCACCACCCAATCTATAAAACGGTTCCTGGCTCCTAGGGAAAAAGTAAGGAGAGTACCAATGAGAAACCTGACTGATACAGTTGGCAATGGCAATCAGCGCTGCCTTNTTACTGCGCGGGGCAGGTACCAGCGTGGTTTCCCAGGATAGCTGCAAGTTGAGGCCGTTGTAGGTGCCGCTGACAAGTAAAATGGCGCCGAAGTAGCGGGCACCGACGTTTTCGGTAGAGATCATGATGGCAATGCCCACGGCAGAGGCAGCAATGGGGATGATGATGTGGTAGCAGGATTCTCTGAATCTGCCAGAGCTCCAGGCGAGGGCGCAGGCACTGATGTATGCGATGGCGTATGGGGGAGCCTGTACAAGGTAGGTTTCCAGCTGACCAAATCCGAAGGTCTTGATGATNCTAGTCTGGTGTCAGTAAGGTAAGTGTGGATGCAGATAGGTCTGACATACCGAGGGGAAGAAATCTTTGAAGGACTGGGCGTTGATCAGACTGAAGTGCATGCCACAGAACAACAANGTGAAAGGGTCTTTGCAAGCGTTTTTGAGACCGTCCCAAGTACCACCAACCTGCTCTTCCTTGCCTCCGTTCGAGAAAATGATGCGGTATTGAGCCATTTCTCTCTCCTCCTCCGAGAGCCATCTCGTGTTCTCGGGCCAATCTGGCAGGGTGAAAAATGCGATGACACCAACAAAGATACTGATTGCACCTTCGATAATGAAGAACCATTGCCAGCTTTTGGTTGGTTGTCAGAAAGAAACCCTAGAGAAGGAATTTGGGTACTTGAGCCCAAGGGATCTAAACACATACCTGTAGAGTCCTGCAACTCCTCCCATATGCTGGAGGATACCAGCAGCAAGGAACCCCGAAATGATGTTGGAGATTGTGTTACCAGCGTGCCAGACAGCCATACGAGTCGGGTTCTCTACCTTTGTGTACCGCGAAGATGTCACTGAATTTTGTTAGACCGACAACAATATTGGTAAACAGGGTGAGCATACTAAGNNAGTGATTCCAGGGAAGAAAGGCGCTTCACACAGTCCAGTGAAAAAGCGTATGATGCGAAATCCAGCACCACTNATAGATCAGAGTCAATTGACCAGGCTTCAAGATAGATGGTGGCCGACCTACGTTGTGACTGCCGGCATGGTAATAGTACAGATGCTCCAGCCGATCATCATGGGAGGGAGAATTATGCTCGGTTTGAACTTTGCTAAAACCAGGTTGCCCGGCAATTGGCCAACAAGATAACCGACATAGAAGGTTGAGATACCAGCACTCCAGACCGTATCGCTCATACCAAGGTCATCTTGAAGACCAGCAAGACGAGCGTTGGACACATTGATACGATCAAGGTAGCTNAGATTATAGTTAGTGTTGCTCCCAACTAACTGTATCAAATGATTTACGTACTTGAGTAGAAACATGATCGTGATCGTGGGCATCATGCGCCAATCGATTCTCCGAAGGACACGCTTGTTCAGCGCAGCCATCTGGTCCTCGTTCAGATCACATAGCGTTGTGAACCGTGCTTGTATCGCTGCAGGCGTGATGTTCTCAGTGGTGTTGATGACAACGTCGATCTTCTCGATCGACACGCCGTCGGACTTTTCGGCTGACATTTTGGGGAGGAAATTGTTTTGAAAGTGATCCTCAGTATTGAAAGATTGAGATCGAGCTTGAGATGGTGATGGAAAGGAGATAATCGTGGTTCTTTCAAGACCTATTCATACTTGTCCAGGACATCCTAACGGACTCCGTTGTGGCTGCTGTCCTCAATCGCCAATTGGAAGCAGACTCACCTGAGTCAACCTCTTTGACCGCAGCGATCGTTCTCGCCAAGTTAGACAGGACCTCCATGTTCTGTGGGGTATGCCCCATGGAGCAAGGTCGTTGAGAAGGACATGGGGCGAATGATAGAGAAATGGTAGACAGAAGAGACATACATGGCGGAGACTTGCTTGGCTACCAGATGTTGTACCCTTGGCGTGTCCTGGGCATGTTGACTTCTGTGGAGATATCGTGTCCACGGAGCGGACTGTGCCACTGCCACGGAAGTGTTGAGGTGCTTTCGGCGAGAAGACCGTGCGAACAAAGACTCGAGACTTAGAGCCGGAAATGACTATCCGCGGAGATGATGATCCGTTAAGCCGCGTATGCGCGGGTCAGTTCAGCTTGATACTCACTTTCCCATTGGAAGCACCTAGCGGTCGTTGATGCGACGGACATGGCATCGAGTGGCAGTCTACCATGTGTGATATGTCAATATAAGGCAAGACTGCCTCGGGATCGAGAAATCTCTTGGAAGCAGAAACCCTCACGATCGTAACAAAGTATTCAATCAACTGTCAGAACTCGAACCTCCACAATGTCGACGGCCACCGTATCCCCGACTACAGTCGCATTGCCCACGACAACACTCCCGAAGAAGAAGAATACAGCACATGTGCACCCTCTCACGTCTCTGTTCGCTGGAGCCGTAGCAGGAGGTGTTGAAGCAGGTGCGTTTCATGCACGAGCAGAGCTTGCAGAACCAAAGCATACCTAGTTTCGGACATTGACAGTTAGATAGNGTATCACATACCCTTTCGAGTATGCCAAAACCAGCAGTCAATTGCGATCCCAAGGAAAACAAGCCAGCGCTTTCCAAGCACTGCGTGGTGTAGTGGCAACCCAAGGACTATCGGGCATCTACACTGGTTGTAGTGCTTTGATTGTTGGTACTGCACTCAAAGCCGGCGTTCGCTTTCTCGCATTTGATACCATCAAAGCTCAACTTGCAGACGAGAATGGAAAATTGTCAACATCCGGTGGTATCTTGGCTGGAAGTGTAGCAGGAGCTGTGGAAAGTGTCCTCGCTGTGACGCCGACTGAGCGAATCAAGACCGCTCTGATTGATGATGGCAAAGGCGCCAAACGATTTCGATCGACTCCTCATGCGGTTAGTATCCTGATACGCGAACAAGGCGTCGCGGGATTGTATCGCGGCCTAGTGAGCACCACCATCAAGCAATCAGCCACTTCAGCAGTCAGAATGGGGTCATACAACACACTGAAAACCCAGTACGCAAGCTACATCGGACATGCGCCAAAGACAACGCCAGAAACATTTGCCGTCGGTGCATGCGCAGGATTGATTACTGTGTATGCAACTCAACCATTCGACACAATCAAGACTCGTACACAAAGTAGTCAAGGCGAGACGCTCGTACGAGCCATGAGGGGAGTTTGGAGTGATGGCGGTGTCCGTGGATTTTGGAAGGGAAGCGGCCCGAGACTTGGTAGACTTCTTCTCTCGGGTGGAATCGTCTTTTCAGTGTATGAGAGGATATTGAGCTTCTTGTCTTGACGCCCTGATCGTCCTTGATTTCCCAAGCAAGCTGTGTTTCACTCCACGTTATATACCACGTAGACTTTGTTTGTGACACATCTCCTACAGATGATGTATTCGACGCTTACGACCTTCACAGCTTCGCATTGCAGGTGCATCGTATTAGTAGTAGAAGTGTCGGCGTGATGCAAGCGCACATCGCGCCTTCCAGTTCACACGGTCTTGAATGCGAGTCGAGGTTTCCGAGTATGAATGCGTGTTGCGACCAACGAGGAAGGAGCCAGCAGTCGCGAGAGTAACGCAAGCTTGTGGCAGAGCATTGACCACATGAAGTGATGACGACCTAAACATCACAGTCAGGCATGGCCATACCACCTAATCTTTCTGCCTATGACCTTCAGCAGTTCTGACAGCCAAGTCAGGCACAGCAGCCCGGGAGGGCATCACGCGGTCGGTACCCCATCGGCTCATGGAATCGAATATTGATATTGCCGTTACCCGTCGCCGGTCCGGTCGGCGAGGTCCGCCACACTACCAGCCCCGCCCCGCAGTATGGGAAACATCCCACGGCATCTCGGATCTTTGCTTCCTTCTCAGTTACCAGTGTCGCACTTGACGATAACGAAGATCCATCAGCAACCATCCATGGAAGACAGCACCTTGTCACAACAACATGCCTCCTGAGCGACGCCATGTCCGTGCACAGCAGGCATGCGCATACTACAGACAGCGCAAGGTCCGTGGCTTCTATTCTCTCCGTGCGCTACTCCCACGCTCCTTCCAGAGTGGCTTCGAACATTGTCAAAAAGACATAGTTGTTTTGGAAGCAGTGAAGTTGCCATAAGAGCCTCTGAGATGTTGGCTTTCAATGGTGCTGCATTGTTTCCTGATAGCACCGTGCATCTATATCTACACGCATTATATATTCAGCACATTGTGCGTGCCGGATCCCGTGGCTAACGATCATGCGAATAGATGAAATGTACTGGCGAACGACCTCGTTGTAAAAACTGTGAGATTTACGAGCAGGAGTGCGTTTTCAGTGGTCCCACACGAAGGCCACGTCCCACCAATGCTGCACTCAATGAACTTCTCGAGGAGAATCGGCGTCTTCGCGAACAAGTCTCAACAGACAGTCTACCTAATCAAGCTCAGATTGAAGCAAGTCACAATGAAATTAGGGGTTCAACAGCGGAACAGACGATACCACCTGAGGACCCCCTGTCAACATTGTCGCCGCAGAGCCAATCCGCCGTCACAGCGATGATCCAGTACGTGTACGAGGTTGTAGAACTAACGTGATGTCTCAAATTCTATCTCAGGAGATCGAGCCCTATCACATTGCAGGGTGATGTTTACAAAGCGTGAGACTGTCATCGAGAGCCTACCTTTTCGTAACCGATGACAGGCTCTCAGTGGTGGTCTCCAGCTTTCTAGATACAACCGTGCAATGTGATGGATGTTGCAGTGTATGATTCGTTCTTTGAGAAACATGCTAATTGTACCCCTGGCTACAGGTCGAAACGCCAGCTTCTGTAGGGAGCACGACTTACCACGGCCCTACAAGCACATTATTCAACGAGGCAGCATCATCCAACAGACAGTCTCGATCATACCTGACTAAGGAGCGGGAGACTTGGATGCCTAGGATCCTGGTAGCAGCAGCAGCAGAGCAGCGACAGCTCGAGAGCATCAACTTTCGTGCCGGCAAGCTCGATTTTGATGGTGTCGATCCCGAACTTGGCATGCATCTGCTAAATCTCCACTGGAATCGACAACATCACTCGTTCCTCATCACATATCGACCAGCATTCATGAGAGACATGGCCTGCAATGGGCCGTACTTCTCAAAGATCCTGCTCAATGCGATATTCTACGGAGCTTCAAAGTTCAGTCCAAGGTTAGACCTACGCAAGGACCCAAACGATGTCAGAACAGCTGGTTGGCAGTTTCGCAATCGCGTGCGTGACCTTCTCGGACAAGCACTTGATCATAGCGAGATTACCACAATTCAGGCATTACTGCAGATGAGCAATTCGCTTTTCGCCCTCGGCGACGAACAGAGCGCTGCTTGGGTATACGCCGGAACTGCCTTTCGGATGCTAGTGGATGTCGGGCTTCACGTAGACGCAGCGATGATGCCAACCATGCAACGATTTTCCGAAGAAGATCTCGAGATCCGCCGACGAGTCTACTGGTCAGCATATGTCGTCGATAAGATGCAATCTTTATATCAAGGTCGTCCAGCTAGTTTAAGAGCTATCGATGGCCAGGTACCTATCAAGTTCATGGATACATGTATGTTCACTGACCCCTTCACCAACCTCTTCATCGACCCTTTGACCGAGCCCCTTACCATCTCCCCTGACCAACCCCTTCCCCCTTGTAAAGACTGTCGCAACCTCACGGTCTCTCCGACAATGACACATAGTGTCCTTGTTACCTATAAAAATGCACAGTTGCCTTTCAAACAGGGGTGTGACCATGGAGATGCTCGAGTAGAATGCTCTCTCCGTGGATCTCGCTCTCCTGTAGAAAGTATTGTGAACTTCTATAGCTGCGTTTTGACAGTCTGCGGCATTCGGAGAGGCTTGGTCCTTCAGTGGAGAGATCAGAGACCCCGTTTTTTCTTCTTCAATTTTTTGAGCGCTTTGATGCTGACGATATCACAGATGAGGAGCTGGAACAATGGCATCCTTTCGCATATGCTAGTGGGCCAAGTTATCCTGGATCACCGAGCTACAGTGTGTCGACATTTGAACAACTGTGTAAGCTTTGCATGATCCTCCAGCAGATTCTTGACAGAACATATTGCGAGAGAGAACAGAAGCGAAATACTCAAGACTTGGTTCAGGATCTGGAGTATGTTGAGAAGCAGCTACAGGACTGGATGGCTGAGCTGCCTGAACATCTGCGGATTGATACCAATAGTGATTGTGGCATTCAGCAGCTCCCACCGCCGCATGTCTTCTCGCTCCAGTGTATGTGGAACGTCCTTAGGGTGCTTCTACATCGCCCGCTAGTAGCTGATGGCCATTTACATTCGACTTTGCCATCGACTTCAAAGTCTTCACTCGCAACGTGTACGGAAGCGGCCATCAACATAGTGAAGCTGGTACGGCTCTACGATAGATCATTTTCTGTAAGGCGAGCACCATACCTCATACCGTACGCGACTTACGTTGCTGCCACGATACACGTTCGTATAGCTGCCACAAGAGCGTCGACATCCGAGGCTCACGAGCATCTCCGCACATGCCTTGCAGTATTTGATCAAAATTCTGCCACGAATTATGCTGTCAAGAAGGCATCAATTGTCATTGAGAACCTGAAGAAACGCATGGGGATCAAGCTGGATGACCCAGGACCAGGTACTACCTCAAGCACTACCACTAGGGATACGGTCACCGATCACCCCTCGTCGGAAGTGACGTCAAGGTCACATTCCAACGCTTTCGCATCTCTCAGTAACATGTCTAGCATGGCAAGATCGCACCTGCCGATCGACACAATGATCAACCACGAACCAACAATGGTTGCCGGACAATTCGACCCAGACCTAGATGTCGACACCATCATCCACAGCTTCATGCACGAACAACAATTATACAACCAACCTACAAACTTCTCGATGCCGGAACATACGGCCAATAACTTGTACGGCGGCACCATGCCACCAACAACTTTGGGGCAGATGCCTAGTACAAGCCTTGAATCGTATGAAGACGCATTGTTTGGATTCAATGCTTCGGCTTTTGATTGGTTCTATCCTAATCCTTTTCCATATCCTCAGAATTGATCGTTGCCGGTTTCCATTAGCGAAAGTCTGTCATGTTTAGCTGTAGAAATGCACGATACTTTTTGGGCGGCGGTAGCGTTAACAGAGAACGTCACAGGCGATTTTCTGGTTATGACTTTGTCTGGAAGATGACTTTGTATTGTTGTAGCGAACGATAGCACAGTGTTTTGCGGTGGGAAAGAAGGAGAGATCGTCGTGACAGTCTTCAGGGCACGGGAAGGGTGCCCCTTTGCAGCTTCCTGGTGTGCGAAATGCTGTCACAGTGTAGCTATAGAATTGCACAATACTTTACCGGAAGGAGTAGCATCCGCTGAGAGCCGTGACTTTAACAGCTCTCTCTGAGCGAGCACTCTGTCCGAATACAATTGCGCATTCCCATAGCTTACAAGACCCCTATATATCATTGCAGGTCACAGACTGATATACATGAGGTGGATAGCGGAAGTCAATAATCATCCGTGTGGATATGTGATATATAGCCTGCATAAATATGTACAAAAAAGAGTCGTTAAAGATTCAAGACATTCTCGCATAACTGTCGTAGTCAAGCAGTGAACTCAGAAGTGGAGCACCGTGTCTCACGACTTCTGGATGTACTCGACATGTGTGGCTTCCTCGCCAATTTTGACCTCTTCCAGAGCGGCACCTTCGAGCCCGCTGGTAAACTCTCCGCCGAACACGACGTCAATCTCCTCAAGAGACAGGCCCTTGGTCTCTGGCACGCAGAAGTACACAAAGATGATCGAGACGGTTGTGCAGGCGGCAAAGACAAAGTACGTGCCGAAGCCAATGTTCGAGATCATGTACGGCACTGATCTCGCAATGACAAAGTTGAACAACCAGTGCGTGGCAGTGCACAAAGCCATACCCAAGCCTCTGATGCGAAGGGGAAGATTTCAGCACAATAGATCCATGGCACACCGGCGTAAGAGAAGCAGAACCCGACGGCAAAAATGTAGATGAAGGCGACTGCTGCGTAGCCTCCAGCAGAGAGACCGACTGCATGTTGGGCGGGGTTAGCAATCTTGATGTATGCGCCGATGAACCACATGGCGGTGGCCATGACGGCTGCTCCGCCCATAAGCATCTTCCTGCGTCCGAAGCGGTCGACAACGTAGTACATGGCGATGATGACGCAGACGAGTCTGACAATACCGTAGATACCAGTGGCGTAGAGACCAGTGGACTGTCCGTTGAGACCGATGGACTTGAAGATGCGAGGAGAGTAGTAGTTGATAGCGTTGGAACCGGCAAACTGCATGAAGACGAAGATAAAGAATCCGGCAAGAATACGTCTGCGATTGCTGGGGACGCGAAGCTCCTTGAACTGAGAGACCAAGCCCTGGTCATGTGGGCTTTCCAGCTGCTCGTTGACAGTATCCATGATGTGGGTTAGCTCTTCTTGGAGATATTCATGGTCCTCGGGCAGACCACGAAGCTTGCAAAGGGTGTGTGCTGCAATCTCGCGTGATTTGTGTTGAGCCAGCCATCTTGGTGACTCGGTTACGAAAAACATGCCAATGATCAGGAGAACACCAGGGATGAGTTGAACGGCGAAAGGCAAGATCCACTGAGAAGAGGTAGATGCCATGTTGCGTTGCACGCCATAGCAGATCCAGAAACCAATGCATGTACCGGTCTGTACGCTGATCTCATAGATACCAACAAGTCTACCTCTTATGGCTGGGGGAGAAAGTTCGGCGACGTATAGGGGTACGAGTCCACTAGCAAGACCGACACCCTGGATGTTCTGTTAGAAATAGGACGAAGCTGGGGAGACGCAATACTTACAAGACCACCAATGGCACGGCCAACATACATGGCTGCTACATGACCAAAGCTGACGGTCTGCATCAAAGATCCAGCACAGAAGACCACGCCAGCGATCATCAATGCAGGCTTGCGCCCAAAGCGGTCTCCAAGAGGTGCGACAGCCAAAGAACCGAAGAAGCAGCCTGCTTGTAACAGAGAAACGATGTTGGCCGAAAAGGCATCTTTGGCGCTTGACGAAGCGTGCGTCAATCCAAAGTCCTTGAGAAAGGGTTTGAGCGTGATGGTTGTGCCTATGAATGCAAGATCATAACCAAAAATGAACGCTCCCATTGATGCCACTAGTGCCACTGCATAAACATATGCATTGTACACCTCCTGAGGAGCCGGGATGGCTAGAGCAACGTTGTGGTGTCTTCCAGGCATATCGAGAACTGAATATGGTAATGAGGTACTTGGTGTTCTTGGGCCCAAGAGGACAACAGAGCTCGGTATTTATGAGGAACCCGCCAGAAGGATTAAGCTCCAGATGTCACAGTTGGGGTTCGCCTATTGCGGCAGATCCGGCACATAGGCCGGGGTAGCGTGGAGTAGAATCGTTCATGCGGAGACATTTTGTGGAGTTGTGTCCGCGGCTGTGATGCCCGTGGATATCATTTCCGTTATTCCATGGATCCGCGGTCATGAGCCTGCGTCAATCGTCGTTTCTGGTCCGCGGCTGCAGGACTACCCCTTCCATCGCTCCTTCATGGGTCCGTGGAAGAATACTGCGATAGTCGCATATATCGAAAAGATTAATGAATATAAGTCCCGAGGCCAAGGCCTACGTAGCATCATAAGTCATTACCCATTGGTTTCCTCCAGCTTACTATGTTCAAGACAGCCGCACGACACATTGACGCTGCAATCATCCCTCGAATCCTTGACTTCCACCCATCAATCATGCCTGGAATCATCACATCTACCGCTGCTGTGGTACCACAAGTGGTACCCAAGAAGCGAAGAGCACTACCAGCAGTCTGGATGAGAGCTGGTACTTCAAAGGGTCTATATCTGCACCGCCAAGACCTACCACAAAGCCAACAAGACTGGTCTCCTGTGATCACACGAGTCATGGGCTCTTACGATGCGGATCCTAAGCAGTTGGACGGAATTGGCGGAGCGACTTCAACAACCTCAAAAGTCGCCGTCATATCGCGGTCCACTCGTCCAGACGCAGATGTGGATTACACATTTGTCCAAGTGACAATTGGGGCTCCAAAACTGGACATGACTGGCAACTGTGGCAACATTGCATCTGGTGTCGGTCCTTTTGCAGTTGATGAGGGCTTGGTCGATATTCTTCCAGGACAGAGTCAGATCCAAGTTAGAGTCTTCAACACCAACACAAACTCCGTCATGATTCAGACTGTTCAAATCGATGATGAAGGCCATTTCCTCGAGGACGGGGATTGCAAGTTGCCCGGTTTATGCTCCGTCGGCAGCCGAGTACAGATGGGTTTCTCCAAACCAGCTGGTGCCATGACTGGCAAGCTGCTACCTTCAGGTCGCGCAATGAACACCATTCTCATGCAGACTTCGTTCAACTCCGAACCTGTCCCGATACAAGTCAGTCTTGTAGATGCTGCCAACCCTTTCTGCCTTGTCGACAGTTCCACACTACCGGATTTTTATCACACCGAAGGATCTAGTGCAGCAGTCTCGATCGATTTCATTGAGAGGGTGCGAAGAGAGGCAGCAGTCCTGATGGGTCTTGCCAAGAGCATCAAGGAAGCGGCGCTCACCAGAGGCACACCGAAGATCGCAGTTCTCTCGAAACCAGAATCTATCGACAACAAGCCATCAGTAGACTTCCAAGTTGTTGCATATTCCATGGGCAAGGTTCACGGAAGCTTGCAATTGACCGGAGCAGTCTGCCTCGGAACTGCAGCATGCACTAAAGGCACTGTAGCTTACGAGCTACGCAATGGTTCATCTGATACAAGGGCAAGGCAAGACTCTCCCATTGAGTTAGATAATGTGTCAGAACTCGAGACGGTTCGTCTCCGACATCCAGGTGGAGACATGGATGTTGATGTTCGTTTGGATGCAAAAAGCCAAGTAGAGGAGGTGATAGTTTTCAGAACAGCCCGTCGGTTATTTGAGGGCAAGGTTTACTACTTGGGATGATTTAGGTTAGATGTAGATATGCCACTATGAGGGATTGATGATAGAAACACAATTTACCTGTACATAAAAGTTTTCTTATGTACATGCATCTTGAGCTTCAGAGAAACGATTGAGTATGTCTCCAATAGAATGTGCAGAGAAGTCGATGGCGTTTTCTTCGATGTGATTTTTTGATAGTTGTTGATGTGAATCCCATGGAAAGAACAGGCGAGTGAACCACATCTTACATACGATAGTTTAGTTACAGCAGGTATGCGCGACTTCTTAGGAAAACTTTCACGCGGAGTGAGTGCTGGTTGTTGGAATGCTTGGTTACACGATCATCGCTTTGAGAGGTGGCTGACTCAGCGGGGAAACCTCGGGAACACACCGCAGATCGTCGAACTGTCAAGATCCTCGTCTTTCCTGCTATGCTTCTTCAATGCTTGAGCATTGAGATGCGCGTCTATATGTATCAGACTTACAGCATCGACTTACTTGGACCATACTCTTCTCACATGCTGTAGTTTGTTCATCCCTTCTATATAGAAGCCAGAATTGCCCCAGTGGTTACCTCCAAGCGTTGTAGTACATTAACCGAAACCCCGCCTGCCCTATCAACTCATGGAAGTCTAATTCATCGGACGTCATACCTCCCTCTTTACAAACACTCAGATAGTCCTGTCATCAAGCCCGATTTACAACTTTTCTCCCCCTTTCTGACTCGATACAAACTCCTTGACTATCTCAACATGACCACCAGCACAGCATACGTACAGCGCGAACGCAATGGCAAACAGGTCCTAGTACGCGAACAAGACATCCAATTGCCCTCACGCGAAGCACACCAAAGTCTTCTCTCGGTACAATATGTAGCCCAAAACCCCACCGATGGTATATCTTCACAGCCGTCCGCACGTGATCCACAAACATCACTAATCTCCCATTCAGTACAAACACTCGACAGCAATGCATTCGGCAACGGCACAGTCCTTGGCTGCGATTTCGTCGGCACCGTCGAGGAAACAGGCAAAGAAGCAAAGAACCTTAGCAAGGGTGATGTCGTTGCAGGTCTCATCTGGGGAGGAGAAATCAAAGGGCTAGGTGCATATGGAAGTCGCAGCTTTGTGGATGACCGTATCAGCTTCAAGGTCCCCAAGGGTGTGAAATTGGAAGATGCGGCTACAGTGCCACTGGCTTGTTGTACTTCTTGGCTGGCTCTGTTTTCCAAGACCTGTTTAGCTATTCCCAGGAAGGAAGCAAAGACCAGTGTTTTGATCTGGGGCGGTAGCTGTAAGTGCAACAACGAGCAGATACACGAATTACTACTGATTCGCCTACAGNCGAGCGTGGGATCCTATGCTATCCAACTCGCTTCCATGTACAACTTCACCATTATCACAACCTGCAGCCCCAAAAACTTTGACATGGTCAAGAGATTCGGCGCCACTCACGTATTCGACTACAATGACTCTACTGTTGTCGATAAGATCAAGGAGGTTGCCCCAGATCTGGAATACACATTCGACACCATTGGCTCCAAGGACTCTTCTGCACAGGCTTCACAGGCCATCACCGACAAGNGGGGTGTATTGTGTACTGTACGTCCCGGCAAAGCGAATACTGAAAATGTGGCTTCGCATGTCAAAGTTACCGATGTGCTTGTTTGGACGGCATTCCTCAAAGACCACCAGTACAAGGAGTTTCGTTGGCCAGTAAGTTCTGTTTGTTTGGGGAAATCTGCGTAGAATACTCTCTGACGATACTCTCTACAGGCTTCCAAAGATGACCACGCACTCTCTGCCGAACTATTCGAAAAACTTCCATCTTGGTTGGAGCAAGAAAAGATCAAGCCCAACAATGTCAAGTTACTCAATCTGGATTCCATCCACGAGGGCTTCGACATGCATCGTCAGGGCAAGATTTCGTCTTTCAAGATTGTGTATAAGGTTTAGTTAGATGCACGGATCAATGTTTCTGTTTCGCAGGAACTCCGTTACAGCTTTGCCTTGCACTAGACGTCGGCGATCAACAGTCTCACATTCCTCGGTGCCCAAAGGGTAACTTCTGATCTACAAAATTGCAATCCTTGTTCCTAGACCAAGCATCACGTCCAGAGAGAGCCAATGCAAGAACCAGTTCTCAGCGGATGACACGAAAAGCACCGTGGAAGAGTAAACCATGGCATATCTGTTTGAGTTTAGGAAATGCATGCTTCTTTCCAATAGAGATCAAGAAGGGTATAATATACGTAGAAAATCTGTACAGGAGAACGCTTTTACGCAACACAGACAAATCACTCATCCTCTGATGCTTCGGCAGCCTCTATTGTCTCGTTGTCTGCCACCTTCTTTGACACGCGGAATAGCATGGCGTGGTTCTTTCCGGCGTTGGTCATCCATCGTCCGAGTTTGTGCTCTTTGCCCACGGCTGCAATGATCGCCAGACCATCTTTGCCTCTGTCGCCGCGCTCGAACACGGCAAGGTCGTTGATGACGCCCTTGACTATCTTGTTGGACTCTGGCACGGCGTGTATTGAGTCGTCCATGTACATTGCTTCTCCATCGATGAGCTGGTTGTCGTCGACACAACCGATGGGGCCCAAGGCTTCTAGTCTCCTCCTGTCTTCGCTAATCTTCCAGGCCCGGAGTTGGCCGTCCCAGCTGCCGCTAATGATGATATTACTGAAGGGTACGCAGGCCAGCGCGGTGATCCAGCGAGGTTGAGGTTCGGTGTACACGCTTGCGTCTGCCGCAGGGTCGGCTTCGGCACTGACGTCCTCGGGGTTTGGCGGTGGGTCGAGGCCGTGTGCGAGGGGTAGGGTGAAGACGGACTTTTTCTTTTGGATGTTCCAGAGGGAGAGGGTGCCATTGTCGGAGCCGGTGACGAAGGTTTCGTCGTCGACCATGGTCACTCGGTCGATGGAGCCTTCGTGGAACTCGCGCGGTTGGGGAATGCCGGCGGCGGCGTTTTCCTTTCTTTGCTTGGACGAGGCGCCGCTGCCGCCACCGCGGAAGACGAGTTGGCTCTCCTCGACCACGCGCCAGTATCTTGCTGTCCTGTCTCTGGCGCCGACGGTCACACACAGTTCTTGATTCAGAGCGGCGACATCGGTAACCTCATCCTGGTGACCGAAGAGTGTTTCGACGTAGGCCAATTCGTCCAGACTCCAGAGTTTGATTGTTCTGTCCTTGCTGGCCGAGTAGAGTTGGTTTGTCGTGCGGCGGAAGCAGAGCGAGGTGACGGCGTCTCTGTGGTGATGGAAAAACTTCAGGGGTTTGAGTGTTGCAGCATCCCAGACAATGAGTTTCCTGTCTCTACCACCGGTCGCTACGAACTTGCCGTCTGTTGAGGCTGCGACACAAAGAATAGCGTCGGTGTGGTGCTTGAAGTCGAAATCGTCCTCTCTCTTTCCGTTGCCGCGTGTGTAGATGAGCTTCTTGGGTTTTGTGGGTTGCGTGTGTTTGGATGAGGCATCAATTTGCTGGGGCATCTCCCACTTGATCAGGGTCATGTCCTTGGAGACGGTGTAGATGTAGGGAGCGCATGTAGCCACGCCGGTCAGAGTCTGCGAGTCTGCGCGAAACTGCGAGTGCAGGGCATTCTGGTAGTCGTAGTCGTCTGCAATCCAGCGGTAGATTTTTCCCTTGCTCTCTGCGGAATCCTCCTTCAGACGCTCGCCCATGCGCTCAGCCAGCAGCTCTGCATCAATGTCCTTTGCGTCGAAGCCTTCGGAAATGATTTGTAGTCGCGTGTTTTCAAGGTATCGTTCTGCCAGCCGTGTCCTTCTTCCCGCCGCATCTTCGCCTTCAAACTCTGATTCCTCAGACTCGTCGTCAGAGTCTGCGGGCGGACGCGGGCCTACATCATCGTCGTCGTCGAAATCACTGCCAGACACCGAGTCGTCGCGAGTTTCTCTTCGCTTGGTTGGGCGAGCATTTGAGCGGTCGTTTGTGCGTTGAGGGCGTGGGGCACCACCTTCGGGTCTCTTTCTCTTCAGAGAGGCGGGCTTGGTGAAGAAGCTCGACATTGTTGGCGTGGGATGTGAAGTTGCGCCTTCCTGTGCAGCAAAATGCGACTTCCTAGAAACTTTTTGCCCGCTGCGAGCTGGGGACAAAGCCACGCCCGGGCCATCTGCACTCACCGCCTTCCTGCTTCGGCAAGCACGCTCTTGACTTTCATCCACCTCTTCCGACACACGTATTGCACAAGGATCATGCTAGACCAAATGTAAAGTCATCTACCTTAGCTCATACGAAGAGGGTATATCATGCTCTCCGCTTATTGAAGGTCATTAGATCTGTGTCGAAGAAATTGATTGAGGAACAACCGGCTCTGTAGCACATGCCGCACTGAGCTACCAAAATGAGTCGAGATGCGTATCTCGCTCGCATGGCCCTGGTAAGTCCAAGTCTTGTATCGTCTTGCATAACCACGAAAATTGTTCAATCTCTGGCGACGAAAAACTCCAATCGTACAATGTCGCATCTCACCGTCATACTCCCTCGAACATCTTATTCAAGCTCGCAGACAGAGCAGTACCATCATCAATACTGACCCCCCTCTATCAAAGGGTCGATCAGTCTACGAGGCATCACCAGAAACTGAAGAAGCACCTCCACTACCAACAAGATCCGACGAGCAACAATACAATGCCAGAGGTGAACCCATCAGCCTAGCTACCATCCGCCACGAAGAGGCCATGATCGCTGCCAAAAACGAATGCCTGGCTGCTGTAGGCGTGTGCGAAAAGAAAGACAAAATCATTGACCGTCTGATCGACCAACTATCGGATGGCGAACAGCGCTTTCATTTCTCTGACGAAGAATGGGCTATCATCAAAGAAGGCGAAAATGACTATGGCGAACTCATCCGCATGACTGCAGAGACGTCAAGAAACTTCTTGGAGTGGTGGCTTTTGGGCCTGCGGAGAAGATTACAAGTCGGTTATGTCTCGTCTGATCTCAGTCTCATGGACATTCTATCAGTCGAGTGGACGTCGTTGACCAGTAATGGATTCTTTGGCGCCATCCGGTTTCTCACGGTCGGAGGACTGGCAGAAGTCACATCCCAACTCATCATAACCTTTGTCGACTGGTATCTGGGCGAACAAGTCTTGATGATCAGTAAGAAGATCATCAGGCTCAAAGCCAGCACCAGAAAACGGTTTTGGCTGCTCAGATGCCTAAATTACAGCTACAAGGCCGTGAACACTTTGCTCCATCTTTCAGTCTACCCTCTGGCCTCCTTTTCATGTCTGCAACAGCTAGGCCTAGTATCCTCGAAATCCCTCTTACCTCCAAAATCGTGGCTGGCACCTTGGAGTTCCGAATCACCTCTCCGCTGGGCCTTTTTCGGTCAAGGGACGGTCAAGGGATCGAAGTTGCTAGGATTACTAGTTTCGCCAGCAAGTCTGTGGTTGACTATGGCTTTGCTCCAACACTCTGCTGCATCAGCATACGGCCACGTTCCTCTTTTCGAATACAACTGTATCCTGGGTCCTCACAATACCCCCTTATTACCGCAAATGACCGATCCAGAATCCAGCTATCTGACACCCTTCTCACGCCTTCGGGATAGATTACTGCAATCTCTAGGCTGGGCACCACTCCCTGCCGCACCGCAAACAGAAAAGCGAGAACTGACTCAGGACTCGAGTGCGCGCGACAATTCCGCAAGAACCGAAACGCCACAACCGCATACCGCAACTCGCTACCGTGTTACCGAACTTACAACCCTGCCCTCCAATCTCTTGGCCTTGAATCTGGATTACATGTTCTGGTCTGTCATCTTGCTGCCGCTGGATACTCTGCATCTTACTTCTCTCGCGTCGGCCTTTTGCTCGAGCTCAGCAGCAAGAAATAGTGAAGAGAGTGGTGTTTCTGTGGGATTGGTACCCAGACTGCCAGCATCGGGGATGGGCAGAGTCAACAAGATTGGCTTGTGCCTGGCATTGGAGTTTACACTGGATACGGCGGTGTGGAGCGGAGCGTTTCTGTGGACAAGGTATATTGGTATGTCTAGGTATTGGTGGGGACGTACATGATATCTGGATTGATAGACAGAACAATGCTTGATGGTGAGGTACAAGAAAGACAAGGGTAGTATCTACAATCACAGCCCCGGATGTAGATGTTTGAACATCCCTGGATATCAATCTCGCTCATGTAACGACAAAAGGAAAAGAAGCCACGCTATACATGCGATTACCCATCAACGAAGGAGCACTCATGTAACAAGAACAGCCATCGCTTTCATTGCTCAATATCCCAACGTTTCCAGATACCCTCAAGTCTACCTTTTGCCTCTTTACTCACACACAACCCCGGATCCAGGGGTTTTAGCTTTTCCTCTCCCATAAGACTCAATGTGGCAAGACCGAGGTATGAATGATATAGGTCCGGCAGATCGCCTGCGATTTTGCCAAAGCCGCCGAGTTGAGGGTGAACGGTGCGTTCGAGCAGCCAACGACGAACAGAGTCTGTGTTTGGAAGGTTGGCGTGATTGAGGATCTATTTGTTGTATATCGTGTTAGTTTCGTGTAGGTTCCTTTGGCAACAGGCGGGTATATAGGAGAAAAGCACTTACGCANNTAAAGAGCCATGTACCCAAAACGCATAACAGGTATCTGCAATCTTGTTGCAACGACCATTGAAGCCCGTCCAGTCCAAGCTGAAATTCACGCTTGGGCGGCCTTCGTAGTTCATTTGGCCTTGCTTGCTTATGAATTTGTCTTGATACACGAAACTGTGGGCGTCGTGGCAGGTTTCGGGCGTGTCTGTTTCGTCGCCGTAGGTGTCAAGGTCGTCGTCTTCGCTGATTGTTGCCGTTTGCCGTGACACCAGCCATTTGATGAGGAGAGAGGGGTTTGTGAGGGAGGCGTGTGGTGAGGGCGGGCTAGGCAGGACGGAGTAGGGGTTNGGAGGGAGACGGTTTATGTTGCTCAGGGCACCGATGGCGCAGTAGGTGAAACCGGCGTGGGCTTCATGGTAAGGAGCATCTGAGATGCCGCCGTCGTAGGTCTCTGCACTGCGTATACAGGTGACAAAGTTATCGATTTCAATATCGGGACAGCCGTCTATTTCTCCTTCAAAGGTGCCGCGCAGGATGTAGCGGACGCCGGTTGCGCAGTAGCCGAATCGCGAGTCGGTGCCACCATTGATTGTGCCTTTGACGAGTGTTTCGCCGAAACTGCCGTCGGGTCTTTGGAGTCGCGTGAGCCATTGTAGACATTCCCTTCTCTTTATCCTGGCCAGGTCGTCGTTGAGGATGAGCAATGAACACAGGGCGAAGAAGGTGGCAGGTAGATTCGCAGGGTCCCAGTGTTGGTTTTCTTCTGTGGTTGCATGTCCAAAGTCTGCGCCAGGGAAGGCGCGGAAACCGCCTTGGGGATGTTGGTTGCTGTAGATCCAGTCGATGTAGTCTTTTCTCTGCTCTTTTGTCGTGTTTTGCTGTAGGGTGCCTAGCAGATCTAGCCCGCTAAGGGTGAAGAAGGCCAGGGACATGCGATTGCTGTCATTGCTCTGGTATGCAGTGGGCAGGAAGGTCTTTAGGGTGCGGAGAAAGTATTTGGTGTGTTTGGGCACGTCGAGCGAAGGGGATGAAGCCATGATGTCCTGCACTTTGGGCATGCACGGTTTGAGGTCGGTGGAGTGCATTCGATGGTCGTTACGTCAAGGGGTCGATACTCGTCCCCAGACCCTGTATGATTATTACAACATGTGCCATCATGTCCCTGCTCTCGCTCTCTTATCAAATCAAATGAGATGAGGCTCAAGCGCCGCTCCCGAGGCCGCCCCCAAACCCTCTTCCATGACGCGCACTAGCCATGTGCGACAGACGTCTGTGCACGGCCGCATACTTTGTGCATCTCTGACATCAGACATAACATCTACACCATGAAACTACCACGACCCATTCATCTGATTCTGGACTGGGATGGTACCCTGACCCGCAAAGACACTCTGTCGCTAGTCGGCAGTATAGCATACCACGCCAATGCCTCGAAATCTCTACCACCATGGTCAGATTTTGTGAATGGATACATGAACGATTACACCGAGCACGCGTCTCGCTATGAGCCTGTTGCAACTGCCAGAACAAAACTCGATCAAGAGCGGCAATGGCTAGCCAGCCTCACATCTATCGAAAGCAAAAGCGTCCAACGCGTCGAGTCCAGCGGTATATTCAAAAACGTCAAGTCCAGCCATATCGACCACATCGCTGCCTCTTCCATCAGAAACCATGACTTGCAACTCCGCAGTCACTGGAATTCCTTGTTCCAGACTGTGTTGTCCCATTCCTCGAATACTATCAGTATATTGAGTGTAAACTGGAGTGCGCGCTTTATTCGCCAATCCCTGCTCTCCGCCTCTTCGACCCTCACATCTCCAGAAAGCAAATCACTGCACTCCTACATTGAAACAATGGACATTAACGCCAACGAAATCTCCGATCTCGATCATGCATCAGGAAGTGACGGCAAACTATCCAAAGACTCTAGCACGGGTATCCGTACCTCAGCAGACAAACTCTCTCATCTACCTCATCGGTGTCAACAAAGACTTGACAAGTGCGCATCAACAAGAGACATGATGAATCGAGAGCATGAAATTGTGGTATACATTGGAGACTCGGCTACCGATCTTGAAGCTTTGCTTGCTGCGGACGTGGGCATTTGTATCAGGGATGAGCCTATGGGTAGCAGTCAGNGGGAATTATTTGACACGCTTGAAAGAATTGGGGTGGATGTCAGAGATATTGATGAAGGCATAGATTTGAACAAGGCAATAGACGGGCAGATGGTGCTTTATTCGACATATGGACTTGATCAGGTTGCGAAAGCACTTTCAGAGTTGGATCTATAAAGTCATGGATTTGGTTTACGACGCTATAGATGGGAACGCAGAGGATATGTACATCAAAATCGCACTATTGGTGTTTACAATAAAGAGAGTTGTGTTAATATTTTCGGATACCATCAATGAAACTGTCATTCGGCTTGTTGCACACACCACCACAACCCAAGTGGTCGCATCGCACCAAGTCACCTCTGATCGATCGTTCTGATCTCAGCAGAACAAACCTGCCGCGAGAGTCGACGCGACGATGAGATTTACTTAATCAGGAATGGCATCCCAGAACAGAATCAGGGTTTTCTTAATGGAATCTAACCATATTCAAAGGTCTTCCCTGAGATGTCGCGCACAAGATCGTCATGAAGGAATTCAAGCAAGATCCACGATTCAACCAAATCTGGATCCATTAGAGGTGGCAGGCACGCTCGTTGAGGGTACAAGACTTGAGCAGGCACGACTGGAGGAAGCGTGGAACCGGTTGGCGTTGGGGACGCGAAGCAAAAGTTCTCGAATCGCATCAAAACTCACAACAACACCATTGTTGCCTCGATCATCCCATCGTTGATACTCGCCACATCAAGAGCGATGCTTAGGAGAACAGCCTACAGCGGCTCTGCAACCGAGACGTGTTGCGGCAGGGACTCCACCGTCCAGAACGTCTTGCTGCTGTCGTGCCACATCACCCACGATCACCCAAGCCGCGCGGGTCCAAAGTATCCAATACATGTTCGTCTGGATAGTTCGGAACCCACATACAGCAACGTCGCATCGTGTGTCTCCCACACTGAGGCTAATCGCCATGCTGCCTTGGGCGTGATGCGTCTTCCACGTTGACGCCCCTGTCGTCGCTCGGGCTCAAGTTGGTGCAAGGCTTGAGAGGCTTGCTTCCACATGCTGAAGCCACCAAAGCTTGGCTGGGCAACGTCGTCGGCATCCATCGTCTTGCAACTCTCGCATTTGCTCCAACGCCTTGTCCATCTCACATTTTAACAATGCTGAATTTCCAGAGTGTTCTTCTCCATGGTGTTTACCAGTAGTCTCTGACGAAGTCGGTTTCACAACTCTCCAGCCCGTCTGAAGATGTCTTCGCGATCGCAATCCACAGTGTTCCTTCTGCAAATGCTCAGGCTAAATCGACTGAGCCTGTATCCTATTCTCTAAGACGGCCGGTCCGAACGCACATGATAGGTACGGTCACCCGCGTGCTCCACCACCTCCGCGCTCCTCCGCATCGACCCCCCACACATTGAAGACTTCCATGTCCTGAAAGCAGTAAGAGTAGGCTGACAACCGGCGGCTAAATCCATATGTATACTAGTCACACGCGTGGTGTAATCTGGCGGCTAATTGGTCTTACCTGTACTCCGTACATACACAGACCTCTGACCATGCTACAAGTGCCGTAGATCCATGTACCTGGCTCTACTACAGTCATCACTCGAGTATAAGATCTGTGGAGCATCTCCACCTCCCCAGACAAGATCGATTTTCGTACGACTATCATCAACGTCTTGAGACAACACACCAATTGTCTTCTTCAACATGCATACTGCTGGATCGAGTGGAGGCCATGATGCCTTGTCCAAGCGACGAGCTCAGTTCGCTGGCCCATCAGGTGTCAAAGGTCTTATGCAAAACTCACGCATCTTTCTTCTTGCCGTCTTTGCTTCGCTCGGTGGTTTCGTATATGGATNNGTGAGTATCCTCATTGCACGATGTGTTGTTCTTTTTGTTGACCATTGCATCCTAGACAACCAAGGAATGTTCGGACAGGTCCTGAACATGTCATCTTTCAAGGCAACTGTCAACCCCGAATCCGTCAAGAACCCAACTACCAGAGGTCTTCTCACTGCGTAGGTTCCTACAACGTCTTCAAATATTGAATCCCACTAATCCAAGCAGTNNATTCTCGAACTCGGAGCATGGGTTGGTGTGTTGATCAACGGATACAACGCCGACAAGTTCGGTCGTAAGATTGCCACCCAGATTGGTGTTGCCGTCTTCATGATCGGTGTCATCGTCCAGGCATGCGCCAAGAATGTCGACTACATTTACGGTGGTCGTTTCGTTACTGGTCTCGGTGTCGGTATTTTGTCGATGATTGTTCCTCTGTGAGTGGCTTGAATCCCTCAGACGTAACCACCCAGCTAATTACGGTTTTAGCNNTACAACGCCGAACTCGCACCTGCCGAGATCAGAGGTTCGCTCGTCTCGCTCCAACAGCTTGCTATCTGTACTGGTATCATGATCAGTTACTGGATTGGTATGTCCCTGTCTTACGTCCCACATCAACAATCATCTGACTTGTGTATTCAGNGGTATGGCACAAACTACATTGGTGGCACTGGTGCCAGTCAATCTAATGCTGCATGGTTGGTTCCTATTTGCATCCAGCTCTTGCCTGCCATTATTCTCGGAGTTGGTATCATGTGGCTCCCACAAAGGTAAGACGGTCCAAGACTCTGGCAGATCACACGTGCTAACAACTAGANNAGTCCCCGCTGGCTTGTATCGAACGATCGTGAGGACCAGGCCTTGGATGTTCTCGCGGACCTTAGAAGAGCGCCCAAGGAAAGTGAGATTGTTCAACTCGAGTTCCTCGAGATCAAGGCCCAGCACATGTTTGAAGTCGACAGATCAAGAGCAAAGTTCCCCCAATTCCAGTCTGGAAGCTTCTCGGACAACTTCAAGCTTGGATTCTACGACTACGCTTCCTTGTTCACCAACAAGTCGCTCCGTAAGAGAGTCTTTGTCGCCATTTTCACCATGGTCTTCCAGCAATGTCGGTTTTCTTCGTTCAGCCCTTGGATTTGTTCTTACTGATTTTGTTGTTAGGGTNCCGGTATCAACGCCATTCTGTACTACGCCGCTTTCATCTTCCAGGATCTGGGCTTGACTGGCAACACTAGCTCGCTTTTGGCCAGTGGTGTCGGTGGTATTCTGCTCATGCTCGCCACCATTCCTGCCGTCCTCTACATCGATCAGCTTGGTCGCAAGCCAGTCCTCATTGCTGGTGCCATTGGCATGGGTATTTCGCACATCATTGTCGCCGCTCTGTACGGTACCTATGGAACAGCAGCCATCATGTGGCGAGGACACGCAGCTGCTGGTTGGGTTGCCGTCGTCTTTGTCTGGATCTACGAGATCAACTTTGGATACTCTTGGGGAGTGAGTTTGAGGCCCTGAATCACGTTTCTTGCGTCTGTGCCATTGTGCTGACAATCATTCCTAGNNCCTGGTGCATGGGTCCTCGTCGCCGAAGTCTTCCCTCTTGGAGTCAGAGCAAAGGGTATCTCCATCGGCGCCTCGTCAAACTGGCTCAACAACTTTGCCATCGGCCAGGCCACCCCCGACATGATTGCATCCATGAATTATGGTACCTTCATCTTCTTCGGCATCATGTGTTTCCTCGCCGCCGCCTTTATCTTCTTCATGGTGCCCGAGACCAAGGGTCTGACGCTGGAAGAAATGGACGAGGTCTTTGGTGACGAAGCCGGCAATGCTGCCGATGACCGCGCTCGCCTCGACAGAATCTACACCGAGCTGGGTCTCATGGAGGGTGGCGATCACCCCATGAACGGCGAGAAGATAAATGGCGAGAAGGTTGCCGCCATTGATATCATGAACACTGGCGGATACAAGAACACGAGCTTTGCCCAGGGTGGCATGTAAGATGATCACAAAGATCTAGCCGTTTTCGTTTCTCTGTTGGATAATGGTACTGGGGAGTGGATTCTGTTTGGTGTCGCTCGCTATGCGCATGGTCTAGCTTTGTCGGTGTTTATCACAAACACAGTACTAGGGTGTCCCACATATCTATTATCTATTGGTATTCCAGACATGCGATTGTGTAGTTTTCCAGCGGTGTTTGTGATGGACGGGTGCTATCGTGTCTCTGCGATCACTCACCATACTATTCACAACCCACAGATTGTAGAACCCAAGGTACAAATGCCAGACTTGCGCTTTCCAACAACCTTGACATTGACCTCTTTTGTTCTTGCTCCCTCATGGTATAATTGCTCGCATGATGACTCTAGAGACTGCCTCTTGGACATGATCATTCCGCTCTTAACACGGCCCTACAAGACTCGACTGATTACTGTCTCTCTCTGCAGCCACTGGCTCACAAAAATAGGCTGCCTTCTGTGGCCGTGCAGTGGTCGTGATACTGTATGGCCTTGAAAACCCCACAAATCCCATCATGTTCTACAAGGAAGATCCGCAACAAAATGACCATGCACTCAGAAGCCTTTTACCTTCTCGGTTTTGTCTCTAGCCGACTATCGTAGTTGTCTTCTTTATAGGAGTGTTGAGCAGATACCAAAATATGTTTTTGCAAGGAAAGAGCAAATACTCAATTGATATATAGAAAGAGAAAAGACAAGGTATTCACAAGAAAGAAGACTAAAGTGGCCATGAGATCTTGACAAGGTAGAAAACAAGATAAAGAGAAAAACATTAGAGATAAAGTTATAAGAAGGGTGAAAGAAACAACACAAAAGACTCTTTCCTGTTCTGAGAGGTATCCAAAGCAAAGAAGAAACAAGAAGAAAGAACAATCCTCCGACAAAGACAAGAACATCAAAAAAGGCCCAATGGATGCATCAACCCTTCTACAGCCAAAGCATCCATCTGACCCCTCCAATAACACCAGAAATGATACCCCTAAAGAACTGTACAATGATAACCACAAACCACACTCCCCACAGCAAGCCCAATACAATCCACTCGAGAACGGTAAACGTCGCTTTTTGCAAGAAGATCAACTTTCTGCGGCGACGGCGGAGGACATTGTCAATGGCATCGTTGACTTGCTTGGTGGCAAGTGTATGTTGAGTGGTAAGTGCCACTGTAAATGCGTCTGCCTCATCAGCCGTCGAATGCACGAGCGGCGTAAACTTTTCGTCCACTTTGATGCGTAAATCGGCGAGTCTGTCGTGTAAGCTAGGCAACTGAGATTGGCGGAAGGAAGCCAGTTGTTTGGAGAGGGAGGTGGATTGGTCTTTAATCGTCTTGTGCAGCATGCGTGCGGCGACTGTGAATTCTTCCTTGACACGGACGGGATGGATGCCTTGGTTTGATGTCTTTGCTGCAGTTACGAAGAATTGGGAGGGCGGGTTGGCAATGCTGTTGACGCGGAGCACGATTTCCTGGGCTTTGATGCCGCTGCTGAGGTATAGGGCTCGCACTCGTGCTATGTCGAGTGACGATACCATTGTCGGCTCTGCGTTTTCGCTATCAGCGCCTTTGCGGTCGGAGATGCTCCAGTGTCGTTTCGAGGGCGATGAGTGTCGAGATCGAGAAGGAGATTCGTTCTCGATCGTTGGCAAGTTTGCTTCGAACAAACCGGGTTGACGGTTCTTGCGCAAGTGACCCAGCATGTCTTGATCACTGCGGTCGCCGCCATCGCTAGAATAGCGTGATATTGGTGTCCTTCGGGTTGGTGACACAGAGGGAGAGTCCTCTCGAGGAAGGTTGATGCGAGGAGGAGCTAGTCTGTCGAATCTGGAGGATCTGCTTCCCTCTCTGTGCAACTTGGATTGTCGAGCGATATGATCTTCTTCTGCATCGCTCTCCATAATCTGATTAATCGGCTTAAAGGATGGCAAGTTCAAATTGTTGAGTTTCTGTCGCTCCTTCTCTTTTTGCTTCGGGGTCGCTCCGACAAGTATAGAATTTGACCTGTTTACGGTTGGCATCTTGCGCGGTCGATTCTCGTCTTGTTCCTCAGTATCCATATCAGAATCCGACATGTCAGAAGTAGCCTGTCGGTCCTTCTTTCGAGATTTCTCATTTTGACGAGAACTGTCCGAACGAACCAAGTCTCCGATACGGCCACCCTTGAAGAACCTGCCAACACCGACATCCTTTGACATACGGCGGCCTGGATTTAGCAGTGTGCTGGTTATGCTGTTTGATGTTTTATGACGCTTAAAGCCTGGAACTGGAGGACGGAGCGAGTCGATGCTGGAACGAGGCGGATCGACATTGTCGCTGACATGGCGTGAGTTGGCGAGACTGGCTAAGCTGGCGGTAGCAAAGTCTGTGCGATGGACCTTGTCATCAGAGGCATTCCTGCTGGATCTGAAAAGACTAAACTTCCTCTCGGGCGAGCTTTGGCGACTTGCGGGAGGGGACAGACTCATACCGAACGAAGGGATGTGATTTGCGACGACGGGAGAGCTAGGAGCAGTAGAGTCGTCAAAGGAAGAACGAGCACGATCGTCTTGTATGCCATGTTCATCGGTCTTTGATGAATCATTTCGCTTGTGGTTGTTCACAGACGGACTCTCAGCGAGAGTCGGTGACTTTCCACTTGACTGTTCATGACCTCTATCCCACTTATCTGGCGAAATGAACTCGGGCGAGTTCGCTTCGATACCCAACGTCTCTTTTTCGATCAAGTTCTTCATATGGCGCTCCAAAGGACCAGTATTCTCAACATCGGGAGCGTCTCCGGGGCCCAAGAACTGCTTCTTACGATTCGAGGGACGTGCCGAGGTGGCGCTGGACATACTGCTTGAACGCGACCTGTTTCTAAACAAGTGTTTCCGAGCAGACTGATCGACATGTCGCAAAGAGAGGAATTTTGATTTCATGCGGCCTCGGTCTGTGTCGTCGTCACTCTTTACGGTACTTCCCCAAGTGTTTGTGCGCGAGATGGACGGTCTGCTATCACCACTCTTTCTGCCGCTTCTCGCACTGTCGAAGCTCGAACGAGGTTGTTGAGGGAAGACTTTGTGACCGTGCCTATTCTCTATGCATGCTCTGTTTGCGGGCTGCAACAGCCAGACAGCGTCAGCTAATAATTCGGCAGGGCCAAAAGACCAGCCCGTCTCGGAAGGGGTGATTCTTGTTGCAGCTGTATCAGAACGCTTGTGGGAGCGAGTAACTTGGTTTGGAGTATCATCCTGACCTCGGCTGGGACGACGGAAAGTTGGAAGGAGAGATGTGTCCAATGTGGAGCGGTAGGTGTGGTCGGTGGCTTCGTGCTCTAGTTCATCGATGTAGCTCTTAACCTTGGAGAGGTTGTCGTAGGCTTCGACTGGAGGATCAAGAGGGCGTTGCTCGCGATGGCGGGCTTTGCGATTGCGCAAGAGTTGCAGCGGATTGTATTCTCTTCCCAACTCTTTCTGGCTCGAGTCGGAGCGTGGAGACGAAACAGATACGGCAGGCTTCAGAGGCGGAAGATTTGTCAACAAGCGTCTGTACTCGGTCGACAGCTCGAAGAACTTGCGTGCTCGGTCGGCGCGGTGGAGAGTGGCTTGGGAGAATTCGTAGTTGACTTCCTCGCCAGTCATGAAACTAGCATCGTCTTCGGTGGATGCGCGGTAACCAGAATCGCCAGGAGAAATGGGTTGTAAGAGGTCGTTGCCCATGGGGGAGCCTGGGGAGACGTGTATGACGGGGGCACCACTAGACCGCACACGACGCTTATCGGGCGAGGCAGCAGGAACTTGCAGACTGGCGCTGACATGGCGACGACGACCCTCACTCAGGCTAAGGGCCATCTGTACCAGCTGGGTAGGGTCCAGGGAGGGCTGAGGCATCGAAGGAGTCGAGGTGGTATCGTTCTGCGGACTCGAGACATTCTGGCCTAGTCGTGAAGGCTTTCGCGGCGACGGCTTGAGGGCTGGTTCGGTCTTCTCGTCCTCGCTGTCTCTAGGTTGGAAGAGGTTGCCCATCAAGAAGCCTCCCGACTTGCGGCCGCGTCGTCGAGATACGGTCAGGTTATTGGCATCTTCCTTGTCTTTTCCCCTCCGGCTGCCAGCATCGCTACTCCTGGCCCACGAAGCGTATTTTCCAGAGTCGGCATAGGCAGAGCTGCCTGTAGAAGCGCGGTCACTGTTGGGTGCCATGGCCGACATGTCGCAAGGTCGTCGTGTTATCGCACAGCAGCGGCTGGAGGAGGCACGGCGTCGACGATGGGAAGTAGCAACATGATCAGGTCGAGGTAACTACAGGCGCACGTCCAGTGTCCATGTCCAAGGAAGACCGACTTGAATTTGATATTGTTCGAGCGATCGCTGGTTCATGCTTCTGCTCATCATCCAACGTCCAAGCGACGCGGGGGCCCTGAATGATCGTCGGCCAATCAACCGTTCCGTGTCATCATCCAGGTGCACCTTGCCTTCATCTCGTTAAGCCCCTCGCCCACCGACAACAAACACGCCCTCGGTGGCCTTGACTGCCTGTTGACATATCTGATGCACTCCCTCGGTCTGCACAGCTGCCTCTTGCTCGGAATCCCTCGTGTTGAGTCAACAAGCGTGACATCATGCCTGCTTGCTTCGGGAGACAGCTCCTTCCTTCCATCTATCGATAGCTGATTAGAAATGCATACCCCTCCTTGAATTCTAGGCTAAGTAATCGGTAATTGTTAAAACTCCTTCTTCTGCCTATTGTACTTTTTACTCTCCCACTCCTCCGGCTTCAAATTCACAATCCACAATTCACCATGCCTGCAATCGAAAAAGGCTCGACCGTCCTGGTCACTGGCGCAAATGGTTTCATCGCTTCCCACATTGTCGACCAGCTTCTCCAGCTGAACTACAAGGTCCGCGGTACCGTACGAACAGAAGCAAAAGGCAAATGGGTTCAAGACTTCTTCGACAACAAGTATGGTCAGGGCAAGCTCGAGCTTGTCGTTGTGCCTGCCATGGAGACCAAGGGCGCATTCGATGATGCCGTCAAGGGTATTGATCTTGATGCCTTCCTGCTGCAGCGATACAGGACTGATGCTCTACAGNGCTGCGAGGGTGTTGTTCACGTCGCTACCAACATCTCCTTCTCCAAGAACCCAAACGATGTCATCCCTAGTGTTATCGCCGGTGTGACCCATACCCTCGACGCCGCCAACAAGGAACCTTCGGTCAAGAGATTCGTCTTTACATCGTCTTCTACTGCTGCCACAAACCCCGTGCCAAACAAGGAGTTCAACATTGACGAGAATTCCTGGAACCAAATCGCTATCGACAAGGCTTGGGCCGACCCACCCTACACCGAGGACGACAGAGCGTGGAACGTTTATGGCGCAAGCAAGACTCAAGGAGAACAGGCTGTCTGGAAATACGTCAAGGAGACCAACCCTCACTTCGAGTGCGATACCGTCCTGCCCAATGCAAACTTTGGCCCCATCCTTGAAAAGAGCCAGGATGCAAGCACTGCTGGTTGGATCAGAGACATCTTCACCAAGGGCTTCGCTCCTCAACTCGAGCAGATTCCACCCCGTATGTTGTCTCTGTCTTCGTGCACAGCTGTTCATAGACTAATCCGTACAGAATGGTTCGTCAACGTCCAAGACACCGCTCGCCTGCACATCGCCGCCCTCATCGACGCTGACATCAAGAACGAACGTATCTTTGCCTTTGCCGAGCCATACAACTGGAACTCGGTCCTCGCCGCCATGCGCAAGGCCCGTCCCGACAAGAAGGTTCCTGAAGACCTCAAAGACAACAGCAAGGATTTGAGCAAGGTTCTGCCCAAAGCTCGTGCTGAGGAGATTTTGAAGAAGCACTTTGGTCAGACCGGCTTCGTTGGCCTCGAGGAGTCGATCAAGCAGAACATCGCGAACCTGTAGATGCTGCAAGTCAACAAAGACATGTAGCCTTTGGAAATTGAAGTCTACATCAATGGTTGCGTGGCCCAATGGCAAGGCGCTTGACTACGAATCAAGAGATTCCAGGTTCGACCCCTGGCGTGATCATTTTTGCCGTTTTTGCTCTTCCATCTGTAGCAAAACACTTGGTGGCTCTTTTCGAACTGTGCTTTGCGTCTTTTCATCTTGACTTTTCTCCCCAACGTTTTCGACGTACAAAAACAGCTTCGGTGATATTTCGGCCTTTTGCATGGCTTTGCAGAGTTACAAAGTCATATTCTCGCTCCCCTCAGAAGCAAAGGAAGACGCGTCCTCGCAAGGCACTTTGTACGATAGTGTTGTTTCTACTAGACCAAGTCATTTTAATGTGCATTTTCAGACGAAAACCCGCACGAGACACAGAAGGCGCTGTCTCTGTTCACGTCAAACATGCAAAGATGTCAAGGAAAAAATCCTCATAGTCCAATACAAATTGACCACACTTCTATACATGAGCTAGGTAACTCATCACCACACCATTATCAATGCGGCGAATCCTCATCTTGCGCAAAATGCTCTCTCGCCCACGGAGACTTCATCCTCAACCTCTCGCCATAATAAAACCACAACCACGGAATGGGAATCATGAGAATGCTCAAGAAAGCCAATAGACTTGACGCCCACTCATAGCCCAAACGGGTATACATTTGGTTGGCGAAGAGAGGGAAGCCAGCGCCTACGAGATTGCGGATGAGAATAACGCCGGCTAGGGCAGAGGCAGAGTAGGTTTGATAGCTGTCGACGACGTAGTTGAGGATGGAGAGAATGACGATGTAGATGCCTAGGCCGAAGACGCCCGAGGCGAGGATGGGGACGATCCAGTGGACTGAGGGGAAGGAAGTCCAAGCAAACCTAGGAAATGCGTTAGCCAAATCGCTCATGTCGAAAAACATCAATAAGAAAGAATACAAAACTCACCAAAACAGCGAAATGGGCAACAAGAAAGCGCCAAATCGCGCAAGCCAGATTCTTGCCTCAGGGACACCTTTACCGTCATTCCTGGCCACTTTACGCAAATAATAGCGTTCTTGGATGGGGTACAGTGCAACACCGACCACACTTCCCATAGCCAGTCCCAAGAAAGCAAGTCCCTGTTCGCCGACATTAAAGCCATGGTTCTTACCAAAGACCAAGGGAAANGCTTCATTAAAAAGATAGACCAATCCATAGATGAATCCATTGTATGCAGCAGCACCAATGGTAATGGGCTCTGTAAACAAAAACCGGAAAGGTCGGGTCAGGGTAATGGCGAATAAGGTGTGTAGACTCTTGGACTCGTCGGCGTGTGCGTCGAATACTCTTGCTGCCGATTTGTCGAGACCGTCTTTTTTNAGTGCTTTGCGCACGCGAGCGGCTTTNTTCTCGAGGATGGTGCTGTGGCGAGTTTCGGGAAGAGTGGCNCTTGGAGTGTGTCAGTCTTGTCGTTCGTAAAAGAATTGAATGATGACTAAGACGCTCACCATCATGATAAGCCAGACACCGCCAAAGATGGCCATGTATACCCAGAATAGCCAGCGCCAGCCTTTTTCCTGAGCAATGTATCCANNGGAGATGACGAGGGCCATGGGTGGACCGAATGTCGAGGAAAGACCGTAGATGGACATGGCTGGTCCACTGGCGTTTCGCTCCCAAATGTCTGACACAGTGCCTCCGGTATTTGTCAATGGCGCTGAACCACCGAATCCTTGGATCAGTCGGCAGACAATGACTGTAGCAATGTTGGGTGCTAGCGCCAGTGGTAATTGAAAAATGAATAAGATAAACCCNTAGAAGGTACAGTTAGCATGATCTTCCACAGTTGAATGGAGAGAACACCGCGGCTTTGCTAGATATGTGCACTCAGATCTGCGAGAGGCGGCCCGAGACGATGATAAGAGCCTCTCGTACAGATTGAGACAGAATGCCAGCATAAGTCGTGGTATTCGGCTTGACTTACACGAGCAGAAGTAAACCGGATTACGGCCAAAGTATTCGGAGAGAGGCGCGAGAAGCATAGGACTGCGGATAGAGGTTAGACATGACTATTGCAACAGCAGCATTCCATCAACTTACCCAATCGCAAAGCCCAAGATATACATTGAAAGTCCAACGGTTCCAACTTCATCAGAAACACCAAACTCCTCAACAAGCTGCCCAACACCAGACGAATACCCACCAGCACACAAACAAGTCAACACATTCAGCGAACTAGCAAAGCAAGTGATATACCACTTCTTTGCTTTGCCCCAATTGCGAGGGTTGTCTCTGTCGTCTGGCGAAAAGGTAATGTATATCTCTCGAGATTCGTCTGGGTGTGCTTTTGCGTGTTGGTAGGCCTCGTCTTCCGAGAGCCAGAGCCTTGCATTGACATCTTCGATTTCTGAACGGGTGCGTCCTGAGGTTGATGATCTCTCTGAGTCGATCTTCTTCTCGACCTCTGAGGGNTCTTCTCGTTCTACCGCTTGCTCCATGATGATGTTGTAAAGGTGAAAAGCAGAGGAGATGCGAAAAGAATAGAAGAGGAAAAAAGACACAGTGATAAAGAAGAAAGGCTATGACCTACGAGGCTCTCTTACGGTGTTTTACTCTGGTCGTGTGCCGGGGTCCGGGGACCGGTCTCGCAAGCAGATAACGGAGTTTGGTGACGAAGGCAGAGACTCTCCATGTCACTCCGCGAGGAGTGTCTCCATCGTTCTCCGCAACCTTGTAAACGATCTGTCTTGATTGGTAGAAACCATAGTTGGTGTGCCGCGATTGGGAACATTTAAACTAGCGCCGCCGTCGTAACCGTGATGCTTATTTCGAGCGAATCGTGCCCATGAACCCTTACCAAGCACTTGAGTGGCTTGCTTTTGCATGGCGTTGCTTTTGAGGCTCGAGAGACTCTTTTTGGTACATGGTGACATTGTACATATCAAATTTCTTGGTATGGCCACACGTCCGACTAAAAGCTGATTTGTGTTCCGAGACAGAGCAAGAACACTTTAGCAAGTGGATCTCGTCGTTCTTCCCGACATGCCGCGGTAGGCACGGCAATTGTGAAGTCAAAGGTCGGGAAAAAAGAGGTGAAAGAGCTGGGAGCGTTTCCGTGATCAGCAGGAGACTTGGCACACGTCACCGAAACCATCTTGACATTTTCCAATGTCTGTGACTCTCTCTTCCAAGGAAGAATCACATTGACGTGGACACCAAGACATACTGTTGCGCAAATCGTCTTCAGACATCTGCCGCGCAACCTAAACCGCAAACATGTCAACAACAGCAGTCGACCACCCTGCCACCTCACACCCATCCTCAACCCTCCAAACCGCAAAACGCAATCTCCAATTCCTCTACGACCCCTCCTCGCCCAACGCACCTACAAAGCGTCGCACACGCGCTCTCCTCCGCACCCTCCGCTACACCCTGAAATTCCTCTTTTGGCGATTGGTGCGGTATGCAAAGTACGCAGCTGTTGGCGCCATCACGGCAGCGATCGCCGGCACAGCGATAGGGAGTGTCGCATCAGGGGCTGCGTTTGTGATAGCACCGACAGGAGTTTTGGGAGGTGCGGGTGTGGGCTTGTTGTGGGGGTTGGGCAAGTTTGGGTGGAGGACGTTGGCGAGGAGGGTGAGGAGTGGGGAGGTGCATAATGCTGATGCGAGGAAGGATGAGAGGGATGAGGAACGCAAGGTTGAGAGCATCAAACCGCCGAAGATGGAAGAGCCATGGTGAGAGGTTGAATTGCCAGCGACATTGGCTTGCAGTTCTTGGGGCTGCTCAATCCACAGTCATGAGCAAGGATGGAGACCACTGCTTCGCGCCATCGAACACACCAACGGACAACAGGACGTTCGAACGACTTTACGACCAAGTAGGAATAAGCACATACGAGCGATGAACTTTGGAAGAGTCCGCATACGAGCAGCAATACAGTCACCATGATCAGTTGCTCATTTGACGATGGGAAACATATATGGAGCAGGAAGACATCAATAACAGGAATATTGATTGACCAGGGAAGAAGCTTAGGATACACAGCCCACAACCTGACCCAAGTACACCAATTGACCGTTCTCGTTGGAAATCTTCTCGTCCAACTCAATGTTGGCATGCTCGTTCCAGCCACCACGTCCATCACCGAGCACAGCACACAGAGCTCTGCCACCCTCAGCTAGCCAGATCTTGCCCTCCTTGACACTGCCTGTGAAATTTCCATTTCTTTCCCAGACGAGTCTGCCGTCGCGGTTGCCGAGGATATCGTTGAGGTGCAGATAGGCCTCATGTTCAGAGCCGTCGGGACGCCTGCAGAGGGCTTTGAGTGCCATGGTGTTGTAGTCGAGTGAAATGTCGCGGGAGGTTTCGCTGAAGTTGCCTCGTCTAGAGGACTGGTGTTGTTGGTAACCACGGTTGCGCGAGTTTGAGCGAGAGCGCTGTCGAGCATGTTAGCAGTTGTCTGACTCAGGCTGACCCACTAATCACTTACTCTCTTGTAACGCTTCTTGCTATCATCGCTGCTGCTGGAGCTGGAGCTGGAATTGCTATCTCTTCTGCCGGGTCTACCGTAGTTACCAGGAGCTCCGTAGCCTTGATGTTGTTGTGCGTATTTCTCCTCGTCCTTCTTCTTCTTGTGGTCCTTGCCAAAGTCCTCGAGCTTGGAGCCAGCAAAGGCGCCACCGATAGCACCAATGATGCCGTGATTCATCTTGTGTCCTCCATATGCACCGGCAGCACCGCCAGCAAGAGCTCCCATCATGCCACGATCACCCTCGACTCCAGGCTGGCCACCATACGAAGGTTGGTTTGGTGCGTAAGGGGCAGACTCGGAGCCTTGGTAGGAGGTGTTACCACCATAGCCGCCGTGTGTCTGAGAGGGATACTCGTCGCGAGCAGTCAAGGGCTGCTGAGGCTGACCATAGCCTTGCTGGTGAGATTGATAGCCGCCTTGCTGACCATACCCTTGGTCGTGTTGAGGGCCGCCATATTGTTGCTCATGGCCGTACTGGCCTTGCTGAGGGCCACCGTATTGGTTGTTATGCTGTGGCTGGCCGCCGTAACGCTGTTCGTCGCCGTACTGGTTCGATGGAGCTCCAGAGCCATAGCCTTGCTGCTGCTGACCACCACCGTAGTAGCCTTGAGCTTCGCCGCCGTAGTTGTTGTATGACATGTTTCTGAGGTGGGTATAGGTGATATGAAAACCAAAGGGGGAAACAGAGAGGTTGAGGTAAAGCTATGTTTTATATTCGTGAATTGAGTTGGAAGGATGAGGGGCAACTTTCTACTTCCTTCTGTCAAGAGGTTACGTGTCTGTCGTATCAGACGCCGTATCAAACATCTCACCGACCTCATAGCGCATTAGGAAGGACCATTTGCTAGTCATGGCGCAGCTTGCTAACCCTTTCGTCATTCTGGCATCCAATGTCTTGTATCAATCCACAAGCTGAGCAGTTCTGTGCCACACAGCCACCTTACAGACTATCGAACAGGTGGCTATGTGCAAACAGATAGCTCCTGGGCTGCATTCATCAGAGGCTGTGCAACACTGTCGTGGCTGTCCTTTCGAAGGATTCACTGGGCTTCTGGAGGTCGATGGGGCCTCGGTCTGAGCACTGGCCGACAATTCTATTTTCGGTCTTCCTTCTCGGCGTTCGTCTGCCAAGGCCAAGATATCATTTTCGACGCTCATAGAAAAAAATATCATCCAAGACAGAAATTCATGCCGTTTTAAATGCACACAAAAGCAAAATGATAGTTGATCACGCCAGGGGTCGAACCTGGAATCTCTTGATTCGTAGTCAAGCGCCTTGCCATTGGGCCACGCAACCAATTATTGAGGAGTATATGGATAAAATCGAATATAATCACGATAAATGTTCAGTTGTGGGCCATGGTTTCATCGATGGTTATCTGGTCGGCTAAGTCAATTACCATAAGATCACATTATCAACAACCGTATTGCAACAGTTTGAACAAATCTAGCCAGGCTAAGATCCTAGAACATTAAACAACGTGTCCTTATGGATGACTCTAAGATTCTCCAATTGTATTCTTGCTTCGACTCGCCCTCACTCTTCTGACATGACACCTCAGTCGTTTGTCTTTGCTGACTTGTAACTTCCATGTGATTCAGTACAGCCGAGTCTTGCATAAAATGATTCCTTGTTCTCTTGAGAACCAGTTGACCCTCTGCAAATCCTCAGAAGTGCAGGATCGTATCTAGTGCCAAGTTGCGACCCTTTGGTGATATGACGAAGTGTAACTCCAGCAGTGATTTTGATTCATGATCTCTCTCACGGGTGTCGTGGTGATCGATATATCGCAAGATAGACGCCGCAGACCGAGGAAAGCGTGCATCAGTCTTGGAGCAGCAAGAACTCGAATGTCTCGATTGATGGTCGGACCCGAGAGCTGGCTCTAGACGTATCCGGTATGAACCTGTGATAGGCTTCTGGTCTGAATCAGTAGCACTTCGAGGCTCCTCCTGAGATAGAAATTGACAAAGGTTGCCGAAGACAGGGAAGTATAAATCTTCCTCAACCATCCTGTCAAAGCACGTTATGGTTGTTGGTTATGACAGAGAAATCTCTCGATGAAGAAATCCAGTGGATTTTCCGACGAGCGGCTTGTAGGATATGGTATGCTTCAAGCGCTGAAGATCGAAAGAAAGGCAGTGCTGTGATATGCGTGAGCCTAGAGGGATATCTTGACTCGACTTGACATCCGTCAGACCGGTCTCCTCGATATCTATGATGGTCTCCACAATCTTTGCGTACGTGGTACTGTTCAGCAGACCTTCCTGTCGATTCGACATTCGTAAAGTGTGCACGATATCTCTGCGGAGACTTGGATCTCGGCAATGGCGGGCAACTTCGTAGAGAGGACCAATTACACCCATGTCGAGAGCAAAGGAAGGAGCGAGTGGTTGCGCGTCTGAACTCGACAGACCTAAATTGCTCTTTGCCAAGGAGACGATTGCGCGGTAAAGAGGAAGGAACGAGTCGTTTACGGCGGCTTGTTGGTCTTCACTTATGCCGACGGCTTCCTCAACAAGTATATTGGTGGTTTCCAGAAGTCTCCGCATGTGTAAGACATTGTATGCAGCAGTCTCGCGCGAGATCGAAGAAGTGTCCTGTGTGGTTTGCGGGACTCCAGACATGATGCAAAGTCGCTTGAGCCTTTCTTCTAGTGGCAACTCTCCAAAGATCGCTGCACAGTCTCGCAGTAGATCTCTGCAAGAGTCGCGCCAGTCGTCTGGTGCTTGATATTGCGCAATGACTTCTTTTGAAGCGTGGTCAGAGAGACTCGATCCGAACATGTCCTTGTCCACTNNAGCTTCAATCTTCATCAATATACCAAGTTGGAACAGATAGCAGAGAAAACTTACACGCTGGGCGTGGATCCGAAGGCGAGATATGAGGTCTTCGTACAGCGAAGTGTACTGGTCTGTGGAACTCGGTAACATAGCGACAGAGCGTTGTAACAGTGAGACGGCAGATGCAAGATGACCTTGCATGATTTCGATGCATATGAAAACAATCGCAGTCGACATTGCAGAACTGGAGTTCAATGTATCTTGCGTTTCTCCGGAAAGCGACTTGATGTGATGGCGGATCGCTGTATCGTAATGATACAAAGCTGACTGATTGTGCTGTAACTGGTTTTGAGGAGTTGTGAAGTCCCGGTGAAGATGAGCAAGAGCGACCAAAGCGTGACGCGTGCCAACGTCTTGCTGGGCCAATTGCAAAACATGTCGATTCCAGAATTCAGAAGGTGAGTTTCCCGCAAATTGTGGTATAGAGACTCGGAGGAAGAAATCAATTGCACTAGATTCCTCTCCGGGTTTGTAAACGTTCAGACTCAACTCTCGATTGTGATTCGGAGACGATGGTTGAGGGGCGACATATCCATCGCACTTTCGACCGGTCGACAAACACTTCTGGCAGCTTGGTCGCGCTTCGTCGCACTTCACCCGTCTNGACTGACAATGATCAGGTTTTACACTATTTCAGATTGCTGGAAAGGAAGACTCACTCCTACATGTGATACAGCCAGTTCGCGTTCTTGGTTTGTATGGGCGTTTGTTCTTTCCATCTTGTTTGTCGCGCATATCGCAATATCCATCGTTCTCATAACCCACTAAACAGGGCCCTTTTGCTTTTGCGATGCAACAGAATGTCCGCTGCTATTCAGAGCAATCGATAGAATGGCGTGTTGAGAAAGATGGCAGGGAGACCGGAGTTCGGCGTTCGGATGCTTCGACGTCCTGTCGCAAACTCCAAACATCAGGCTCAATTTCGCATTAACCACTAATTAAGTTCTACATCTTTCAAGAGTAAGCGATTGCTTGTAAGTCAGTATACAACTGTCCTGAATATGTCTATACACTTCTATCTCATCAGAGATGACTGAGGGGGAGATAGCGAAGTGTGATCCTATCAGATCGCACTGATGACTTTTCAACTGCGGTGTACTGGTTGTTCTAAAGAACGTAGGTCAATGCAAGTTTCGATGATTTGGTCTCTTTAAACATATCATTACACATCTCTCGTTCCTGTTCTCCCTCATGGTCAAAATACACTATTGAGGCTCGCTAGAGCCTCAGCGAAGCACCATCATCTAAAGGGGAAACCATAACCACTAGACTAACAAGCCGAAGTTATGCTTGAAAAGAGGTCCCATACCCGTTCGTAAAACGGTTGATCCTCGGGAGAAGCTTTCATCACGATTTGATCAAATTTCTGGCCAACTCGAAACCTGTCTCGCACCCCACGATCCTTGCATTGCTTGGACACTTAGAGACGTCGGTTTACCGAAGCTGGAGGGTCACTGCGAGACGTGGCAGACCTCACATCTGCTCATTTTGCAGCCCACAGTTGATCCGTCAACTGGCAGCCTCTCTCCGAGCTTGGGCATCATGATTGATTCGAATTCAAACCTCTTGTTTAGCATAACTTTGGCTTGTTAGTCTAGTGGTTATGATTTTCCCTTTACATTCACGGTGCTTCTTTAGGTTCTGATGATCCTCGAAGATGTGGTGTAACTTCGGGAAAGGTCGTGGGTTCGACCCCCACACGAGTCAATCGTTTTGCATTGTCTTGCGACCTTTTCGCGTTGCTTCGAGGCCCAAATCCTTCTTCTTTGCTTAATTTGTAACCTGATGCGTGATCTATTGTTAGACTGCAGGCAGAGTACAGGGCTTGTAGTGCTACAACACCCTTTGTGGGCGGTTTTGAGTGGAAAAAGAATCCGAAGCCTTTTGCTCATGACATGTTTGTTCTATGGCTAACGATGGTCTTGTTCAACTATATCAAACCAATGTACGTATACTTTGGCAAATTATGTCAGCTTCGATGTTTGGCTTATCTGTGATCGGTTTTCATCGCCCTCGTATGTCAGAGTAGCATGAATACCATTCTGGTCGATCACTGTCTGATTTGGACACCGAGTCTCCAGTCCAAGACTCAAGTTTCTACTGCCTACATATATCCAAGTGAGTCTCGTTCATCGAAGCCGAATGCGATCAATTGCACCTGCCATATCACTTGGTCTCTCACAAAAATGTCATCAGTATCCGCTTGGGCTACTTCCGCTCGCGAAGAAATGAGAAGACATCCAGCAAACGTCGATAACATGAACGAAGGCCTCCAATCAATAGATGTAATCGAAAACTTCTTGACTGGTGGCCAGTCAGCCCTCAGAGCCGGACGCCGTATAGCCTGCACCTACGAACCACGACTCAAGACCGGACAAAGAGATAGTGCTGCCATTCTATGGGCAACAATAGACNGTGCTGACAATTTTTCAGAGATTGACCCTCCAGACGGCAACGACGCAGAATGGCATGCCCAAGCTCCGCAACTACTCAACATCACGATATTTGCAGCAACATTGATGGTCCACGCAGGCGGAAACCCCAATGTGTCGTTTCCAGCAAGCATTGCTATGGAAAATAGTGTAAATCGACCATACGATAACACCCGAGAATTGCAAGAAGAGTGGCGCATGTATATACCGCCAGCAGCAACTTGGATACTAATTGCTGGAAGCAACATACGTGAGCTCTGCTTCATGGATGAGCTACCCGAGACTGTCAACAACCATGCGGTGAGGTCTCGATGGGGTGGAAGAACGTATTGTCCAGAGAGATGGGAAGCAGCGGTTCCAGCAGCTCGCAGAGGATCCAGCGATTGGCGATCGACGTCAGGGATATGCAGCACATGCTTGTGAGGCTATGAATCAGTTGGATACGCAGAAATAGGGTGCTTGTGTCTTCATTACTTGTCTCACTGTTTTGTTCTGTGTCTTGTCTGGATTTGTATCACTCAACCTTGCGTAATGCTATAGCCCAGGATCGTCACTACAGTTCACCCAAGGCCAATAGGGATATTGTTTTAAGTATCATGCCTTAACAAAAGATCATAGAAGTATGTGACATGAGTATTGATGGATAAAGAGGTATACATACGTGTGATACAGGGTGACAGTGCCAACAAGAAGAAAAAAAGAAAAAAGCAGTGCGGATGTTAAATGGCATGGAATAAGTAGAATGTTGGAATATTCCACTGATTATGAGTGGAATATTCTACTCCGTTGGCATGGAATAGAATCGTCAATTTTAGTGGAATATTCCACCATTCCACTCTCTAGCAAGGTTGATATTATTTCTATTGGGTATGTTGATCTTCATATATTATCGCGCTTACATAATCGTGCCAAGCCTGCTGATTACTAATCAATAGACAGGGTGACCCCTGACATGGACAGGGTGGCGACAACAACAGCAGCAAAATTGGAATTGGCATCATTCCACTAGAGAATTGGCATAGAATGGAATACTAGCTGGAAGTGGTGGAATGGAATGGAATGGAGCCGATATTCCACCGATTCCATGTAACATCCGCTCTGGAAAAAAGAAGAAGCATCGATTTGGACCAACTCCCGACGACTCTGTCAGCACGTAATGAAACTTGTTTTCTCGCACAGCAGTCAGTTCGTTTGCAAGCAGGCTTGCATCTCATCACTCATCAAAACTCACCATGGATCGTCGCAAGGGAAACATCGTCAAAGCCAAGCATTTGTTCACGGCTGACGCGCGTACTCCGAGTATATTGAGGCTTATGCACCAGCCACAGCACGGAAGGAAAGGCTAAGCAATAGTGCACGTACGAGCTCAAGGCTAGCTACTAATAGCTATGTAACAACGTGATCAAGGCAGTGCAGATTGCGACGAGACAGCGGGAAAGGATGCATGTGCTCAGCCGTGAGCGAAGGTCGGGATGCTAATTGCTCTGTTGCCATGTCCACAGAACTAGCAGCAGCACAGCCAAATCATTTTCTCAGAGAGCCTCAGGCAGCCAGAGAGTTTCGTTAGGGTATTTGGAGGCGAAAGTATGTACCTGAAAGAAGTGAATATATCCCACGCGGCGAAAGTAAACCTCTTTGACAACTTGAAGCGATATCATCGATATCGTTGCTCTGTCACTGCTCGCTTCAATGGAAATTTCCAACCAAGCATCAGTGGCTGTGTCAAAACCTGGAAAATCAAAACAATCAATCGATCAGCCGGAAGATCATGATCATCATGAGCACCCAAATAGAAGTTTTTATGCAGAATCTCGGGAGGAACAGATCAGGAAGCCACTTTCCCCACGTTACGTATGTAGCTCTCCCTGAACGTCGAACGCCGAAACGACGGCAACGCCTGCCTGGCCAATTCGCCTCCAAAAGGTTGTGACGTCCATGGCTCCTGCTTTCGTACGCAAAAACGTCATTCGGGAGGCCAGAACCTGCCAGAATTCGTAGGTGTTTACGGAGATCAGCCTCCTTTTGCTCGTAAAATGGAAAGTAGGAAGGTAAATTGGCAGGACAGGCCAATCAGAGCCAGCACCAATATGGAAGAATAGGCCAGCCTGTATCGGAGTCTCGGACCTGGTAAGGGTTTCAGGGTTTCCCGTCATTCGGTGGTTGGATGTTGTGATGCAAGCAAAAGTGAAGTCGCGCCTTCCCTCCCATATATAAACCACTGCTGCCTCCTCACTTGAGCTCCTATTCCAAACTCAACCTTGTTCATCAAAACAACCTTCACCTACAGTCACCTTACACAACTTACATCAAACTTTAATCTACCCACACCACAACCATCAAAATGAAGTACTCTTTCGTCTGCGCCGCCCTCGCCGCCTCGGCCTCTGCCCAGATCGTCTCTGACATCACCTCGATTGGTGGCTCCATCATTTCTGCCGGTACTAGCGGTGCTGGATCAGTCGTTTCTGCTGCTACCTCCGGTGTTGGCCAGGGTATCTCAGGTGCCTCGTCCGTCGGATCAGTCGCCGTCTCAGGAGCCTCCTCGGCTGCCAGCGTTGCTGTTTCTGGCGCTTCGTCTGTTGCAAGCGCAGGCACTTCCGGAGGCGCAGCTGCTCTCTCTACCCTCACTGCCAGCGCCTCGGCTGACCTGTCGTCTGCCTCTGCCGCCCTCGCCTCCGAGAGCATGGACATCAGCTCTCGCTTGAGCTCCCTCTCCGCTGCTCAGTCTACCGCCACTGGTTCCGCCAAGAGCTCTCTCTCGTCTGAGGCTGCTGCTCTCCAGTCGTCGGCCTCTTCTGCCCTCAGCTCTGGTACCAGCGCCTTGAGCTCTGCCTCGTCGCGTGTCTCCTCCGCAGTCTCTGGCGCTTCGTCCAGCGTTGCCAAGAGTGGTTCTTCGGCTGCCTCGTCCGCCTCCAAGTCTGCCTCATCAGCTGCCTCGTCTGCTTCCTCTGCTGCCAGCACTGGTGCTGCTGCCTACAACGGACCCGCTGTTGGTGGTGTCCTCGGTGCCGCCCTTGGCTTCGCTGCCCTCCTCTAAGCAAATCAATCCATACCCACGCCTATCACCACCTCAATAACGAAAAGATGTCTATTAGCATCAGGTTGAGATAGGGAGGAATGGTTTTCCTGTTTTCACGAATCGTTACGTCTGTACACCATGCCCCAGCATAACTTCCTGTAATACAATTTTATACACAAAAGCAGAACAACATTTGTCTACTCAATCTGTCTTCTTCTCGTAGTGATGTGAATGCTAACCTCAGCTCTAACAGGAGTGCTTATTTTCCACTCTTCATGTTCTTAGGTTGCGGCATCCACGATCTTAATGAAAGAGAACAAGCTTGGCGCGGGCTCAAACATCAAATCATACCTAAGCTCAACGTCACCTACCTTATAGATTGGTTGCTGAGATAACACTGTATGTTCCAAGCAGAGGATGTATTCTTCGCAACAATCTTATTGTACAAGTGCATTTAGCGCTACGTGTCATTTCTGCTTGACATCACAACTTCGATGATACAAATGGGGAAAAAGTATAAACTCGACAATGCGTTTGCTACCTAGGCAGACAACCGTACAAGATGTAGAAAGATTCCAACATGCCGACCTTTGATCGCCCCATCCCAAAGAGGAGTATTGACTCAACATTGTAGATATCCTGTGACCAAGATTGATGCCGCGACAATCGCTTTCTTCGTTTCTGTCAGATATGCCGAGACATTATCGTGGATGGTCTCCAGGGACAAGCGGAAGTAGTGTCGGATGATCAAGTGACATATAAATGCCAAGATGAACAGGTAAAAGAGCCATTTGAATGACCAGTTGTGGTGGATATACAGGGCGAGGAGTGTGAGGATTACTGCGAGAGGGAGAAAAAGGACGAACGCTAGGTAGGTTGTATGCTTGACTTGTGTGCAGTGATCGCAGCAAGAGTGGTGTGCCGGCTGTGGAGGTGGTGGATGGAGATGGGGTGTTGGTGGTTTAGGAGTTGGCGGCTTCGGAGTCGGTGGACGTGGAGGTGGTGGGTGGAAATGCTGGCAACAGAGTTGAAAGTGAAGGAATTGGTTGAGGTGTCTGAGCTCTTGATCGGCGTAGATCAATATTGCTTGGATGATGGATACTTCGTGTAAGAGGCACGATCTAAGACATGGCTCGCAGGCGAAGAGGGTATCAACCAAAACATCAAAGTCGATGAGCCAGCAGAGGAAGGGGATGTAAGCGAGGCATTGTCGTTTGAGATTGATATGGTAGTCGTATTTCTCGACTATAGTTGGAGGCGGGTCGATGCGGTACTCGCAATTCTTCGCTCTTCCTATGTCGTTCAATAGTTCCTCGATGTAGATTTGCAGGATGAGAAAGGGGAGGGCTCTGTAGTCGAAACAATGTTGGATTTGATGTTCGAGACTGCTATCCAGGATTGCAAAGCGAAAGTCAGAGCAATCAATGATTGTCGCGCTCAACCGATGTTGTTTCCAGACTGCGGTCTGCCATGAGAAGGGTATGGGTGGTACATCGGCGGGTTCATGTATATCCGCATGCAGTAAAACAACTTATCTGTTTCGTCAGCGATCATCACTCCCGCAGATGGAGAGAAACATACCCTGGCAGATTTCACAGTCATGTCTTCCATAGACCAGAGGAGCTCCCAGATGATTGACCCGACCCCGAGGTAGATGCTCGCATAGTAGATTGCGAGTGTCAAGTGAGACAGGTCTCCTGGTCAATGTCTTGTCGACAAATTGCAAAGAACTTGGAGATGCAGAAGTCGAGCGAATGGCGATNGCTGCAAACCATTAGCCACAGTCTGAAAGACACAAGAGCAAGAGTTCATCGCACATGATGCGGTGGGTCCACTTGCGTCTATCTTCCCAAGACCTCTGTCCGTTGACCCTTCGCTTGAGGATGGCTCTATTCTGTGAGTAGTGAGACCTATGTTGTCTATGAAGATCAGGTTGACAAACCTTCAACCAAGCTACGATGGCTGCATTGTCGTTACATTGCTCGGCGACTGTCTGATATGCACCACACTAGGGAGACAAGTGTTCAGCACCAGACACTTGATAGTCGAGACANCTACTTACCTCATCGAACATCAAGCCGACACAGAAGAAAGCAGTATGGATGGACATGTTCATGCAAGTCTGAGGTGGCTAAGAGTCGACGGCATCAACGGTGCGACAAACCTCGGGCATCCCGCAGGCTCATATAGGTCTGCCAGCCTTGAGGATGAAGTCGAGAAACATGATCGAAGCTATACATGTTTGATGGTCTCCAAAAAACGTGGCGAGCAAGCAATGGACAAATACGAAAGGGTTGCTCGTCGATGTGGACGAGGCAAACATGCATGCATCGGTAAGGCTCGAATTGTGTCGAGACTTGTTGCCGAGTTGGGCGGGGGAAGGTATTGTCCCATGTCCCAGGAAAATACGTCTTGTTGAAAGAGCATTTCCTCGACCTGCGAATGGTGGAAGTCCTGCGAAGCTTCCTCGGTTGGGACGCCTTGGTGGTGAGATTTGTTTCGGGCAGGTTTAAGGAGTGGGTGGCAAGCAATGTTTAGCCGACAAGGAACTTATGAGGGTCACGTTGGCTTGTATGGCAAGGCGCGACCATGTTTGTCAGATACATGTCGAGAGAGGAGACAGGAAAGGACGATGGTGGTGGAGGCGGAGACATGTCACGCCAAGGCAAGACTTCCGGTCCCCGCGTCGCAGCAGAAGCTATGGCGACTTTTTTCCGCAAAGGCAAGGGCAAGCCGCGATTGAGTCGTGGGCGGATCAAGAGAAGGAACGACATGAGGATCGATTGAAATGTTTCGATTGACACGCGGACTCCGAGCAGCGGCAGAGGCGGGCTCGTGGTCGCAGACGCTGCACCTGCCCAAGTCGACCTTTCCCGCCAGACCATCGACCGAAGAACTTCTCAAATACCGGAAACGATGCGCCGACGACTTTTATGCCTGGCAAAAGGACTACTTTCCAAGCGAGAATGAGGAGGGCGAGCGCAACACCTTCACCCTCCACGACGGTCCTCCATACGCAAACGGCCCCGTCCACGTCGGGCACGCTTTGAACAAGATCAACAAGGACATCATCTTGAGAACATACTCCAAGAGAGGCTTCAGGGTGGAATATAGACCAGGGTGGGACTGCCATGGATTGCCCATTGAGCTCAAGGCGCTACAGGCCCACCAACAATCGAGTCTGAACAAGGAATCAAAGAGTCTGGTCGACGACCCCAAGAAGGAAGCCAGTGTTGCTCATGGTGCTGGCCTCAGCCCATTGGCCATCCGCGAGGCTGCAAAGCAACTGGCGACAAAGACCATTTCAGAACAGATGGAAGCCTTCCGATCATGGGGAGTTATGGGCGAGTGGGACAAGCCGTACAAGACCATGGACGCCGACTTCGAGATCAAGCAGCTGCAAGTCTTCAAAGACATGGTCGCAANNAAGGTAAGGTCCGTCCCTACCAGCTCTGACAACTTATAGCATGCCATACTGACTCTAGTTCCCACAGGTCTAATCCACCGCCAGAACAAGCCCGTCCACTGGTCGCCCTCTTCTGGTACCGCCCTGGCCGAGGCCGAACTCGAATACGATGAAGACCACCGCGTTGTCGCTGCTTTTGTCAAGTTCCCCCTGCTCAACCTGCCCTCGACCCTCGCCAATAATCCTGCTGTACATGCCGACTCGGTCAGCGCCTTGATTTGGACCACAACGCCCTGGACTCTGCCCGCCAACAAGGCTATCGCCGTGCGTTCCGACATGTACTATGTACTGCTTGAAGTCACTGGTAACAACCTCCCCAGAGACATGCAAGGCCAGGTGATTGTCGCAAAGGATCGTGTAGAGTCGTTGCAGACCCACCTGCCAGAGGGCGCCACCATCAACATTCTCGTCGACAACATCTCGGGTTCTGACTTGGAAAATACCGAGTACATCAACGTCATCTCTGCCGAGCACAACAAGATCATCCACGCCGACTTTGTTACGGCTACCTCGGGTACCGGCCTCGTTCACATCGCCCCTGGTCATGGTATGGACGACTACAACGTCTGCATGAAGCTGGGTATCGGTCCAGCTTTTGCCCCCGTTGATGATCATGGAAAATATACCACCAAGGCTNTTCCCTCGGATCCCTCCTATCTCCAAGGTCTTCCCGTAGAGAAAGAAGGTGCAAAGGCTGTCGTTGCTCTGCTCAGAAACCCCCACTCCAAGCTCTCCATACCCTCTTTGAAGTCCGAATCATCTTTGATCTTCAGGACGCACAACTTCAGACACAAGAACCCTATCGACTGGAGAACAAAGCAGCCTGTCATCACTAGAGCCACCGACCAATGGTTCGCCAATGTCGGAAGTGTCCAGGAATCTGCTCTCAAAGCTATTCAAGATATCATGTTTATCCCAGATACTGGCAAATCGCGCCTGGAGAGCTTCTTGAAGGGCCGCAGTCAGTGGTGCATCTCTCGTCAGCGAAGCTGGGGAGTACCTATTCCAGCCTTGTTCCACAAGCAGACCGGCGAGGCACTTCTGACTGTCAAGAGCATCGAGCACATTATCAAGACCATCCAACAACGTGGCACGGATGCCTGGTGGGCTGACGCTGCCGACGAATCTGCTTGGATTGCTCCTGACCTTGATCGTGACCTATATGTTCGTGGCAAGGACACTATGGACGTCTGGTTTGACAGTGGAACATCTTGGGCTCAGCTCAAGAAGCGCGATGATGGTTCTCATGCAGACATGATTTTCGAGGGTTCTGATCAACATCGTGGTTGGTTCCAGTCTCTCCTCCTAACTCATCTTTCTGCTCAAAACGACACCGCCAACGCCCCTGTCGGAGCCATTGTCACTCACGGATTCACACTCGACCAGGCTGGTCGCAAGATGAGCAAGTCCTTGGGTAACGTCATCTCTCCTCAGGAGATCATCAGTGGCACTATCATACCCCCAGCAAAGACCAAGAAGGGAACAAAGACTGTCCCTCGTCCGGTTCAAACCAAGAAAGACGCCATGGGTCCTGACGCTTTGCGTTTGTGGGTCGCAAGCAGCGACTATACCAAGGATGTTGTCATTGGCCAGCCTGTCCTTCAAGCCGTGCATTCATCACTTCACAAATACCGCACGACTTTCAAGTGGCTCCTTGGCGTCATGCATGACTATCCTGCTCCCTTGCCTGCTGAAGACTTCATGCAGCAACTCTACTTTTCTGATCAAGTCGCCCTTCACCAACTTTCAAAGACTTCAGCAGAGGTCTGGAAACACTATGCTGCCTACGAGTTCCACAAAGGTGTGCAAGCCATAAACAAGTTGATCAACACAGATCTTTCAGGATTCTACTTTGAGGTCATCAAAGATAGGTTATACGCCGAAGACGAAGAGATCCGTCGGCATACACAAACAGTGCTCTTCATCATTATGGAAGAGCTCTGCCATATGTTGGGTCCTATTACTCCTCATCTTATCGAAGAAGTATGGGAACACATTCCTGAACAATGGCAGCCATACGACGTTAGATCGCCAAACCGAAGAACATGGGAATATCCGTTCAACGCCGAGTTCGACTCCTACAGAGCTGAAGGTGCTATGGAGATGGTGATAAAGACCTTCAATACTGTCTCAACAGCCGTCAAATCCGCTCAAGAGAATGCACGCAGAGCAGGCAGACTTGGTAGCGGACTGGCATGCCGTGTTGAGCTACAGATGCCTCGCGAGACCGGCAATGTATTCTTGACCCTCCTCACTGATCTTGGCGCCAACGACGAACTGGCAGAACTCTTCGTCGTCTCTGAAGCCACTATGGTTCCCGACGACCCAGACTTCCGCCGCAAGATCGCCGAACAAGAACCAGATGAAGGACTTCGCGCCACTCTCCTTGAACCCGAGGAGCCGCCAGCCTGGAAGTTCGAATGTGAATTCGAGTGCGGAGATGAAGGTGTACCCGCTACAGCAAAGGCTGTCGTGTTGCCACCCAATGCAGAAAAATGCATCAGATGCTGGCAATTCACTTCTGAGGAGCCCGACACGCTTTGCGGAAGATGTACTGATGTCGTCAGTGATGACTTGGGTGTTGATGAACAGATGCTTAATGAGTCAGAGGCGGAGGAGGAAGAGGAGGTAGAGGATGAATTGGCCAGATACCGTTGATGATGTCTAGCCTGCCTCTTCCCCTCTTGAGTGTATTGTACAATAGTTCACTGTAGGAATAGTCTCGGGCGTTTTTGGGAATCTCGTCGGTCTCTGGCTGCATATATCAAATTTCTTTTTCCTTACTTCCTCATCAATCCATACACAAACAGACATAGGGAAAGCGCACTTCCGGCTCTGTATATCTGTTGCGTCCTGAACAAGCGTGATTGACCTTTCCTCTTGCCGTTTTCTTGCCTGTCCATGTCTCTTTGTGTCGCTCTTTCCATCTCACTCGAGCATTTCCGGGGTTTTCCCAACTCTTGTTTTCCTTGTGTGCTGTTTCTCCACTCGTTCTTTCCGCGTTTGATGTGAAATGATCTTTGCAGGTCGATGAATGCAGGGGAAGAGCAACTCTCCGAAGCCATTGCTGTCGTGTGAGTGTACAAGTGGCATGTTTGCTTCAGATGCACGGTAGGCTAGCGCAACGTCATGACAGATGTTATAATTTAGCTGTTTCGCATGGCAAAATACTGTCAATCGAGATGGTTGCTTAGATTTTGATGCAAGGCATGGTACTTTGGGAAGTAGTCAGTGATGCGATAGGGCGACCGTGAGACGGGGGGGGGGGGTTGCAAAGGCGTGGATAATCAGTTGTGTGAGGGTAGGAATAGCATGTTTTGTTCTGTGAGATTGTAGGTTATCGCAATGTTGCAACAGATGTCGCAAGACACACATATCGCAGTGCACAACGCCAACATGGATTGAGTAGATGCCCATCGCGATCTTGGTAGTCCTGACAAGATGACGGGGCCTGGATTGAGAGTCTTGGTCCTTTGGAGAGTACTCTTGAAAGCCGGCATACTAGAGGGTTTCTTTTGGGACAGAAGACGCAATGTTATGTAGTGGTTGGACTGCCGCATGTGTATCCAGTGCATTCGTTTTCATGATGAGAGTGAAGCGGAGGCCTCTTGAGAAAGAGACAAATAGAGTAAAGCGGCACCTCACCTCAATTCTCCAGTCCCCGAGCTCACTGTTCGAAAGCAAAAGTTGAGGATGTGTTGGTCATGTGCATCCTGAATGAAAGGCTTGATTACAGACATACTCATGAGTTGCTTTCAGCTACAGAAATTGAAGCCCTTACAACTCTGCAGATGTGAGAAATTGGGGGAGTGGAAAAGTTTCATACCCGTCGTTTGTCGTGGTATGAAAATTCTGTTTAAATCTTTGCTTGAGTGACTCTGGTTACACAGCATCCAGCCAGAGAGAGAACGGTAGGCAGGCCGGAAATTCAGCCAGAAGCAATAACCATCTCGTTGGTTTACCCTCAGAAACTTGAGATTATCCATGGCTTCATATCAGTCGACCATAATGCAACATGGATAGCTGCCGTCCATAAAGTATATTCTGTCAAACATCTAGGTTCCTTGTAGACGTATATACTGCCCAAGCAGCAGAAAGCTAGAGCGCGAGACCGGATTGCAACGATGGACTCCCGCTTGTCTAGATTGTAACTTCCATCAGAAACCTTGGAGTCATGGCAATAGACTCGCCCCTGGAGTTAGTGGCGGTGTGATATGTTGGGAGAGTCTGGGCTATTGAGGCTGAGGCATAGAGAGTGCATCGTTGGTATATGACGAGGCTGATCTGCTGGGATGTACACCCAAGGATGTATCAAAATCGACAACGATGTCGGATGTGGCCCGATTCGGAAAGAGCCGCCTTCTGATGGGGGTATGATCACTAAACTCAGTCTACTCATGGCACCATGCAACGTCCAGTGTTCTGGGCTGGCTTGAATCGAGGTTGTGATTAAGTTGGTCCAATGATATGAATGGGGTCGATGTGGTATTGCTAATCATGGCCAAGTTGCTCGACCCATGATCCGTAACTTTTCCTGTGCAGTTGTAGTGTATCGGTCCTCGAGCTTATCGCCCGACCTTGATGGCCTGGCCGTGTGTGGTTATTCGACATGCTTCACGTTGCTTTGAGCCTGTAGTCATCTGCTAAGAGAAATAAGATTCCACGTGCGTCTCACTGCATGGCATCTGACGGAAGGATGGAGGGACCAAACCTTAACTTGCTATTGTACAAGAGGGTCCCAGACCTAGAGAGTCAGAATGACAGTGTCAATTGTCTGCAGGTCAAAAGATCAAACGTAATTATAATAGTTGCTGGGTGATAATCTCTCCTGAGATCTGATGTCGTGTGGTGGCCCATGCCTGTCGGTCGTATTGCACTCAAGGGCGAGGGCTGAGAGGATTGTGCGACAACGGCCGGTGCTTAATTCAATGCGATCGTCTTCGTTGAGTGCGTTTCAGCGATGGGAGGTACAGTAACGGAGACTCTACGTACGAATGCAAGTCATGTCTTCGCTCCTCCAAAATTCTGAGAGGTAGTTCGATGCACAAAGTCAGTAACTTGAGTCTTGTTCAGACGTTGACCATTAGACGCAGGTTGCTTGGCCGCGGAGCCGTTGAAAGAATCGCGACGATTGCGTGGAAGAAAGCCTTCTCTGGTGGAAGTTAGGGCTTGCTTTCCAGAGCACATGTTAGAAACTGCCAAGCTGATACTTGTGTTTGCGATCTCTGAGGTACAACAGTCGCGTACCACTGCGCAAGGTGCAAGGTGATGTCTGATCAAGCCTCGCAAGCCAGACTTTTTGCAATGGAGAAGAGGGTTTGATGCCGCGCGTGGATCGACCGGGACACAGCCTTGAGCTTGAGTACGCTGCCTGTTTCGGTTCGATGTCGCAATCATCAAAAGTCTTCTTCGCTCTAGGTGTGCGAGGCTAAACTCAACATGTTTCGGCTGCGGCGATGTAACCATGATGAATTCCAAGAATGGGAACCGAAGCTTTTCTGAGCGAGCCGTTCATTCTGAAGAAGATGCCGGATTTTGATGCGTGAACGCGCAGAGACGCGATTCTCTGCCTTGTTTTCCGTAATCAGATCTCCATCGGATCTGCCTCGTCGCAAAAAGCAGATATCGTATCGCATCATGTCTGAGATCGTTACGGCATCATTGCAATTGGAGGCAGAGCGAGACTCGAAATGAGAGACTGACTGTTCGCACGTAAAGATCATTCTGATCTCTATCTCGTCGCGCGGGATGTCGCCATCGCAGACATTCGCGTTTGGTGGGGACACCAAATCATGCCGCCACGCGACAAATTTCCCACTGGCCCCGCACACCAGGGGTTGGACCATCTCTGTTGCATCCGGACAGGCCGAGTGCTCGTTGATCGCCGCTAGATTTTCGTTAGCAACGGAGATTCAGCGAGTGGCTTCTCTTGCAGACTGCAAGCTGTTTCCCCTTTTCTTTGCCCACCTTCACCACGCCGACATGATCCTGCGCCTGCACCTTGCAACGGCCTCACATATCCGCCGGGCAGTTGAAAGTACGGAGTAACTTCAGCTGCTGATTCGTGTCCGCTTCTTGAATCGCTAGTCTGCGACTCTAAAAGGAACGTCTCTCTCCTCGTTCCGGCGTGGAAACAATGCTTCCACGATGTTTCCAAGTTTGGTACACTTCTGGCTTTCTGACACCTCGGACTCAAAGCTTCTATGCTCCCTGCCGATCTACTCCCGTTTTGCGCCTTGCTCTAGGGCCCGGCTTCTCGATCAAGCACCTCAAGTACCCTGACCTCCCAAATCTTCTTACTCACTCGACAGGTCAAACAGCAGAATGACGGTGTTGATTGACGAGATACTCTCGATGCTGATCGATGCTTGGAACAAGGTACAGAACAAGGCTGTCACCCAGCTTCGAGAACCTATTCTCAACTCCCGAGATTTGACCTACGTCAGAAAAGTCGTGATGTTCAATTTATGCTCTACTATTGCATCTCGAAAGCTGGGATTATGGATGATTGCTTCCCTTTCAGATGCCTGTGCCCCGAGAAGTCTGTTTTGTGGTAGAGCATTGTCCTCGGCCGCCCAATCGATAGATTGTACATTAGCAATGAAAATGCACCTTGTATGTCTGCATACATTGATCCGGCGTCATGGATCTCATGGTACTTAAGCCCTTAAACACAGATGGAGAAATGACTCGCGGGCTAAACTGATTTCGGACCTGACATAGAATACTGCAAGAGCGTTTGGCCAGTTGCAGCTACTTTTTCCTTGCTTTCTTGTTCGTCAGACAAAATCGTCCCGTTGTGGAGCGGAGCTCAGCTGAGAATTTCGAATCTCGAGAAACTCTTAGAGTTCGCTCTGACAGTCGGGACACCGTCCATGTGGCTCTGTTTTTCTTAGTGCTCTACCCATCCGGCCGTATGCTGAATGTATCCGCCTTGCGCCCTGCGTACATTACTCACACAGTGTCACAGTCTGATAATTTGCTATTTCAAGCCGTTGGGATGTTTTTCTTGGTTCCTCTGTTCCTCTCGAGTACGCCCGAAGAGCTAGATCAAGGCAATAGCAGCAGCCGCACTAAGTAACCCACGAGCGTGGATCGGGGTCGATAGACGAGCCTGCCGAGAGCCGAGGAACGACCTTGGCGTTAGCCACGACGGAGAAAATCAGGCAAGACTCATAACAACAATACATGTGAGGCAAAAGAATTCTATCCTTGAAAGTGTTGATACATTAATGCTAAGCGAGTGTAATAGTAGGGGTATCTAAAAATCAAAAGTAAACGCCGTAATCAGTAACGTGAGTAGAAGATACAGGAATAAATCCTGAGATCACGCTTCAAGTTGATCTCTTTGGAGGAGTAAACAGCGCCGGGCAACAAGCTTGAATCCGCAGAATATGCAGGAAACAAATGGATGGGTATCATTGGATGATGATGAAAGCACCTTGAAGATATGATACAGAAGAGCGCGCTTTTGTACAATTGTGAGGTATTCAACGACCGTGAGGCGGCAGATGGTATCGGACATTAGCCTCATGGCGTGCGTAGGGGTTGACGGGGCCGGTCATCGGTGGAGCCTGCATGATAGATGGAGGTGGTGGAGGAAGATTCGACGCAGGCATCGCCGCATGAGCCATAGTGGGTGGCGGTAGAGAGGA